CCCCCTCCCTCCTCCTTCCTCTCTATCGAACCCCACTTCTTGGTGCTTCTTCAAGCGTTGAATAATAGCGTCATCATCAAGGGGATATTTTTGGATATTGGTGTACTCCAGATATCGGAGGGAAGGGGAAGCTTAAACTATCATAGTGGTTGATTGACTGGTGACTGCTCCGTACTGCTGGATCTTAGGGTCTCAAAAAGAGTAGCCTCTCCGTACTTCCAGCTTTTCCCCTAGGCTTCTGGAGCCGGTCCCTGGCGCCAGTCTCCGCTTTTGTCTAGGTCGGACCACCTTCGAAGCCCTACTTTTTCGCCGTGCGCGTTTCCCGGAGTCTGGATGACTAGTTTGGGAGGTCGACGACTTTGGTAGAAGAGAAGGAGGATTCAAAGAGAGAGGGAGTATGGGTGAGTGAGTGAGTGGGTGAGTGCCTGAGTGACGTATATCTGTACTCTAAATGTGTCTTATTTTTTTTTGTGCCAATCTGAAAGATCAAAGATCGAGAGCAGCGATAGACGAGGTACGGAGTATGATCAACTGGTACCTACCAAGTAACTAAGTAGAACTACCTAGACATAACAAAGCAGCCAGGCCAGCGCTTCCACCTCCAACTACGGAGTAGTAACTCGATGCGCGGGTCTCGGTCGGCGCCCGCTCCCTGAATTCCTTCTTCCCAGTTCTGACAATTGATTTTTTTTCCCTCTTTTTCTCTTGTCCTTTTTTCTTTTTCCTCCCTTGGGGAATTTTTTTCCCTCCGTCTTGCATTTTTCTGAATATTCTTATTTATTTTTATTGCTTCCCTCCCCATTATTATTTATTATTATTATTATCGATTGGCGTTATTATTACTACTTCTTGCTTGGACTTACATACCTGACCTATACCTACTTACCTACCTACTTACTACCTCTTTTCTTCAACCACACCACCGTAAAAAAGCAAAGTCCCTACCTCAATTCTCATCTCCCTCCCTCCTTCTCTTCTTTCCCTTTCTTCTCTCCCCCTCCCTCTCCCCTCCCCTCTTCCTCCTCCACCACTACAATTTACCTCTTCTTGTTTTTTCATTCCTCTTCTTCTTCTTCTTTCCTCACCTCCTTTCGTTTCATTTCCTCCCCACCCCTTCGCCGTGCGATTTATTCTAAGAGACTTGTAATCGGGCTGGCCCAGTTCAACTCTCCATTGCTCTCTTTGTCTGTGCCTTGTTCTTTCCCTTATTCGACGAGGGGTTGGCAACGTCAGCGCCTAAACGACAACCAACAACACACATCTTTCCCAAGAGGCCGGTACCTCTTTTCTTCTGCTCCGCGTGTTTGGACTCCGCTTGTGTTTCACCGTTACTTCGTCGAAATCGCATCTGGACTATAGTCACTCACCTTCAACTCCCTAAAGCACTTCTCCGAGTCCGGTTTGAACTTTCTTGGCAAAGTCATCTTTGGTGATTTGCGCGCGGTTTCACCCGCTTGTCTTTGGTCAGGTCTATTTGGCGGTGCGTTCTCCTTGTTCGGCCCAACGGTGTCTATGTTTAACATCCCGTCCACCATGACTCTTTGTTTGCGCGCATGCATAGAAATTTCGCATGCTAACTCGGACTGATGAATTCCTCACCAGACCACTGTATCACATTCAATATGTATCCTCAACATGGTGCCCCTATGGCGCCTCCCCAGAAACCCGAGACGTTCATGCTCTCAAACGAGGCTCAGCAGAGCCTCCCTCATGATGCGCAAGTCGCACTGCAGCAGGTCGATAACCGTAAGTTAAAAACAAATGGCTACAGCAACATCATCCTTTGTGGTCTTTCCCGCATCAGCAGTTCAGAATCTGACCTTGTGCCCGCCGCTCTTCAGTCAAATACTTCCTTCTCTCAGCACCCGTGGACTGGCATACGGACCAACTGATTCGCAGGTTCTTGCTTCCGACGGGCGACTACATATCATGTGTTCTCTGGTTAGTCTTGACGGATATTCGCAATTGATAGGGAAGAGCGCGCACGCTGATTGGCGATAGGAACAACCTCTTTCACATTTCGGGAACCGATATCGTGAGATGCCTGGCTTTCCGATTCCAGGCCTTCGGTCGCCCAGTCAAGAATTCGAAGAAGTTCGAGGAGGGTATCTTCTCGGACTTGCGAAACCTCAAGGCCGGAACTGATGCCACGCTAGAAGAACCCAAGAGCCCATTCCTCGATTTCCTGTACAAGAATAATTGCATCCGCACTCAGAAGAAGCAAAAGGTGTTTTACTGGTACAGCGTACCCCACGATCGCCTTTTTCTTGATGCGTTAGAGCGTGATCTGAAGCGCGAGAAGATGGGGCAGGAGGCGACCACAGTTGCAGTCAGCGAGCCTGCTTTGTCCTTCGAGTTTGATTCATCGCAGTCATTGTATGAACAGCTCACAAAGGCACAACAAGCGAACTCATCATCGTTTGCTGCTCACGCAAGTACGACATATGGCCAACCTGCATCCCCAGTGGTTCGGACCGTTGACGCTATGCCTCCTCCTCAGATGGCTCCCCAAATGGCTCCCCCGGCGCTACCCCTTCTCCCGGACGAGTCCGGCAACCCGGCGATGTACAACCCGATTCCCATGCCTACGACTCTAGCCCAAAACGTCATTAAGCGTGAAGCGGACTATGGGCAGATCCAGTATGATCGCAATGGAATGCCGATCGCCCGCATTCACCAACGCCATGCGTCAATGCCAACGTTCGTCGAATACTCCCCGGCTCCATCCTTTGTGTCTTCGCAGTACGAGGATTACTCCAATCGAGGCCTATCATTTGAACCAGTCACGCCTCCGCAACATGGTCACCTCGGCGCCGAACCAGCTTATATCGCTAACGAAGATACCGGGCTCTATACTGCTATCCCTGATATCTCCGCAGCTCCTTTCCATCCAATGATGCAGCTCCCTCCGTCAAATTTCACAAGTGCTCATTTCCCAACTCCGGCCAGATCCTTCCCCTCAAATGTCTATTCTATGCTAGAGGGCTCACCGACATACAAGCAGCGTCGGCGTCGGTCTTCTATCCCCCCGGGTGTTACCAGTGCCGCTGCTACTATGCTCCCGCAAGTCACAGGTCCACAACCCCAAGCTGTTGCTTATGCCGCCCACCGGCCAAGTGACCTTCGACGATCTGTATCCAGCTCCGTGGCCCCTATTCCAGAGGCGGATGATTCCCGTCATGACATTCATCGCCCTGTCAATGGATATCGTGCTGCAGTCCTTCCCCAGAAGAATCTGCTGCATGAGATGTCCCGCCATAGCACTCCCCTGTCGAGCTTGGATGAGAATTCCGAGCAGCAGCATGTCATGCATCCCACCAACCCGACGGATGAACTCGCTCCTCTTCCCGATGGAGAGACGCTCGAAATTTCAGCCCAACACAATGCGGCAAGCAAGATAGAAAGGTATGCCCCGGGGCCTGTCCGTCGGGCTCGGAGTGCTACCATGATGGAACTTGGTCCCTATCCACAGAAGTCACACTCCTGTCCGATCCCATCATGTGGACGGCTATTCAAAAGATTAGAACACTTGAAGCGGTGAGTTATACCCTATGTCTGGCCAACGCGTCCGCTGCGGCTGCATGCCAGCACGGCTTCTGTAGTTGCTTACTAACTTCTCGGTGCTTAGGCATGTGAGGACGCACACTCAAGAGCGGCCTTATCCTTGCCCCTATTGTAACAAGGCTTTTTCGCGGTCGGATAACCTTGCACAGTAAGTCTTCCCCGACAAGGCAGGGCAGCATAATAGGAATGCTAATATCGTACTACAGACACCGCCGCATTCATGAGGCGCAGCAGGATGGTCAGCCGCCAATTGCTATCCCGGACGATGACTTGGAAAATGAAGAGAATGGATTTGGTTCCCAAGACGAGGGATCCTCGCCGTCAGACTCGATGCCAAGTGCAATCGTCCCTAGCATGACTACAGTGCCCTCTGCAATGAGCTTACCTACTACTATGCCCACCATGATGGCTCCGCATATGGTTACTCCCCAGCTCTTGCAGCAACAGATTTGACCAGCTTGGCATTATTTTGATCTTCATGAACATTCTCAAACGTCTTTTCGCATCTATCTTGCGGGTTATATACTCCGATTTCTCGTCATATTATGCCGCTTTCTCTTGGACCGAGTTCTGGTGGTCCTTTGTTCATATGCATGCCCTGTGGGATATGGTGGCTAACTCAAGATTTCCTCCTTGATTGTGCCTTACATCGATTCCTAGAACCATTGCTGGCTTTTTTGTGTTTAGGCCTTCCCTGCCGTGAAAGCCAGGGCGATACCCTGGCCTGGGTTGAGAATCACTTTTTCTGTGTTTTAAAGCTTCGCAATCGCGCTGGACCTACTGGTCCCTAATAAGCGATACTGGCGTTACTGATTGTGGACTACGCGGTAGTTTCCATCACAATCCCATTATTGCTCATTTTATCTTCTGCTTCGGTTTGGTTTCTCTGGTTCTGTTTCTCTCCTCATGTGTTATGTTGATAATGGGATTTCTTGTATCATCTTCTTGTTTACCCCCCACGTCTTTTCCCATTCCCTTGCCATTATTATCTCTTCTTCATACTCCTGTCCTTTTCTTTGCCTGCATGCTGGGTTCTAGGGAAGATGAGAGATTGCAAGGTGCAGGATAAAACGAAAAGGAGGCACCTCGCTCTAAGAGGCTATCAGTTGAGCAAATACTCAGTGGGTGAGGGATCCGGTGCCATTGGGCTGACGAGGGGTCTCCTGGATCCAAAGGATGAGGAGTCGCCATGAATGGGAACCAAGGTGGCACTTGTGACTGTGGCAGGAATGATCGGGTTGAATATATGCATACAGATATGAATCAAATGGTAATGAATTTTGCCCAGTCAGACGACTTTTCTTGGGGTGGGAATAGGAATCAGGATCCATCATCCTGACAGGCAATGCTGCCATGCTTTTACCCCGGACTAATCGGGAACAATCGCGGTTGGGTCACGTGTGGGGCCTGCTGACGTCGACCCCCCAACCCTGGACCACTGGACCACGAAAGCGCGGCGCAAAGGACACACATGACATGCTTGCTTGCCTTAACCTTGCCTTGCTGTCTATTCATCATCCCCACATCTTTTCAGACTCCTATGCTCCCCATGCCTGCTGAGCTGGCTCTCATCGACTTGAGATATTGTTCAACGTTCCACGCAGTCATGGATCAAGATCAGGACTGAGAAGTTCTCCTCATTTCAAATCGGTTTCAGTGATTATTCTGGCTCTGCCTGATCCAACCCGCGCTTCCACGATAGCTTCCGCCCTGCCTTATCAGAAGCTCTAGTAGGCGTCGTTCCGTCACGATACCTGCTTGAGCTTTCGGCAAGCAATCACAATTAGAACACACAGAGACTCGTCTATAGCCCTACCACCGCACTGCTCCACGCTCTCGCTTGTATCACCTTTGATAGGCGCTGTCTCCGTACATCGTCATACAAACCGTGGCCGCCTCCACTTCGGCCTTTTGCTACAAGTCTATTCTTAACGCACTTTTTCAACGGTGCTGGACCACAACTAGTACTCAGACTTGAAGCCGCATTAACAACGCTTTCCGTGAGGAAACGCTTCTGAAACGATCAGTTCAATGACAGAAGCACATTATCGGTCTGTCAATGAAACGTCCCCTTTGGTGGGAGCAGCTGACAGTAATGAAGTGACTTCAATGACGCAAACCGGAGAGTCAAGTGCAAACAATAGATCGGGAGATTCTCCCGATCTTTCGGAGACAAAGAGCAGCTGGTATCTGTTCTTGTTGACCTTGAGTATTGGCGGGTGAGCACCTATCTTGTCAATATGAGCATGAACCTGCTCTCTACAGCAGCCAGAAGACTGACCAAAATGTCACTGTCCTAGTCTTCAGGTCGTATGGTCAACTGAGCTATCCAATGGATCGGTAGGCTTGCAAGCATCCATGGCATTTCTAAATTGATCTAACGTGGGTGCGGACTGTAGCCCTATCTTTTGTCGCTTGGAATGAGCAAGGCTCTACTTGCTTTCGTTTGGATTGCTGGTCCTCTGACAGGAACCCTCGTGCAACCTTATATTGGCATCTGCAGTGATAACTGCCGTATCTCATGGGGCAAGCGAAAGCCTTTCATGGTGGTCGGCGGTGCAGCGAGCGTTGTCTCTTTGCTGGCTTTGGCCTGGGTGCGGGAGCTCACAGAAGGCCTTCTGGGGGTATTTGATGTTGCACCAGGCTCCGATGCATCTCAGACATTGGTTATCGTGCTAGCCACTATCTTGATGTATTGCTTGGACTTCTCTGTAAATACCGGTAGGCCTGCCCAGGGTGGCGTACCGTTGACTGAACCTTGGAAAATGCTGACCGAATTTGGATTACAGTTCAAGCAGGTATCCGGTGCTTCATTGTGGATAATGCTCCTTCACACCAGCAGGAATCTGCGAATGCGTGGGCCAGTCGCATGACTGGTCTAGGCAATATTCTTGGATACATATTTGGATACGTGGATTTGCCCAAGTACTTCCCTTTCTTGGGCAACACACAATTCAAAGTGCTGTGCGCCTTGGCGTCCCTGTCACTTATCTGTACATTGTTGGTCAGTTGTCTGTACATCAAAGAACGAGACCCGCGACTAGAAGGACCTCCTGCCGCAGGAAATCCGGGGTTGGTCGCTTTTTTCAAGCAGGTGTTCAAGTCAATCCGGTATTTACCGTCGGAGATCGCCAAGGTATGCGAGGTCCAGCTGGCTGCGTGGATTGGTTGGTTTCCTTTCCTGTTCTATTCGACCACATACATTGGTCAGCTATTTGTCAATCCGATCTTTGAAGCACACCCAGGCTTGTCGGAGGATGACATCAACAAGGCATGGGAAGAAGCCACGCGAATCGGGACTTTTGCGCTCCTTGTCTATGCCATCATTTCTTTCGTGGCTAATCTGACGCTGCCGATGCTCGTTGTGCCTACGTACAAGCCGGTAATCGTCGACGAGTCCGAAGTGTCCGATGACCAAACCGAGGAGGAGCCTTTTCTGGGTGGCCGAAGGCGATCATCCTCAATAGAAACTGCATTGGAGGCCCCTACCGGTATCGCTCCTGCATGCAAAAGTGGATATGGAGAAGAGGGCGGGTGGCTTTCCAAATTCCAGATCCCGGGGTTCACCCTTCGCCGCGCTTGGTTGATGTCACATGTCAACTTCGCCATATGTATGTTCAGTACGTTCTTCATCTCGTCATACCAGGCCGCTACAGTTGTCGTCGGACTTGTTGGCATCTCATGGGCATTAACGCTATGGGCACCTTTTGCCCTAATTTCTGCGGAGGTGTCGCGCATTGATACCGAGCGCCGGCTTCGACGCCAGCGGGCTGACGGCACGGCACCGGACGCCAATGTCTCCGCCTCTCCGACCACAGCCGGGGAGGATCTAGAACACGGGCATGCACTGCCGTCTACCAAAGGAGAGGAAGAGGAGAACCTGGCACAGGCAGGGATTATCCTTGGTCTTCACAACGTTGCCGTGTCGGCACCTCAGATCCTTTCGAGTCTGATCTCCAGTGCCATCTTCAAGGCATTCCAGAAGCCCCGCGGGGAGCCGTGGGATGATAGTGTTGGATGGGTGCTGAGATTTGGCGGCTGCGCGACATTAGTTGCGGCATGGTTGGCTCATAGACTCGCTGAAGGAACCCGGTGAGTGGGATTTTTCTTGATGGTAGGCGGGCGTGATGCTTGGCCACCACTTCGCGGGTTGGGAGGAAGCGTAAGAGAGCATCGTATCTATCTCTTAGGAAAGTTAGAGTGTATTTAACACGTAAGTAGTTAAGCTGAAGTTAGTGAGAGACCAAATTTTTGACATTGAAGAAATTGGAGCAAATAAGTTACAGTAGATGGCATAAATACCAGTTGAAGAATTCAATTGAGGGGGAGGGGGTAGTAAGGAATACGTAGTTATCGGAGTTACAGGCACCGAGTAGTACGTTACATATACAATAATGCTTGATTGATTGATTTGCCCCGTCCACCCGCCCGCCGAACCACCCGCTCCGCACCCAGCACCAGCACTAGCAATTACGACTCAGCAAGTAACAGCAGCAGCAGCACCACCAAGCACCACCAGCAGTTGCTTGATTATTGTTGTCTGTCATCTTCTTCTTCTTCCTCCTCCTCCTCCTCACCCCTTCCCCCCTCCCTCCTGTCGCACCTTCATTCTCCTTCTACTTCGTCTCTTCTTTTTGATCACTCTCCTTTCCCTCTCCCTTCCCACTCACCCCTTCTTTTCTCCACTCGATCGATCTCTTATCTCTTCTCCACTGCTTACGACGAATCCCCCCTCCCGTTGGATCGTGCAGGATCCGCGGATGATTATGTGTGTCGTCTGTAATTTCACTCGGGCGCCAGACACTCGCCGTTGGCCTTAATCGTCCTCTGCCGTCCTGGGCAAACACGCCTCAGTTCCCAATAACAACAATGGCCGGTCAAGTGATGGGCGATGCCCTGCACCATTTGCTCCGTATGTATCTTTATATAAGAAGCGCGCCACGAAACTTCAAACACTAACTGTATCTGGTGCGTACTAGGTAGAGCGATGGATTCTGACACAGACCCAGACGATGGTATGCGATGCGATCTTGTTTATTATCGCACTGTTCCCGAACTGACAAGCATATTCTCCAGCTGATGCTCCCGAGGCCGGCACCAAGGAGTTCTTCAGCTCCTGGGCGCTCTTCATTCTAATCATGCTGTTGATGTTTGCGCTATTCACCAGTTACATACTGCAGCAGAAAAAGATCCAAGCAGTCCACGAAACAGTCTTGTCCATCTTCGCGGGTATGTGTGACTAGCCACCGAGGGAGGGCATGATTCTTCTGCGGTCTGTAACAGAGGCTGATCGGTGCATATAGGCATGTTTGTCGGGCTTATTATCCGCTTAAGTCCCGAGTCCCCAATTCAAGACAGTGTTGCGTTTGACTACCAATTCTTCTTCAATCTCCTCCTTCCCCCGATCATCTTGGCCTCGGGCTACGAATTACACCAAGCGAACTTTTTCCGAAACATCGGCACTATATTAACCTTTGCATTTGCCGGCACCTTCATCTCCGCCATCGTGCTGGGGCTGATTCTGTTCGTCTGGACGAGGATCCCATTGGATGGACTTGATATGACCTTTGTAGAGGCAATCTCGGTGGGGGCCACCTTGTCGGCGACGGATCCGGTTACCATTTTGGCCATCTTCAACCTATACAAGGTCGAGCCAAAGCTCTATACGGTCATCTTCGGTGAATCAATTCTAAATGATGCTATTGCAATTGTCCTGTTCGAGACCGCGCAGAAGTATGCCGATAGTGAGGCGGGCTCACTAACTTTCTTGAACCTGTTCGAAGCTATCGGCCTGTTCCTGCTCGTTTTCTTCGGAAGTATGATTGTTGGTGTCATCGTAGGGATCATAACCGCCCTAGGCCTCAAATACACTCATGTCAGACGCCAGCCGAAGATTGAAAGCTGCCTGATCGTGCTTATCGCTTATGCCAGCTACTTCTTCTCTAATGGCGTCTATCTTTCGGGTAGGTCACCAACCACCATCCTCCTTGGGATAGTAGGTTAACATGATCACAGGCATTGTCTCTCTCTTATTCTGCGGCATTACCATGAAGCATTATGCGTACTACAACATGTCCCGTCGGACGCAGTTGACAACGAAGTATCTTTTCCAGGTGATGGCACAGCTATCAGAGAACTTCATATTCATCTATCTGGGCTTGGACTTGCTTGTTCAAAGGAACTTGCAATTTAAGCCATTGTTTATCCTTGTGGCCGTTTTCGGCATCTGTATCGCCAGATACCTGGCTGTGTTCCCCTTGTCTCGAGCCATCAACTGGTTCATTCGTTATAGGGCCCGTCGCCGTGGAATGGATGTCGCAGATGAGCTACCGTTCGCTTATCAAGCCATGCTCTTCTGGGCCGGTCTGCGTGGGGCTGTTGGTGTCGCCTTGGCCGCCGGTCTCAAAGGTGTCAATGCCCCGGCACTACGAGCCACAGTTCTCGTAGTTGTCGTATTGACCGTGATTATCTTTGGTGGTACCACAGCTCGGATGCTCGAGATCCTCGGCATCCGGACAGGCGTGGTGGAGGAGATCGAGTCCGACGATGAGTTCGACATCGAGGTCACCAACGGCGGCACGTATTACAAACGCTCCGATACAGGCTTGGGATACACGCCTCGCCGCATGGATTCCACCATTCCTTTAGATGGCGTCACGCGGGGTGAGCTGGACCGCCACAATAGCTACTCCAGTGGCAACAACCGTCGGCCCAGTCCCCCACCGTCTGGCTCGCGAGGACATTCCCGAATGTACTCGAATGCCTACAGTCAGCGAGACACTGCTCGCGACCGTTCCTCCACGGCCTCGTTATTGGGTAGCCGGCCTCGGAGCCATAGCGAAAGCAGCGCGGCAAGCGAAGATGAGTTTGGATTGAAGAACAATGGCAAGGGTCGTGCGACAGACGCTGACCAGCTCGAGGCCTTCGATCTCGATGTGGGTGATACCCCCTCAGACGACGACCTACCGCCGTCAGCTCCCACGTCTCGACTGCGGCGGTCCCCCTCCCAACCCCAACAGTATCCGGGCGGATCCCAGGATCCAACCCCTGCGACTACTTCTCCTCTCCGACGCGAGACAACATTGAGCGCCAGGGCTGCAATCCGCGATCTCTTTTCGGGGGCGTCTGGGGATCACGCGGCGTGGTTCCGACAGCTGGACGAGGACTACATCAAGCCCCGACTTTTGCTGGACCAGTCAAATCACAAGGGACCTGGAGCAGTCTGATCGCTCTTATTAGTGCTCTTGGCGTTGCCTGTATATATGTGCTATATATTGGTGCAGTTCACCGGTGTTGTGTTGCCGTCGTTGTCTTGATTTGATCGTTTTTGCCCTTGGCATAGCTGGGTTTGGGTAACCCGGAGGAGGCCTGATTGTGCGCATGGAGCTGGAGACTTGGTAGCAGGGGGAAACTGGGGAGAGGCAAGGAATCCTTCCACTCCTAGATACCACTATTCCGCCATTTTGAATCTCAAGAACGTTCGAACCTTAGCCTCCTTCCTCAGTGGTGAATTGAACAGCAATCTAGATATGACATCTCTGTCGATAGATAAGACCGAGACGTTCTATAAGTTCTCTCTCCCGCTTTCTCTTTTTCCTCTTTCCCCTTACTTTGCTTGCCTGTTGTCCTGTCCAGATTCTATCACCCATGGCAGAGAAGTCCCAGAATATGAACTCGATGAAGTCTAAAGCTCCTCCGGCGGTGGACGAGGGAATTTCGCTGGAATGAGGCGATATGCACGATATGCAGCTCTTGGGTTCGTTCGCTGACTTGTTATATGGGTCGTCCGTACTGATGAAGACAGCGGCGCTGGGATACAAGCAGGAGCTGCGCAGGCATTATTCGACTGTGCAGGGATTCGCCATTGCATTCAGTATCATCGGACTGCTACCGTCAATCGCATCGACCTTGTTGTATTCCATCCCGGCAGGACATGTGGGTATGGTTTGGGTACATGCTCCCCGTTCGTTCGGCTTACACAAATGCTCGCTTGATGCCGGGCTGGATGACCAAAGAGCTTTGGCTGACGCACCGTAGGAGACGGTCTCTGTCCCTGATCTAATGTGATATGGCACTAGGCAACGGTCTGACTCTAGCCCTAGGGTGGTTTGCTGCGAGTGCGCAGATCTTCAAAGTTGCATTGACTATGGTATGCGTCTTCTCATCCTTCTGCCATTTTTCCCAGTCGGGAGCTCACCGTGCAATGTCCCCTAGGCCGATCTAGCATCTGCCATGCCTACAGCTGGCGGTCTGTACTTCTGGACTCATTACTTCAGCGGAGAGAAGTGGAAAAATCCTTTGAGCTTTGTCATCGGATACAGCCTGGTCGCTATCTTCTTCGCGCGGATGATGCCGAAAACCCAGTCCGTCTGCATATTTCCTCAACGTGGGCCTAGTTTTGGCCACTGCTCTCGCTCTACCCATTGGGAAAGCAGTTCGCGGGGGGCGGTTGAACTCGAGTACCTACAGTATGTCTTTGGCCTCACCGCCTGACCCGAGGGCTGGAGCTTCATGATCGCGTGGTTGTCGCCCATTTGGACGACTGGGGCGTTCGATTCCTGTGTTCAGATGAGTGAGGAGGCCACCCATGCTGCACGAGCGGTGTCATTGGGGACTGTCTGGTCCGCAGGGCTCGGTGGTCTGCTGGGATTTGTCTCTCTGGCAATAATGGCAGCGGTTTTGGACTCCAAGTTTGGACGACCTATGGCTCAAGTGAGTTGCCGTCAGGTGCACCCTCTCGATGGAGATCTAATACTGAGCCGTTGCCGGCAACGATCTGGCCTGGATGGTCTCCCCATCCTCCCCCCGGCTTGTTTGGGGTCGAGACCGATTCCACCCTGGGGAGTTCTATACGGGCTGGCTGAGCGAGCCCATTGCTATCACCGCGATAGTGTTTCTGGCTTTCGCCATTGTCCTGAGCATGTTTCCTACCGAAGGACCCAATCCAACTCGTAAGTTTCCGCTTCGCCTCCCCTGTCTTGGGCCTTTCTCCCAATCTCTCAGACATTTTTCTATCCTCGCGTCTGGGCCATAGAATAATTTGACACTAACCTTCATGATACTATAGCTGCGAATCTGAATTACACTCTTGTGATCAACGGGGCCCGTGTGGCCTGGGGCGCTGTTCTACTATGCTGTCTACGGTCGCAAGGTGTAAAAGGTCCGCAGGCGACTGTGAAAGGGACATTGAGTCCGTCCGAGACGCGGCTCCCGCATGAAGAAGAGGAGAGGGAGAAGTAAAATGTCATGCCCAGACATGACTGACTGGCGGGATTGAATTGCTAGTATGCTTTGAAAAATACATTACATCGTAAGATACCCCATTGACACTCCTGTAATTGACATCAACTGCTGGAGGGTCGGAGAGCGCAAGAGAAAAGGGAGTGCAAACAGAAAGAAAGCTCGCGAGGTCCGCATCATCACCCTCCTGAACGGATACTATCATGATCCCGCGAGAAAAAGCCACTACAATTGTAGCCCCGTCACATAAGGCCCTGGTTTACTCGGGCACTTCGAGGACATAACGGCCAGCGATCTTGCCTTGTTCTGTTTCCGTTCACGAGCGTTAGTCTTTCCTTTTGCATACGTCTTGAAGGGGGGACGAGAATGTCGAGATGGAAGGAAGGGGAAGGGCAAAAACGTACCCATCAATTCAAAGATACGAGGGAGATCCTTCAGAGGCGCCGTCTTGAAGGGAGCGTTGATCAGGCCGCGGGCGAAGAAATCGACGGCCTCGACGCCATCCTGGCGGTTACCGACATAGCTGCCCTTGATGTTGATCATGCGAACGACCGTGTTGAAGACGGGAGCACGCAGGAAGGCATTGCCGGGCAGGCCAATGGCAACGACGCTACCACGCGAGCGTACGTACTCGGTCGCCTGCTGGAAGGGCTTCTCGGCCACGGCCAAGAGGATGACAGCGTGAGCACCAAGACCCTCGGGGGTGGCAGCTTTGACATCGGCGACTACGTCGTTGGAGGTGGTGAAATCAATGTAGGCCTAAAGGTGTGGGGTCTTTGGTCAGTCTTCTTCTTTCTTTACTGTTCGTTTTGGAATGTTTTTCCAGACAGGGTGTGGACGGTTTACCTCTGATCCCAACTTGTGGCACATCTCCTTCTTCTCTTCGCCGCCATCGATAGCAATGGTGCGCAGTCCCATGGCCTTCGCATACTGCAAGGCTAACGAGCCCAGACCACCTCCGGCTCCGACAATGGCTACGGTCTGGCCGGGCCGGACCCCGGACTCCTTCAGTCCCTTGTACACGGTGATACCGGCGCAGAGAATTGGGGCCACGGCGTCCAGGGGCACCTCCTTGGGGAGCTTGGAGGCGTGACTTGCCTTGGCCAGGGCATATTGCTGGAAGGTGCCGTCGACGGTGTAGCCGGAGAGCGATGCGTCGGGACAGAGGGGCTCTTCGGCCTGCTTGCAGAATTCACAGGCCAGGCACGAGCCGTTCAGCCACTTGATGCCGGCGTGGTCGCCAATCTCAAACTCGGTGACAAGCTCGCCCCGGGCCACGACGATGCCGGCGCCTTCGTGGCCGCCGACCAGCGGCTGCTTGAGGGGCAGCGGCCAGTCACCCTTCATAGCGTGTAGGTCGGTGTGGCAGACTCCCGTGTAACGGATCTTGACGAGGATCTGATCCGGACCAGGCTTGCCGACGGGGATCTGTTTGTAGACCGGGGGGTGGCCCTTTTCTTCGATGACTTGAGCCCATTGAGTCTCTGGAATCTCGGGAGGGGAAGACATGTTGGTGGTGATTGAGGGGATTAGGTGATTTGAGATTGGTAGCAGGGATTGCAGAGGTTTTGATTTTGGTGGGGGGGGAGGAGAGATAAAGAGTGATCTTTGTATGTAGAATTGAAAGTGGAAGTAGAAACCGATGTTGTGTTAGTTGGAATGGATCAGAGAGAAAAAGAGAGCGAAAAGACAAGACTTTATATGATTCCGAGTAGAGAACAACACCACAGACAACGAACCATAGTGAGACAACCTGACATTCACATTTCAGGGTTTAGTGGGGGGGGAGAGGCAGTAAGTGGGCAGTAAACGCCAGTCACTTCACTTTACAGCAGGTGGGGTGATTCCGTCCCGGCCGAAGCGCGCTCCAAGTGACGTCGTATGGTGGCCGTCAGCCTAGACAATCGGACGGAGGGAGCTGCACAAATAACACTGAGGTTGACACTGGGATCCCGGTCCTGTTTGCTGAGCGATTTTCCCAAAGATACGAGAGGGGAAGGAGAAGCAGGGGCGGATGGAATCAGTTACCGAGTCGGTATTCCGTAGATAACTGTATACTGTGTAGATCTCTCCTCCCTCTGCCCCCCCCCCCCTGGCGATACTCGGTGATGAATGATGCTATTCATTCTCTTTTTTTTCTCTCCTTTTCTGTAACTTACAGTCATTAGCTTCCCCGTCAACCTCAGACATCAATTGAATGGGCTTGGTAAACGTCATCATCCGTGATCGTCGAGGATTTGTTTCTCCGCATCCCACGGCGAACTGAGGGTATTATCAAAGCCTGCTATTGCATTAGGTCAGATTTCGCATCTCCGCCCTGGCCCCCCCCCCTCCCCCGACGTTGCTTCGGCTCTTGCTTCGGGGTCAAGATCCAATTCCCCTTTGATCCACAGAGTGAATGTCAATGGCAGCTGCATGCACTCTGCACTCATTCATAAAAAGTACGAAAAGTACGAGAAGACTGAGTAGTCAATGAGCAAGTCTGGGAGGGTTGATGCCTCAGGCCTGAATGTTCGGAACATATCGTATGTTCAAGGTTGAGTGGATGCTCAAAATCCAAGCGACAAACATGCACGGTCTTATATACCGCGAATTGGCCGATTGAGGACCTCCTGGACGGCCCCCCTGATAATCTCCCATTCACTACGGAGTACATCGCATGGGGGTGGCCCTTATGCGCGGGAGTCGCATGTCATACTGGCTTTCCATGCAATGCAGCCATCATCACCATCGAGTACTCAGTCCGGAGTACTTTGTAAGGTGGTGCTGTATCGATCTCAGGTCGCCATTACCTTACCATAACCTCCAAGAGAATCAGATCAACTAGTGGTAATCTAAGCCCGTGTAATGGAAATACCTATACAGCACTATACCGCACAGCACAGCCACAGCCGGGTGGATTCTGGATAGAACACCCGGCCCGAATAGGCAGGAACGAGCTGTCTCCGAGGCTGGAAAAAGACCCAATTCGGAGTCAATTGCAGCTGATGGATGGATGATTTGGATCGATGGAGTGTTTGTTCAAAGACTTCAACAACTTCAACTTCAACTTCTTCTTCTCTTCTCTTCCTTTCATTCGTTCCACGGCCCCTTCAATTCGTTGCCTCTTCAATTACCTCTGACCACTCCTTAGCATCAATCTTTCACCCATATCTACACATAACACATACATCTCAGCCATACACCTCTGTTCGATTCTATCTACACGGCTATCCCGACAAAGCCTCCTTCCCACGGAAAGAAAACCAAACTGGCGAGATTTTGCCCCTCATGGTTTTACCCATCTCTACAGATCATGGTAGCTGGTTGTAATTCTTCTTCCCAAATCAAATCTGCCCCAAGCAAGTCATTGTCATCTATTCATTCACGCTCCCTTCTATGGAACCCCGTCGTGAGGATTAAGTTGTTGGCTGGCTTCCTCCCTCACCAAGAAAACCCTCCTCCTCCACCAACCGCCGACAGATTCCTGTCCATCCGGTAGGCAAAATCAATCCTGCCTCCCTTTATCCGCTCACTTTTCTTTTCGTCCTTCTTTTCTCTTTTACCATCATCGTCGTCATCGTCATCCTCCTCCTCCCACCTTTCTCCATCATCTTCCCCTCCCATCTTCCATCTCCATCTCCATCCTTGCCTGTCCTCTTGGCTCCACTTCTCCCTCCAAATCGGCCACTCAGAATTAATTCCTCTTAACGCAGGGAACTCTAGCTGGACGGCGAACAACTAACGGACGGACGCGTGATCGCCCTTCACCTCGAGATCTCCGTGCGCTAAAACCTCCAAGACCACCTTCCTTCCCCATCCCCTTCGCGCATGGCCAGCCTTCGTCCATCGCGACGGTCCTTGTTCTAAAACTCCTCTTCCTCCCTCCCCCCCCCATCACTGCTGCCCGTCACCTTCGCCGCCGCCTCTTCATCCCCCGGCATACGCGGTAATCATGACGGGAGCTCCGCCGTACAATCCTCAGTCTCCTACCCAGCAGTCTCGTTATCCCGCCTATTCTTCTCCGAACAAGAACCGTCCCTTCTACCCCAGCAACAATGATCAATTTCAACAGCACCCGCCGCAGACGCCCCCGGCCTTTCCCCCTCAATCCAGTATGGCCAGGAGCCCTCACTTCTCGCATGCGCCATCTCCATTGCCGGCCACGCTGCCTCCGTTAAATGGCGCTGCTCCCTCGTCTCATCCACCGGATACATCTTCACAGTATCAGGCCCATTCCTCGGCTGGCACGCCGCAATTCCCCCTGCCTCGGCCCTACTCTAATTCCGTCTTGTCGGGCAACGGCGCGGCCCCCTACGGTCATTCTACTCCCTCCCACGCTCGTCCCTCTGGTCGGCCCGACAGTCATTCGCAGGTTTCTCCAAAGAAAGAAGCAGATTCCTCTTACCCCATGGGGGGTCACGGAGTCGCGGCGTACTCATCTCCCATGATGCGAGAGTCTAGGCATTCCCCTCCCAAGGAAACTGTAAGTTGTCTTTCTGTTCCCGATGGGATATCTGGCAGTGCACAGTAGCTGATGTTGATTCTCCTGCGTCTTTTAGAAACCAGATCCCATGTCTTTTGCGAGCATTTTGGCTGGACCAGCAGAAGAGCGCAACCCGCCTTCCCGACAGTCTCCACCAAAAAAGCAGTCGCCTCTTGACTCTGCATCAACTTCTATCGCGCCGACACCAACCGCCTCAGACACTTTCAACACTCCGTCGACGATGCCTAGTCCGATCGCCTACATCAAGAGCAAAGACAAAGAGACCTCGGGTCCGACTCTACCGAGATTAGAAAAGAAACCTTCCCAAGAGAAGCGCCGTCGCAACGTCGACCCAGAGTCCAGGGTGTCCGACTCGCGGACCTCAACCACTAATGGCATTGCGGAGTCCACGAAACCCTCTTCCTCTTCCCGCGCTGCTGTTTCTCGCCAGGCCTTGACGGAAGGAGAGGCGGAGGCTCTCAACCGCGCCATAGTCGATATGGCGAACGCCGATAAAAGTGACGTGGAAGCCCCCGGATATGAGAGACAGTATCAAGAATACAAGGCCAAAAGCAAAAAGCGTGCCCTTCTGACAGAGCAAACGGAATTGATTCGGCGCAAGGTCTGTATACCGTGCGCTCGTCCATTGGGCCTGGCAAGCTAACATTTTTTTGCAGCGACGACGCCACCAATTCCTATCAGCCTTCGCGAAGTCCCTTGAGAAGCAAGCCGAGGCTGGAATGGATCGATTCAGACTCGCGAACGAGTCGTCAGTCATCGCCGAAGTACAAGCCAAAGAGATTCAAGATGAGAAGGAACGCAAAAAGGATATGCAGCGAAAGCGGCGACGCGAGAATACTGTGCGCATGGAGATGCAGAAGAAGCTGGAGGCAGAGCTCAAAGCAAATGAGGCGCAGGACTCTGCCGAAAAGGCTAAGTTCCTCCGTGAAGCCGAAAGGGCTCAGCGCAAAATCAAGACTACCAAGAGAGCACTGGAGGGTGTCACTGCCCCCGAGGAGATTAGTGAGGTCACTCCCTTGGCGCCCAACCTCGAAGGCGGCACCACCAGTTCCTTCCACATTGGTCGGAACTCTCCTTCCAGGCGCAAGTCTGGACGCAACGGCCCCGTCACGCGCCCGAAGAAGTCGAAAGAACAAAAGCAAGCGGAGAAAGATGCAGCAGAAGCAGCTTACGCAGCCATGGAGAACGACGAGGCGCTGCCTCTGGCACCCAAAGAGGATCCTCGCAAGGAGTCTATCAAGAAAGAGACGACCAAAGGCAGCCGATCCAAGGAGCCCACACCTGCGCCGCTTTCCGCCTTCGAGACAAAGGGCTACAACCAGATCTACGAGCAAATCTGGCGCGATATTGCTCGTAAAGACATCCCTAAGGTCTACCGCATCAAGGGTCTGTCACTCAGCACGCGCCAGGAGAATCTTCGCAAGACAGCACAACTTGCTAGCAAGCAATCTCGCAAATGGCAAGAACGCACCAACAAGAGCATGAAAGACACTCAAGCCCGGGCCAAACGAACCATGCGTGAGATGATGTCCTTTTGGAAGCGTAACGAACGTGAGGAACGTGATCTGCGTCGCCTTGCCGAAAAGCAGGAGATTGAATCGGCCAAGAAGGCAGAAGCGGAGCGTGAAGCTAATCGTCAGAGACGAAAGCTCAACTTCCTTATCTCGCAGACCGAGCTGTACTCTCACTTTATTGGCCGCAAGATCAAAGGTGCAGAAGGGGACGAGTCCGGTGACACGGCCGTGGAAGGTTCTGATCAGACCATCCAGCCTGGGAAACCTCAAGATCACACGGTGGATATGCCCCCCAGTGTCGCCGATCTTGGGGCCAAGGTTACCAACTTCGAAGATCTCGACTTCGATGCCGAGGATGAGACGGCCTTGCGACAGGCGGCTATGGCCAATGCGCAAAATGCCGTTCAGCAGGCTCAGGATCGAGCCCGCGCCTTCAACAACGACCAGAACCAAATGGCTGCGTTGGACGAGGGCGAACTGAACTTTCAGAATCCTACTAGCTTGGGTGATATCGAGATCTCTCAGCCCAACATGCTTACGGCGAAGCTCAAGGAGTATCAGCTCAAGGGTTTGAACTGGCTTGTCAATCTGTATGAGCAAGGTATCAACGGTATCTTGGCCGACGAGATGGGTCTGGGAAAAACCATTCAGTCCATTTCAGTCATGGCTTATCTCGCTGAAGTCCACAACATCTGGGGTCCTTTCTTGGTCATTGCGCCAGCCTCAACCCTGCACAATTGGCAACAGGAGATCACCAAGTTCGTTCCGGACATCAAGGTTCTTCCGTACTGGGGCTCGGCCAAAGACCGCAAGATCCTTCGTAAGTTCTGGGATCGAAAGCATATCACATACACGAAGGAATCTGAATTTCATGTGTTGGTCACCTCGTATCAGCTGGTGGTCCTGGATGCACAATACTTCCAAAAGGTCAAGTGGCAGTACATGATCCTCGACGAAGCCCAGGCCATCAAGTCTTCTCAGAGTTCCCGTTGGAAGAACCTGCTCGGCTTCTCCTGCCGTAACCGTCTCCTCCTAACAGGTACTCCCATCCAGAACAACATGCAAGAACTGTGGGCTCTTCTGCACTTTATCATGCCCACATTGTTCGACTCTCACGACGAGTTCAGCGAATGGTTCTCCAAAGACATCGAGTCCCACGCTCAAAGTAACACGAAACTTAATGAAGACCAGCTGAGACGTCTGCACATGATCTTGAAGCCCTTTATGCTTCGCCGTGTCAAGAAGCATGTTCAACAGGAGCTTGGAGATAAGGTTGAGAAGGATATCTTCTGCGATCTCACCTATCGCCAGCGTGCGTACTATACCAATCTGCGCAATCGGGTTAGCATCATGGACTTGATCGAAAAGGCCGCTGTTGGAGACGAAGCGGATAGCACGACACTGATGAACTTGGTCATGCAGTTCCGGAAGGTCTGCAATCATCCGGATTTGTTCGAGCGTGCGGAAACGAAATCCCCGTTCTCGGTCGCACATTTTGCCGAAACCGCTTCGTTTGTTAGAGAAGGTCAGAACGTTGATGTCGCCTATTCAACCCGCAACCTGATCGAGTATCCATTGCCTCGCCTGCTCTGTGGATCTGCCGGTCGGGTCAATGTCGCAGGACCCGACAATGCGCATGCCGGCTTCCGTGGAAAGTATCTCAACCACATGATGAACATCTTCGCTCCGGATAATATCAGGCAGAGTGTCCGGGACAATGGGGCATTTTCGTTCCTACGGTTTGTGGATACGTCCCCGGGTGAGGCATACGAGCAGTCACGCCTTGGTGTCTTTGAGCGAGCTGTTCGACGCCGTGAGCAAACGAACAGGCTGGCTAGACTCAAAGTCGTGTACGACGATGACAGGACAGCCGCATCAGTCTTGCCCCATACCATGTTCAACATTCTCGACCGCAATGATGGTCGTGCGGTGCACGAAGTCGCGGCCGAGGGTTATATGCGGGATCTGATGACCGTTGCTGAGTCTATGTTTGAACGCGAAGGTCTATCACTGATTGAGCCTTCGGCCGGCCCTGCAGCCTCGGCGCCGCCGATCACCATCACAAGCTCAAGTCAGATTCCTATGTACGAGGCTAGAGACAGTTTCTTTAATGTTTCTTTGCGCCATGCCTTGTACGGTGTTGCTTCGAAACAGGTGGAGCAGCAAATCCTAGAGCAGAAGCTAGACCCTACGCCCTACTCTCTGCCACCCATGCTGCCCAAGCCACTTTCCCTCAAGGGCCGCTACACGCATATTGAGGTGCCATCCATGCGTCGCTTCGTTACGGACTCAGGGAAACTGGCCAAGCTCGACGAACTCTTGCGCGAGCTCAAGGCCGGTGGGCATCGTGTGCTCCTGTATTTCCAGATGACACGTATGATCGACCTGATGGAGGAGTACTTGACCTACCGCAATTACAAGTATTGTCGTTTGGATGGAAGCACCAAGCTGGAGGATCGTCGTGATACTGTGGCGGATTTCCAACAGCGTCCGGAGATCTTCGTGTTCCTACTATCCACGCGTGCGGGTGGTTTGGGTATCAACTTGACCGCGGCCGATACAGTCATCTTCTACGATTCGGATTGGAACCCTACTATCGATTCGCAAGCCATGGACCGTGCTCACCGTCTGGGTCAAACGAGGCAGGTCACGGTCTATCGCCTCATCACCCGAGGCACCATCGAAGAGCGGATCCGGAAGCGTGCGTTGCAGAAGGAAGAGGTGCAGCGTGTGGTCATTACCGGTGGTGCCGCTGGTGGCGTTGACTTTAACACACGTAATCGGGAGAGCCGGACTAAGGATATTGCCATGTGGCTGGCGGACGACGAGCAAGCCGAGCTCATTGAACAAAAGGAAAAAGAAGCCCTGGATCGCGGAGAGATGTTTGGGGCTGGTAAAGGAGGAAAGAAGGCGGCTCAGAAGAGGAAGAGGGATATCACGCTGGATGATATGTATCATGAAGGTATGGCGCCCTACGATCCCAACCTGCAAACATTGGCTAACTCGGATTTTCCTTTAGGTGAGGGTAACTTCGACGATGCTAGTGCAAAACCCTCTGGCGCCGCAACTCCGGTCTCCGCAGCGGATAACGTGGGTACGCCCTCGGGCACGCCAGTCCCCAAGCGAGGCCGTGGACGCGGGACCGGCAAAGGAACGTCGAAACGGGCGAAGACGACGAAAGAGCGACTGCGTCTCATTGACGGCGACGGGGGCCTCGGACCCAGTTAACACTACGAGGACCTTTCCATGATGAGATGGAATGACGGCGTTGGATTCACTACCTTCTTTTCTCTTTTCTTTCCTCCTTTCTTCTGCTCTTTTTTTCTCGTTTCCTTTTCTTGTTTCATCTGTGATGTTGCTAGGGCTTTACACGCTGATTGGGATTATTACACCAGATTATCTTTGTTGCTTCTTTGTTTTTTTTTTCTTTTCAATTGCGGATATCATGTCCGGACCATGTATTAACAAGAAGCATTGGTGATGTATGAAAACATTAACACGGGTTGTTGTTCCCTGAGATAATGAGCAGCGGACAGGGACAGGAGGGCCTGGGGGGGGGGAAAGAAAACAAAGCAATAAAGTATGGCGAATGGAATTTAAAAAAGCAGAGCCACAGATAAGGCGGCGATGGCAAGATAGATCTGTTGTTGTTTCAAGTGTGGAGTTGCATGTGGGGAAAAGGGGGGAGGGGGGAAGGGGGAGGGCATGAGGCTCTCAAAGCGTGCACAGTGACTGTCAAATTCCCGAGGTACTCTTTTAGTTGGAAATTGGTTTATCTACTCAGTAATTTACATTTTGATGTATCCTTAACTTGCCACAATAATTGAGTTACATTCACTTGTCTATTGATAGGCGAATAATGGACAGGGACTGATCTGTCCTCGTCCCAAAAAGGAAATGGTCGAAAGACTGGCAATCCCGTGACCATGCCGAGACCAACTCCGATACCACCTTTCTTAGTCATACTCCGACCCCGAGCCGGACCGCAGCACCAATCAGCTCCCGTTCAATCGTCAGCCCTCCCCGATGAGGTAAGCCGCCAAGTCGCGCCGGTTTTCCTTCCAGATCCATCATCCCTTGCAAATCCCGCGTGTTTTGCCTCCGAAGAAGAGTCAGTCAGTCAGTCAGAGACTCTTGAACTTTAACTCCACCTTTTCCTCTCCCTTTGCCCCCAATTTCTCTTCTGATTTACCTTGATCCTTCTCAACCACCCAATTCTTTTCTCTCACTCCCACGGGCTCCCTACCAGCCTACTACCAACAAGGGGTTTTTCACTTTTCTTCTCCTCAATTGCTATAATTTGAGCCTTTGGGCCGTACCGCACCCGATGGAGTCGCTTCTCCAGCAGTCCCGCGCCATGTGCCCGTTTCTCAAGCGCACCTCCCCATCCACTTTGCGCACTCTGTCCACCGCGACCCGTCCTAGCACCAGCTCCGGGGGCGGTACTATGTCCAACCTTCAGGTTCTGGCCCGCCGCTGCCCTGTCATGAGCAAGGCCCTGGCCGTGCAAAGTGCCCGTTTGGCCAACACCAAGCGGTTCACCTCTGGCGTCGCCGGCATGGACCCCAAGTACTTCCGCCCTGTTCCGACCAAGCGCGGCTTGCATTCGACCTCGGGGAATGGAGCAGATGTTGCTCCTAATGTCTACAAGGAGTCGCAGAGAGGTACTTGATAAACTTCCTCTCTCCGGATAATTCATACTAATACCATTGCTTCATAGTCGATCCCACTTTCCCCGCTGCCAAAAGCCGCTTCGAAGCGCCTAGCGCAACCGTCACGGGACCCCGTCCTGACGCCCCGAAGGTCGCGCCTTTCGACTACAATGCTTTCTACAATGGCGAACTGGAGAAGAAGCATAAGGACAAGTCGTACCGCTATTTCAACAACATCAACCGTCTGGCCAAGGAGTTCCCCCGCGCCCACACGGCCTCCCAGGAGGAGAAGGTGACTGTGTGGTGCTCCAACGACTATCTCGGTATGGGCCGCAATCAGGAGGTGCTCAAGAGCATGCACCGCACGCTGGACACCTACGGCGCCGGTGCGGGTGGTACAAGAAACATTTCCGGACATAACCAGCATGCAGTAGCTCTCGAGGGCACGTTGGCTAAGTTGCACAACAAGGAGGCCGCTTTGGTCTTTAGCTCTTGCTTCGTTGCCAATGACGCTACATTGGCAACTCTGGGTAGTAAGATGCCCGACTGTGTCATTCTCTCCGACAGTCTCAACCACGCCTCAATGATTCAGGGAATTCGTCATTCTGGGGCTAAGAAGATGGTGTTCAAGCACAACGACCTGGTCGACTTGGAGAACAAATTGGCATCTTTGCCCCTGCATGTCCCCAAGATTATTGCATTTGAATCCGTCTACAGCATGTGCGGTTCGATTGCCCCCATCGAGAAGATCTGCGACTTGGCCGACAAGTACGGGGCAATCACTTTCCTCGATGAAGTGCACGCCGTCGGCATGTACGGTCCTCACGGTGCGGGAGTTGCGGAGCACCTCGACTACGACATTTACGCCTCTCAGGACACTGCGACCCCTCGTAGCACCAAGGGCACCGTGATGGACCGGATTGATATCATTACTGGTACTTTGGGTAAGGCGTATGGCTGTGTTGGTGGGTACATTGCTGGCTCCGCTGCCATGGTGGATACCATACGTTCTCTGGCGCCGGGATTTATTTTCACTACCTCATTGCCTCCTGCGACCATGGCTGGCGCGGACACGGCCATCCAGTACCAAGCCGAGTACAAGCGGGACCGTGTCTTGCAGCAGTTGCATACTCGGGCGGTGAAGGAATCTCTTAAGGAGCTAGATATCCCCGTTATCCCGAACCCCTCTCACATCATTCCCCTCCTAGTTGGAGACGCTGAGGTGGCCAAGCAAGCTTCGGACAAGCTCTTGGAGGAACACGGCATCTACGTCCAAGCCATCAATTACCCCACCGTCCCTCGGGGTGAAGAGCGACTCCGCATCACCCCCACTCCGGGCCACGTGAAGGAACACCGCGACCATCTGGTTCAGGCGCTTCAAACCGTCTGGACCGATCTGGGTATCAAGCGCGCCAGCGACTGGAAGGCTCAGGGCGGTTTCGTCGGCGTCGGCGTCGAGGGAGCCGAAGCCGCTAACCAGCCTATTTGGGAGGACGCCCAGTTGGGACTGCGCGAGGGTGAATCTCTGGAGACTGCCGTTGAGCGGGAGTTCCAGGACGCGGCAGCCGAGGCGCTGCTCGCCCAGGCAACTGTCAGGATGCAGACCGCCGCCGCTGAGATCCGTCCTGCTGCTGCTGCCTCGGGAATCCCTGTTGGTGTTGCCGCTTAGATTCATGTAGTTTGAGGATTCTCATGTTTTGAGAAATTATATTTTGTGGATGCACAGTGCCATTATCTCCACGTCCACTCTTTTGTTGGTAATAACCATGGATCGCATGACCTCTTATATGCTCGAGGGGGGAACTCTCGCCATCAATCTATATCACTTCTACCTCTTAACTACCTTGTCAAGTGAACATATGATGAATGATATGAAATTGGAATGGAGAGTCAATATACTAAAATTCAATGCTTGATGAATGAAACTTTAGGAACTAGTTCCGGTAGTCTGCGTGCTTGGCTTTAGATATCAAATACAGCCGTCCTCCTTCGACTACTAATTGAATTCTAAATCGTGATGCAGTCCTTGTTAGTGGAGGATAAAGTAGTATCACCATGCCGGGTGCCGTTTTCAATTGCCTGATGACAACACGAGAGTTGGGAGGGTCTGTCCGCATCTCCAACCGCATATTTACTAGTACTATCTACATAAATATCCACCCGACATCGGCCATTCTACCAACATCAAACAAAGAACTAGAGGACGACAAAGGTCATTATTATGCTCTCCCGGAATCCAAGAGATTGTCCCCATGGAACACCAGGCAGTCCCTGTGTCTCTCTGTCTCTAGTAGTTAACTACTTCCTCGCCGCTTACCAACTACCTCACTCACCAGATAACTTCAAATACATACATAAGACATACCGTGACATACATACAAACACACAAAACAAGACATAACAACCAGGAACCAGGACGCCAAGGGACGATCAAACGCCCCGAAACAAAGGACCAGATGCTTTTTTTTATGGGTCTGAACAAACAAATGCTATCAGTAGCTGAGGATCCGCCCACTCCGGATTGACTCCCCTTTGCTCGACCATGCAACCACAGCGCATATGAACATGGTAAAACATCCATCCTTGTTACTGAAAAAGAAACTTTGGGAGGAACGACGCTCCAATTAGCGGAGGTAGGGGTGGTTGAAGCATTGGGACAACCCCCTCAAGCTCTTATTTCCCTCCTAATTTACAAAAGGGCCCAGATAATAATTTGGGGAGGTATTGTTATTCTTTCTTCTTGGGTGGCTTGGGGGTTTATCCACTAGCGTCTCTTCCCACCACCGCGGCTTACCTTGGGAAATTCGACAGGAATCCGCAACCTGGCCACTCTGCGAGCCGCCGCCTCAGCCTTGCCGCCCTTGATACCCCACTTGGCGAACTCGGACTCGCGGGGTTTATCGACGCGGCAGCCCAGCTCGCGGAAGTACTGCAGGATGACAGGACTCTCGAGGTGAAGATCATCGCGCAGATCCGAGGGGTCGGTGGCCAGCTCGTTGGGGGCGTTGCCGCCCTGGGAGCTGTTTCCGCCATCCTTGGCCGGTTGGGGCGGGATGTGCAGCGACAGAGCGCAGATGGTGGTGTGAAGGAAGGTGACGTCGTTGCGCGAAAGAGAGCCGCCGGTTCCCGGGGCGAACTTGCGGCGGATGGCGTCGATGATCGGGTCAGGGATGGCTTCGGACGAGCCGGAGGAGGACGCGGATGTGGGAGAGGTGCCGCCGGACAGGACGGTGCGGAGCTCGTTGCGGGGCGGAAGGCGTTTGCTGCCGGGGCCGGCGCCCTTGGGGTCGCGTTTGAGATGGCGGTTGAGTTCGAGGAGCAGCAGGATGAAGCGGAGGATCTGGAGGTGGGTGGTGTTGCCGGACTGGATGACGGCCTCGACGCGGCGCGAGACGTACCGCGAGGTCGTGACCACGGGTTCCCCGGATGTGGCAGTATCGATCCATTCTTGCACACCGGGCAGCTGTCGGAGCGTCGACTCGCCGTTGGGCACCAGCTCCGAGAGCGGGTATACCTCTGCCGGGTGAGCAGCGTCCAGGTGCGGCGTCGGGATAGGCTTGTTGGCCTGCACTTGCGCCTGCACCATGGCTGCCTTGGCGGCAATATCGTTGACGCCCTCCGTCGGCATCGAGGACAGAATGGCGGACTCCGCGGCCGAGGCGGCCCCTGAAGGCAGGTTGGAGAGCTGTGCGTTTTCGGCCAGAGATTGCGCCGCTTTGCGGGATTGCTTGGTACCGAAGGTGTTGGTGAGTTCAGTGCGTTGGGCACGAAGGGTTTGCTAGGTGTTAGAGAGAAACCGTTAGTTTTATCGACCTTCGTTGCATAATATAATATAAAGATGAAGGTAGTCAAGAACAAAGAGAGAAAAGAAAAAGAAACATACCAACTCTTCCTCCTCTTCCTCCTCCTCTTCTTCTTCATCGATAGAGCGCAGTTTCCGCACCGCACCGCGCAGCGTCATTTTTCGGACCTCGACAAACTGCCATGTCTTGTTCTCGGGGTCGACCACTGCGACGTAGTGCTTCAGCTGCGAGTCGGCGTCCTCCTCCGCCTCGCGACCCACAAAGTCCAGCTTGGGGTGCTCAGCAGACTGGAGCAGCAGCTCAGACGAGACTATTCCCTTGTTGCGCGTCGAAGTGGAAGAGGTCTTGCTGCGGGTTTTGAGATAGGGCTTAAGCCGGAGATTGCGGGGTGCGTTTAGGCCGGGAGTGGTCACTTTTGAGTTTGCCCACAGGCATTAGCATCTAATCGGATTCTCCTAGTCTTCTTTTTGACCAAGAGCTAAGCAAGTTGGGAGGAGCATACCGATGACCGGGGCAAGTTCGCTATCATCCTCCACGACGCTGGAGGCCAGAGGAGGCAGATCTTGCAGTCCCAGGGCAGGCTTTTTGCTGGGCCGCTCGTGGCGGTCAGAGGCGCGCTTGCGCTTCTTTTCGACCTTGTCGGAGACCATTGTGCAGAGTTCGAGGATCCTATCTGAGGCAGGTCGAATGCAGCAGAATTCCAGGCTCGACAGAGGTGGAGTTCGATATACCGGAGGGAAAAATCGCGAAAGAAAAAAAGTTGAAGGCGGTCAATGAGTCTCGAAGAGGAAGGCGGAGAGTGAGAGAGAATGGAGGGTGGGTTGCGGTGCAGATCACGGGGACACACAAATCACAATCAGCCATCACCGTAGATATAGATATAATGTTCCGACAAATGACACTGGGTGGGTAAAAGAACAAGAAGCTGCTCGAGGGTAGAAAATTTAGATCTACAGTCTACAGCGGTAAATACGCATGGAAAATCAGAGAATTGCGTTTGAACTTTTTGATTGCAATGAATTCTCAAAGGAACCTCTCCACGGCCCGAAATTCTCTGGTTATAGCCAGAAAACCCCGAGACATAAGATATTGACCAGTTCCCCATAGGAAGCTCAAAAGGTATCGGCGTATGATAGGTACATAATCAAAACCGATCCCTTTCCAACCCTACCAAACACATTGCCCAACTCCAAGGTAAATGAGACACGCGAATACGCATCCCCACCACTGTCCGGTCACGATAGCGAGAAACAAGCCGTCGTGTAGATCGAAGACGTTTTAAATTGAATCCGAAGGATTGGAACGGAATTTTCGAAGTTCCGAGTTGTTAAACGGCGGATTCCGACTTCGAGAATGAGTAAGAAAACCAGACAGGGTCCTTGATTCGAGATGGCGAGAGGAAAGGAACCACGTTAACGATCAGGAAGGTTCAATCATCATCGTGACGTCGTTGCAATTCTTCGTTGTTTTGTTGTCGTGTTTAGCGTTCAACCTGAGTCTTCACATGAAGAGCTGAGATGGAGGGGGCGAGTAATTTATTTGCTGAATTTGCGAGTCAGCCATCGATCGAGAGCCATAACAATTATTAGAAGGTATAAATCGAGGTAACTCACCTGCGAGCACGCATCTTTCTGCGCTTGCGCTTAAGGCGACGGACGCGCTTCTTTCTCCACTTGGCTCTCATCTTCGTAGATAGGACTACAAAAGAGCTGTTAGTACTAACTTCCAAGCCGGAAAGTTAATAAGGGCGGGATAGTAGACTCACACTTCTGCGAGGATGAAAGAGATGGTTGCAAGAAAGATGGAGAACGGCCGCGGTTGAGCTTCTTGTGTGCGCCGTGGCTGACTCAGCATCCAATGCCGCTAAGGGCTCGCTAGTGTTATGACTGCTGTGATTGGCTGCGCATTGGCCACCGTTTGGTTTACCGAGACCGCTCGTGACATCAACACTCCCGCCCCGGTGTATAACTCAGTCCCGTTGCATTTTTGTTCTTCGTGTTTGGCTGGGGGGCTTTTGTTCGGCTTGCAGACTCGAATTTTGACTCAATCTACAGTGTTGTGTGTGCTGAGAAATTCTCGTTATTCACATTTCATTATGCTTCATCAGTAGTAAAGCACGCTCGATGTTGCAGGGACGCATCCTCGCTTGACCGCTCTTCAACACTCTGATAATAATAACCCTAGCCCTATCAATTGACTTCGTTAATCATGGTCTCAAATGACCAGATCCATGTCTTTCCCAGAGACTAACGAGTAATCTCCAACCATCCAAAAGGCATTTATCAATATGCGTATCGGTATGCCACCGCTAGATCACCTTGAAGTCCTTCTTCCTCCTCCAACAAACTCGGTTGGCCGTTGCCATGGGCCATGGACCGCTCCCGTCGTTTGTTCGCAGTCCAGATAGCTATGAGATAGAGAACGCAGCAGGCAGCCGAAAAGCACTGGAAGGACAGGCCGATGATATATCCATTACGAAAAAGAGGTGCATCTTTCGCTAGAAATGCGTATGTGGAGATAAATCCTCCAACTAGGAGTTACCATTGTCAGCTGCCCGTAAGGCTCTTTGGTCTTGCGGCCTACTGGAACTTATGGTCACTTACTATTCCCAAACCCAACTTGCCATGCTGTTCCTACACTGCGTCGACGATGGCCGCCTAGGTTCATAGCAAACCAGCACACAATCACGGGCATTGCGCTGTACGTGCCGCATGTGACCATGAAAAGAGCACCATACTGGACATTTCTATGAGCCACTCCGTGGACATTCAAGAGGATCCCGTATCCTGCGATAGTGATCATCATAGGAATCAGGGTGAACGCAAACCGATGCTTGAACTTATCAGACAATACTGCAATGGCCATCGAGAAGAAGAAGGCGGCTGCCCATGGCGGGATTGAGTACAACTGCGTCTGAATGGCTAAGTCGTACGTCAGTGCATCGAGTGTAAGCCAGGGAAGTCACCGTCAGCATACCTCCGTAACCATAGGTGTTAATGATTGTTGGTGCAAAGTAGGCATATCCTGGATCTGTCAGCGAAGTACTACCAGCCCAGATGCAGCAGAAATGTGCCGGGGCTCGCTGAAATACGTACCATAGGCCGACACGACTTGACCAAAGTACATGAGTCCGCCGATGAAGATTTTATCTAAACCTGATCAGCCTCCGTAGAGACCTGTTATATGCACGCTTACAGTCTTTGAACACGTCCAGCACTTCCCGGAAACCGATATGGGCGTCGTGCCCAGCTTTTCCCAGATCTTGGGCTAGCTTTGCCTTGATGTACTTCCGCTCGTCATCGTTGAGCCATTTGACATCCTCTGGAAACCCGGGAATGACAAAATACCATGCGAAGGACACTACGCAAGTAATGACACCTTCGATGATGAAGACCCATCGCCAGCCGTTATAGCCTCGCAGGCCAGCCATCTTTCCGAGACCACTAGCTAACAGACCACCAAAGGCACCGGCAAGGGTGGTCGAGCTGAAGAAGAAACTGAACCGCTTCTGGGCTTCACTTCGTTTATACCACGAACTTAGCAGATAGAAGCCTGAACGCGTGTCACAAGTCAGTACGGCGGTAAGTAGCACGGTGCGGAAGATGATACTTACACCCCGGAAACATGCCTGTTTCAAACATTCCTGATTTTCTTTCGTCAGCCTCGCGGCCAAACTAGTAGCAGAGATGAAAGGCGAGTTACCCAGAAACCAACGCGTGGTTACCAATCCACCCCAGTTCGAAACTAGGCCTTGACAGATCATGACAAGCCCGAAGCCGAACATGCATAGTGACACTACGAAGGGTTAACGACGCAGTCAGCCAATGTCCAAGGCAGCGACTATGTATGTTGCCATATACTCACACCAGACATGCGGATGCAACTTTTTGAGCAGCAGATTGGACGGAATCTCGAACAGCACATATGGCACGAAGAAGATGGTCAATGCAGTGTTGTACTTAGTTCCGGTGACAATGTCGAGATCCTTCTGCAGTCCGAGCACTGCGGCATTACTGATATTTACTCTGAAATGGCCACTGTCAGTGATACAACGGACCTGCATTCCAAGACATGACACACATACCTATCCAGGAACGCCAGCAGGTACAGAACGCACAAGCACGGAACGATGTGCCAATCGATTTTGGCCATTAGCTTGCGCTCGGTCGTGGTAGTAAGCGGAGGAAGGCCCGCGGCGGACGTCTGGATTTGTTCTTCAGTCTTCATCTCGGTGAAATCAGGGGACTGCGAGTCTATAGTGGTGCACGAAGTCGTCAGCATACTGTATGGTTCCGAAAATGCAGGCAGAAGACGTACCCGAAATGCGACCCATCGTGCTTGATTACACTTTCAAGTCTTTGTGATGAGTTGAGAAAGGCTCTATTAGACTGGGGACTGAGGCTATAGTAAAGCTTGGTATTTCAGGAGTGGTGGAGGAAGTCAGAGCTTCGTGAGAGAGGATGTTATGCGCAAGGTTTTCGAGTTATGAAAGATAAGCACATTCACTCAATCACACAAGATAGCAGTGAAGCATAAGTAGGGAAACGAGATCCAGACATGGGATCTTCTTATATTTCATTTACGGAGAGTAAGCAACAGGGAAGAGGGGGGAAAGGCTCGGTATTAGTAGGTAGTAGAAAACTTAGTAGCTACGTAGGAAGTCAGCTCAGCCGTGTTAATACCCGATCAATAGATGTAAGGAGAGCCGATATGCCCAGCCAATCGAGACTTGCACCTTGAAGCCTCAGCTGAAGACTTGTCATTGCAGCCTGACGCGTGTTTCTGCGGGATCCGCACTACCACAGATCGGTCAATGATGAGCCAAGAGAATACAAGCACTGAGTTCAAGATGCACAGCTGTCGTTCATTGGGGATATATCATGGATTAATTTCATGAATCATGGATATGTTGCTAGATGTCTGTATCTCCATGAACCCGAAACTATGTCTTCTTCTCCCCAGGAATCCAGACTCTGGGGACAGTCCGTCAGTCAAACATCAACCGTGTACAGTAGAGTCCAGACTACAAAGAAGTATTCTCTGATCAAACACTTGCAAATGTAGTAAAATGCACTAACCACAACTAGTGAAGTGGGGTGGATTGTTCCGCACTCCCTCGTATCGGGATGACTCGGGCGGGTCCATTCGGCTTTCCCCGCATTCAATGAGGTCTACTAGTGCCGCTAGGGTCTGATTGATTATCGTAACTATCGCTACAACCAGGTCACAACAAGGTGATTAGGCCGTTGCTTATCAATATTATACATGAATCATACATTTGCCCATTTCCAGCGCCTGATAATCTCATCGCCTATGTGCTAGTGACTATCAACTCTAGCGATATGTCAAGGGGATCTGTTGACACATCCATGGTATCTGCTGTAGCACCGGTCGTGCGAGCATATATAAGAAGGGGGAGCCTCATTACAAGTTCAATCAAAGGAGTAATCTCTTCACGGAGATAACGGCAATCATACACATCATGAAGGTGATCCCGCTGATGGTTGGTCCTCGACAGCTTTGCCCCACGCCGTCTCAAAGGTTGTATCGTCAGCCACTGTCAGCCCCGAGATCGACTGAACCGCCAGGCCCTCAATGTCCTCAGTATCCACCATAATTGGGCCAGAGGAGGAAGAGGGGGAGGGAGTATCGGAGGTTGCTTCTAGCGGCACTCTCGTGGATTGCTTGTTCGGATTAGACTCGAGCAATTCAGAGTTGAAGTTGGAGCTATAAACAACAGCTGCAAAAGCTTCCAACTCTCGAACTCCTTGCTCCATGGCATTTAGGTATAAGTTGGGAGGGGCGGTGCCATTACTGATCACATGGGCTTGTCGAGCCATTACGGCCAACACATTTGCTAGCTTGGTCTTCTGTTCCGAGCTAGCCCACCCAGGAACGACCGTAGCAACAGATGTAACCGACTGAGGGGCGGGCGTTTGCGATGACTTAAAAGCTTCTGCTGTGCATTGCTGAACCAGGGTCTCAAAGCACTCGTTGTTGAGAAGTAACACAACGCGGGTGAATGTTGGAGATTCGATAAGGTCGGCTGTCTCGTCCAGGAGGTGCCGCAGCGTTGTGATGGTTTGAGGTGTCGAAGGTTCCGTTACTCCTAAGACACCGGACTCCTCCAACAAGTGATCTTCTTCCTCTCTTGGGGGAAGCAGATAGGATAGCCAATTTCGGCATCTATCGCTTAATTAGTAACATGCCAACGAACAAAGGGTAGGACTGACAACACTTACTTCCGATCCTCCTCGGTATTCCCTTCGACCTTCCTTCGCACTTGCAGTGTAAGCTCTGCCAGCTTTCCTCGAGAGATATCCTCTCTGGGGTTGTAAGACCCGAACACTTCCGTCACGGCAGTCCGCACCTCCTCCATCAATTGTTTCCAGCCGCGGTGAAGAAGCCACCAACTGAAAGCCAGATAGCGCCGGTTGGTTTCAAAGTCGTTGCCCAGGGTCTGCGTCAGATCGTCGTCATCATGGTCTTCAAGTCTGATTGTAGATGCATTGGCTGGGGGTGTGGCCATAGAAATCACACTAGACAGATAGTTTCGACGGCCAAGAAGGTTGAGTTGAATTCGGGTGAAAATGGTTAGCAAGGATAGGGTATAGATCAGCGTGAAAGACCTAGTAATAGCTACCATGACGCTGTCAGCTTTCAAAATCGACCGGACTCTTGAATCGAGGCAACTCACAGGTGATTTTAACCTCATTCCAGAGCTGGGTCTTGTTTCGCTTTGGCGACGGCAACGGTCCCCCTCCTTCGAGTGTAGATTCTCCCATTTGACTCGCACGAACGAAGCCATCACTCTGGAAGCTAGAGAGACTCCGGCGATCATCCTCTGTGATACTCGGAGAAATTGAGCTCAAATCAGAACCTGTTCCTTCAGCCGTGCCGAGGCGAGCCAAGCGCTCCGCGCGCTTCTTTTGCAGCTCCTTCGTCAATTCCTCGACCGGCAATGCCTCCAGTATATCCTCAGCTGCAGTGGGCAGAAGTGCTAGAACCGTGTAGGTACAATCGGTCTGGTTCTGTTCGAAGCGTCTCCGTAGGCTAAAACGAGGCATGGCTTGTCAGCGACCGCTTCAGAGCAGACGAGCACATCGCATGACGGCCCGAGCTATAGACTAGTAAAGAGAATCACGTACTTCTCACGAGCAACACGGTCACTCCCCATACGCTCTCTTGCCTCAGAGATTTTGCCCAACAGATACTGACCGGCGAGATAGCCAGCTCCGATCACGCCAGCTCCAATCGCGAGGCCCTTGCGATTCCGCCGGAACCAGCGCTTAGTGGCACTGATCATGGTGGAGCGATAACGGGGATTGTCAACAGGCGAAGTGGGATTTGATCATAATATGGTAGAAATGAACGTTGACTGAGATAAACGGTTGAAGAGGGTCGGATGAAGAGGAGATAAGAGTGAAGGAACAAGAAGGCAAGAAAATGTGACAGGGAAAGCGACCGGGGTTGGAGAAGGAATACCTACACGGTCGGCGAGCGAGTGGAGGGAGGGAGGACAATCCGGCCTCGGCTAAACAAGGTCGGGTGTATGATAACAGCTTGTGCCGTGATTGATCTTCATGGAGGTGGGACTCGTGTCTATTGGAGTCTTCGTTAGGTTAGAGACATCTACGGAGTACTCCTACGGATAAATACCAAGCATAATAGGGTCTACTGAGTACAGTAGCCGACAAGCCTCCAAAAGTTGCATCATCGCTGCTGCATCCTCATCCGGCCTCAGATTCAGTGCCTGAACGGTCAGGCTGTTAATTGTTCTGTACCGTACAGCTGCCTAGATCGATGTGACAAACGCACATCAGTTGCAACCTTTACATGTAATTTGACTCAGAGGCAGTATCCCAAAGGATAAGTCAGACTTTGAGAGACTGAAAGAGGGACCATATAAGGATGATAAGAGCAAGAGCAAGAGCAAAAGAGAGAGAGAGAGACATAGAACGAGATTGATTAACATTGATAATTAATTACATCGTATTACATACAAAGGATGACTGGATCGACCGGGTAACTTTCCCATTATCTCCTCCTCCTCCTCTTCCCCCTCCTCCTCCACTCTTTCATTGCACCCATACATCTTCTTACTCCTCTTCCAACTCCTCCCCCTTTCTTCTCTCGTCTCGTTCATCCTCCATGACATTTCCGTACATACACACACTCAGTCTACCTCGCTACTGGCAGAACATGCACCCTTCATGAATCTTGCTCTATGTAAGAACTCTCCGACGATCATAAGACCCGACAGACAGCGTCATCGCCTCGGCGGCCTTGCACTCTCGACTGTGTTGCACAACACAAACACAGAGCAGACAGTATCTCATCTTTGATAGTTGGAGAGCAGTACTTGAAGCGACATCCTCTAGATTGGGCGAGCACAGCACCTCCCCCGCGTCCGTAACCCTTTCGGCCCCGGAACGAACCCCCAGGGAAGATGGAGCCCCGCAGAACACCCCCGGAGTACTTCCTCGAGATTTTCGCCGACACCACCACCGTCAGAGATGTCTTAAAAGGTTAGTTCCAGATATACCATCGCTCAGATGAATCAAGAAAAGTGCAAGGCCTCAAATCTCTTACCAACAACCCCTTAAACATAGGCATCCTCAATCTAATCTTCTTCCACCGATACTTCCCCTCCATCCGGCCCAGTACCTTCGATGTTCTAGACCTTACCCTCCCTGCGATCGACGACGTCGACCTCGAGACCCTCATCGATTCACGCATCAGCTCCCTCGTTCGCCAACATTCGGCAACCAGCGGCGCCCACGAAGGCAGTGGTGGCAGTGGGGGGTCCGGCGTACGCGGCCGTATCGCAGTGGAATTCTACGAAAAGCGACGCCGCCGCTCCGGAATCTGGTTCGGTGGCCTAGCCGGCAAAGGCGAGGAGGAAGTATGTTGGGAGGTCTGGACTCTAGATGTGACTATCGCCACGCCACGGACTGAATCTGGTAAGTATGGCATACGCAACACAATCTAGCACAATCGAACCTCTGTCGATATACGAAGAGCTTGTGGATCAGCGTTCCCGGAAATGGGCGTTCTTCTCCTCACCCTTCCTTTCGCCCACATCGGGCCTCTCCTTCTAATCTTAAATACCGAGCATGGAAGAGCATGGATTTCCCAACTGACCATTCAATTTGAACTAGAACGAGCCAAGGTCCGCAAAGCAATGGAGAATATGCTCCAGAAAGCCGCGCTGAAGATTCTTGCCCACGTCAATCGCGATAAGGATCATATCCCACCTATTACCACCAGCGACTCCAACCCGTTCCCTTATCGCATTGTTCTCAACCCGCGTACCGATGGGTGGCAGAACCGATTTGGACTGTACTGATCAAAGAAGAGGAACCAGAAGAAGCTCACTTCTATCTTCTCTGCATTTATTCTCTTTCCGCATTGGCATCAGCTGGGCTACAGATACCCAGGGTTAATTTTCTCTTATTATCCTCTATCCGTTCATCGTCCTAGGGGCCGTTCGGCATCTCGTTGCGCTCGAACTCTTGGGCCGTGGGCGGAGTTTGAGCATCACTCGATTCACTTGGTTCATGTTGTGTCATTATCTCGCAGTGGAGCGACATAGACTTCCTGCGCATGTATTATAATTCTTTAGCATCATGTTCCTGCGAGCTGCTTTAACTCGCGATTTTGTAGCACATGTCATGTACTCGTGAGAAGGTATCAATCGAAGACGCAATCAACAGTGCTCAAATTACCGAGAGACATAATGCATCCAGTATACCTAGCTAGATCATCCACTGCGGCACGGAACACAATCTCCAACTGGTCCCGCCCGTATCATATCCGTCCATCCATCATCCGTCATCCATCAATCGATCAATCACATCCATAAAACGTTCTACTACCCAAGCGATTCATGACAAAACAAGATTAACATGACAAGCATCGGCCCAGCCCACTCTCCAACTTTTTCCATTTCCATAGGAACCCTAGAAAAAGCTCCATGTGATGACCTCAGCCGCTTTCAATCTTTATTCAATCCAGTTCCAGAGAACGTAAATTGTCCATTTAACAAGAAGATTTCAGATCCAACACTCCGCCGGCTGGTCCGTTTTTCGGGCGCCTCCACTTACCGAGTATCATGGAGTCTGATCTGCATGGCTGAGGAAGTGCAGATCGGCCCCAGAACTGCTCGACTTTCTAAAGTCTATTTACTGCGACTTCGTGGCAGCATCGGCCTGGGCACGGAGGTTCGCAGAAGTGGAACCACCCTGGAAGAAGCGGCCGAGCACGGGCTGGATGAAAGAGTGGAAGACGATTTGAGCACCGCTAGAGCAGGTTATCAAAGTCAGCCAGGCCGTACTACTAACAATGACACAACACACGATGATTTGTGGTGACTTACTTAGTCTGGGGCAGAGCCATCCAGAGGACAAGGGCGAACTTGAAGATGTAGTAGAAGGCTATTTTGCGCGCGTTAGTCTTTCGATGCCTCAACCATGGAGCACAACCGGCGGCGATCGGCGGATACGTACGGAACCAGTAGGGAGCACTGATGGCGCTCTCAATAACGGTGAAGAAGGCATAAACAACCCAGTACTACCAGAACGATCACAAATCAATAACTGCTGACGAACAGAAGTCACGTGCTACAGGGTCGGCGGTCGGCGTTGAGAAGCATCACATCTCAGCCGATCCCGCCTGAGCTCGATGAGAAAACGCGATCACGAGAACATACCGTCAACCACTGCAGGTAGAAAGATTGGCAGGTTAGCATTTGCGCTCGATTGTGTTCTTGCAAACGGGGTTTGTAGTACGAACCTGCGTGTCATCGGCCTTGCCGGCCGAGAAGAGGGCGTTCAAGGAGTAGTAGCCAGGGATAACGAAACCGGCGAGGTTGACGAGAAATTCACCCGCAATGTTGAAGAAGACAAGGAAGGTGTAGATACCGACCAAGCCAAGGATCACGTAGACCTTGGGGACAGAGGACTGACGCTCAAGGTTGTTGAGGAGGGGGTACTTGGAGAGCTGGAGCGAAATTCCCACAAAAAGGGAAGATTGTTAGCTTCAAAAACAGAAACAAGGGAGGAGCTTCGTCCATCAAAGCACAAGAGCAAACAGCAGCCATGCAAATCAGAGCTGGAGAACTATCCAGATGGCGCCTTTCGCTGCAACACGCTACACTAGCAAGCCAACACCAATGCACACACGACACTTACCTCCTTGTCGAGCTGGGCAATGGCGTGCTGAGCACGATCCTGGAAGGAGGCCATATTTAAGAAGGGTTGGCGAAGCTAATTTGAACGACTAAGATTAGATCGGATTGTAAAGATGGTTCGAGATTGGGGGTTTGGGGGAGAGGGAATGCGAACAGGGGTGGTAAGAGAAGAATGGGATTCGTTATCAGTTGAGTTGTTTTTGAGAGGGAGTTTGGAAGAGAGGAAAGAAGAGGTGAGATTCAAAAGGACGTGCTGGCATTCGGGGCTGCCCCAATGACGGTGCGTCAGATCACGTGATTTGACATGACGTCGAGGGCTTCTGGTCCCAGATGACGTGGGGGAGAGCTCGCTCAAACCTTGATCTACATATTATCAACGATTGACAGCTCTCGAACCTAACAGCTAACCTGCCTCTTTTACAATGAAATGGGTTATCTTCTCGCTATACTACTCCAAAGCTTGTCAGCCGATGCGGTAGTCATACTGTACAGTACAGTAACCCGATAATCAACAAATATGCCCCGTGTGTACTGTACTGTAAGTCGTTCAATACACTTGACCAGTCAAAGTCAATCTGCATCCATGATCTCTATAAGTTAAAGCTCCCATCCAGAAGACAATCCAATAGTCTCATCCCACGCATCAGACTCTGTTACATCCCCAGTGTTCCCAGCCACCGCATTGTCGGTGCTGCAGTTGAGGCCAGCTTGCATTTCAAACCCCAAATCGAACAAACCCGAAGAGCACCGACCGATTAAGGCCCGCATTAGTACCAAGCTAAATCAATCCCTGAAGAAAAGGCGAATCTGGACCAGTCTCCAGGGATGCATGTACCGTAGGCTCGAAGCTAGATAGACAACGAGAAAAATTTGAGAGTTTTCAATTGGAGGTAGCCTTAATATTGAACTAATCTCCTACAATTGCTTCGCGGCATGACTTCCCCCGAAACCACACTGTCAGACAACAACTCATACATTACAAAGGACTACATCGACGATAGCTAAATCACAAAATGATCGAGAATCCAAATTACACTCGGGGTCATCATCCTCCGAGAGACACGTGGACTAACCACACTTGACTCCCCCCAGCACCAGCTCCATGGCCGGAGCAGAAGGCGGCACACAGAAACTTGCAGGAGGGAGGACAAGGAGTTGAAGAGAAACGAGAATGAACATTTCTTCAATCGGGTCCGGTCAATCCAGACATCCATGGGAGCAGATAGGGGTTTGTAGAGAAAAAGGTATGAATTTCCTGTCAGTGTGGGTGACCGCGGGAAATGAAATGAGAAAAAATCAGGAATCGCTCGTCTTCAAGCTAGAATAGAGCATTGCGCCATCGACCCTCGTCCTTCCCCAGCCACCAAAGTCATGTAACGCCATTCAGGGAGCCAAATATCGGAAGAGGGCATGTCAAGAAACACAGAATGAAGAAAATAATGAGAATCAAAACAGTATAGAAGGTAATGTGCAATTAAGCAAAGGTTTTGCAAAACGTTAAACATGACGGACCTCGGCCCACTATATCTGCAAGGCGTCTATTAGCGGTTCATTCATCCTCATTCATCCCACTGCCACCACTCGGTCCCATGCTGTCCCGGTTACCACTGTTAAATGTCAACTTCAGTTTGGGCGTTGCAACAGGACCGGGAGTGTCGGTGCCGGAGGCAGCGGCGGGCTGATCATTGCTGCCCAGATCGTCGTAGTTGGCAAACTGGGGATAAGGCTCTGTTTCTCTTTTGAGTTCGGAAAGACATTTGGCCTGGGTGATATTAGTACTAGTTCATATTGAGCAAACCGTCGTCTTGAGAAGTGTCTTACCTCAATGTCGTTAGCATCCTGGAACAGGATGCTGCCGTCCTCATTGTAAGTCCGGGCATTCTGACACAAAAGGTGGATGTCATTCCGGAAGTCCTTCAAATTCTGATACTCCTCGCGGTTTATCTTCTTTTTGATCATTTCCATGGCAATCGGGTTCTGGATGATCATGTAATAGTCGGGATACTGCGACTTGGGCGGCGGCTTCATGAATGGCTCGATAATGGACCGAGTCACAGGCCCGTCCTCGCTGTCAGAAGAATCGGCCGGCAACTCCTGTTCCATATCCATCAACGCCTGATAAACGTTGTTGACAATGCGCTGCAGGATGGTCCGGTCCTCGCTGCTCAAAGTTTCAACTGGTTTGGCTTGTCTTCCTCTCTTCCGTTTAGGCTGAGGAGCTTCTTCTACCACCTCCTCTGCCTTACGCTTGGGAGCAGGACCACGGCGCCGTTTCTTGGGTTGAGGAGCTTCGGAGCTCTCCCGAGAAGGTTCCGGCGAAGAGTCGACACCGGCCTTCCGGTTGCGCTTTTCCTTGTTAATGCGACGGCGCTCAACTCTAGCCTCCTTTCTGGCGATTGCATCCTCAATAGTATCGTCATCAGCGTCCACAGCCATAAGCCATTGTTCTTCCGTAAGGCCATCATCGTAGCGGGTCACCTTGCGCTCACGGGCACCTCGGCCACCCAAGTCAACCTCAACTTCTTCTGTGACCGGGTTTTCTTCCGTCAAATAGATATCTGGCAGTTCTTCTTCGCACATGAGACGAGGATACTTGTGGCCAGGGCCGTATGGGGAGTTCTTTTGCCGCTCTTTGTCGATGCGCTGAAATGTGATCAGTTCGTCGTCAGATCGTGCCATAATATCGTTCAGATCGTCATCGTCCATCTCTTCCTGGTCACCGATTTGGTCGGCGGCCTCAGCCGATTCGAGCAGTGTGCGCAAGAGCGCATCTCGTTCCTCATTGGTGGACTTGTTATCAAACTTTCCGGCTTGAATGACCTTGCCGTCCATGTCAAGCTTGAACTGTGCACGTTCTAGAATCTTTTCTTCCACGGAATTGGAGCTGATGAGACGCAAGATACGAACTTCATTCTTTTGACCGATACGGTGAGCGCGATCCTGGGCTTGCAAGTCTTGATGGGGGTTCCAATCGGAATCGAAAATGATGACTGTATCAGCGGTTTGAAGATTGAGACCTAAGCCACCCGCACGTGTCGAGAGCAAAAAGCAGAAATATTCGGAATCTGGGGCATTGAACTTCTTCAGCAGGTCCGAACGGTCATCAGACTTGGTAGAACCATCAAGACGAAGATAATTCAGACCGCGGAGGCGCAAGAAATCTTCCATAATGTTCATGATTTGAGTCATCTGGAAGAACATCAGGACGCGGTGACCAGTGGCACGGAACTTGGGTAAGATTCTGTCCAAAAGTTCGAATTTACCAGCCGTACGCCAGAGCAGATCGTTGGTCCCGCGTCCAGGGTTCATCTGGTCCTCGACTGGTTCGAAAACGAAAGGATGGTTACAAAGCTTTCTCAGCTGCATCAACATGTTGCTGAGACCACGCATGCCAGTCTTACCACCCTTACCGTCACTCACGGCCATCTTGTTGTGGGTCACAAGCTGTCTATAGAGCTTGGCTTGCAGGGCGGAGAATCGACACTTGATGACTCTTTCTTGCTTGTCAGGGAGATCCTTCTCGACATCCTTCTTGAGACGTCGGAGCAGGAAAGGTCGGAGAACCTTGTGCAAACGACGAATAACCAGCAGCTGTTCTTCTTCGCTCAACTCCATGCGATCTTGTCCACCCGTGTTGGCGAATGGTGTGTTGAACCATTCGTCGAACGATTTCACAGATTTGAAAATGTTCGGCAAGACGAAATTCAGCAAAGCCCAGAGTTCGGGGAGATTGTTTTGCAGTGGGGTACCGGTAAGAATTAGACGATACCGGCTGGTGTAGTATTGCGACAAAGTACTGCTCAACTTGGACTGTGTATTCTTCATACGATGACCTTCATCGACGATCATATGAGTCCACTTGATCTTGCTCAGGATCGGGCGATCCTTGATGATGTATTCGTAGGTGGTCAAAAGGACTTGAAAGTTGCCCCAGCGAATTTGTTGTTGCTGCTGCTTGCGCGCATTGGGAGGACCCTTGTAAACAACTCTAGAAACAGAAGGCGCCCATTTCTCAAACTCCAGGTTCCAGTTGGTCAGGGTACTCAGAGGAACAATAACGAGGAAAGGCCCGTTATTCTTCTTCCTTTCAATGATGTAGGTGATCAGACTGATAGTCTGGATAGTCTTTCCAAGACCCATCTCATCTGCCAGAATACCGTTGAGGTTGTTGTTATACAATGAAATCATCCACTGCAGACCCTTCATCTGGTACTCTTTGAGGGTACCGCCAACAAGGATGCTTGGCTGAACAGTAACTTCCTCCTTGATACGATGAGCAACGGCATAGTAGTCGATTTTCTTTCTGCCATCACCCTCGTCTTCGCTTCCGGAAGCGATTTCTTCCTCCTCTTCCTCCTCTTCAAAGAACTGATCCTCTTCACCATAACGCTCGGCAAGGCTGCGCTGCTGCTCTCGCACGGAGGCAGCAAGCTGTTTTAGGAAGTTGTCGGTTTGTTTCAGGAGGTGAGAGATACGAGAATCCTTGGCCTGTCCGAGCAGTTTCAAGTACGTCTCCTCATCGTTGGCCTTCAAGGCCTGGAGACGTTGCTTGGCAGTACGTTCGACACGTCTCTGCTCTTCGCGCTCCATATGTTGATGGTGTTGAAGCATCATGCGACCCAACTTTTGCATACGAGTACGCTGCTGAGCAGCGGCAGTCTGGAGCTCCTGACCATGGTTGAGAATAGCTTGAAGATGATCGGTTTGTTTGCGCCTTTCTCTGGTCTCGCGCGCATCGCGTTGTTGCTTTTCCAACTTCTCCGTGATGCGGGCCTCACGCAAGTTCTGCTTCTTCATCCGGCGATGACTTGATCGGTTCGCTGTCATGCCCAGGTTGTCGAAATGGAACATCTCGTTTTGCATCTGCTTGCGAAGAATTTTCTGTTTGGGAAGCAGGTTGAGCATCTTATATTCAATCAAAGCTTTCAGCTTCAGGGAGTCGTCGCCCGTGGCAGTATCGCTCTGACTCGAGTCCCACACGCCAAGATTGGCCGGCAGCTCGGCCAACTCAGCCTTCCGCGCGTTGATCCTATTATAGAGTGCAAGTTCTCTTTCTTCGCGCACTTGATCCATATCGATACCAGCAGGTATCAAAGCGGGAATGCGCATGCGATTAGCACGAGAGGCATGATCAGTGAACCCGATAGTCTTAGGTATCAGATCGTATGGCGACTGAAAGCTTTGATAGAAGTCTTTCAGCTGAGCCTCTTCTTCCACGCTGGTGGGTTGCTCGGGCTTCCCTTGAGCTGCGTTGTCCAAAACGTTCTCGGCGGTAGCAACGGCATCTGCGGGTGCCGGGGTCTGCGCCTTTTTAGCTGGGAAGAGTTGTTGCTGAACCCGAGCCGGAATCGGAAGGTTCTTTGAAAGCATTTTGAAGGCCAAGATCTGGTTTCGAAGGATCGACAGTTGCTCGGGAGAGAAGCTACCGCTGGCAGCGGGCACGCCTTTTTGAGGAGGGACCTGACCTGAAGGCTGCTGACCTCCAGACATAACAGAAGATCCATCTGGTACGACATTGACGGGAGCTGCGGCGGAGTTAGTGCGGCCTGTGTATATCAGCGTTAGCGGAAAAGCTACCCAATGCAGACGCGAGTCAGATTTAAAAAACCGTACCATTAACGCCATTGGCAGTGGCGGTGGCTTCTGGGGCCACACCATTGAGCTGCTGCTGACGTTGTTGCGCTTGAAGCTGCTGCTGCTGCTGAGCAAACCTCTGCTTCTGGTAAACTTGTTGCCGTTGGACTGCTGAAAGCAGATTGTGGGCCTTTAGGTACTCGGGATCGTCATGGCGCACGCCTTGTTCTTGCATCTGCTTATATTTCTTTGGGGAGAGTAAGAGTCAAATCATAGCAAAAGGTGAGGGCAAAGGATTAGTACGTGTCAGGGTGGTCTGGAGAGGTGAAAGAGAGACAAGGGCGAAATTGAGGAGGACGCACCACCAGTACTTCTTGGATGTGTTGCTGCGTCAAGTTAGGCGGCAGACTCATGTTTCCAGCCGCCATATTGGGTGCTGACTGGAGAGAGGCCATGCTCTAGCGCGTGGTTATGTTATTCATAAGCAACGCAGGAGACACGGGGGCACCTGGGTTGCGACAGTGCACAGTGGGAACGCTGAGGAAAACACGTGGAGAATTGAGAGCGGCGACGGTAAATGAGAGATCGCGCGAAGGGAACAATGACAGGCGCTCAGTTCCAGAAGTGAATGGATAGGGATGCCTCTTTGTTGATGGATGCGACAGGTAGCGGCCTGTATCTGGACCTTGGCGACAGGTTTCGTGATGTTTAGACCGAACCGGGGGAGGTACAGGGCGGTAGGCGACAGACAGGAGAATCAGTAAGTAGAGAGAAAGGGGGGTCTAACGCGAAGAAAAAAGTGTAAAAATGACCCCAAAGGGGGGGCCGGGGGTGAGAATGGCGCGTGGAAGGCCAGTCTGGATGAAATGGAGATGGAGGGGACGGGGCTTTCGCGACTTTCCGTGCTCGTCGGGGAAACTGGCGGTGCTCTCAGCCTGTGCCTGTAACGAGGAGAGGGTAGGCGGCGAGACGTTGGAAGAAGATTTCGTGCCGTGTCACGTGTTTAGCGCTGGACGGAGCGGGCTGACTCAGCGAATGGGCAGTCTCCGTGGTTGAACTAGTACTTTTGCGGAACCAGGGCCGGGTTTGGACTAGCGGGGAAAGCTTTCCCGTCTTTCCAGCCTCGGCCGAGGGGGTGCGGTGCTGATCTTGTGTAGTTATGCCCAAGTCTGGCACAGTACAGACGGTGAAGTGAAGTACCCTAGCTGCACCATGCTATATCTGCCATTTACTGCTACTCCTAATATCTTGCTCTTTTCACCGTGCGGCGATAAATGTCCTCTTTGTTCACAAGTTGAGAAAAAGAAATAAACAGAAACAGAAAGACTTCAAAAACGCAGTACCCTATGTTAAGATGGCAGTCATTAAGCCAACAATACCAGGCGAAATAATGCTACATAACCTGTTCCCTGTACAGGCCACAATACTCACAGCTCGTTGCGTCCCCATTTATAGAAGATGCATCATCGAGGGAGAGAAGATGATTCTCTCATCCATGATCACCAGCAACATAAGATCGGACTCGTAAGGACTGCAGCAACGTAGGGTCGCCAGCAACCCACACCACAAATAACCATTCAAACGACCTTAGACGCGAGGAATTGCAATACAGACTAACCCATGCGGATAGGTTTAAAGCCTACGCGTCGCCTCCAATGGGGATGACTCGCTTCATAGGAGGTGGGGGAGGGGCAGGCTTCTTGGCGCGGGGGGGCGGAGGAGGGGGCGCCTTCTTCTGCAGTGAAGCGCTGTTGAGCGTGGTTGAGCTTGATCGCCTCGAAATCACGTTGCCGTAGGAAGGCGCAGGCGATTCGTTGCGTCCCATGTAAGTTCGATCCGGGCTCGTACCACTATGTGGGCTACCATCCTCGGACGGTTCCATGTAAGGGTCAGCATATGCTCTACCGGCAGACCGGCTTTGGATGCTGTTTCGGCGGCCAATATAGTTTTCGCTGGCTGACCGGGATGGCCATTGATAAGGGCTGGAGTTCGAATCCTGGCGCAATTGTGTAGGACCCTCGAAAGTAGAGGTCCGGCTCAGAACAGGCCGGTTTGAGAAAGCATCAGGCGGATAGACCTCCCTGCCAGTCGGCTCAATCGATGTAGCCCTGGTGGAACGAATAATCGGCCGGGGATCCGCAGCAGTATGGTCCTCTTCATGCAACGGTTCGTAGCGGTCTGCGAAAGAGTGTGCAGTATTGGAGCGGGGGCGACCTGGCCGACGGCCATTTGGGGTCTGGGAAAGAGGTTGTCTACCCACGTGTTAGTGACCTGGGCCCTGTAGAAGCTAGGATTAATAGGAGCAGCTCACCTGCCGGGCCATTCGCTCTTGAGCTGGAGCAGCACTTCCTGGCATTTCGCGTGGTAGCTAAGTTGGGCGTCCAAGAACGCCTCCAAGGTCATCACGCCCTCGGCTTCCGAGTCCTTGATGTCCTGCATTCTCCGGCAGACATCATCGTTGGCTTCTTCGTATTTGACCTTCTGGGTCCGCAACTCTTCCTCGACACGGAAGTCTTCCCTCTTGGCCTTCTCCATCTTCGAGAGAGATGTGTCATAGGCCAGGCGACGACCGTCGAGCTTCTTGCGGGCAGTCTGAATTTCTCATTAGCACGCTGCACCAAAATGGTCAAAACGGCGCGTCTAGTTACCTGATAGTCTTTCAGCTGGGTCAAAGAATGCTCCAAAGACTCCAACAGCCCTGCATTCACCTGAGAGATATAGGCCTCCTGAAGGCGAGCCAGGCGCTCCTCCGCTCTACCAAGCACTGTCAAAGAAAAGCATTATGAGCATATAGAGTTACCCCATAGTAGAAGGACTGACATACTGATCATAGAACGGCCATACTCAGAGTTCGCGTCGAAGTCTTCACCATGTCCAACCATGCTGCTACCCAAGTGGGCGATTGGCAGCGTCTTTTCCTTGTCCTCGCCTTCGCTGCGCTTCGAAACGGACTTGATGTACGCAGCGGTTGCCTTGTGAATGCGATCAACACCTGGTGCAGAAGCGAGGCGTCAACAGAGAGCATATCAGTAAGCCTGGAGGAATAACCTACCATCATGGCGCACATTCATTTCTGTCTCCATGGCTTTGAAGTCATCCGACAGATTAGTCTTGACTTCACCTCCCATTCTCTCACCAGCCCATTGCTTAAACCGATCGAACTTCCGGTTGACGTTCATTTTGGTGGATTTAAATGTATAACGAATGTAGCGATTAGAGCGAGTGTTCCCAGGGTCCGAGAGCGGATGGTGGTTCGTAGAGATCGAGCCGAGCCGATTCGGTAATGGTGAAATGGGTGTTTAGGAAAAGCAAGATTGCTTGGAATCAGATGTAAATAGAGAATCACAGTGCTAGAGCAAGCACGGGTATTGACAAGAGTAAAAACAAGGAAGAAAAAAAGAAGAAAAAAACAAGGGAAGAAAAAGCGCCACGGCCAGGAGGCGAATATGTGAAGAAACAGAGGAGTAGATCAAAAAAGAAAGAGAGCTTTGTTTGCGACAAGCGGGGGTGAGGGAGGAAGAAGAGGAAGCGGAAGAAGATGTAAAGTGAAAGTGCAGTCTGGAGAAGAAGTGGGAGGTTGGAAAGGGGAGATTTTCTGGACCTTGAGGTCAATCGATTATTTTTATTAAAAGAAAATTAGACTAACTAGTACTATGGTACTAACTACGGAGTAAAGTAACTAGGTAACTGATTAAGCTGATTTAACTTGACTTAACTTTGACTTGACAGTGTGTTCATCAAGGAATGACAGACAGCAACTCTTCCATCCCCGATACCAATCGCAAGCGGCCGATAGAACGACTGGAGCAGGTCGGTAGGACTGAAAGCGCCACATTGCCTCTTGGTTTCCTAGCCAATTCAACACACCCCACACAAGTCTGGTGAATTCTGCTGGACAAGCGCGGCGTGAGATGAGGGGCCAGGATTCGAGTTCCAAGTCCATAACCACACACAATGTCGAAAGAGTAAAAAAGAAGTTCAGTCGTCTGACGGTCTGAGTGGTTCCTTGCGATTCTTCCTTGTAGCCATTTCTCCTGAACCCTGAAAGTGCATTTCAATGTACGTTACTCCGTACAGTACATACGATTCGATCGAGAATGGACTTGATGGAGCCGGTGGAGGCGGGGCCAGAACGCCAGGCGTTTGTTTGAGACTTTTGAGGTGTACCTGAAACTCAGGAGTAGTTCCAGTCCAGTCTTTCCTCCCTCTCATACTCGTACCATTCAATCCATCGATCATCTATTGTCAGACCTCTCTCAACCTTCCATGGCTTCTGCAACCTTGGGTTGCCCCTTTGGTGCACTCCACTGGCAGTTAGACAAGTTGGCAGTCAGAATAGGCGGGAACAAGGTAAAAACAGCGAGTGACACGCGTTGGTGGGCCATTCAGGTGGAGATACACTCCCCGCCAGAAAAACCTGGATTAGCCGCGACTCGCTTTGCCACCAGCTCGAACAGTCAGTCAAAACGAAGTTCTATTTCCGGAACACAAAGGTGGAGCGGGGAGGTGCTTTCTCTGTTACGAGATATGGAACAGTGATGAGCAAATGTTTGGGATTTGACTTCGCAAGATGTGCCAGTTATGCAAAACGCGCATTGGTCGTCAGCAGCAGATCTCTCTCCATAAGTTATCTTTGTATCTCTGCAGTACCAGACCGGTGGCGAGGATGGAACAACCACTTACAGAACGATCCAAGGTGAGTCCAGTGCACAATGGGCAAGTTAGTAGAAAGGACAATGTATAGATTATTTTCGAATGTACTCCGTACAAACGCTAGCGCTTGCGTAATCCGGACTCCGGACCCATCTTCATAATGGGTGCCCTTGCGGGTAGATACGAATGGAAAAGAAAATGCTACTCTGGTATCTCCTATACCCCTACTATTACGGCGTGCACAGCATGTCAGTTGCTGATCATGATGCAAGATGCGGCCAATGCATCTGGAAGCATTTATTGGAGACATATAGCTGATCCTCATCAGAGCCGGGGGCATTTCTCATTCTCCGTACTGTGTAATCCGACAGATGTCGACTTGGTGCAACGGTCTACTGCGACTTGTGCAAGTAACTGCGCAAACTCCTTACCCGTTGCGGAGCTCTTCACACTCCTGGTGCATTCGTAGTTCTAGAAGTGAGCATGCACTGTTCGTTTGGTCGATTTTATGTTTACTTATTTGGAAGCCTTTGTGAGTCTTCGGCCCCATCTACCTCATACTGGGGAACTGGCTTGTCGAGAGAAAGTGGTGCGATAGTTGGTAATTTCGAGATGGGCATCGTGTATGATACACAGAAAATGTATTAGCTTCCCCTCTGCGGTACTCTGAAGCAGTCCCTGCTCCTGCACCACGAAAAAAAAACTGTCAGTCTTCCTCTAAGTACACCCAAGACACAGCTAATCAAGGTAAATGAAGTATACAAGCTCCATTGAAGCGCAGCAGCTATCCACACGGCGACAATGTCCAAAACATAAATCGGGAAAAGGTCACCCTCCAGTACATGATTTACAAAGACTCCCGTGATATCCCACCAGACACATGCAATGATACCTCAAAGAATAAAAAACAAAACAGTCATCTAATGTCAGCAGCAGCGGGATGCAATGGGTCAATTCCATGCCAAGCATGCAGTTCATCCAGTGGCTGCACCTCCTGCATAGAAACGAAACCAGCCTCAGCGGCAATTAATGCATCAAAATCATTCCACGGTGGGACCAGTTCTTCCTCGACCCCCTTACCAGCAGCGCTATGACTGATCTCATTGATCTCCAAGCCACCCCGGGCCTGAGGCACTGTTCCTATTTCCGGCGTCCGAGACACCCCGTCGTCATCATTCCTCTTGAACGACAACGGCAAGGACAACCCTGTCACTGTCCTCGGCACCGTTCCCCCACCATCCCCCACCGCCTGTGTCATCTCAACAACATACTGCCCCGGCGTGACGCCCATAACCTTCTTGAAGACGCGATGGAAGTGACTCGACGTGAGCCCAGCCTCAGCCGCAAGAATGCGCAGCGTAGGCTTCGACCCCAACTGGACGGTTGAAGAAATCGTCTGACACGCTCGCTGTACGAGTTGAACCTGGGCACTAGGACTGCACCCATCAGACTGAAGAGATTCAGGCCTGCAGCGCTTGCACGCGCGGAATCCTGCCTTCTGGGCCTGCGAGGGCAGATCGTAGAAGCGCACGTTGGCTCGCCGCGCGAGACGGCCAGGACAGGAGGCGCGACAATAAATCTTGGTAGTCAATACCGCGTAAACAAAAGCGGTAGCAGTGGGATCGCGCTTAACCACAGCCTGCCAGCGCGCGGATGCGCTGGCGAGGGAGGGAGATGGAAGAGGTTGCCGAGGGAGCTGGACGGGCTGAGGCTTTGGGTCCATTCGCAAAGTGTGTTGATGCTCTGAACAGTTTGGGTAGACTATGAGCAAATCTGAAGGATGATGTAGACTGTTGGTAGGTTTTATGTGGTTCTTGAAATACTATCGGTCCTCAGTCTAAATGAATGCTGCAGGTACAGTCCCTCCTTCTCGTGACCCGAGGAAAGGAATCGGTGCTGTGATTGGTCACTTTGAGGGCAAGATGATACGACCTCAGGCTCCAATCTATATAACCTTCAAGATATCAAGGTACAGTATAGCTAGTGGAACACATAACCGGTAAGCGGGCCAGCAACGGTTGCAAGCGAGGTGGCGCCTGTATGTCAAGTTATCTTGCTAACTATATTTACCTGGGAGGCTATTATACACAGCATCTTTCTACAGTGGCCTTTATGGTTTCGAGTATATCTTTTGATGTAGGGCATCTACATGATATACTATGGTCAATCCTGTTATGGATGGGTTTATCTTTGTGCGAGACTCACCCTAGGACTTGATCTGACCTTGATATATATCTTAAAATCCTGTCTCCCGAAACAAATAGTTGCTGAAAAGCGTTGATTATCTCATTTGTGTACCATAGCGGCCAGCCTGCTCATCACACCGTGATAAAACAGGCATCCGAAGTGAACAATGAAGTTTCAAGTGCGATTCTGGGTTCTTGATATGCATACGTGACTCAAGTTGGGAGGCATGTTCATCGACTTTGGTTGCAAATCAACCAGATCCATTCTAACAATTCCCGGGTAGAACCTGTCTATGAGAACATTACCCCGTAATCACAATGCGCACTGAGAGATAGAAGGCCTAGTGCAAATTTAGAGTACAGAGCGCATCTTCCAGAATGCAGCATATCCAAGTGTGAGATCCGTCAGAACAATCCGGTCTACATCGGCTACGCTACAGCGCGACAGACTCGTTCAAGCACATGCACAAGAGTTGAATTTTGAACCCGTTTTTCCTTTTGCTTTGGTCATCATGAAAATATTTGTTGGCCACAACCTAACTTGGCTAGAGACGCATGGGAGATTATCCGCAGTCGCCTAAGTACATATGCCTCATAGCAAAAGAGCATTTTCAACCCGTCACAATAAAAACTCCACACCATAAACCGCTTAGTCCTTGGTCTTCTGGGTACCGCGGAGCAGACCAGTTCTCCGGGCAGCAATAAGACCGGCTTTTTGACCGTGGGCGGCGTAGCGGGAAATGGTCGAAGCCTTACCGATGTGCTGGTGGTTACCACCACCGTGAGGCTGTAGAGAGAAAAGATGTCAGCAACCATGTCTCCTCGCCAGAAATCGACTGCGCGAAAGCAGTTGTAAAATGGGGCCCTTACGTGATCAACGGGGTTCATGGCAACACCACGAGTCTTGGGCCAAGAGTTGCGCTTGACAGCGAACTTGTGCTTGGCACGAGAAGCCTCTGTAGGCAGAAGTTAGTGACCAGTTCTCAGGGTAGTAGTCCTCTTCCGCTCTCCATTTACGCGGCGGAAGTCCCAATTTTGATAAGCCATATTCCAGCGAGGGAGAAACGTACTGAGCAAAGGCTTGTCGGTACGGCCACCACCAGCGACGATACCAACCATACCGCGAGCGGTGTTCTTGATGACCTTCTTGGCACCAGAGGGAAGCTTGACACGGGTCTTGCCCTCCTCAGGGTTGTGTCCAATAACGGTAACGTAGTTACCGGAGGTACGACCAAGAGCACCACGGTCGCCAGCCTTCTCCTCAACGTTGGAGATAACGGTACCCTCAGGAACGGAGGCGAGGGGAAGGATGTTGCCGACAGTCAGGGTAGCGTTCTTTCCGGCGTAGATGAATTGACCGGTGTACATGCCCTCGTTGGCGATGAAGGTCTCGGTAACGTGCTTGAACTTGTAGGGGTGACGGAACTGGACCTTGGCGAGAGGAGCACCACGGCCAGGGTCGTGGATGATCTCCTTCACAACACCACGAGTGTATCCATGACGCTCAGCGTAGTCGAGGACACGGAACTGGGCAGGGGCCTTGTTGAGACGGGTGTTGGCCGCTACAATCGAGAAATTTTTGCATCAGCATTCCGGGATTCTGGCTCTCAGGAGATTTCGAATTTTGAGGATATTGCGGTCGCACTCACTGAAAATGGATCCACGACCCTTCCTCTGGTTGCGGATCACACGACCCATGGCGACTTTCTAGATAGGAACCTGGTGTTAGTATTCAAGAGGAGTCCGCCGGCGACCTGGTGGTGGGAGAGTTCGAGTTCTCGTACCTCAAATCTAAGATGACCTTGTTCGGGTTGGTGTTGAGAATTCGTCGGCGAAGGGCTGTGTGGGCTTTAGGGTGGAAGTCGCTAATCTAACCGTGTCGGGGCTAGCGTGTGTGACTGAGCGGTGGCTGCGACTTTTAACGTGGCGCGGGTCGCTTCCGAGTCTCTGACTAAGCGTACTGGCTGTGGGCTCACCGCCTTTGTGCTCGGTTACCTAAAGGGTTAGTTTAGTTAAGAGGTTAGCCTAATAGCCGGGCATGTTCGATGCAATGCATAACTACCTACGGAGTAAGTAACTAAGTCTGACATTGGACTGACTACTAAGCAGATTGGACCTTTCGAATGTATCACAGCCTGGTGTTCCCCTACTATCACCTATTCTCCCCCTCTCTCCCCTCCTTTTATAAACAGCCTTCCCTCCCCCCAAATGCTGCCAGTCGCTTATCGACTACTTGCGCTACTATTTGTACAGTACTGTATATTATTGTTTCGACACGCTCCGCTCTGAGAACGGCGTCAGCTTTTGACTGAGCAACATGGAACGCAATCAGGTGCAGAATGAGAGACACCGTGCCTGAGTAGCTGATTCGCGTACTCCGTATACTCTGTTCGTCCTCATAAACTGACCGCGCTTGGTAGTACAATGATATTTCCGAATCTCCGATGTCTTTTGAGGTCAACGGGATTGGCCGATGAACATCCTCATCGGTCGCAACAGCCGGAGACCTTCTAGGTCGATGCAACTCAGAAAAGCCCATATTTCTGTCTTGCCTTGATGATGTATCTCGGTGTATAAAACGCCCGTGCGTCTATACCTTTGCCGCCACCTACCAGACGCCGCTTGGTAGTTAGCAGGTTATACCACGAGCGGGGCAGGTCCGTGAGGCTTGCTGGACGCGTCGATACAAACCTATTCATGCAAGGGCACTCTGCCAGATACGACTCAGTACCAAGACAGGATATCTATCAAGTGTCCTCTGTCTGGTCGGTGATCCTCTTTGATAGCACAGTGTTTGCACGAAGATCATCTCCTACCGCTGGCAATCTCGTCACCTCTATTTCTGGGCCATGTCGATGATGCTGTGCAAGTATATGCTCAATCCCGGTGTACAGTGAGCTTCTTTTCGATTCTATTGAACTATATGCACAAGTAGGCCGTGCTCGTGGCTCGTGGCTTGATGATGCAATATCGTTAATTTGATCTCTCCATGTGCAAACAACAAGAACATCTCATATGTATAAAGTGACTGCTGTTGGGGACCTCGTGAATAGACCATACAGCCCTATGCGCTGTCCGTGCCAACTCCAGACTATCGCCGGAGGATGTGGTGCTGAGTGGGTGCTGATCATCCCTGGATAAAGGCTGTTCTTGATGATGCCAGAAACGCCAGGCGCGTAAAAGCCGCGCTTCCAACCGTAGTGCAAAGTAGAACTTCTCTGCGCCGCGGACCTGCCCGCTCGGCCTTGCAACATCTCCCTCTCCTCCCACCTTCCCCTAAAACATCGGACAGCCACACAGTCATGTCCAACCTGTCCCTTTCAGATTCAGAGCTTTCGTCGCTCTCCTCAGCACCTCCGTCTGATGAGGAGACGGGATCCATGGCCGTGGATGAGCCAGTGGGCATCACCAAGTACTTCAAGAAGGAGTCCGAGTCTCCGCCGCCGAAACGGGAGCCCTCACCACCTCACGAATATGTTCTAGCAGACAACCCTGATATTGCAGTATGTTATTCGCGGAGGGACTAAGCTGTCTGGAGCTCTCCGGGGCCATTTTTAACGCGTTATGCGCGTGGTTCAGTGGCAATGTGCTGACTTGTCGCAATTTCTAGTTCATTGTAATGTTCCGCGCGCGTTTCCATGATGTATTTCCGCGGTCGACACCACACTTTGGTCCACAGGATATCGAAAGAGGCGTCGCCGACAGCACCCCCGGCGATCATATTGAACGGTTACTCTGTGCATTGCTAGGCTTGGTATTGAACAGGAAGAAAGACGTGGAGTATGGCCGCCGCCCGCATCCCCAACCCGCACCGTGGAGGAGCCCAATGAGTCTTCTCTACCACATACAACCTCATTCCCCAGCCGTTTACAAGAGACTGACATTCCGTGCTTAAATCGCAGTCGCAATCACTACACTCGTCCTCTTGAGGAGGCGATTCAAACTCATGCCTCTCAATGGCCTAGGGCTTGGCAAGGCAAGAACCCACTTCACGGGGGCAACACCTTCACAACCATGAAACCAGAAGAACGCGTATGTCGCGCGGTCGCTTTATCAGAGTCTACTTCACTGACATGTCCTAGTTGCACCTCCTCAAATCGCTGATCGTATGGTCCCTGTCCTCCTCCGATGCCGTTCAAGCCAAGATAAAAGAGTCCTACAAGCAAGCGCGTCATGAGGATGATCTCAATCAGCCACTCTCCGTTCAACCGTGGGGTCGCGACGGCCTGAAACGTCGATACTGGCTTATTGAGGGGTTAGATGACACGCACTTTAGACTGTATCGCGAGAGCAACCCGGCATTGAAAACCAATACTTGGTGGAGCGTGGCGGGAAGCATCCCGGAGCTGAAGGTCATCGCGGACAAACTTGACGAAGAGAGGAGCATTCATTCCAAGAAGTTGAGCGAGAGGATCCGAAACTCAATCCCTCGGTTCGAAGGATCAGAGGAGGTAAGTCGCAGTCGCCCTGGGTCCGCTGACCTGTGCTGACCATAAACAGAAACGCAAACGTCGCGACTATCGGATTGCCCGGAAGGCGCAATTCGCTCGCCCAGAACCGGGTTTCTCCCTTTATGAAGGCCGTACTCGTGGGAAGAAGTTGAAGTACACCTATTCCGACGACGAAGACATCTTCTCCGACGGCCTCCCATCGACGCGACGTTCGACCCGCAATACCTCTGGGGTCTCTACTCCTGTGGATCCGGCGGGTCCACGTTACACAGCCAGCGGCCGACAAATACGATCTCGAGCAGGCGGTCTTTACGGCGAGTCCTTGCTCGCTGGACAACGTGACGACGGCCCAGCCGACGACGAGGGCAGGCCCACGAGATCGAGGGCCAACCGGGCCAATGGCTATACTGACTACGATATGGATGATGAGATGGGTGAAGGCTCGGATGGGGCGCAATCGAGCGGCAATGAATGGCAAGGCGGCGAGGAGGAAGAGGACAATGATTTCGAAGGCGATGACGAAGAGGAAGCGAGTGGCGACGAGGAGGTTGTGAACGGTGAGCCACCCAGCCTGGTGGTGCAGCTCAGATATAACAAGGACAAAGGAAAGGAGACAAGCGGCTCGAATGAGGTGCGATCAGAGGAACAGCCTGGAATCACGCATGAAGGCGTGACTGAATTGTCCGGCAAACCCGAGGACTTGCCGCAAGAGCAGCCACTGCCCCAAGACGCTAAGCAGGAGGATACGAAGTCTGAGCCTCGCCCTGAAGCAGAAGCTAAGGTCGCTACGACCAGTCCGTCTGCTGCCCCTGCGCATCCCAGCACTGGGACCCACACCAACACTCTTGCGCCTGAGGCCTCAGTCCAAGACACGAGGTGAACTATTCAAATCAACAGCACCTTCAATGATAAGAGAGTTATCCAGTGGCTCTTGTAGCGGCTATCGTAGCGGCTATCGTGGCGGCTATTGTTAGCACATAACCATTTATCCTCCCATTGACAACATTATTTGTGAAAGCGTTTCCTTTGGTCTACTTTCAACTGTACGAGACCAAACACGGGATCTATCTTATTGTTCGGCGTTTCTGAAGAGATATGGAAGGCGGTCGTCTATTGGGGTAATAGCATTGTCAATATGAGTGATACGGGCGGACGAAGATCTTACACTATCTATAAGATTATTCCTACCAGCGCTCTTATGGACTATATTAGTTCCTTGGCTTGCTGATTTTATGATGCGGGCCTCTCTTCCTACGGACGATCATGAACAAACCTTTTGGATAGTCTATCCGAGTTGTTGCCTCAAAAGAAGTTCCAGACATTTATGGATTGTCTACAATGTATATAACTACAATTGGGCTAGAAGAACAAGCAGGATGCTCTGGGAAAATCTCACGCAAGAACTCACAGGGCCCTTGATCTGGATGGGCCCCTTTATTGACGTTGAAGAAGCAAATGAAAATGCCAGTTAATCACCGCTTCTTAATGAAGATCGAACGCCGAACGCTAAACACCCGAGATGCAAATCCCAATCGACGGAAGCTGTATTTCAACGGCTCGGCCGCTACACCAGCAGTACAGCGGCACGGCTTTTAGACGGCATTGGAGAACTGGGCTGTATAGAACTGCAGAAACTCCGAGAATGTCAGAAGGTCAATGAGACATACCGAAAGTTGTAGGGTGCTCGAACGGGGGCAGAGTTAGAATGTGGGGGAAGCACTCACGTCATCCACCTTGGCTGCAACCCGGGGATCTCTCGCAGACCCCAAAGGAGGGAGCTTCCAGTTGTTGACCTCGTACCACCAGCGGCGAATTCTACTCCCCAGGGTCTGCCCACTCAGAGAGGCATTGCGGTTCCAGAAGCGCCAGCCGGAGAGAGCCAGGGTCCAGAGTGTACCCTGCATCAAAGGGAGGAGGACCTGCGGAACAGAGAGGGAAGAAAGTGGTGAGCGCGACAGTCATAACTGCTGTTCCAGCGGACAGCATGCACTCCAGGAGATTACGGAGGGACTCACCTGGTCTCTGATGGTGATCCACGCGACTCTTCCCCAGGTATCGGCGCCACGCAAGCTGGCAAGATAGCTTTGTTCGAAGCGCAGGTCGGGCAATGGGGGAAAATTATGGCGCCGAGTGGCGGGCCTGACCATATGGCGAGGGTCAACGATGTCGGAAGGAATGCTGCCAGCTTCAGAGGGAGCATCTTCCACTACGGGCTGCTTTTCGGAGGCTGCGGTCGGCGGGTTGACGTCGTGGTCTGGCGAAGGGTTGCGGTTGATCGAAGCGGTCTGAATGACTTCGGGAATCTGGAGAACGGGGTCGGTCATTGTAGCGTAGTTGGTGTTGTGTGGGTGTAGGAGGTAAGTGTGTTGAGGAAGTAAATTGAAGTCAATGAACCATTCATTCAATGATAGATACGGAGTAGATAGTACGGAATAGTAATAGGTAGGTATTGTATGTAGAGCAAGAGTGAAGGTCGGAGGCCGGAGGAACTGTCGATGCTCCGCCCAATCACACCCGATCAGCCCCTCCTCCGCCCATTGAGTAAGTTTATTACTAGTAGTCACTTCAATTAGTAGTAGGTACTACTAACTCTTCTTTCCCCCACCCTCTCTCTCTCTCCATTCTCTCTCATTTCCTCACCCCTCTCACCTCTCACCTTTTTTTATCTTTCCCTCTATCTCTCCTCCTAACTTCCTCTATCTCCTTCAAGATGGCTGCCCCTCAGGGTTACCCTTTGTTGTGCCTCGAGAACCCTCTCCTGGGTGCGTGGGATCTTCCCCCTCCCCCTCCTTTTACCTCGGTTCCCCTACTTTTCTGCATTGTCCCCAGGCTAAGGCTAACCTTCAATTAATGAGCTATGCAGATATCCAGGCTGTTGGGTAAGTCATCTCGATCACATCTTTGATTTAATTGATTCTACGAATCACCTGTCTTGTGATTTAAACGCCTTACTGACTTCTGCCACCCCACAGTGATGCCGCTCTTTTGGAAAAATACGGGTTGAAGGACAACGATGCCATCCTCGCTGAGGACAAGCACATGGGTCTGTACGAAGAGCTCCTCGGCCGTGATGCCAAGCTCATTGCTGGCGGTGCTGCTCAGAATACTGCTCGTGGCGCTCAGGTACGAGCCCTACCTCCCGAAGACGACGACGACGACTACTATTTACTTACGGCAGTCGATTTTAGTATATCCTTCCCGAGAACTCCGTGATGTACATTGGCTGTGTTGGCCGTGACAAATACGCCGACATCCTGAAGGAGGCCTGCACCAAGGCTGGTGTTCACACCGAATACCGTATCGATGATGCTCAGCCCACCGGCAAGTGCGGTGTCATCATCACCGGCCACAACCGCAGCATGTGCACTCACCTTGCTGCCGCCAACGAATACAAGCTTGACCACTTGAAGCAGCCTCACGTCTGGTCTCTCGTCGAGAAGGCCCAGTTCTACTATGTCGGTGGCTACCACTTGACCGTCTGCGTTCCTGCCATCCAGGCTCTGGGTGAGGAGGCTGCTGCCAAGAACAAGGTCTTCATGCTGTCCCTCTCTGCTCCTTTTATTCCTCAGTTCTTCAAGGACCAGCTTGACAGCGTCTTGCCCTACACTGACTACACTTTCTGTAACGAGACTGAGGCTCGTTCCTACGCTGAGAGCCACGAATGGGGTACCGACGACGTTGTCGAGATCGCCAAGAAGCTGGCTCAGCTTCCCAAGAAGAACACCAGCCGCCCCCGCGTTGCCATCGTGACTCAGGGCACTGACCCCACCGTCGCTGCCACCGTCAAGCCCAACGGTGAAGTCGAGGTCAAGCAGTTCCCCGTCCGCGAGATCCCCAAGAGCAGCATCAACGACACTAATGGTGCTGGGTAAGTGTTCTGACAGACTCCTTTGAGCTAGCATGATGGTTCTGACTATTATCCAGTGACGCCTTTGCTGGTGGTTTCTGCGCTGGTGTTGTCCAGGGCAAATCCCTTGAGGAGAGCATTGACCTTGGCCAGTGGCTCGCTTCTCTTAGCATCCAGGAGCTGGGACCTTCGTAAGTTTTGACCTTGCTCATAACGCTCTGGGAAAGACTTCTAACACTTCCCTCAGTTTCCCCTTCCCCAAGCAGACCTACACCCCCTCCAAATAAATATCCACCACTAAGCCATCTCCTTAAATCCAAGTCCCGTCCGACACCACGGGACTCAAGACATTACTGTCTATGGTTACTACCGAGTACAAAAAAACATCTTTCTCTTTCTACTTTAGGATTCAACCCTCTATACCCAAGTTTCTTGTCGTTGACTTAACGTCTTTGACTATTTCCTTTTTCTTCTTGGACCTTGATCCTCAATGATTGTTATGTGAAGAGCGCCTCACCCGGATGGATATTCAATAGATAGACCGGAATGGGCGGATGACGTTCTCAACAACGAACTATGACGACTATACAATATTCTCCCATTATCATAGTAAGATTAGGGGGTGCACATAATCTACAAACCAAATTATGGTAACGGAGTAGGCCACCCGGAGCAAGATATCAGTAGACATTAGAGCCTCAAGGAAAAACAGCGAGCATTGGTAGTCGCAGCAACCTCCAACCCGCTCGGGTCGGGACAAAACCTCATGGATGTTCTATCACAGGCCTCAAGAGGTCAGATATACTGACTAGGCATATAGGTGGTACTGGTACTGCAATACGAGGAACCCAAATAACTTCTTGCGTGGCACCATTCTTCCCTCTCCTGTTATTCTCTCTCTCCCTCTCTGCCCTCCACTTCCCTCCTCTTCCTTCCCTCTCTTCCTTCCCTCTCTTCCTTCCCTCTCTTCCTTCCCTCTCTTCCTTCCCCTCCCCCCCCTAACAACCAGTTGAACAACGAGTCTACCCACGGCGCGCGCATGCCATACCAGTGTATTCGCATGTCCGTTCATGATGGGTCGTTTGACTTCAACCTCTCCCGCAACGGCTCTTGAGTTTGATCTTGTAGCAAATAGCAAAGAAAAGAGGAGAATTGACAATGCAGCTGGCGATACGCTGGGACGGCTAGCTCGGAGAATTGTCTTCCCACCCTTGGCTCAAGCGCCACTCCTCCCAAGAACTCATTTTTGGTAATCCAACTATCTGTCTGTTATGTCTTCTTCGTGCCGTTGTCAATTTCAGATTCCCTGTACATGCAGGTATCGTGTGGGGTATCCCGCACATACATCCGCAAACAGTGGAATCTTCGGGGAAAAAAAAAGACTGAGCAGAGAGGAGAGTCAAACAGATGCGTTGGGTAGTTAGACCATAATGTCGTTGTTTGTCGTCTATCGCAAAATTGGAAACAGAGTCAAACTTGAGTTAATTACAAGACGAAGCATGTCACAGGATCAGCCGCCGTGACCATAGCGTGGGGCGGTTTGACCAATAGCTCCGTACGGCGCGGGCGCCTTGCGGGCACTGCCGTTGAAGCTAGAAGAAATAGGGTAACCTGCACCAGAGGATAGCGTACTGGCAAGGAAGGCGTCGTTGGCCCAAGAAGAGTTGACCAGGCCACTGGGGGAACCCAGGTTTGGTGCTGATGCTGACGGTTGGCTGGGAAGAGCCATCGATCCGCTAGGGACGCCCGCATCTAGAAGTGCTCGATCCCACGCAAGGCCGGAAAGTCGATGGGCCTGGATTGATGGACTGGAAGAGGGTAGCCAGGAAGAAGGAACCGAGCCGAGACCGGGATTGTGCTGAAGGGACCCCTGAAGCTGAGCGGCTTGGGCCTGATTCATCAGGTTCTGGCGGAGCATAAGCTCGTTTGCGATTGACTCTTGAGATGTGTGGTGGTTTGACGCGTTGCCAATGCTTCCCGACAATGAATGAGGCAAGTATTGAGGTCCAAGGCCGGGAGGGGTCCGAGGCGATGGGGCATCAGCACCGAGGCTGGAGGACAGGGTCGTGTTCCAAATGCTGGGGATGCTTGGGAGCGCAGGTCGAGGAGTGTAGGACTGGGATGATGAGACACGGACGAGAGGAGCTGAGGTGTTGGCCATCGGCAGTGCAAGTCCTGGAGGGGCAATTGGAGTCTGCCGAGGAAGAAGATCCTCGCGGAAGATTGCCTCCGTACTCGGATTGAAATATTGGCTTGAGGGTCGCTGCCGACTGCCATTTGCAGGCAGTGCCAGGCTCTCTGGCATGCTCGGAGCATTCTCATACGTGTCCGAATCAACCAAACGTTCCACACCTTCAACTATACCGTGCATATTGGCAGTCATCGACGCCGACTGCGATCCACCATAAACACTTCGAGTATCGACTGGATGATTAAGATCACGGTTCGCTTGCTGTATATCTTCGCGTTCGATGCTCGCAGAAGATAGCGTATGGTTGTGCCCCGCGGGACTTGCGAAAAACTGCGAAGGGAGATCTTCCTCCTTGTAGATGAATGTCTTCTTGTCTTCGTCGTCGACGAGGGCAATGGGGATTCTATTGCTGACTACCAGATCCAAGCCATCGATCACAAACTCGCGAATTCGGTACAGCATTTCCATGTTGGGATGATTACGTTCCACGCCTGGATCGTTCATTCGAGGCTTTTGTTGACCACTGGCATCCAGATATCTGCGGGAGGTTGTGTCCTTGCTCAAGGGTGCAAAGGCGAGAGTTTCTTCATCTTCCTCCAGCAGATAGTCGATCTCAGGAAGGTGCACTACATCGAAAGTCGAGGCCAGGAGGGTCAATGTATTGGCGTATATCTTCCAGAATTCCGTAATCTGAACTGCCAAAGGAGTGTCTTTTTCTTGATTATGCGCCGCCAGCAGGTTGCTGACGGTGAGTAGCCAGGAGCTGTAATTGCGTAGTGCAGGAAGAACCCGACGGGCGACTACGGTGACCTTGTCAGGACCGGTTTGCGCGTCCTTGTTGCCCGAGTCTTCGACCGCGAATCGTTCTACTTCTGCAAGAAGAATCTGGAGCAGAGTAAAGAAGGTCTTCACATTGATCCGCTGGAAGAAGGCGCGCGCATTTGACACAGACTCTTCTAAAAACCTGGTTCAGTGCATAACACTTTGGTATCTACGATATTAGAGTACTTACCGTTCGAGCGTGTCCTTGAAAACTCCTCTGCACTAATGTTGATGAGAACAAACTTCTGCAAAGTGCCTTCGAGCGAGCGTTCCTTCAAGTCAACAGCAAGTTGGTTGAGCACTTCGCTCTCCAGCTCGTCATGCTCGGGGAAATCGACACCCTTGTAACATTGCGCATGGAGATACACAAACCAAGGAGCCAATGCCCTGCCAGGAATCCCAGCGTCTTCGGGGCGAATCAATTCCCGCTTGGCCCATGCATTCAAGACTTTTCTGAACTCGATCTCCAGATTACCCCTGGCTGAGGGATGAGGCTCCTGGGCTGCTAACGCCCTGTACAAATGATAAGTTGCTCGAAGATGATTGCCATCAGCTAACGCAATGACTGCCAGTTGGTTATGCGATGCGCCAGAGGCTGGATAGATCAGGGTAGCCAAGTCGTAATATCCGATCGCGGGACCCCAATTGCGTTCCTTCGTGACCAGCTCGGTTTCGCGGTAGCGGGAAAGATCGCCCAGACGAATCAATGTCGCATGGCACGATTGCAGGATCCGTTTTCTAAGGGCCTCCGTAGCATGTATGGGCGGCTCTGCCGACAAATCTGTGAAGGTTTTAGAACTTCAGATAACGGTATATTCGCCAAGCTGGCGGGACCACCGGTTTGCTCACTGTCAAAATTGAACTTCCGGGCAACTTTTTCCAGCTCCGGAATCCCTCCAACATGGGAGGACAGTTGTTGTATGTAGCCTCGATAGAATCGCTGACTGGATTTGATGAATTCAAGGTAATGCTTCTCGAGCTTCCGTTTTTCTACTGGCTTTTTCTTCTTCCCGTTTTCCTCACGGAACTGCCATCGCACATCACGAATTAGAGTCGGAAGCATACAGGGCCACCGCAAGACTCACGCGAGACAGCAATTTACGGAATCGATTGTTGATCTTGAGATGACTATCCCATAGGCGTCCTTCGACATCCACGGAGCGGGCGGCATCGAGGTCCTGGAGGATAGCATTCTGACAGGCGGATCGAAATCTGCGACGGGCGAAGATGCAAAGACAAAAGTCAGAATGGGTTTGCGCGCAACACAGAAGGACGGTGGAAAGGTTATTCAAACTGACTCCGACAAATGATGGGAGATTTCGGCAAACGTGGGTTCCTTTTCGGCAAGGCTCTTCGAAAGCTCTCTTTCGAGATCGAGCGCAGTTCTGCACATGCAAATATTAGCAAGACGGATTGGGATTGACATGAGGCGAGGGGCAGGCGAGGTTACTGACTGCCACGTATCCTGGAACGCGGACGCCATGCTCAGGAGATAGGATCACCGGAGCCCGCGTCACCTCCACCGTTGACTTCGCCGTCAGATGGCTGTGGCTGGTTGAGAGTGTGCGGGCGACAAGAGCAGTGAACGATCCATCAGTTAGTGGTAATGGTATATACAGAACGAGCGCGGCGAGCGGGGGGGGGAGGCGGGATGCAGGTTCAATAATAACGTCAGAGGAACCAATGGTAACACAGAGCAAAAGACGAAGCAGGAGAGAAAAAAGATAGGAAACAAAGCTCAAACGGGAAGTGGAAGATAGATTGAGGATGAACAACGGAGGGTATTAGGGGCCGCCGCTCGCTCGAGGGAAAATCCCATAGGAATTCTTGTCACCGGAGGAAGAGAGGGAGGAGAGGGGAACTTTTTCTTTTCTTTGAGGCCGACAAAATATGGAGAAGTCGCCGACACCGCGGGATGCACGGGGAGGAAGGCGGTGAGTGACTCTGCCCAATAGAGAGAGCGGTTAGGACTGACTATACGGAGTACAATTAATTGAACAACGACCAGGTCCTGTACATGTTGAGTGAGGAGTGATTGAAAATACAGTCGATCATTAACTGCTTCATCATTGATTTAAAGATATGTAAGTACTATACATCCAGATTCACAGTCACCAACATCAATCGTCCCTGACCTTTACAGCACAGGCAGAAAGATTGCAACTCCACCAATGGATGGTCCCAGTGTCACGCCATTGCTGCAGCGTGAACCATTCCCATGCGACTGACCTATCACTGCTGCGATTTTCTCCCTCTCAAACGCAGGACAACAGTTGCCAACATGTCCACCAAACGCTCACGCAGCAGCTCCGGCTCGTCCCCCGCCGCCGCCGCCCCCGATGATCTGTTGTCGTCCGAGGATGGGTCCTGGCCGGCATCCCCAGCATCCTCGACTGCGCTCTCTCTCGGACGCTCTAAGGTGCACTTGTCTGATACTGCCGCTCCGGTAGCTGAAGTTATGTATTGTTCCCTTCCACCGCACCGTGAGACCCTCGCCTTCGCCTCCTATGAGGACTATGAGGTCCATTACCGCCAGTCACATGTCAACCGCTGCTCCCAATGTGGGAAGAACTTCCCCACGGATCGATTCCTTAGCCTTCATATCGAAGAGAACCATGACGCCATTGTCGCCACGCGACGCGAACGAGGCGAGAAGACCGTATGTAAAACTTCGCTGCCTGTTTACTGTGTGTTTGCTCATCACTGACTCTTAGATGGCGCGTGGGTGGGTCACAGTACGGATGCTTCATCGAGGACTGCGAGCGGAAATGCTCGACGGCCCAGAAACGCAGAATGCATCTCATCGACAAACACATGTTTCCTAAGGTATAAGGGTCATCTCTCCCGTTTGTATATCTGTTGGCTCTCTTTCCGTGTTCACTAATCCAATTTACGGGCGCAGACATACAATTTTTATATAGTCAACGATGGCCTCGATCAACAGACCTCGTTGTTACGGCCTACCAAGACACACCGCCGTCGTTTATCCGCTACTCCCGCCCCACCCTTGGAAGGACGGCTGAGGAACAGACAGACCTCTGGGTCTATTCCAAGCGCTAATCCAGGTACTCAACAGACATGCCGGACTCCGGAGGTCTCGGACGAGATGGAAATTGCTGAGCTGGAAAAGTCCATGTCTGCGCTACGTTTCGTGCCATCCAGTGTCACGAGGAACCAAGGCAGGATCGGAAGGAGACCTTAACCTTTCTATTGTCGAAGAATACAGTTCGAAACTCTATCTCGACGATAAAGAACATTGTTGTGATTCATCGTGGTACCTCGACGCCGAAACAGTCAAGAAATCATACTCTCTGCGCCTTGCTAGAATGGGGTAATACACCCCGCGACATAAGGTGCTCCCCAAATGGACCTGCAGCAACAATCACATGAAAGCAAAATCACTGATAACACCTCTTTTCCTTGGTGTTATCGGGGCCTGGGAATCGCCCTGCGCCGAAGGACACCTGCCATGGCTGACAGATTAAAATCGTGTCACAACACGTAACAATGACGCAAATGTTCGCTTTCCTCCTCAAAGCATAGCAAAGACATAGCAAATCATAATTTATCTATATACAGGGGTGGTTAAGGGGAGTATGAGGACTTCAAGCAACATGGGTAGGTATACAGCAACACCATTCCTCGTTCTCAGTGCGTTGACCAATCGGATCAACCAGGCAAGTTTAGGGATCGTATCGCCCAAAACCCTCACTGTTGCTAGGGGGTCCTCGATTGTAGGTGAATGTCCGAGCCCCGGGAAGCAAATGTCATCCCGTCGGTGGTCGCAGTATTTGGAGCGCTCATGATGTGGTTTCAAGGAGGTCGGCATAGGCATCTAGGCTTGAACCAACCAGATCCACTATGGCCCAACTAGTGTTTCCCTTGAAGGTTCGAGCCCACACGCGAACAATAGCCACACTCAGCTGCTTTGCTTTATATGGATTGGCGATGAACTCCATATCCGGTGCCCCCGGTGGATCAACAGCCATATCGGTCTCGTCCATCATGCTCTTGATCCAAAGGAGTAATTTCCTTTCATGGTCGGAGAGCCTTTGTTCGGCATGAGTCACTGGGATAGAGAGCAACCAGCGGCTGAGAAGAAAGGCACATTCCAAGCTACAAAGGGAATGCTGAATGCTCCAGAAGAAGGAGTGGGTTCTAGCGACGAAATCGATGCCCAGACGCACCGGAATCGAGAGTGCATGGGCAGAATGTAGTAGGGCCATAATCAATCGAGGACTCCGAGCTATAAGCGGTGATTCACCTAAGGACCTCGCTATCTGATGTGGATCCTGCGTCATGAGACGACGGCACGGCCCCAGGTCCACATGCAATCGGATATAGGCCAGCCCTAAAAGAGCAGTTGATGTGAAAGCAATGGGTCCTGCCGGATTCTGGGGGTCAATGCTTGACTCAGGAGTGCGTTTCCAGAGTGCCTTCCAGGCACTCAAAGAATTATCCAGGACAGAGAGATCTTCGCTCCTCAGGCTGGTACCCTGCATGGTCGGTGCTGAAAGACACAACTGGCGCGCGAAAAAGATTTGTTGAATGAGAGCATGAATCAGAATATAGTTCCCGAGCGGTGATATTGGTGCCGTGGAACCCGACATATTCGACTTGAGGAACAGTTTAGCAAAGGCCTCTTGAAAAGGAACATCAGATCCATGCCGAATGCGGGCTACTCGCCGCCACTGAGCCGCATTTGTTGCCTTCCAGACATCGTGCGAACACGGCATGTTCAACTTTAATTCCGCGTTCAGGATCAGAGGGGGAATGTTGTACATGATAGAATGGAGGTTAAAGAAACAATATACGATGAATTTGGTGCGTCGGTTGCCTTCTCTGCGGATCCACTCTTCCCAGTTGTGAGGATCTGAGCTAGGGGGTGGCTCTGACAGGCCATGTTCTCTGACAAGCCTTGCCAAAGTGCTTTGAAGTGAGAGGATTTCCCTCAGTAACTCCGGATGTCTTTCCCACGAGGCGAACACCGTGAGCAGAAGGAAGGTTCGGATGACTTCCATGTGGGCGTCCGAATCCTCTGCCGAGTAACCTGAGGAATCTGTAGGGTACGGTGTGTGGTGGTGATGAGCATGTGGTTGATGGTGTTGCTGGAACGGGCTACTGGCATGATTAGATGTGGTGGAAGAGCCGCGAGAGGTTTGAAACCCCGATCCCGGTGATAAGTAATTCCATGTCGGACATGCAACTTGTTTGCTATCTCTTCGATGAAGGCGTTGGAGCAGAATGGCTTTTGCCGCATGGAATAGCTCGATGCCTCGACTGTTTTCAAAGCGGTAGTGAGACCCCGCTGCTGCCAAAGCAAGTGTAAGCTCTGGAGAGCATTTTGCGACAGAAAGGGTAGGCACATGAATAAAGGGGAGATGTTCATTCAATCCATTTATATAGCCAGCAAAGAAGCGAGACAAAGCGTGTCTCGAGGGCGGCACAAAGTTCTTGGGCAGTATGTAAGCAAATTCCTCAAGTTTGGAGACAAAAACTTGACGGTCTGCATTGGTTATATCCCAAGCAGCACGAGGTCCCTCATCTGTGAAGCCAAGGCGATCATCCACTTCATGCGGTTCTGGTTGCAGCGATGGCAATCGTGACCCGAAATTTGAGAATGACGGTGCTTCGTCTGCCGCCGTCCGCGGATCATTAAGGAGTTCAGGACCAAGCCTTCCCATCTCGCGGATAGATGGCTTGGTCTCCATTGGAAGTGTGGTCGGCAGCATCGGCTCTTCGACAGTAGAAAACACCCCCGAGTCCCAGTCCGATGATAGACCAACACTCTCCAAGAAGACAGTAAAGTCTTGAACGGGGTCCCCTAAGTCAGCAAGGTCCAGAATTGAGGGTTCTACGCCATAATTATCGGTTATCGCTCTTTCCGGAATATGGGCGAGCGGCTGAGGGGGTGCAACGTTTTGGGAAGATTTCCGCAGCGACTCGAGGCTCGCCTGTTCACCTTCAAGAGCAACATGACTCGCAGCATGCGAGAGAAGATTCAGATCATACCCCCACGAAGGGTTGAAATGGGTGGTTTCCACTATAGGAGGCGGTTGTACCTGCACATCTGGCGGAGGTTGCGGAACGGGTTGCGTATGCAGCGGAACAGCGTCGGCAAGCTCTAACATACGAGACTCATGATGAGCAGGCTGAATTATAGATGAAGGCGTCTGAGGAACATCCTGGTTGGTGTTCTGCGTGCGGTGGTCTCGACTGGCGGCCGTTTCGGCAGGGTGGACTAGCCGCTCGTGTCGTACGAGCAGGTCGCTATCGAAATTTCCCCATATTAGCGCGAATGAACCTTTGAATGCCATGGAGATGAGGGGGAAAAGCATACCTTCTGGCAAATGACTTGGAGCAGATATCACATGAAAAAGGTTTCTCCTTGGTATCTACGTGGTCCAGGCAGTTAGACCCATATATGTAAGTGGGCAAAAATCTTCTGAGGAGAGACCGAAAGGGGGGTTACTCAACGGGTGCGGAGATGGCGCTGGAGATGTTCCAAACGCGCAAAAGATCTGCTGCAATATTCACAAGATAGAGACTTGCGATGAGCCGGGGTACTCTTCTTCCTCACTTTGCCTGGGTTGGCTCTTTCGTCCTCCATGGCGAATGGCCGTGGAATTGGACCATGTCCTTTTTTGATGGGATTATTACAAGGCGAGCGGGGAAGAAAAACTGTGGGGTCGTCGACATGAGGGGGTTTTGCGAAAAAAGGTCTGAGGTCACGTGGGTACTACCACTGTGTCAGTGTGCACTTTACACTTTGTAGTTATGGGAGTAGTTAATCACTGTGCAGTCGTGTACTCCGTAAGACTCGAACGATCCTTCCCCGCCTCTCCAGCTTCAAGGTGTTGCATAGATATCATATGTCTCGCTGGTGGATGTGAGTGAGAGCGAGAGTGAGTGTCGCAGCTGCAATCTCCCGTTTGGCAGATTTGCACGCAGCTAACAACCACCCACCGTCCCCGTGCATAATTCCATCCCCACTGGTGCGGAGATGTTCATTTGAGTTGTTGGGGGTGGTCAAAGTCCGCCAGCACACACCACCACCATCACCACCAACACCATGTCTCCTCCTCACTTGGTTTCAAAAGCGAGGAGATCCCTTGGGTTCCACGTGCAATCTCCAGGATTTCACAAGAGAAGCTGCCTGAGTCTTCGGCTCCTAAATTCTATGCTCACTATATACTCCGTACTATGCAGTACTATCGGTTGACCCCCCGGGGAATAAATGACGGTTTTGTCCTAGGCTCAGACTTGGACAGCCCTACTGGGTATTAGACGGCCTTTAAACGCTGACAGAATGCACAGGCAGGTCAGACATGTCTGATTACGACAGCGCCATTCGTCTCTCCAACATCCCTAGTATTTCCCGTGATTCTGTGTTCAACCACCCTGCATCGTTACTCAAGGTGCATCATGATCGCGATACACAGTCCACCTGTCCATGAATTCTCCCCCTTTTCGCATGAAGAGGGCTATCGGTGTGGGGTTTCTAGAAGAAGACTAAATGTATCCCTGGACTACCACTATGCCAACACGTCAACGAACTAAATATATATACGAGAGCCGGATGATGAACCTTAAGACGGGCTGGATTCGTCGTCAACGTACTCACTTACATTGTTCTGTGCCTGTTCTAGATCCAATACTCGACCACCCCTTTCTTCAAGTTCAGTGTCACCGACTCACTGAATGGCCCAAACCCACTCAGCTCTTCCTGCGAGATCGTTGAGAGCGACTCAGTACCCGGAAAGCAACGAAGCCATCCCCACCACAGGCAGGGCGTAGTTGCATCTTGAGAAACAACAGTAGTCGGTTGTAAGACAGAATGACGTGCCTATAGCCAACTTCAACTTAAACTAAGAGACCACTGGCGAATCTCCGGGTGAAGAAGAAAAGAAGGGTTGAGGTGCCCGGTCTGATGTTGAATTTACACGGTATGACTGAAAGGAGAGGAGTTTTCTTGCTCTCCTTTCGGCTTTTCGCACACGAGCCCATGGAACCTCCCCTAAGAATAGGCGGGAGAATGGGGCGGGCGTGTTGCGAAGAGTCCAAAGAGTCAAGTTCATTGTTTCAGGTTTGGGCCCCTTGACAAATCATCCGCCGGGGGCGTGTTTGAGAATGATTCCGTAGTGGAAGCTGCCCATCGTCCCCGTCCGATCGGCCTGACAACCCGCGCGCTCTTCCTCAGATCCATTAAACCACCTTCTCTCCGTATCATCTCTCTATGGGAAGAAGAGATCACTCCAGACAAGGCACAGAGAGACAGACAGAAAGGGAGACTGTCTTGTTTTGTCTATCTCGCTCGTCATAGCCTATCCCCTCATTTTCGTCCATTCTTCTCTCCATTAAATTCTCTCCCATCCTCTCTACCAGCCCGTTTCAGCCTTCCCTCCAGCGGCTATCACGGAGTATCGCTGCCATCTTTCTCCCCCGCCCATCCTTTTCTTGATTTCGACCCTCTTACCGATCTGTCGTTGGCTGCTGTTACTTTTCATTCTAACTGGGGTCCTTTTCAAAAGTAAAAGCGTCTCAACCTGACATCTCGAGCGCGAAAAGAGCCAAAGTGAGCCTAGGCCAGGCAGATCACGAAGCCACTATCTTCAGTGCTAATTTGCCTGCCATACGTCCCCGTGCTCTTAGATCGGTTGAATCGTAAGTTCATTTCTCCATCCACCCTGCGTCAGACACTCTGTCGCATTGATCTTTCCATCGCCCTCCCCCACTCCGCGCAACCTCCGCTAATATGCACTATCATGACCAGATAACAAATTCGTACCATGCATTAAACCCCACCCAGAATCTCGGTTGAGATCTCAATACTCGCGTCGCCATTCAAGATATATCATTCAGTTTACATCCGCGACAACGCCTTGATCTCACATTTGGGTCCTTCCTCGATTGCCTGTTTAGGCCTACATCCGAGTCCTCGACTCGAGAGGATATATCTAAACCACCCCGCCATCAAGTGCTTGAAATAGCCCCGGAGATAGCTCGAGAATAATTGTCAATATGCTAGCAAAGGCCACATACAACCCATTGGGCCTGCAATCTACGCAGACCCCAACGACCTCCTATTATACGGGCCCGTCGCAGAAAACCGCTGCCCTTGGTGATTCGCAGAGTGGCATGCTGTTTACGAGTCCGACAGAGTCAGAGTTTTCGGAAAAGCCCGATGGCCTTGACGCCGTACGGTGAGTCTCTCATGCAAAGCTACCTTCTCGTGGTCTAGCAAATTCTCATCGCCACCAGGTCTTGGGATGAGAAGCAGGTCATTGCCTGGCTTCATAGCATAAACTGTGGTCAATACGAAGCTTTGTTCAAAGGTAGCTACCTGCAACAACCCGCGCCTCGTGGGCACTTGCTGTATCCGGACAGAAACTGATGATAGGTAGCGAACAATGTCAACGGCAACAATCTGATCGAATGTGATCAGAAAATCCTGCAAGAGATGGGCATAAAGAAAATTGGTGACCGCGTGCGCATCTTCGTCGCCATCAAGCAATTGCGAAACAAGTCTGTCCTCAACAGAAAGCAAAGAACAATGGTAAGTCTGACGCTATGCTGCCTGAAACGTCCCGTGCTCAAGGTGAATCCAGAATCAATTGGCTGCTCTCGAAGCCGTATCTTACACAACCGCCTCGTCCGGGCCATCCCGCCAATCCAATCAGCGGCCAACGACAGGTACACGTCGTATGTCTCGCGCAGCTGAGAGTAGCTCGCATAATTACTCTGCCGGCCGGTCGTCATCGCGACCCGGATCGCCATTACGCGCTCAACAGTATGCCGCAAGCAGCCCGATGGACACAGGGCGGAAGGAACAGGGACCAGGCTACTTCAGCCATCAGTCATCTGCTGGGTCGATGACCAGCCGAAAACCAGGCACTCCCAGTGAAAATGGTCACAGTAATCGGAATGGCTCACACTTGAGACAGAATCCCAGTCTCGACGGCTTGACGATGGGACAGTTGCCAAACTCGCCTGTCATCAGAGTGATATACACCGGTGGTCAGACCAAAGTGCTGGACATCAAACATTGCAAAACCGCAGATGAAATTATCCTGTGTGTGCTGAAGAAGCTACAGCTTCCGGAGCATCAGTATCGCAACTATTGCTTTTATGTGATGGATGGCTTGGAGCCCGATCCCTCGAATTGCAGAAGACTTGCCGACCATGAACTCATGGAAATATGCGAAAGCAGTCACAGGCCAGAGCGTGGCCGTCTTATCCTTCGCAAAATTCATGCTGGGGAACCAGATACCGATGAGCTTCGTCGGGCTTCTCAACTAGCGGTAGATGAAAGCCAAGTTGCTCACATGAACGCTTTGAGCAGTTCCAATGTGCGCAACCAACTCAAAATCCAGCAGCTGACTGGAGAGTCGTGGCTCAACATCCGACAGCCGATGTCTCCGGTCTCATCCCGACAAAATCAAGCACCGAGTGAGCACGAACTGCGGTCAGTTAGTTTGGAACGCCCATCTCCCTCTGCTGCCAAATTGCGGTCGTTCTTCGGTGCTCGTCCCCCAAGTGAGATGATCATACACGAGATCACATCGTACTTCCCTAGTCATCATCGGGAGGATATCGAGAAGACAATGCGAATGTCGGTTCGGAGGTCACAGCGCTTGAGCCGTGCAGCAAGTCGCCTGAGTGTCGTCAGCAATACCAGCTATGCATCTAGTCTCAGGGACGCGCCTCCAATGCCGAGCATTGCAGATACTTGGCTTAATGCTGGAGGAACACCGACCCGTGCGTCGAGACCTCTGTCTGTATCGAAATTCAGCCTCCCGTCAATGAGCTACAGGGACTCAATTGCTTCGAGCTCCTTGCAACCGCTTCAAGAAGAGTCGCCGATCGAGCCGAACCGCAAGTCATATGTTTCTTTTGATAGTGGTTCTGATGACCCTACAACATCCCGTCATAGTCTTCTCGATGAGAACGCAAGCGTTGCTGCAACTGACGGTGGTTCGCTTAATGAACGACTGAGCATTCTGGTGGCTGAAGATGGAGAAGAGGAGGATGATGGCCTCAACGACTTTTTGGCTGGAAACAACTTCGCTCCAAAGAACTGGATGAAGGGTTCATTGATTGGGGAGGGCTCCTTCGGCAGTGTCTTCCTCGCGCTTCATGCGATTACGGGAGAGCTTATGGCTGTGAAACAAGTGGAGATTCCCTCTGCGACAAAGGGCACGGAATTTGACAAGCGCAAGAACAGCATGGTCACCGCGCTCAAGCATGAGATTGAACTTCTCCAAGGAATGCATCATCCAAATATTGTGCAGTATCTTGGCACTGCCGCAGATGATCAGTATCTGAACATTTTCTTGGAGTATGTGCCCGGAGGGTCTATTGCTACTATGCTCAAGCAGTACAATACCTTCCAGGAGCCTTTGATCAAGAATTTTGTTAGGCAGATTTTGGCGGGGTTGTCCTACCTTCACAGTTGTGACATTATTCATCGTGATATCAAGGGTGCCAACATCCTCGTCGACAATAAAGGAGGCATCAAGATTTCCGATTTTGGTATCTCGAAACGGGTGGAAGCCTCGACTCTCCTCGGCGCTCGTGCCAGTGGTACAGGCGGTGGACACCTGCACCGCCCCTCACTGCAAGGTAGTGTCTACTGGATGGCACCGGAGGTGGTCCGTCAGACGGCGCATACGAAGAAGGCTGACATCTGGAGTCTGGGATGTCTGGTGGTTGAAATGTTTATTGGAGCTCACCCGTTCCCCGACTGCAGTCAACTGCAAGCCATTTTCGCCATCGGCAGCAACAAAGCCCGGCCACCAGCACCAGAGCATGCTAGTCCAGAGGCCGTGGACTTCCTGGACCAGACCTTCCAAGTCGATTATGAGCAGAGGCCATCAGCAGACGAGTTGCTGACTTGTCCGTTCCTGAAGACTCCTCTTGCTGGCTAATTTCCTGGTAAGGCTCGAGTACCACCAGCCCCTTGGCGCTCTGGTTTTCCCTTCAATTTCACCGGTCGAATTTTGATATTTTAATACCCATTTGTTCTGCGTGGACGTCGTTTTTTTTTTATCAATTGCATACTTGGGTCTGCTTTGTTCTTTTTGCAATTTCTACTCCTGCATTTGCATTTGCGGCTCACCTATGTAGCACGAGCATACCACTGGCACTCGATTCTTTGGGCAGAGGCAGAAGTGGTCGACATTGTGTGTATAAAGCCCTTTACAAGTTGTTGTGACGAAGATTGGTTCCTATCGGCTCCTTGTATGTAATGTCATTATTGAAGCTCGGGGCCCAGGCTGAAAGGTGCTTCTTGAGGGAGGACGGGAGTAATGCCCGCTTGAGAAGAGGATAATCTTCCTACTTTGTGTATGGCATGCAGTAATATCGGCTTGTGAATGGGAAAGATACACACAATCGAAGGACAAACAAATCGGAAGCGTATTTTACACATGATAATCTAAACAACACCAGAGACATACATTCCTCCAAGTTCCATGTTCAATGCCGGCCAGCAGTAACCAAACGCAAGAAAGATGAAACACCAAGCGAGAAAAACCGTTACCGACATTGGGGCCTTGAGTCACTCCTTGGCAAGAGAGGGCCCATTTCGCCCGTTGTAGTTAATGATTAATACCGGCGCACAGAGGCATTCTCCTGTGGCTATGAAATTTAGTCAACGATCTTGCCGTAGAAGGGCATGCCCAGGGCGCTAAGCAGAAGACGGGCATCCTTATCCGTTCTGGCCGAGGTGTGGATGGTGATGTGACAACCGGGAATCATCTTGGGAGGGTACCTGGCGTTCCAAATATGTTAGCGATCGAGCCACCAGCACCATGTTGCAACGCTGGAAACCCGGGGGCTGCAGTCGAGGGAGTAGGACTGCCAGGGAGCTGGAGTAAAGATAGGATCCATTGTCTTCCCCGGTACGTTCAAAAGCAGAAAGAGAGAAGGCTTTGGAACAACTTACATATCATAGTTGACCTCGATCTCCGGGAACAGAGCGACGGCCTCGGGCTCAAGACCGAAGGTGATGTTACCGCTGCTGTCACCACTGCTTCCCTTGATACCCTGCCAATCCTTGATGCGGGGCAAGACGATATCGACCAGCTTGCCGAAGAAGTGCAGCATGTTCTCACCGTGCAGCTCCGCCTTGCAAGCGACGGTGCCGCGGCCGGGGACGATACCCCATTTAGGGACACCGGTCTTGGACTTGTAGGTCTGCACCCGCACGTTTGAGATGGCCTGCACGGCAATACCGGCGGCGTGAAGCCAGGACGAGTTCTCTGTCGCCATGTTGACGTAGCTGTGAATGGTGATACGCTCGAGATGGGGGATGTTGTTGAAGTCGATAGGTTTACGGAGGAGGCGGAGAACATCACCACCGCGGGGACCACGGAGGTTTCGGTTCTTGTGGTAGGGGGAGGTGTCGTCCCAATCGCGGAGACGGGGAGCCTTAACGGGGGGCTTGAAGCCCGGAGGGTTGTGGACATAGAGGAGGGTGAGGATGTCCGATGCGACGGTCGATTGCCAGGTCTGCTCGACTCGGGGAAGAGAAAACGGGCCTGGAACGTACAGTCGGGAGGAAGGGTCGGAGGGTGGAGGCGGCTGGTGAGGGTGGAGCGGACCACGGTAGTATTTGGGAGAACGGAATTGATAACTGGTGAGAAGTAGAGTGTGAATCAGTCACGGACTACGGACAATCATCGTGGGAGCATGTAATCGTATGGGTCGCGGGCCTATTTCGCGCGCTGCCCGTGAAATAGTGGTCCAGGTGTGGCGGATGAAGAGAGAGACCTACCGACTGCGAGGTAATTTCGTCTTGCGGCCTCTAGCCTTAGAGACGGGATCGTAAGATTTTACAACATCCTCGGCCGTAGATGTGGAGGAGATGCTTGTAGACTCCAATTCGCTGAGGTCGGCGGAGGGAGATCTCGACGAGGCTTGATCGGAGGCATTGCGGCGCCAGCACAAGGTCGCAGGGCGAGCAGAGGGCACCAACGCCCGGGACAATGACCTTGTCAGGTATCTGGAGGACTCACTGACAGCCATCGGGAAGTCCAGCAGGTGTTGTTGGCGGAGATTGGAGTCGAGACTGGGATTCCCAAAAATTGTTTCCCGCACCGGAGATGCAATCGACTCTTTCGGGGGGGAAACAGTTGATCATGTGACATGGTTCCTGTTTTCTTTTTGCCTCAGGCTTGAATTAAAATCATGGACTAAATACCCTTCTGCCTGACAGATCAGGCGGCGAAAGATTCTCAGTCTTTCCCGGCGGGCTCCACATGTGGTCACGGCTTGCCTTTTCCCTCGCCTCCCTCAACGGTTCAGACTGGCTTATCGCATCGCAGCTTATTTGGTGAAACTGGCCACCCGGAGATCTCATTGTCGATCGGGTGCTATGGTCTTCTGACGGGCATCTTTTGTCTGTTTTCACTTGTTCATATCTCAGTCATCTTTGCCTCGTCACTTGAATCTCATTCACTGTCCGTCTTTCTTGAAATATTGGTGGTGGCGCATGTGATGTCACTGGCTTCTCTTTCAGCGTAAGACTTACGAGGTACGAGTAATTGGCTACCCAACACGTTTTGGATGTGGGTTCATCAAAGATCACAATGCTCATACAAATAGATTGGGACAACAAAGGTCATCGCCTAATTTGACCCATCTGATCTGTGTTATGACTCAACCAGGCGCTATCTTCCCATGCTCGATCGGAACTCTGGAGCCTGAGCAAGGATCAATATAGATCCCCCCCCCCCCCCCACATGTCGGTTTATCGTCGACTCCGCATTCTGCACGCTTGCGCAATTCTTCCCCCATCTAGCTAGGATTGATGTACTATTGAAGATGAGTGGTATACACAAATTTCTCACAAGGCGTGAGCGAAACAATAAAGATGGAAAGCCTGCTAAAGACGAGGTAATTCGATCTCTGGACAGCTTCTTCTTATTCTCTTCCCCTCTCTTTCGCAACTCGAAGCTGATATTGCTCACAACTTCAGACGTCGAATGTGCTGTCTCGTCCTCACTTCCGAGGTCTTTTCTCATCAGATAAACTTCCCTCTACAGACTCAAGTGAGGAACAAAAGAAGGTGCGGACGGAAACATTTTGCCGCGCAGTTGTCATTGCGGGGTATCCTCGTTGACAATCAATTAGATCAAAATCCTGGAGCAACGTGTTGCGCGACTTGGTATTACCGGTCTGAAGGAGGAACACTTTGTATATGCGATTCAGTCTGAACATGCGCAGGGCGATGTGGACAAGGCTTTTGAGTTGCTGCTGCTCCTCGAGGATTCGATTGAGGGCATAATAAGAGGCTATACGCCAAGCACTAAGCTTCGCGGCGCAGTAAACCGCGAAGGGGTGACTTGCTACCTGGACGCTTTACTATTTGCGATGTTCGCCCGGCTGGATTGTTTTGAGGCTATTCTCTACAAATCCTTCAACGACGAGTCTCGTCGGAAACTCTGCATTCTATTAAGGCTTTGGGTCAACATGCTCCGGTCTGGAAAACTTATTACTACTGATCTTGTAAGCTTACCCGGTCTTTTTATCATCTTTTTCAATTGGAATCTGACTGATGTACTCTGCAGACCAAGCACTTGCAAGATGCACTCGCCGAATGCGGTTGGGAGGATGCAGCCAGACTACGACAACAGGACACGTCCGAGGCATTCACATTCATCACGGGAAAACTTGAGCTTCCACTTCTCACACTCAAAATGGACATCTACCACACAGGGAAGGAAGACGTGAGTGGCGATCATAAATTTATCAATGAACGATTGTTGGAGGTCGCTATCCCTGAGCCTGTTGATGGCGAAACAGTCACACTGGAAGACTGCTTGGAGTCATATTTCAACAATCGAATTGAGGTGAAACGCTACATGGAGCGGCGTCATACATTAGGCTCAACAAAATCTCTGGATTCTCTTTCTAAAGGTTGCACAACCCACGTTGAAGAGGTTGGCACGCCGCTATCCCCCTCTTCCAGCCAGCCACCTTCACCCCGTTGGGACGAAACCCCACCAGTGAACTCCTTGACAGAAGTCATTGAGTCTGATCCTCCTCCCTACCGTCGCAACAGCATTCTTCAAGAACGATTCGTACCAGACACAGAGAACGGGGATGACAAGGACGGCGTACTTACGTCTCAGCGGAGGGGTTCCTATCGCAAAGAAGTCATGATGCCAGCGTGGCAATTTTTCAGCCTGATACGTATGAGTTGTCCTCGGTCCCAAAAGACACTAAGGCACGCGCTAATGGTCTGAACAGCGTGGTATACGGACAACACGCCCACTAGCGATGCCCAAGTCGCCGCACATTTCTCTTCTAAGCGTCCAATCTTAGGCATGTGCCTAAAACGATATTCTATGCTGCCTAATGGCAAAGCAGTCAGACTGAACACCTTTGTTGACATTCCAACGGAGATAGGGCTTCCCCATTTCATCAAGGATGACAATATGAATGAAGAAGGCCCGATTTATGGGAATTTTAAGCTATCGCTGCAAGCGATGGTGTGCCACCGGGGAACCTCAGTAGATTCAGGACATTATATATCAATTGTCAGGGGCACCAGTGCTGGTGCACCCCCAGCTAGCTCCCATGGATCGGAAGATGACACCTTCTCGGACACTCCAAAATACTGGATGCGCTTTGATGACTTAGCAGCTGAGCGGGTTACGTTGATTGACATTGAGCAAGCACTCAAGACCGAGTCGCCCTACCTTTTGTTCTATCAGATCTTACCGATTCATGAGGATGCGGCGGCAGTCAATCTAGGCTACAAGCCGCCATCGTCTGACACATCTCGGGACTCTGGTGAGCTAGATGCCGTCAGCATCCCCAGGAAGCTACAAGCGCTGGCTCTGGATGATACAATCATCGATGGTATAGAGGGGAACAGATCTGCTCGGCCCAGTTTTGAGATCACCAGCCCAGATGGCGCGGATCCTGTCCCTGTGGACTCTAATGGAAGGAAGCAGAGCGTGACCTTCTCTGAAGCTTTTGAGCCCGGGCTTCAGATGCAGTCTAACCCATCGACTTCACCTAGGTTAACTCCGCGGGACGAGGAAGGCAGGAACTCGTTCTCATTCTCTCGACGCGGTTCTAGAGCAACAAGGAGCACCCCGGGAAGTCGCACCGGGAGTCAAGCCAGTGAGAATAGAATCAGCTTCAGCTTCTCGCGGTTCACTGGTCGGCTCAGCCGGGACCGATTCGCAGAAAGCGAAGGCGAAGACGAAGAGATAGCGGAGAACGAGCTTGCTCCACACGACCGTCTTCCACCGCCGCCTACAGAGCGGAAGGATAGAAGCCCTAGACGGACTCGAGACTCGGATCGATATCGAGACAAGATCAAAGACAAATCTCGTGAGAAAATTGGACGGAAATTGGACCGCGAATGCACAGTAATGTGAAATGGTGGTTGGTGTATTTCTTGCTATTGTCTTTGTTCTTGTTGTACAACGTCGCCTCTGGATTCGAAGTTGCATGGTTCGCCAGGCATGAAGTCACTGAGATTCAGTGATGATGCATGATTTATGTGGTTATGAAATCTCTTGTGTTTGGAGATGCGCCGGCGTTAGAATAGACAGCGGTATACCAAAAGCATCGAACTACTGGTAGGAACCCAGCCTCTGTAGCATAGCATGTGGCGAGGCACAGGCAATTCAATAATAATATCATTACTACAGAATCCCTATGTTTTTCACTGTCTGAAATACTAGTTGACTGGCGTCCGGAACAAATCAATATTCTGTCAGTTTCAGGCCGAGGCGGGAATCTGCCCAGGCATCCACCGCCCTTTGGAGCTCCTCTCTCACTTCCCCACTCCCTCCTCCAATTCGTCATAATCGGCCACTCGCGCTTGGGGCGACTGACATTGTCTTCCCAGCTTGACTCAAAGCTTCTCAATTGCGGTTCCGGTATGATCTAATCCGGATAGTCAATATCGGCGCATCATGGCGCTGGAGACGTCAGGCGGCTATGTTGCTCCCAGCAACCTCACGGAAGCTGGGGATTCTGCGCTTTCCATGTTCGATGTCCGGCATGTTCAGCTTCAATTTCCTCTTGCAGCGGACTTTGTAGCCGCACAGGTAGCCAACAATGTGCTCATTCTAGCTTTGTCCACCGGGCGAATCCTCCGTATTGACCTGGATACCCCGGAGGATATTGATGGTCAGTCGAGTTCCCCCGCCATAAGGAGCAAGCACCGCTGCTCAACCTCTTCCGCGCAATGCTGATTGGGTCCTGCATTTAGATATTGACCTTCCCAAGAAGTCATCGGAAATCGGTGTGATACGGCGAATGTTCCTTGATCCCTCCGCATCTCATCTCATCATCACAACCACCCTCGGCGAGAACTATTACCTGCACACTCAATCACGACAACCTAGACCTTTATCGCGACTGAAAGGTGTTTCAATCGAGAGTATTGCGTGGAATCCATCGCATCCAACAGCTTCGACGAGGGAAATTCTGCTGGGAACTACGGATGGGCAGGTCTGGGAGGCTTACATTGAGCCGTCGAGCGAATTCTATCGGCGCGAAGAGAGGTATGCGCACGCCGTCTACAGGTCCCTGGAGGGTTCGCCGGTGACGGGTCTGTGGGCGGAGGTGATCCCAGCGAAGCCGGAGCTGAGACGGGTGCTTATCGCAACTCACGGCAAGCTACTAAGCTTCTTGGGGCGCACCGGGAGATACGGACGAGAAGGTGGTAGCCCAATATACGCCGATCTCTTCCAACGCGAAGCGCCCGTAACCCATGAAATTCAAAAGCCCTCCGGCGCTGCCCCGTCGATGCTGGCAATCTCGCCAATCCTCACGGACGCGCAGACTACGGGGGGTGTGACCGATAAGGAATTTTCGTGGCTCAGTTCTCAGGGTGTGTTCCATGGACCACTTCCATATGCGCCTGAGAAGCTCAACAAGCCATTTGAAAGCGCCAGCATGCTTCCGCGATCTGTTTTCCCAGCGAGTGAATCCGCGCGAGGCGGTAAGAAGCTCATTCAGGATCCCATCTCCGCCGTGACGATGTCACCGTGGCACATCTTTGCCCTCGTGGAAGGCAGAATTGTCGCTGTGAACCGCATGAGTGAGGAGATCGTTTTTGATGAGGCCGTGTTGGAGCCGGGGCAGAGTGCGCTGGGTCTTCTGACGGACGTGACACAGCATACTTATTGGCTGTTCACTAGCCGCGAGATTTACGAAATTGCCGTTGAAGACGAGGATAGGGATGTTTGGAAGGTTTACCTACAGAAACAAATGTTTGATCAAGCTCTGCAGTACGCTCGCACAGGGGCTCAGAAAGACGTCGTCGCCACGGCTTCCGGTGATTTCTTGGCAGACAAAGGCCGTTTTCTTGAGGCGGCCGCCGTCTGGGGTAGGAGCAGCAAAGGATTCGAAGAGGTCTGCCTGACACTGATCAACCGCGGAGAGCATGACGCGCTGCGCAAGTATTTATTGTCTCAGCTCTCGACGTACAAGAAGTCTTCGTCCATGCAGCGCATCATGGTTGCAAGCTGGCTGGTCGAGGTCTTCATGAACAAGTTGAATTCTCTCGACGACAACATTGCTACTCGAGCGGAACTAGCTGAGGGAACCAGCACTGAGGAAGTCAAAGATGAGCTTGGCATTGTCCGAGCTGAGTTCCAGGATTTTGTCACTCGGTACCGGTCCGATCTGGACAAGGAAACGGCATACAATATTATCAGCAGCCACGGTCGTGAAGAGGAGCTACTCTTCTTCGCTACAGCCGTCAATGACTATAACTACGTTCTTTCGTACTGGATCTTACGGGAGAAATGGACGGAAGCCCTCAATGTATTGCAACGGCAAAGCGACCCCGATGTGTTCTACAAATATAGCAGCGTTCTCATGACACACGCTGCTGCTGGACTGGTCGACATTTTGATGCGACAGACAAACTTGGAGCCCGAGCGGCTGATACCGGCTTTACTCAATTACAACAAGACTGTGAATGTTCCATTGGGGCAGAACCAGGCCGTGCGATACCTCAACTTCATCATCGTCAATCATCCTAACCCGTCTGCCGCCGTCCACAACACCCTGATATCCATTCATGCCTCCAGTGCCTCAACGTCTGAGGCAGGGCTTCTCACCTATCTGCAATCACAGCAGTCGTCGCCCCCGCCGTATGATGCCGACTTTGCTTTGCGTCTCTGCATCCAGCACCAGCGCGTTCAATCGTGTGTACACATCTACAGCGCCATGGGACAATATCTGCAAGCTGTGGAGCTGGCTCTACAGCATGATGACATCGAGCTGGCAGCGATCGTGGCCGACCGACCGGATAGTAACGAAAAGCTCCGAAAGAAGCTCTGGCTGCTTGTTGCGGAGAAGACGATCCAACAGCCGGGCAAGGGGATTAAGGACGCGATTGAATTCCTCCGCCGGTGCGAGTTGCTCCGCATCGAAGACCTCATTCCGTTCTTCCCGGACTTTGTCGTCATTGACGATTTCAAAGACGAGATCTGCAGTGCGCTCGAAGAGTATTCCCGACACATCGACGCCTTGCGGCAGGAGATGGACAACTCAGCACACACGGCCCGGCAGATCCGCACGGAGATTGCGGCGCTCGACACGCGCTATGCCATTGTGGAACCTGGAGAGAAATGCTGGCTCTGCTCGTTGCCCGTGCTCAGCCGACAATTCTTTGTCTTTCCGTGTCAGCATGCTTTCCACAGCGACTGCTTGGGTAAGGAGGTGCTTGAGGGCGCGGGAGGCAAGAAGAAGTATATTCGGGACCTGCAAGCACAGCTCAACAAGGGAACTCTTAGTGCGGCGCGACGGGAGGAAGTGGTGCGTGAGCTCGATGGGCTGATTGCGGACGCCTGGTACGTTTCAACCCCCCCTTAGGAGTCTAGCAGTGTCACTAACGAGAATGAACAGCATCCTCTGCGGCGACCATGCAATTAAGCAAATCGACCGGCCATTCATTGAAGGCTCCGAAGGGGTAGATGATTGGGCATTGTAGTGGAAGACTTTTTTTTGGTAAAGACGTTATGAGTTCGGTTTTGAGGGCATGCGTGACAGGAATAATGGGGAGTGCATTATCAGCGTCGAGCAATTCATTGAATGTTCTTGTATAATCCAGTGGCAAGCATGGTTGAGAACATATATACATACATCAAACTTAGTAAGGTATGCTTATGAGCAAGTTACGCGATGAACGACAGTCCATAGGCCACCTAGTCAGCTACTAGTCACCCATATCGGCTCTCTGCTGAGGGCTTCTCCACCAACAGCTATCATCGCGTGTTCGCACCTGAGCCCAACCAGTCTTCTTTTGCCATGGCAGCTGGAAGCTGAGTACGAAAAATTACAACCCCACCCCCTTGAATGCACCCTTCCTCAGGGTAAAGCCAAAACTGACCAAAACTCTGATCTCCTTGCCATTGAAGTACCTAACATGCACAAGCCGCTCGCAGAACCCCGATCTAAAACCTGGAAATCTGGTGCATCCCCAGCGTACTGGCCGCAGCACCAACAGCCTACCTACTAGTAACAGATGAATCAAGCAAGTGAGTCAAGATATGTGTGCCATGTTATGCTCTGCCATGCAAACAAAAAAAATCCAGCGAGATGTATGTATGATATATCCAAGTGCGCAGGAAGACAGGCAGGCAGGCAGGCAGGCGTATACAGTTCATCTCCTTCCCAAGTTATTCCTCGCATGAAGCCAAAGCCTGAATCTAGTATGTATAACATATAACGTACTCTGTACCTTCTACAGAGTTTTGCATGTTGTTGGATCATCCGCTGCATGATGTTTTGCACTCGGGGATCCTTGAATTCTTCTCCTTTTGCTCTGTAACAACCAGTGACCTACCGTACTTGTCTATCTAGTTACCAGGAATAAGTACTGCAGTGTACAGTATTTGCCTGTTCCAAGTCGAGCCACGAGTTCAATTCAGTTGGTTGTACAACTGTACAAACATATGCAGGGAATGACTAAACCACCTCCCCCACCCCCCAAAGATCCAGAACTAGGTACCTACTCCTTATATAACCACAGCACTATACTCCCTCACTAGTTACAGTACCGGTACTTTCTCCATCAAGAAGTCCGTGCACGCACGGGGCTGTCGCAAGTAAATGCAGTGCAAAACGCTTTTTCCGATGGGGGTGGGGAGGGTGCGAGACAGAGGGCTTTTCTGTTGGTTGTGGCTGCAGAGAGGAGGATCCCTGCACTGCAGCAGCAGCAGCAGCAAACAACAGGCCAGATGTGCAGATGTTTGGGGCTGCATCCAAGCGCCGACTTTCCACTTCCCTTCCCCCCCTCCCCCTTGATTGTGGTGGATTTGTTGTTGGTGGGCGGTGAGGATGGAGAGAGGGAGGGAGAGGAGGTGGTGTTTCAGGTAGAGGGGATATGGAAGGGCTAGATTGTGGTGAGAAGTAGTGTGCTGATTCGTATTTATAGGTGTTGAGGTAGAGCTTTGAGGTGTTGTTGACGATGAGTTGATACTAGGGGGGATATTGCTGCCTGAGGGTTGTGGCTGCTATAACGGCTTTCCCAATCAGATCTGTTAATTTTGATGGAAACACCGCCAGTTAGGGAGACTCAGACAACGAGAGAGAGAGAGAGAGAGAGAGAGAGAGGCCTTGATCAATTAGTCAGGCCTTGATCAATTAGTCGCCGCGTCAAAACTCATTGAATCAATGCGGGAACCAAACTCAAGAGTAGCAGTTTGTAAATTATACACATTGTTGAACCCTACATCTACATTCAATGTCAAACAACCAGAAACGATTGAACCATTTGACAAGCTCACTAATCCCTGAGCCAACTGGATCGGTCCATTGGGTTGGGAATAATGAGTCTTGTGGAGGATATACTGCAGCTGCCACCATGTCTCACAGAACCTGGGATGATTCCCAATGCGCCTTGCAGCTGAAGCAGAAGGAGGAGAGAGAGAGGGAGATACGGTAGGGGTTTCTTTTTCGATTCGATTCTTCATGTTTCTCCTCGCCCTTTCGGCTTCCCCCTTCACTGATGCAGCGGATTGTTTCGTCATTCAGCTTGTTTTGTCTGTGCCATGTTCAACGTTACAGTACAAATAACATATCATGCATGCGGGCACACACACAGAGAGAGAGAGAACAATTGCATGGTCCGTGAGGGGAATACGAACTCCAAGGTTGAGGAACTCGACGCGAGTACTCCGTAGTTTACAATTCTCTCAAAGCATCAATTGACTAGCCGATGATTATCTGTAAACTGTAAATGGGCTGGGTCAGGGCCTCATAATTGGGGAAGCCAACCTCTTGTAAAGTTGTTGGGGTTTTCTAGATGGCGAGTAGAAAGGATTCAACCAGTTGGTGTCGGTATCCTTGCGGGGAGAAACCAAACCAGACCAATCAACAACCACTGCAGATCGTGCGGGGTAAAAACCGTCTCCGTAGATGATTTAGTTGGAGTTGCATTCAATCGATGATCCTCACTCGCACTCATCACCCAACTGGCCGGTCGCGTGCTTCTTTCTGAGTTCTGATAGTACGTCCTTTACGGCTGAGCTCGGAAATATGTAGGTAGCCACCGCACATCTATCCACTGGCATGGTGGGTTGATCGATTGCTGATAATCAATCAAGTTGACAAGCAACGGGAAGTGAACGCTACGGCCGGAGTGTTTCTCGAGTTGCAGTTACTGTGTATGGTCCCCAATTCAGTGGCCCAATCAATGAATCAAATCACTTATAATCGATCGTCAGACCAACAAGGAGAAACCACCATCTTATCGTCCTCCGTTTCACGCAGCTATCACCAGCAATCCTCTCATTCGCAGCTATCAGCTCGGCTGTTGATCCCCGTAACTAATCGCTGATAAGACCATCCAAGGTTCAGCCCAAGTCCGGTTTATCGACCGAGTCTGGGATCCCGCCAGGTGTATCGTGTCCACTTCCTGTCCCATGGATGAGAAACTCTATGGAGGGGGGCGCAGTGCCAGGTGACTTGCGAAAAGGAAGATCGAGAGAGAACAGAGGATGGATCCTGATAATCCTGACTAGCCATGCTGCTATGGTAAGGGTGGTGTGGTTCCCTGCCGGGGAATCGCGTGATACCCGTGAAAATCAGCCACCTGGCAGGCGGGCAGAGATCAAAAAGTCCCTCTCGCTATCTCGACCTGCTAATCGTGGGGAAAATCCACCGTTGTTAGTCGTCGTTAGTCAGAAAGCTTCCACGTAGTAAGTTAGAGCATAGACACTTTCTGCTTGCATGATCAATCAGTCAGTCAAGTGTACTCCGTAGTTCAGGCTGCAAGGACCAAACCTTAGCAATACAAAAAAAAAAAAAAAAGAAAAAAACCCTCTCAACAGGAAGCGGTCAAGCGGTCACACCGCCAGAACACCACCAGATGCAAGCCCCAGAAACATGCCAGCCACGGGGCGACAACAGCGGCAGGTCGACCACGAATGCATCCAAGCTGGTTGTTTTCATCCACCTGCATGGAGTTGGAGACGTAAGCCACCTATTATCCTCAGACATCCCCGCAAAAGAATTCTGTAACAGCCAGACAGATTGACCGATAACGACAATCAGAAACACTTAAAATCCCGCGCGGTAAACAAACAGGATCAACGTCTACCGCTGTTGAATGCTTGCTCACTCACTGTACAGAGTACAATGTAAACACTATAAAGGTCAGGCACGCACATGACCCTCTCAGCGCTCTCCTCATGGTCCATACTAAAGTATCTCAGTATATTCCGTAATTCTGCACAAGTTGAGATTCAATAGGCGCAAATTAGCCAGTCATCTTGGGCTTCTCGAAATTATGCCATCGGTCACTTTCCCCATACATCCGCGACCCGATCGTCGATGATCGTCCAGGCCCTCCCCCGGGCGTCATTCTGTGTTCCCTTGTTGCAGAGTGACTCGGACCAATAGATGGGGCAATTATTGGCCACGACGCCGCCCACTTGTTACTTGCTCAGGGCTGGCGTCATGCAGCCTGGAGATAGTGTGACTCCGATTCTCGGTCATAGGTGGTCCGGGGAAAGCCCGGACCCACAGAGGACCGGAAGAAGTCTAGGGCCGTTCGCCCTAGTCGCCACCCAGAAGCTGCTCCGCCATCGGCCGAGGCCAATTTCAATTCCTAGGCGCAGCTGAAAATGGAAACATGGTTGCGCAGCCATCGTCATCAGTCTTTTGTCCGCCGACTTGCCGGTCGGAGTGGAGCAGTGTTTACACAGTATGCTATGAATAAATACTGCCCAATGTGGACAATTACTTACTCATTTGCTGTAACGGGTTAGTTAGCTGTTAGTGAATAGTGATGGCGATAATAATAATAATAATAATATATTATCAATGATGACGGCCTCAAGGATCGATCTAGATCGAATTGGTCCGTGAGACCTCGAGATGAGGAATCAGAGGTCAGTGGCTTGTGTCAGGTCCATTGATCATTGATGGCGTTATGCAACAACCTGTCCGAAATATGGGGGAGGGGGAGGATAATTCTTTCTGCCACCACACTACAGCTTCGGAATGGTGTTGCCTGTCATCATCATTTATTGACAGACACGAGAGGCATTTGACTTTCCGTCTTTCACATAGCAGAATACGTCGTTGACTATGCCTATGGAGTCATAATTATAATCAAGGATGCTCTCCCTCCGATAACGATGGGGCCGGGGACGGAGAGACCCTGCTTGGACCTGCAGGAACCTCACCTTAGTCATAGCGACGGTGCTGTCTTGGTGCTGTCTTGGTGCCCAGGTTCAGCCAGAGTGTGATATCTTATCAAGTTGGTTGTTGGATGGGGAGGATTAATGTCGCTCCAGCTTGTCTTTTGAAGTTTAATGTTAGTTACTTATAGTTACTCTGGGGAGACCAGAATCATTGTAGTTAAAAAAGGTTCTTACTTCGGTTAACTTATCAATTGACTTTACTTCTATCTCTCATCCAGCAGCGATAACCTCCTTCTCCTCCACCTCTTCTCCAACCTATCCACCCGCGGGCCCTGACTCCAAGGTCCCTTGGGTAAAGGGCCGCAGAGTCGGCGGCCGGGGGGGGGGGTGTGGTGGCCAGCGTTGTCTCCATCTCTATTGTGTTTGACTTTGGGTCTCGATCGTTGTCCTCTGCGGCGAGTACCTTGTGTTTTCATTCATGGTTTATTTTCGATACTGTACTTATGTGTAACTCGAAGGCGAGACTCGTTTCGCAATCCTATCATATTTTTGGCGTACTGTGTAGTGTTTTATTTTTCAATGTAATGGGAAGGCTTGACGGCCCGGCAACCTGGCAGGGAGACCGGAGGGGAGGCGACACTCCAAAACCTTTGTTTGGAAGGGAATGCGTGGTCAGTGCCTGGGTGATGATAGGCAGGCAGGGGTCAGTCATGGACTGGAACGCTGCTGAAACCACTCACTCAACTGTTGTTGTTGTTTACCGTGTAACCCCGTGGACTCCCGTTACTGGAATCTTACTGGGACCTTACTGTTGGGAGTCGGTAAGATACCGCCCGACTGCCTTCTGGCATTTACTTTCCACCTTTCCAGTCACGCAACCACTCATTCATGATCATCTCATCAAACGCCATCCATTCTGGAGGAAGGAATTATGGAGAATCCCTCGGGGTCCTCCATTGACTACCTGCTAGACACACCCGGGAAAAGAGAGTGAGCTGTCTCCGAGGTATGTAGTAAGTAAGCAAAAGAATCAAGAGGATGGCAATGGAGCTTGCTGAATCATCTGGTTTGTACGGAGCAGTTAACGGAGTGCCCGGGCGGATGTTTTCGGCGACTGCCAGGGCCGGAGGGACGGAGAACTACACTGTACTCCGTACAGAGAGAGAATGACGGATGATTCATTCAGGGGGGGCGTTGCTGTGGAGCTCTCATCTGGCCGGAAACGGGCCCTCAAGTTCCTCGACCTGCATCCATCATCTGAGTGCCTGAATTGAGCGAAGAGTGACTAATCAGCGACACAGAGAGAGAGAGAGAGACTCGAGACATGTGCACTCACTGTTGTGTCTGTCTGTCTGTAAGTGTAAGTTCCGTTATGTAAGTATGTATCCTGTCCCACCTCCACTGTACATACGTACCAGTCAACAAGGTGGAGTGGAGACTCAAGTTGCGGGTGAGATTGGATGAACTCGGCAGATGGTTACCGGTTTTTACCACGAGGTACCTCATATTCAGGCTGCAGGAGGATGGATCATGGATGTGCAGCTGTGTATTGGTATGGTACGTAACGTGCCAGTTATTGGCTGGCCGAGCCACTCCCTCCCACAACTACGTAGTACTCTTTCGTACCTCTGTAGGAGGTTCTCGCTCGTTCGCCTACCTTCCGCCATGGGGGAACCAACCTTTGGGTTCAACCCCCCTCTCAATAATTCATTGACTTCTGGGTCTTTCGCCCCTCCAACTAGTTCTCATTTGGGTTTAGTGGAGACCCAAACTGCTATCATCTCATCCGGTACCTCCCCTTATCCCTATCATCTACTTGCTCCCCCCCCCCAGAAGCCCAAGTTAGTCACTCTCGGGTCAATCAGTCATACTCCTACCAGTCTGGCACCTAGTCATCGTTTCTCTTCCTCCTCCTCCCCCCCCCCAATAACTATCCGCATTCCATTCCTCTCTCATCTTCCTAACTCCCTCCTCCATCCTATTCTACCTTCTACCTTCTACCTCCTACTTTCTCTCTTCACCTTCCCACCTTCCACCTCTTCACCTCGCTTCGCTCCGCTCCTCCAAACCTCATCTATACCTCCTAGCCGCCCTCAACATCTCCGTTGCTCCTTCCTCCTTATCTACTACGCCTCCTCGACTACTCGCCACCTCGCCTTCTTCAATACAAATCCAACCCCGTCTCCCATTAGCTCATCCATCTTCAACCTCTTCGCTCCATCATTGTTGCGACACGATACAGTGCTTTGACAAGTTCTACATCTGATTAGACCAACGTCGTGTTCTTCTCCACTGGATCTACTTCAGAAACTGCACTGCTTCTGGTTGCATCAACAAGCTTGAACACGTCCGCTTTACCTCGCCTTGTCTCGTCTTTTGCCTGGCCTTCCCAACACCTATCCCCCGTGACTCATTTTCGCTCTCAAGCCAACCACGTCGAGTGCTTCCTCGGACCCACGTTTCGTCTACCTAACTGCAGACTGTCCTTCGAAGCCTTGCTACGTTTCAATCGCAGACAATACGTGTGAGGGTGTCGCTCCGCTCTGAGGTCAACACTGCTTAGTTGTCCATCCGTTCGCCGCGCAACCTTGGCCGGGTGCTGGTATCTGGTTCTTCAGCTCGCCCATTACCGGGACAGAAGACCCTACCTACCAGTTTTCCACAGCCTCGGTCTCCTTATATAGTCTCCTACTTTACCACCAGGACTATATAACAGCTATCGGTCATTCTATGACTCGATAGTGTCCGACCGCTCCCTCTCCTTTTGAGTCACGACCTTTACCTCGTCCTTCAGCCTGGTGTTGGAAGGCCTTTTTGTTACGAGCCTTGTCTGTTTATACTCTTGGTGTTTACGATATCTACGCAGCGTTCTTCCTCTCATCTTACAACTTGTTGACCAACTGTCCATCCGCCGGACACAGCCATTCACTTCGATCACATTCTTTCCTCGCAATATACTTTCCTCACCCTCGGCCGTGAGCCTATTATATTTGTGAAAACGATATACCGATGCACTCATAACAGTCTCTACAAACCATTTCCTATCGTCGTTCGAAATCCTTAAGGGCATTTCTGATTTGTGCCTTCCGCCTCTCCATTCTCGTCAACCTTTTCTTTTTGTTCACTTTTTTGTCACCATATTCTCTTGACTTTCCGGTATTTATACGATAAATCCTGAACCGACAACAATTGTTTCTTTTGTCGTTTCGCTCTTCTCCGCTTCCGCTTCCCCCTCCTCTCACCTTCGACTCTTCTCTCTTGGATCTGGGTGGTGTCAAGATCTGCTTGGACTTTGATCTTCATTGTTAGCATCATCGTTCGAGTGCACATTCAACTCGAGCCTGGTCAATCGACTATTTCGAACACGCTCTGAGCAAGTGAGCTTGTTTCTATATCCTATCTCGACGATCATCTCTGGGAGACCTCGTCCTGTTAGAGTATACACATAACAATGGAGTGCCTCAAGAACAATTTTGTTGAGGGCCAACTTTTGGATGGACGGTTCCGGACCGTCGCCCCTTTGAACCATGGATCTTTTGGCATGGTCTTCCTGGCAACTGACTTGCAGACTGGTCAAGATGTCGCCATCAAGTGCATGACCAAATCTTCCTCTGGCGATCCTTCGAATCCTTCTCCATATGATGCCCGCACCGAGGAGCTGGAATGTCACAAACGTCTCAGGTTCCATCCGAACATCGTCAACCTCATTCATTCCTTCGAAACAGATGCTCACATGTATCTCGTTCTGGAATACTGTTCAAATGGTGACCTGTACGAGGCAATCCGGCTCAACCGTGGTCCGTTGGAAACCGAACACGTGCGAGACTTCATGCTGCAACTCGTGAGCGCAGTGGAGTTCATGCACGCAAATGGCCTGTATCATCGTGACATCAAGCCCGAGAACATTTTCTTGATGCAGGATGGCTCCATGAAGTTGGGTGATTTCGGTCTGGCGACGCGGGAGGCTTGGTCTCATGAGGCCTGCGTTGGGAGTGACCGTTACATGGCTCCCGAGCAGTACGACCCCTCTACTGTCGGCTATTCCCCCGCAAAAGCCGACATCTGGGCGATTGGGATTTGTCTTCTGAATGTGCTCTTTGCCCGAAATCCCTTTGCCACGCCAACGGAATCCGATATCCTCTACGCAGACTACGTTCGGGATCGCCAATCGCTGTTCGACATCTTCCCCAACATGTCTCAGGATACCTTTGAAATTCTGAGAACTGCCCTTGCTATTGACCCCACGAAGCGTTCTCTTTCTGGCATTCGCGAGGCTATCTTGCGTGCTGTCACGTTCACGACAGATGATGACGCGCTGGACGAGTTCTGCACGGACGACCGTGAGGTGGTTGCCGCCAGTGCCAATCGGGAGCCGCTTCGGACCCCTTCCATCCAGAGTCCTCATATCAACCAGGGCGACTCGTTCCCCTGGGCCAAAGCTCTCCAAGCCAGCCCTCCCCAAACCTTCCGGCAGCTCTCTGCCATTCCCGACAACGAGAGTTACACAGAAGACCTTTTCCCTCCCTCGGAAATTGCTGGTACCTCCTGGTTTTCTGTCCACCAGGGTACCCCATCTATGGCCTCCGTCCTGGAGTCTGCCATGGGTGAATCATTCCGGTCTCCCCCGTTCCGCAGGAATGAGGTTCGATTCCCGCCTCCTTCGGATCCCGTCCCGATCACCGGCTCTTTGCCGAGCAATGCTACCAAGCGTCTGCCTTCACTTTCGATGGTTTTCGGCAAGAAGAAAGAAGAGCAGATCTCCAAGAGCTGGAGCGACCTCTGGGATGAGGAGGAAGAATCTGAAGTTGAGGATTTGGCTTTCCAGCAGCGTCGCGAGCAGAACTCACGCAGCTGGAGTCACGAGAGCAACACCCCGGAGATTCGTGGATCCCTGACTGCCCTGCATGAAGTGGTCAGCAATTCTCTCCTCAACGTTCGCGCCCACCAAATGAACACATCTCACGAGAATTCCGAGAAGGTTGTTTCCAAGTCCTGGGACCCGAGAGCGGGTATCACTGCTATCAAGACCCCACCTCGCTCTCCTGATGCCTCCCCGCAGAAGTCGAGCCTCGACAAGTGGTCGGCGCTGGGGGATCGCCGGAGGAACTTTAAATCCCCTGAGAGCTCTTCTGGAAAGAAGTTTTCAAGCAACATGAGTTGGAGGAAGGACTGGGGACTAGGATCTTCCGGCTTCGACTATGGCTCATGGGCCAAGAAAGAGACTTTCACTCCTCCGGACCGTGAGCGTCGTCGTCGTCCCTTCCAGGAGAAGGGTCGGCGTCGTGATGCCTGGGAGTCTCCAAAGGCCGCCAATACCAAGGCTGCGAACCATTACGATGGCAGCGTCGACGAAGATCTCGATCTCGTCGGTGGCTGGCACGACCTTCACCTGTAAGGAGCTTAGCCTCACCTCTGGTGCCGGTGTCTGACGTTCCTCCACTCTATTGTACCGTCCAATATCACCGAGAAGAGCAAACCAGTTAATAAACAAACATTTCAACAAATATTCCGACTTGTTTTCACTTTCGTCCTTTCCACTTCTACTCCGATGCATTTCTCTATGCGGTCACGCAAGACTGGCATCTGGCGCCAGGCGACCTTATATTCACATTCAAACTTATATTCTCTTCCCTCTTCTTACCCTATAGAATGTATGTGGCCTTGTGCCCATCTATCTGTCAGTGTTTGCTTGTTCCCTATTCTGTATAATATGACGCTATCCGACGGAGTCAGCAGTGGTGGTGACGAGCAGGTCAAAAGTAACTCATCAACTGATAACCGGAAAACAGTCTTTTTGCTGGAGTGTTTTTGACTTCCTTTTCTTTTTACTCCTCTTCTCTCCTCCCCTCTTCTCAAAATGTACGTTTCTCTTCTCATCAAAAGAAAAAAGGGTTCACATGTTTGGGGATTCGTTGGACGACGACGCAGGAGGACGATGGCGTGCAGCAGGCCGTGTCGCTATTTTCCTTATTCGATTCTTACCTATGGAAAACAAACAGAAACAATGAAGAAGACGAACGGTCGCTCTTTCATCCATAACTTTCTTTGGACGGCTCTATCTCTCCTGGGACCAGATGTTGGATTGGTTGGGAATTCTGTGCACTACATGTACTTAACCGAAACAGTCGAGTAGGTAGCGGTGACGAGGCGGCTGGCTAAGCATTAATGAGCCAGGAATCAAACACCGATTCTCGTGTCTTTGGACTTGTCCCTCATGTAGACAAAATATAATGTCGGATCTGAAGCTGCTTGGCACAGTATAGCAGAGTGTAGCTTTTAGTACGGGCAGGCGGTGAACGATGCGGAGAAGACTCACAATAGGCAGGCGATGACGATCGAATCATTGTCTCCGTTTCGCTATCTCCGTCTTTTAGTCTACGAAGTTGCTGCCAGTCTGGCCTTCACTTCAATAGTGAGTGGAGTGACGGTGGGCAAGAAGTCTAGCAGTCGGATCCGATCCAGTCATCGTCTCCACTCACCTCCCTTACTGGCGCCATACTGTGATTTCCTCTTGACCGTGCTCGTCTTCCCTGCGTGGTCTCTGTGCTTACGGACGGAGAATGAGACCAAGCTGGGATATTCAGCAAATGACTATTAACTAAAGTACCCTTTTCCCATAGGATTCCTATTGCACAGGCCATGCGCGCCTGTGTGCGGCGGTCGAATTATTTTCCCGTAAGGTTGAGCAGTGGAGAGAGACACTAACTGCTACGATTTAACGATCGCGCACAAAGTCGCCCTTCCCGGCGCTGGGAGCAACAAAATCCCAGGTTTAAGACATCTCCACTGGCCGCAACCCCTCGGGCGTCAACGAGACTTTGCCCCCAAAAAATGGCGGGGTGGAAGGCGACAACACAATGGATTCCCTGGATGACTTTGATTTCGACCTGGATTGACGGGAGTGGCGCCAACCAGTACCCTTCGATCTGTCGCACTCCCGACGCGCTGCAGCTCGGAGCCGAACTGATCCAATGGCCCATCTGTGTCGAAACACGAGGGCAACATCACCGCCCCGAAGTTGAGGCGGCGATCTACATGGCTCAGATGTCCTCGGTAGGAGCGGAACCTCCTGCGTCAGTGACAATCTCGGCGTCCTCTTCGAGTCACGAAGCAATGACGATACCCACATCTACAGAGGAAGAACAACAGCAGCGGCCCGATCAGGAGCTCGACACCGATTCTCCGCTCGACAATGCCAAGTTTCTGTCTTTCGAAGACTGGAAGAAGCAAAATCTAGCCAAGGTCGGGCAGTCGGTGGAGAACATGGGAGGGAATCGTCCTGGTGGAGTGAATCAGGGCAAGGAAGACCGACGACGGCCTACGGGAATCAATAATGCGCTGGACTCGCTGGGCGACGACGCTGAGATTGAGTTGGATTTTGGCGGGTTCGGCGCGGATACCACACCTGAGGCGACGCGGCCTACGGCTTGGAGTGAGATGGTCTCCACGACCGAGGCGCCAGGCGGGCAGATACCCGGAGCCGGGAATGAGTTCGGCGCGGACGGACTGGCGCAGAGTATGCCTCAAGCGGGAGTATCGCGCTCGAAGGATGCGGGGACGACTTGCAAAGAACGGTTCAATTATGCGTCCTTTGACTGCGCGGCGACGGTGCTCAAGACCAACCCGGAGTGTACCGGTTCGTCGTCGGTGCTCATCGAGAACAAGGATAGCTACATGCTGAACGAATGTCGGGCGAAGAACAAATTCCTCATCCTGGAACTGTGCGATGATATCTTGGTGGATACTGTCGTGCTCGCCAACTACGAGTTTTTCAGCTCCATCTTTCACACATTCCGAGTCAGCGTATCGGATCGTTACCCTGCCAAGTTGGATCAATGGCGCGAGTTGGGGGTCTACGAGGCCCGGAACACGCGCGAGGTGCAAGCTTTTGCAGTCGAGAATCCACTCATCTGGGCGCGGTACGTGAAGATCGAGTTCCTTACGCACTACGGGAACGAGTTCTTCTGTCCCCTGAGCCTGATTCGTGTCCATGGGACCACGATGTTGGAGGAATATAAGCACGACGGGGAGGCTAGTCCCACGGATGATGAGATTTCCGAAGAAACAGCGGAGCCGGCCCCTACAATGGCCCCGCAAGTCGACTCTATAAGTACTGCTGTGGAACTGTCTACTTCTGTGACCATGGAGTCACTCAATGTGACGTCGACCGGGAAGCCAGAGGAAGAAGCTTGCCGCCAGACCGGATCGGATATGGATGTGCCAGAGCTGCGCGAGCTTCTGGGGCTTCTAGATACCTGTGACGACCACGAGGCGTCTGCTACTAGTGCTGGGTCTGATGTGCCAGCCCAGTCTCCGTCTGACCGATCTGTTCCAAACGAAGCGTCTCCGTCTCAGGCTACAGTTACCATGTTCCCAGGGAAGGCCGACGAGGCTTCGTCTCGAGAGCACGGAGAACAAAAGCCGTCAAGCATAGTGGGAGCCATCGCGGCAGACTCACTCTCGTCCTCAACAACTATAACTAACCCTGAGATTGCAACTCCAAGCGCCGTCACCGAAGCGGATAGCAAATCTACTATAATGCCAAAGGACGAACCCAGCAGTGTAGCGGAACCAACCAGGTCAAGTATGACACAACCACCGTCGGCGAACCCTACCACACAGGAGTCGTTCTTTAAGTCCGTGCATAAAAGACTCCAGATGCTAGAATCTAACTCAAGCCTGTCGCTTCAGTATATCGAGGAACAATCACGGATTCTGCGTGATGCCTTCAACAAGGTTGAGAAGCGGCAGCTGGCCAAGACTTCGACATTTCTCGAGGGCTTGAATGTGACAGTGTTGAATGAACTCAAGCAGTTCCGAGAACAATATGATCAAGTATGGAAGAGCGTGGCGCTAGAGTTCGAACACCAGCGCATTCAGTACCACCAAGAGATCCAGTCGCTTAGTTCGCAACTGGGCGTGCTGGCGGACGAGCTGGTCTTCCAAAAACGCGTGGCGGTCATCCAGAGCATGATGATCCTCTTCTGCTTTGGACTGGTGCTCTTTGCGCGGGGGACGGCCAGTGGTTACATTGAGATTCCTCGTGTGCAGAATATGGTCACGCGGTCGTACAGCCTGCGCTCATCCTCGTCGCCATCCCCGCCGTACGGTTCTCCGTTGGTGAGTCCGACGTCTACTCGAGCAACGTCTTCTTGCCGACGCACCAGCGGACATCGGCGGAACCTATCCGAGGACTCGCAGGACGAGCTGCTCAGCCCAACGCTGGCCTACTCGCCACCCACGCCTGTATCTGATTCCATGAGTATGGCCGAGGAGGAAGAGACCGAGGCTGGAAGAGAGAGTACCCTTGAGCTGCCGGAGATTGTTCCTCCGGTCCAGCGGTCGCGTAGCAGTCCACCTGACCTACCGCGCGAAGGAAGCGTCCCGGGATCGAAAGAGTCTCCAGTAGACCACGTCAACGAATTCTCGGGGTAACAGATGGATTGGCCTGCTTGGGCCGAGGGGGTGGCAAAGAGCATTGCAGCTGTCTCAAGCCAGCTGCGTGTTTCCAGGTCAACTCGGTCCCTTGTTTTGATATTTGTCTGTCTGTGAAGGGGGTGTTTTTTTTGGGCTGGGCCTGTGATTGGGTTGTTTGTATCTATGTATTTGTATTATTTGGCAACACGACCTGAGATGACTAGATCACGCATAACACAGTGTAAGTTAATTCTAATTAGTTGTTCCGCGTGGACTGAGAAGGAATGAATGGATGATCTCATTCGGATGGTTGCCATGACAACAATCGATGCGGGTTTTTTTTCCCATCCGCCGGGCTGCTGCTGCTTATCCTTTGAGCCTCTTCTCTCTCGGTCTCTCTCTGCCTCCACTCCATAACCTCCATCTGCACTCCGTCTACCACATCTTCCTCCACACGCACGAAGAATCCCTGCTACCGGACACTCTATCTCAACCATGGACGCTCAACCCTTGACCGACCGCTCCACCAACACCCACTTGGGGACCGCCGAGGAGACGGGCAAGCCGATTAACTCAATGGACTACCACCGTCAGAAGCTGCAAGGCAAGCTGGAGAGCGGAGAAAGGTACGGCTATGTGCGCAGCTTCTTCTGGCTGTGTCTCCTGTGCTTGCACTGCCATAATACAGTTTACTGACTGAGACCGGACGCGTACAGTAACCAAGCCAGCTACGTGTCGCCCTCTGACGAACTGATGAGCCCTTGCTCGAAGAAGTTGAGCGACCTGAAGGGCAAGCGCTTCAAGAAGTATGTTCCTCTTCATCATCCCGTGTTCTTTACAAGCCCCCCAGCTTTCTGGAAAACTCCTCCAACTAACTGGGATGGCTTTCTCATCTGCAGTGCCGGCAAGCCCCAATCCTTGTTCGCCAAACTGGGCAAGAAGAACTTTGAGCAGTCCGCGGCGGCTGAAGCCCAGCGTGAAAAGGAGAACGCCGAGAGCGCTGTCTGACTGTAGCCCGCTTCTGTTTGCATCCATAGAAGATATTCTTGTGGAAGTTGCTCTTCACTGTTTATTTTCCCTCCCTCGCGCGGGTCGCCGGAGAGGAAATTTTTTCTTTTTTTTTTTTTTTCTTTTTCTTTTTTTCTTTCTACTCTTTCTCTTACTTTACCGAGTGGGCTTCTTGATGAATCTGTTCTGGCCTCACGTTCGGGTTTGTTCTGTTATGCATGGGATGAGATTGTTTAATTATGTCTTGCTGGTTGCTTTGTTGTCACGATGATTTGAATGTTATTGGGAGAAAATCAACCGAGGTTGGCATTGGGTGGACACTGAACACTGGGATGGACTTCTGGAGCTGAGGGGTTGATTTTTTTTTTTTTTTTTTTGTGAGATGATGAATTGAATTAATTCTTTTAATGGGGATTACCTTTCTTGTTCGACTGAGTATCAAGTTATCAACTACTTGTACTTGCCGGTACTTACTCAACGTAACTACAGCCCGTGGGAGGCGAGGCCGTTTTTGGTTCAGGTTCACTGGGAGGATCAGCCGAGGTCCCGATCGGCTTCTCCGCTTTCTGTTGCTCTCCGCATACTGCAACAATCATTCAATCACTCCAGCCATCCATCCATCGTCTGATCCAGACTCTTTTTTTTTTTTGTTTTTAAATGATCCCCATGTTGCTATTCCCTCTCCTCTTCTGATTTTGTCCTCACTTTCCCTTTTTCCACCCCGATTCAAGTAATCCACCACCCATCTGAGCCAAAATGCCCGCATCCACACGCATCCCCCCCATCGCCCTCCCCTTTGTCAGTGACCGCGCCAAGAAGACCCTGGACCTGGTATGTACCTCCTCCTCCTCCTCCTTCTTCCTCCTGCCTCTCTATTCAACCCCTCCTCCCTGAAAGAAAAGAGAAGGAAAGAAAATACCCACGACTAAAGAAATCCGAACTAGGTCGAACAATTCGTCGAAAACGACTGCATCCCCGCCGAACCCGTCTTCCAGGCCCAACTCGGCCAGGGCGAGCAACGATGGACCGCCCATCCGGAGATCATGGAGACCCTGAAGGCCAAGGCCCAGCAGTTGGGTCTGTGGAATATGTTCCTGCCCAAGAACCATTTCTCGCAGGGCGCTGGATTCTCGAATTTGGAGTATGGGCTTATGGCGGAGTATTTGGGGAAGAGTACGGTTGCTTCTGAGGTTCGTTGAATCAGTCCTTTCTCAGCATGGAGTGGCTTGGACTCTGGATGGAGTATATGGTACATGGCTGAATCATGATAATACAGGCGACGAATAATGCCGCCCCGGACACAGGCAACATGGAAGTACTGGCCAAATACGGTAACGAGGCCCAGAAGCAGCAATGGTTGACCCCGTTACTGGAGGGGCGGATTCGATCTGCGTTTCTCATGACCGAGCCGGAGGTGGCCTCGAGTGATGCGACGAATATTCAGTTGAATATCCGGCGGGAAGGGAATGAGTATGTCTTGAATGGATCGGTGTGTTTTTTCCCCTTTCCCTCCGCTTTTCAAAACCATCGCTCAGGAAGGGGCCATATAAAATTGACTTCGATAGAAATGGTGGTCCTCCGGCGCCGGCGACCCCCGCTGCGCCGTCTACCTCGTCATGGGCAAATCAGCCCCCAACCACCCAGACCCCTACAAACAGCAATCCGTGATCCTGGTCCCGGCCAACACGCCGGGCATCACCGTGCACCGCATGCTGACGGTGTACGGCTACGACGACGCGCCCCACGGCCACGGCCACATCAGCTTCACGAACGTGCGCGTGCCCGCCGCCAACCTGGTGCTCGGCGAGGGCCGCGGCTTCGAGATCATCCAGGGCCGGCTGGGGCCCGGCCGCATCCACCACGCGATGCGCACCATCGGCGCCGCCGAGAAGGCGCTCGAGTGGCTGATTGCCCGCATCAACGACGACCGCAAGCAGACCTTCGGCAAGCCGCTGGCCTCCCACGGCGTGATTCTGGAGTGGGTCGCCAAGTCGCGCATCGAGATCGACGCCGCCCGCCTCATCGTCCTCAACGCCGCCATCAAGATCGACCAGGGCGACGCCAAGTCCGCCCTCCGCGAAATCGCCCAGGCGAAAGTCCTCGTCCCCCAGACCGCGCTGACGGTCATCGACCGCGCCGTCCAGGCTTACGGCGCCGCCGGCGTCTGTCAGGATACCCCGCTCGCCTACATGTGGGCGCTGATCCGCACGCTGCGCATCGCCGACGGGCCCGACGAGGTCCATCTGCAGCAACTAGGTAAGCGCGAGAATCGCGACCGCAGGGCCGAGATCGTTAAGAAGTTGGACTGGCAGAGGCAAGAGGGTGAGAGGCTGTTGGGGCAGACCGGGTTAAAGATCAAGGGTCGCTTGTAGTGTAGTTCTTGCTTGGATGATGATACTCTAATGGCCATGGGGTCTTAGTTAGACGTATAGTACGGAAGTAATCCTTTGAGGGGGCAAAGCAAAGCAAAGTGATTGGGGAATTAGGAAATGTTTTGTATGTGTAGTCATATGAACTGTCATGTCCGATTCATTCCATACCCTCTCATTCCCATGCAATCCCGACCGAAAAAAGACAAGGAAAGAGAAAGGAAAAAAGAAAAAAAAAAAAAAAAAACAAAACACAAAAGGAAGCCCATATACCGTGACAACATATGTGAAGAAGAACAAAGATAAGAACCAATGATGCAATGGTATGCCGGGATATAAGGAACTCAAGAGAGACAAACATGTAGTTAGTAATAGGGAGAAGAAGCTTTTTGTATCACTCAGTCATGATCCACCACCACAACATCATCATCACGTCCGTCCGCAACTCGCCCGCGAGCTTTTTCAAAAAAATCAAAAGTAAGAGCAGACAGATGTAACCACTAATAGTCATCGTCGGCGGCGCCATTCTTGCGCACCTTCTTGGCGCGCTTCTTGTTCGCCTTGAAATGTTTCTTCGAGTTGCCGCTGCGGACCTCGGACACATCCAGTCCCCGCTCCAGGGCGACCATCATGCGCTCCTTGCGGCCGGTCAGCTGCTTGCGCATCTGCTGGCCCTGCTCCGTGTACTGCGAGTTGAAGGGGAGCATCATCTGGCCGCGGGAGGAGGAGGCGCCGGGGCCGAAGAAGCCACTGTCCAGGTTGCGGGCCAGGGAGCCCTGAACGGGTTGTTTGTTGGCGGCGGTGACGCCGAGGAGGGACAGGGTCTCGGGGTCCATGTTGCTGCCGCCCTCGCCCTGCATCATCTTGGCGAGCTGGGCTTGCCGGCGCTCGGGGAGATGGGCGAGATCGTAGAGCTCCTTGTTGAACTCGGCCGGGTCGATGGGCTCGGCGCCGTCTTCGACGGGGGGCGGGTGGCAGAAAAGCAGCTTGCCGTTAACGTAGTCCTTCAACACGTAACGAGCGGCGCGAGACTCGTCGGGCTGACCCAGACCCTGCGTGGAGAAGCCGCGGGCTCGCGCGTAGGCGCGCAGCAGCTCACTACCAGTCGGGGTGCCCGTGCCGCCCTCTTCAACGGAGCGCATGTTGATCTTGACACCGTACACGGCCTCGACGAAGTGCTTGGGGATGCGCTGGGCGACGAGAGAGGCAGGGCCCGTGAACTCGCGCTGCTGGTCAATGGGCAGAACACCGTTGACCACGAGATCGGCCTTGGTCGTGGCGAAGTTGGGGAAGACCAGACCGGGACAATCGCAGAGCATGATCTCCGGCGACAGGTACAAAGTCTGGAAGTGTTTGGTCTTACCGGGGGTGGCGGAGACGGACACCTTCTTGGCGCCCAGGAGCGCGTTGATCGTACTGGATTTACCCACGTTAGGGTATCCGACCAGACCGATGGTCGTCTTCCTCTTGATCGGGCCGTCAGCGGAGTTGTTGTCGGGTAGGGTGTCGGGGGTGTTGGAAAGGAAGAGTTCCTCCAGCTCGTCGACGTTGAGAATTTCTGTCCGCTTGTCGTTGCTGCTGCTGCTGCCGGAGCCAGCGGCAGACAGCTCCAATCCGCCATCATGCTCCTCCTCCTCCTCCGCCTGCTGCTGCTCGCCGTCCTGGATTTTCATGGCTTGGGTGTTTTTAGCCAACTCCTGTTCCTCCTCCTCCACTTCGCTGTCGCTCTCGGATCCAGACTCCTCCGCGAGGAGACGGGCCTCGTTCTGCTCCTTGGCCAAGTGGGCCGAGAAGAACCGGAAAGTGATATTATGGCGCTCGAAGTAGTCCGCCCAGGCGGCGCGCTGTTTCTCCGTCAACATATCGGCCTTGTTCACCAACAACAAATTCTGCTTCTTGGGGTCGAGCTCCTTGACATAGCTCTCCAGATCCTCGGAACGGAAGTGCAGGGGGTTTCTGGCATCGACAATCTGCACGACCAGATCGGACCGCTCGATGACTCGCCACAGCTGGCGCCAGACCTCCAGGTTGCGCTCGAAGGGGGTCATCAGCAGATCCTGGTTCTCCTGCAGCTCCGCCAGCCCCCGCCGCCAGGTCAAAAAGCTCTCCTTTTCCAATTGCTCCAGCTGGTTCCGGGTGGTGGAGGCGTCCCACTTGGGCCGGCGCGGCACGGTCAGCCGGCCGCGGTTCTGACGGTGCTTGGTGATGGCGGACTTCTCCTCGGAGGCCGACAGCAGGTAGGGGTTCTTCTGGTCGGCGTGGATGATCTTGACGTTGTTCATCTTCTCGGCGGTGAAGTCGGTGCCCGCCAGCTCGGCGGTGCTCAGGAACTCGTCCAGCGCGGCCTGCTCGGTGATACTGCGCATCTTGACCCACGAGGCCTCCTGTGCAGCATTGGTGACATAGGTCTCGCCGTTGATGTCCTTGCGGACAATCCCGGCATTGTGGGAGGCTTTCTTCTGGTTGGAGGCTTTGCCTTTGCCGAATCGGTCCTTCATGAGGCTGTTGCCCAGCCCCACGGCGTTCTTGGATTTGGCCAACACCATGGTGGCAAATATGTGACTGCGAAGCAGTACAAGAGAGAGAGAGAGAGAGAGAAGGGGAGAGGGGGGGGAAAGAAGAAGGAAGGGTATTCAAGGAGAGGGAAGAAAAGAGGAGGGAAAGACAGAGAAGTTTTGAATAGAGGGCGGGGGGGGAGGGGAGGATTGAATGATTTGTAAAGATGAAGAAAGAAGAAAAGAAGAAAACCTCCCACCTTGACGGCGGTTGGCCCAATCAGCGATGCCCCGCTCGGATAAGATAAGGATGACTCAGCATGGCTGTTTGCACCTGCTTTGCACTCACTTTTTGGTTTTTTTTTTTCTGCTGTTCGACAGCAGCAGCACTGCTTATGATACACCGGGGAAGGGAGGAGCTCGACTTGGACCAGTAGCCCAGCAGCCGCTTTGCTCGAATCTCAGGGGTTATATGTCTGTATCTTCTGAACTGTCGAAGCCCAACCCACCGGGTCCTCGATAAGCATCTCACGTGACTTTATCTCCCCCACGAATTTCTCGAATTTTTGCCCAACCCCAAAAGCTGCATCTCCCCACTATCTTTCGCTAAAACACTCCCATTACCACCCTGGTCCTTGGACTTCATATTGCCCAAGATGCCTCCCCGGAAGCAGTGGATGTAAGTTCCATTCCCACCCAATAGTCTCAGTGGGTCAACCACTAACAACTCATTTCCAGCGACAAGAAAAACGCAACCACCTACCAACTCTTCCACCGCTCCCAACATGACCCTCTCATTCACGATCCCAGCGCTGACGACCGCGTGCTCGCCCCGGTATCAGGCCCTGCACCCAGCAGCAGCAGCAGCGGCGCCCATCGGGGTCAGGACCTGGCCACGCTAAGCCAGCAATTCGGCACGGGCGCCGTCCGCAAAAACGAAGGCGAGGCGGCCAACTACGGCATTTTTTACGATGACACCAAGTACGATTACATGCAGCATCTGCGGGAGCTGGGCACGGGCGGCGGCGATGCGCACTTCGTTGAGGCCCGGACCAAAGCCGCCCCGGGCAACAAGGGCAAGATGAAGCTGGAGGATGCGCTGCGGCAGGTGTCATTGGACGATGAGGAGCAGCGGAGCGAGTTCGGCGGGGGCAGCTACGCCCCTAGCGTGTACAGCGAGATGCGCTCCACGGCGTCGACGTATTCCCGCAAGCCCACCTACCAGGACCAGCAGAACGTGCCGGATGCGATCGCGGGCTTCCAGCCTAACATGGACCCCCGCCTGCGCGAGGTGCTGGAGGCGCTGGAGGACGAGGAGTACGTTGATGATAACGATGAGGATTTGTTTGGGCAGTTGACCACGCGCGCGGAGGAGATGGAGCAGGGCGACTGGGAGGATACATTGTATGATGAGTTCGACGAGGAGGACGATGGGTGGGAGTCGGACGCGACGGAGAAGGCGCCTGTGCAGACGGATACGACGGCCGCCAAGGCCCAATATGAGAGGAGAGTTGCTGAGTCCGGCGAGGAAATGCCGGAGCATGACGCTCCGGCGCCGGACATGCAGCCCGAGGATCAGGGCTGGATGCGTGAGTTCGCCAAGTTCAAGAAGGACGCAAAAGCTGGCGGTAAGGCTGTCGCACCGGCCGCGGCTCCGAGTGTTGTGCCTTCGGAGCAGCAGAGCACGCTGGCTTCCACCGTGTTCACGGTCGGTGGTACGCCTATCCGACGCAAGAAGCGCAAGGGTGCGTTGACGAACCCGTCCGCGTACTCGATGACCTCCTCGGCGTTGGCGCGGACCGAGGGCCACCGGTTGCTGGACGATCGCTTCGAGCGGGTGGAGCAGCTGTACGCTCTGGACGAGGAGGACGAGTTCGATGATAGCATGTCCATGGTCAGCGGCATGACAGGCATGACGTCCATGACGGGCATGTCGGCCATCTCCGATGCCCCTAGCCTAGTCGACGCCAACGGACAGACTGTCAACCCCCGCCACAACTTCACCTCGGTCATGGACGACTTCCTGGCAGGCTGGGATGACAACACCGGTTCCCAGGCCAAGCGCAAGGGTGTCAAGTACAAGCGCGGTAAGCACGGCAACGAGGCGATTGGCATCCGGATGCTGGATGAGGTGCGCCAGGGCTTGGGTCCCGCTCGTGTCAGTGGCGGTTCCGGACGCCTTTCCGGCCGCGCGTGAGGTGGATCAGAGTGGTGAATTACACTGCTGTTATTGTGTGTGTGCATGCGTTCCATGATTGCGACGATACCTTTCCCCATGGCATGTTCTCTGGCTTGGAAAAGAAAAATTTGCGGGCTTATCCATAGGCGTCCCGGTGTTATTGTCATTTTTCCCATCTTGCATAGTAGATAGATTCTTATTTGACGGCCAAAAAAGGTCTGCTCTGTTGCTTCATACATCTCATCCTTTTTAGATGATATATATCCGGTTTCAGAGGCTATCTGGATATCTGTTCATGAGATTAACTGTACAGGACATCATTGATAATCATACATACATCAAATGCCAAAGGGGTATACAAGAAGTCTATAATACCTAAAAAGCCCCTCCCACCTTCTCGACAATCCACATGGCCAAACGAACATTCCAGCTCACCCGCCGTTCGGTTCGCCGCAGATCCTCTCGGGAGATGGGCTTGGAATCCTTTTGCAGCCATTCGGTCTCGGCGCCCAGTCTGCGTTTCAGTGTCTGATTGCCCGTGACGACAACCGCACCCACCTCCAGATCCAGACTGTAGCTGCGCTTGGTATAGTTGCTGCTGCCGACAAATGTCAAGCTGGGATATTCCTCCTTGGGCAGGGTGATCCAAAGGCCTTTGGCGTGGTAGGTCCAACCACCAGGCTGCCCAACGGTGCCTCGACGCCACTCTTTGAGCTGGACGGAATCCGTGCGCTTGGCCAAGGCTACCTGGTCAAGGAATCTGGCGGAGAAAAGGGTATAGGCAGCGGGAAGCATTCCGGAAATGCCGGCCGAGCCATAGAAGCCATTAGCCCATGGGGAGGCAGTAAGGACGGTGCCACGGGTACTGGATGCGGAGTGCGACGGAGAAGTGCTTGCAATCAAGAGAGAAGATAGAACAGGGTGGATGTTGAAGTATCCCGCTGTGAAGAGCCAGCGGGCACCGGCGAAGGCGGAAGAGGTTGAGAGGAGACGGAGAATAGAGGTGACGGCGGGAAATTCAGTCGAGGTGTCTGGTTTCAACAAGGAAGTGAATTGCGCCACCGGGTAGACGTAGGCGTGAGTAGAACGCTTGGGCTGGAGCGCGTGCTTGCTCTCGATGCTGGGTTGAAAGAACGGCTTTAAGAATGTCGAGGAGTAGGCGATGAATTTCTGTGGATCGTCCAGAGGGCATGGGGCACCATTGGCCTTCGGCCAATCCAAGAGATACCCGGCGGCATTGTGCGGGTCGGGGAGCACTTGGAAGCTAAGACTGCAGACTGCATGGTGGATGCTGGCATAGTAGTCAGCGAGCTCTTTCGAGCTGAAGACGTGGTATCGGTCCAGGCGGTTGGTGAAATAGTCATTCGAGAGGTTCGCGCTACGCTTGCGATCAGTCACTGGACACATGCATCATGCATGTAGGAAGCATACCCCGAGAGGATAATCTCATCGTCGAAGCCATACAGCTTCATATGTTGCAGACCCCACCCCTCGTTGATCCTGCGCGGAATCCATTTCTTCTTGAAGCCCGTCAAATTTGGTGTATGAAACATACGGATATCGACCCGGTCAGGTCCATGGTTTGTAACCAGCGTGGCTAGAAGCGATGCGGACGAGGGATCTGGTGTCTCGCGAGTTCCTCGAAGGCAGTCTGTGAGAATGGATACTTTGAGTTCGGGGTTTTCTCGAAGGGCTTGATCGAGGGTTGCGATAAGCTCATGCTCAGTCTTGCCGATGTACAAGGTCGAGAGATAGATACGTCGTTTCGCATTGAGAATCTTGTTCTATATAAATGCCCAATTGTCTCAATATCAGTCCCTCGAAGCAGATCTGGCGTATGCAAAATATACCAGATGAAATCTTCATACCTTGAGAGTGCTGTAGAAGCTGGCGGGGGAGTCTAGGATCTCAATCCGCTCGGCATTGATCTCGAAGCAAGGAGAGATCCGATCCAGCTCGGTCGTGATGCTGCCTAGAGGTGAGGCAGCCGAGGGAATACTTGGACTGGGGCTGGCGTGAGAGGAATGGGCCGAGAATCTGCGCTCGCAAAGGAGATTCCTCCGCGCCGCTGGTCGGCGCACCGCACACCGAAGGGTGTTACCTCCAATCCGTCCGAACATCTTCGAAGTCTCTCTCTTCTGGCAACCAAAATCCAGAAGAACGAAAGTCTGGGACACTCAGTCGGCTGTTGCGCGCCGGGATAAACGGAGAGGCACAGAGTGTGCAAACACAGCAAACATACACTAGCTGCGCTAGACCGGATTAGGCGGGCGGGCAACTCCCCCCGGCGTTGCAGGAAGACCAGACGACGAACCACCAGCATTCGTTTCCAGCCTTAGTCTACAGCCCATTGCTGCTTGACGATCTTCCACACAAGTCCCCAGAATGTCGACCATTCTTCGTACGCTCCGCAACTTGCGGCGCATCGGATTCAAGGTGAGGATCAGCTAGCACTTAAATTGGTCCGAAGACCTCCTTGCTAACCACCATCTTTGCACAGGAATATGGCCACCAGATGAACGTATGTACCCTTCGGGCTCCCGGAGATAATGGAATTGAACTGGAGAGATACTCATGCTGTGTTCGAACTCTGCGTCAAATAGTACATTGGTGAGTTGCCATGTCGAGGAGGTATACAGCGCAAGATTTAAATGTCTGACGCAATGGCACTTGCAGGTGATACCAAGGCCGGTACCTTGATTGGCACCGATCGGTACGGAAACAAGTTCTACGAGAACATGGAGGAAGAGCTTCCTCGTGAGTGAAGTCCGAGCCGGTCTTGCCGACTTATTTTTGACCATTGTCTAGTCCGTACGCGCTGGGTGGATTACAAGGAGCACGAATATGACCCCTCTCAGATCGAGCCCGGATGGTGAGAATCTGATCCGGCCTTGTTGAGCTGCAATAGTGGGCTCTTCTTTGCTGACTCCTGCTCTAGGCACGCTTGGATCTCTTACATGGTTGATACTCCTCCTACGGTGGACAAGGCCCTGCAGACTGGTGTCCGCGCCTGGGAGCTGCCCGAACACAGGCCCACTCTGACCCTGAGCCGCGCTGCTTTCAAGACCTACTCGACGTGAGTCAGCCCTGCTTGCGAGCTGGCGTGGTTCGATAAGCATACTAATTCCCTCTTCCAGCACCCGCCCCAAGTACTCAGCATGGACCCCGGTTGCGGCCCCCCGGTAGATCTACCGACCCTCAAGCCTAAACTGTTCCATGCCTTGGACTTGATGTGTACATAAAGATGTCTTGTTTTCCAGTTCAAAATCACCCAACTTTATCCCCAGTTGAGTCTATGTCACTTCTACCCGTCAGTCTATATAGTAGTTCCTCGTCTATAGACACAAGAGTCCCCAAGGTATCATATTAAGCGGGCCGTCAAGAAGAAATGGAGATCAGCGCTTGCCGTAGATCTAGATACAAAGATTCAAAGCACATATATACCGGAGCCAATGCTGGACCAGGGTCGGATGGGCCGACGGTCCTCTAACTCGATACACCACCATAAGACATCCTTGAGCTTCTCGATTGATCCCTCAGCTTCATATGCTCGGGAGAGTGCATACCAAGCCTCACTGTTGTCCCAAGAGCTGCCCCGTTTTGTCAAGCCGGCAAGCAGGCCATAGGCTCGGTCCCGCGCGGCAATGCGATTGAGAAGTATTGGCTCCTCCTCCTTTTCAGCATTAGCGGACGTTGCCTCGGTGTGCGCGGGAGCACTTGAACCAGCAAGATCGGACTTCTTTTTGGGCTCGCTGAGAGGGGAGGACAAGGGAAACATGGACGCTTCGAGTTCAATGCCCGGTGCTGGAGGCTCCAGAGGGATCTTGCGATCCCAGATGTCAAGGAGTAGATTGGACAGGCCAACTGTAGCGTTTGGATGATCCATTTCGTGTCGCAGAGCCTGTTCAAAGTGCTCCATTGCTTCATGTGGACGATCCTGAGCCTTTGAAAGGAGACCCCGCTCCGCATATAGGTCGGCCCAGAGGTCTTGACAGCTCTTAGGACAACCCCATCCCCGTTCACGGAACGCCCGTGCAGATGACTCCTGCGATGCCACAAGGCTCTCGAAGTGCGAGATATGCTTAGAGGCTTCTTCACACGCTTCGTGGGCATCTTCAAAGGATGACGCACGGCGGTAGAGTCCAGCAATCAGTAACCAGATGTCGACAAGTATAGACAGAGCGTGCTTCTGAGATTGAATCGGTGCAACCTTGGTCACAGCTCTGGTGGGTGAGTCGAATGCGTAGGATAGAGGCAGTCGGGTGTCCTGTACAGGCGGCTGATTAGGATGCCCAGTCGGAGGAGGTTGTTGATTGTGCTTGAGGTTATGAGGTATAGGTCCCAGCGGTTGTTTGGCGGTTGACGGTTGTGCCACTGCATCAGTGATCGCCGTTCCAACCATGCCGGGAGAAGGCGGCTGGGGTACAGCATCAGGACCAGCCTGGGCTGAGTTCTTTCCAGTTGGGTGATTGGGAGCCTGCTCTTGCACACCATCCGGTTTCTGGAGGGTATTGCTTCTGGACCGCAACTTCCGGGATCCAGATCTAGCCACAGCTGGGTTTTCGATGGAAGCGTCATTCGAGACTTGTAGCGATGGTGGCGCATCTCCTTGAGTTGTGTGATCTGGTGCGGCTTCTCCTTTCGTACGAGTCCCACGGTGATGCCGTCCAAAAATACTTCCCCGAAGACTCTTGACGGTTCCAGCGGAGCTTTTAGGTGGAACAAGATGGTCAGCTGGCGCATTATTGGGTTTGTCCTCCGATTCAAGATTCAATGAACGAAACAGAGTGGCGAATAGGCTGAGTAGCTGTTCACTGTGGTTCAGAGCATTTTCTGGACCCTCAAGGAGTTCAACAAATGCAAGCTGGGTCATGCGAGTTCCGATAATGCGCTCCTTCTCCCGATCGCGCAATTGATCGATTAAAGCATGTGTCAGCCCCGTGACGGCCTGGTCCTGCGAGTTGTGATGATGCTTCTGTGGCGGTCTATCGCTGTGCGCTAGAGAGGTAATCGTAGAGGGAAATTGCTCAAAAGCAGCTTCGCAAGAGCGCTCAGCGATATCGAAGTCCTCCTTCGCACTGAGAAGCAGAGCGAGTAAGTGCCACAATGGAACAAGTTCCCGTTCGCGAGTAAAGTCGGCTTGTCCGGTACGAGGCTGTGTCTCTGAGGTCAATGCTGACCGGACAAACTCAATGGCACCGTCGATGTCTCTGTTTTCAGCCAACAACAGAGCCAGAGTGTAAAGCGAGGAACGGTTGGATTCATCTTCTAGCTCTGGTGCCAAGCTCTTGTCAAGATAATCAATCGCCTCTGCGCGGATATCGTCACGGTCCTCATTGATAGGAGTCCAGTACGCCCAATTTGCTAGTCCTGTACCAATGCCTCGATAAGCCGCGGCAATATCTTGCGGAGAGACAGCCTGGGAGTTGGTGGAGCTCGTTTCCGGCTTGATCACGATGGTACCGTCCTCCTGATCATCGCTTTCTTGAACATGCTTCGCGGTAAACTTCTTCAGTAGATCCGTCAATTCTTTTGCCTTTTCTGCCTCTTTCTTGGAACCGAAGCAGCACAGCATAGTCACACCCTCTACGATGGTGCGAAGGAGAGTTCCATCATTTTCTAATTCTCCGGATTCCGCCCCCTTTTCGGCCCTCTCTTTAGCACTGGTCACAATCTCAATGTAGGAGTCAAGCGCTTTGATCGCAAGAACAGAATCGCCCAAAGCGCAATGGACGTGAAATAAACGACGGAGGATCAAGTGCGAATGGTACGTCTTTGTAGCAGCGCGATAGAGAATCTGAAAAAGCGACATTAGCATAATTAACCTCACTGTCCTGTGGTGGTGTCTTCCCGTAACAGGAGATACTTACATCGAGGACATTCCTGCCAACAGCATTCTGGCCTCCTTCCCCAAGCTCTTCGTCAGTCCAGTTTGGACCGCCAAGGACCTGCCAGTTGGAAATCACTTCTTCGACCCATTCCTCGACCTGCGGGTTGGCGGAATTGGCGGCAGGGAACTTCGTCTCCCTTAAGAGATTTGCCTCGCAGATAGCCTCCACGCGTCTGATCTCGCTAGCCAGCTGTGGGCGTGCTGGTCCTTGAGTCGAGGGGCTATATGGCACTCCATGTTGTAGAATAGCCGTAAGGAGATCATAATATGACTTCCAGAGTGAAGACCGAAGTACTGCGTGAGTGGAACTGTCCGTCTCGGCGGTTTGAGAAGCAGTCGCTTGCTTGGTGTTAGGATGAGAAGCCCATAGCCGAAGAAACCCCAGTGCGGTTGTCACGGTTTGTGCGTCCGTAACGGCAATGTCGCGGAGCGCATCTTCCGCGGTAATGGAAGCTCCTTCCGCCAATAGCTTCTCGGACCAGTAGAGAAATTGAGGGTTACCCGGCGTGGAGCCCTGCAGATGGCTGCTCAGCCACGGTGTGAGCGACTCGAGCGTTTCTAGGGCGTCACCGGCATCCGACACCATGCGTTGTGAGGCAGCTATGCACGTATCAGCGCATTGCACGATAGGATTGTTTTTCTCGGCTAGATGAACGCACCCTTTAAATAGCAAGCTTTGACGAGGCAAACTTGCGTCCACGGAGATAGCTCCTCCCCTGCACTTTCGAGGTCATGGACAGTTTCGGTGAAGTTGTCCGGAAAACGAGATGTGGCCAGGGTCAATTCGTTGAGTGTCCAATGTACCCAGCCCAGACACACTTGTGCTTGGAGGACTTCCTGCTTAGAGCCTTCTGCTCTATTAATAGTGGATAGGAGAGACGGGAGTAGTTCCTGAAGGCTGGAAGAGGTGGAGGTTGACTGGGGAGTCGATGCTTCTTTCTGAATGTGCGACGCAATCTGGTATTCTGCGCTGGCGACTTCTAGAAGACCTGAGAGAGCGACGCTCGTTAGATTTTCCACGGACTCGTGACAATTGTGGTGCAAAGGGCAAGTTGGTATTACATGTCTTTTGCGGCGCATGCTTGGTCACCTTCCGGATCAATTCAGGAACCTCATCCCACTTGTCCTGGCAGCGCGCATTCTCTAGAGCAGAGATGTAGCGATGCCCCTTATCAGAGTCTCGACCCTAGAGTATGGGGACAGGCTGTCAGTAAAGTACCTTGATTGTGGAATTGAGGGGAGGGGTTTCTGAAACGAGGGGATTGCTGCATACCGTCATGTTTGAGCTAGGCGAGATACAGACAATGAGAGGGGGGAGGGGTTTGGACGAATGGAGGAGAAGGGAAGAAAATCTACCAGAAAGACAGGCTCATATCAATGCAAAGGATGCCCCCCCGGAGGCAGCAGTCGCACCAGGTTAGTAGAGGTGGTGGAGTAAAGTCGAGATTGAACTGACGCCAGCGATCATCAACTCGCCAGCCGATTCTGGATTAGGGAGAAGGAGAGGACCCGCTGCCGGTAATATTCACTTATTAGTAACTATACGACTGTACGTAATTATTGTCGTTTTACCCGTTCCGCGGTCCAGGCGGAGCTTCATCTAAAAAATTTCCCAAATCTCAATTTGGAGAAAGTCGAATCTCTCCTCAAGCTCAACTTTGCGACCTCTTCTCACCTACGTCTTGCTTCCTTTGTGTTGCAAAGTCTCCGGTCGCTCACAATGGCCTACATGGCAATGTCCCTCCATGCGGTCAACCACCGTTTGACCAACATCCCCGTCAAGCAATTACCTCCTCTCGCTTCAAGCCTCGCAGCGTCGCTGAGCAATTGCGGGGAGCTTTTGTCCACTCCGCAGAGCCAGAAATCCAAGTCGGAATCGGACAATGCGGTCCAGGTTCACAAGCTTATGACACGCCTGACCAGTCTGCTGCAGGATCGGACCGTTGAAGGACGCTGGACAGCGGTGGTTCTTGTCAAAGCTCTGGTGGAAGCTGGTCAATGGGAAATTCTTCGTGGAAGCGAACCGTTTGTCCGCGGTCTTATGGGGATTTTGGCTGTAAGACGCTCTCTCTCTTCGGAAACTCACGCTATAGTAGTTGCTAATTGACCTTCTCTATCTCTGTTCAGAAACCCGACCCTGTTGCTACTAAGAAAATGTCCATCATCACCTTGACAAGGATCTTTCATCTGACTTATCAATACCCAACCCTCGTTCGCGAGATCACCACGCCGTCCCTGCCAGGTTTCATTACCGCTGCTTTGAACTTGATCTCCATTAAGCCATCCTCGGAGCCTGTCCGGAAGTTGAAGCAAAATGCTCCCCTCGTGGACGTTGTTCTCAATGCATTCGCGGAGCTGATAGCAAGACATCCGACAACCTTCCGACCCTTCACCGGGCAGATTCACAGTGTCCTCCAGGCTATCATTGGCTCCACTGAGCCCACATACCCTGAACCCATTCTGGAAATTGCGCAGCAGCTGTTTGTCTCTTTGCATAACTGCGCACCCAAGAACACCTCTGGTGAAGAATGGAAAAACGCATGCCGGATGACCATCTCGTCTATCCATGCTACGTCCTCTTATGTCTTGAGAGCAGTCGTCGAACAGTGGGAGTCGGTCGATCCATCATTGCGTCAACTATCCCTGCCGCAGAATTATAGCCAGGAGGTAGGGAATGGTCCTGACGCATTGGGCCTCGGTAGCTGGCAGGGCCTGCCTGCTGGTGTGAATCGGCTCGTCGTGCTGCTGCGCATGCTCTCTAAGTTCCTGAAAACTGCCACGGCGTCCTCTGTAGTTGTCCCGCTGGGTTCAATCTTGGATCTCTCTGCACGTCTCAATATGGTGACGTACCCGTCTGATGGCGATATCCAAGCCAATCCGCAAATTGGCCGAGCTGAAAGGGAGCACCTGCTCACAGAGCTGCCTCGGATTCATGTCGCTTCTCTCAGGCTACTTGTTGATCTTGTCAAGGCCTTCGATGACGCAATCCTTCCTGTTGCCCAGACCATCCTCGAGCAAGCTCTTTGGGTGTTCCGTGCTGAAAAGTTCAGTCGTGAAGTTCGTGCTGCCGTTTATGATCTTGTGCGCGTGTTGCTCATCCATATGGGCCCATGCATGACCAAGCAAGGTGTCTCGTCCCTGACTGCAGTGCTTCGATCTTGCTGTCATGACTTGCTACCCCCTTCGAATAACCAGACCGCAGCTGCCGAAAAGCCTGACCCCAAGTCGAAGTCGAAATCCAGCCAGACAACTGTAAACGCGGATTCTTTCTTGAACCCCGGACTGAAGCCTGGTCGTCAGCTGAGCAGCTCTCCATCTTTTACAGACCTTAAGCGAGCCGCTTCCGAACTTCTCGTGGCGACCCTGTCGCACGCTCCGACCGAGCTCATCACCCCGGCCTTGCGCGCCGAGATTGACCGGACCATTATCATGACCTCCGACAAGAATGCCATGTTAGCGAGTGTCCTGAACCCCTTCACTAACATGCAGGGCCGTGGCGTGAGCACCAGTATCATGCCTTTCGTGGCGCGTAGCTATCCCGCTGAAATGGAAGTGGAAGCTCTCATCCGCCCGCGTATGCCCGTCTTGATCAACGGTCCTGGAGCCAATGGTTATAGCGCAACCGATGATGACGACGAGGAGGCGGAGGAGAAGACCGAAGCTATGCTCGCGCCCGAGCCATCCACTGAAGCGAGCGGCTTCCTCAAGCCCTCTAGCACACCCAGTCTTCACCAGGATATGATGGACGTTGAGATGACCCCTGCGACCAGCAGCCCTCCCTTGAACAAGCGAAGCTATGCACAGGAAGTCGAGGCGCAGAACCCAGCACACTTCGTCACAACGGAAGGCGCGCAGAGCAAAAAGGTTCGAGTTGAGCCTCTAGAGACCACCAAGACTCCCGCTCAACCTTCGCTCGGTGCAGCTTCGCCTGCTACGTTCACGGGCACTGCTGCTATCTCTGTTCCCTCTTCTTCTATAACAGCAACAGCTGCTCCCCAACCGGTCGCTCCGATGACAACGTCTCAGCCGCGTGCTGTTGCGGCTGCAGCCCAGACAACGGGTGACGACGATGATGATGATGATGAAAGTGACGATGAAATGCCCATACTGAACATTGATCCGGACACGGATGACGAGGAGGAGGATGAGTAGACCTTGCGCGCGGAGATGTGGAAACTCGGTCACTGTCAGCTTAAAAGATATCAAAAAAAAAGTTAATGAATGTCTTCTGCTGCTCTATCGGTTGTACAGACTGCTTGTCACCACACGCTGTAATAAACATTAGTCATTTGTGACTCAACTGCACAAGTTCTTTGCCGCTTCCTTTCCTTTGAAGCAATTCATAACAACTCTAAATCTATCATATATATCAACCACCCATCTAGTCGATCTATAACAGAATGATATCCGAAAAGACAAGAAAAAATTGCATCTAGATCACGCGCACACCACTTCCCCAATATGTACCATCGTCCCAAAATTCAAACCAAGGCGAAGACCAACACCACCACCCCTTATCCTCTTCTCTCACTCCAATCCCCAGCCCCCGCAGCGGACTGACAGGCAACGGCTCCGTCAGCCACAGCCCACCCCTGGCGAAATCATCCGCGATCACCGGCGCTGTGAGGTAGAGCCACCCGATCGCGAAGACGAGATTCGCCGTGCGTCGCAGCCACTGCGGCAAGTCTCGTTTTGCACCCATCAGGCACGGAACGAGGACATGCGTGCCAACGCCTTGCAGCACGAATCCCACCGCCTGGAGGATGAAGAACCGGAACGGGCCCGCCGCGGGTCTTGTCACTGCGATCTGTACGTAGCTGCCGCTCGAGTGCACGAGGCCGCTGAGACCGAAGGCCACGAAGGTGTAGACCAGCTGCCGGACCGCGGGGCGGGAGGCGAGGTCCGCGGGGAGGAACGAGACGAGCCAGCGGCCGGTGGAGGTGAAGCCGACGCGGAAGAGCTGGTGCCACCATTTACTCCAGCAGCCGATGAGGCCGTGATCGAGGAGGGATGGGAGGAAGGGGCCGAAGGTCTCGGCGTACAGCCATGGCGCATCGAGAGGCACCGAGGTTAGGGCGCGGGCTGCGTTGGGGAAGGCGAGTGCAAGCCCGCCGAAGATGATGGGATTGAAGGAGGTCACAAAGGTCAACGCGGCGTGGACTCCGAAACCGGTGACGGCCAGACGATAGAAACGGACCATGCCAGGGACTGCAGTGAGGAAGGTGAACGGGTATGGTGGCGCCAGCGCCATGGTGCCGTTGTACATGAAGTACGTGTCCCGGATCATCAGCAGCTTGATCAGATCCAGGGCGAGATAGGACTTGATGCAGACGACCAGTGCAGAGCGCACGCGGGCCCTGAGGGCAACGTGCGCTCGTGTTTTCTCCGCTGGCGTCATCTCAATTTCATGGAAGGATGGATCCTTGGCTTTCAGCTGGGCGTGAATAGAGGCGGGTAATGGCCCAAGGGAAGAGATGCGCCAGTTCCATTCAGGTCCCCGCATGCCATATAACAAGCTAAAGACCCAGTCCAGGCGCTGTGAAAGCGACTGCGGATAGGACTGCCACGCGAGCCTTTCCACGCCCTGCGGACAAAAATCATGGCGCTTGTCCTCGGTGGCATTCTTGCTATCAATCTTGGTAGTTGGACTTCCGTTCGCTGTGGGCTCGAGAGTGTTTGTTCGAATGATTCGGCGACAGTCGCGCTCAGCATTTCTGTACGCCAGCCATACTGCGCACCAGATGAACCACCATGTTGGCAGCAAACCTCCCATATACCCATAGCCTCCTAAGAGCATCCGTCTGTGGCGTAAAAAGTGGACGAGAGCACCGAAAAGGCAGGCTAGGACAAACAGCTGCACATAGCGGCCGCCCTTGCGCCGCGAGACGAGAAGCGCTAAAACAGGAAGCAGGAGAAGGGCAATCAAGTGCCACAACAGTACTGGCTTCGCCTCACCATTCTGAATGAGTGATTCGTATTGATTTTGGTAATCTTCGACGAGTTGGCGATAGAAAGGAATGGGAGGAGAAGTGGCGGCAGCCATAGGCGAACCAACAGGGGCAAACAATCACAAGAAATATCTGTAGATATGTATATATGGTATAAAAGTGAGAAATATGTACAGTCGAGATATCGGACTATATATCCATGGCATGAAGAAACGCAAGCACGCAGCCAAGCCCGTAGATGAGTGGTGAATTATGGACCTTGGGGGGCAAGTGACTGAAAAAAGGGTAGTTTTACGAGGTGGGCGGTGGTTGATTCGCCCACGCAAGGGGGGGGGGGGCGGCGCTTTGAGTCAGTCCGATCCATCTTTCTCTTCGATTCTTTTTGATTTTGCTTTTTCTCCACATTTTCATGATGCACTTCCGCAGAGTATGAATGACAACTCTGCCCTTTGTTGATTGCTTGACTCCTTGCAATGTGCGGAGTGCAGAAGAGGTGCCAGACAACGGGGAGGTTCGCGTTATTCACTAATAAGACTCCACACTCGTCAGTGATGCGGAACATGCAGAATGTCATGCAGAGTCTGGCATCTCTTCAAATCTGGAAAATAGCTTATCTTGCTGGTCCATGATTGATCGACTTTTGCCACATCGTTAGACCCCTAGTACTGGATCAGTGAATTGAAGAAGAGAAAGATGGTTCCTGTTCGGTAGGCTGGATGCTGACATCATCTCCCGATCTGCCCGCCAACTGGCGCGTGGTCGTCACATGTCACTTTGACACATGGGCTCGTGTCATTAGCGCGTCTCATCTATAGTTTGATGCACATAAGTTACTAGTACTACTAGTAATATATCAGCATATCAGCACCTTATTTTCGGTCCATCAACCAAACTACTAACGGAATCTCAGTCGCTTGGCCAAGTACTGTTGATCGGGTAGCTACTACCATGGGCGTCCAGCCGGAAAAGCGAGGCCTCGAGCAAGTCGACCTCACTTCCGACGACAGCTCATTTCGACCTTCCAAGTCGTCGCGCACCCGGCGCGGGCAGCGATTGGGCCAGGAGACAGCCTACCTCCCTCTCAGCCAACCGTCTCAGTCCCTTATCGCAAATGAAGAGGACGATGATGCCCAGGCTGCGGATCTCGTGCAAAGCAGTCAAGATGTTGAGGAATCCGGCCCTTTGATGCATTACGGTGACGTGAACACGAAGATCGTGGGTGTACGCTACTACAGAGGACATGCTACCATCGGTGAGCATGTGGTCATCAAAAGAGAACCATCGAATCCATACGATGGAAACGCGATGCGGGTTGACAATGTCATGGGCAACCAGATCGGTCATATACCGAGAACCATGGCTGCCAAGCTGGCAAAGTATCTGGTATGTTGCTCAACGTGCTCGCACGATTTTGATGGAGTTGGCCATGGTCTCACTAGGACTCGCATAGGACTCGAGGGAGTTGATCGTTGAAGGCATGCTGACCGGTGTCATTGGCGCATATGATTGTCCTGTAGTGCTGAGACTCTTCGGCACCGGTAACCCGGAGCTCAGACAGGCTCTGAAAGATCGTATGGAAGCAGATAGGCTGCCCGTGAATATCCTCAAGCAACAGGAGCGTGAGGAGATCAAGCGGCAGAAGGAGCGCGAAAAAGCCGAGAAGCAAGCGGCCAAACTGGCTCGTGCCATGGCAAAGGCTAAAGGACAAGACGAGTGGCAGCTTTCAAGTAACCTTGGCTACTCCAACCTCTACTCAGGGGAAGGTGATCTGGTCCTCGAGGGCCAGGAAAGTCTGGAAGAGCTGATCGGGCAGAGCAGCACTTTCAATCCCCGTGATATCGGTCATGTGACTGAAGACTTTGGCATGAAAGAAGCTGATCTGGAAAAGATGCCCATGGCTGAAAATCCAGAAGGGCTGGCGACACAACTTCTGCCGTACCAGCGTCAGGGCTTGGCTTGGATGATCTCACAGGAAAACCCCGTACTCCCCGCGGTTGGATCTACAGAGATTGTGCAGCTGTGGAAGAGGAATGGCAACCGGTTCACCAACATCGCTACCAATTATTCGACATCCCAAGAACCGCCTTTGGCTAGTGGTGGCATCCTAGCTGACGACATGGGTCTTGGAAAGACGATTCAGATCATCTCTCTAATCCTCGCAAACTTTCAACCCAAGACTCCGGCCTCCGCCAAAACCACCTTGATCATTTCCCCGGTGGGCGTGATGAGCAATTGGAAGAATCAAGTCCAGGATCACACTCATCCCGCAAAAGCCCCTAAGGTGCATGTCTACCATGGGCAGGGGAAGAAGGAGGCTGCAAACCTCGATCAGTATGACATTGTCATAACAAGCTATGGCGCTCTGGCTATGGAGTACAACCCCAACGCCAAGGTGCCTCCGAAGAAAGGGCTTTTCTCGCTCCAATGGCGTCGTGTAGTGCTTGATGAAGGACACACAATCCGCAACCCACGATCTAAAGGTTCTATCGCAGCTTGTAACCTGCGCTCGGATTCGCGCTGGACGCTTACAGGGACTCCTATCGTAAACACCCTCAAGGATCTCTACTCCCAAGTCCGCTTTCTTCGACTCACTGGTGGCCTTGAAGATATGTCCGTGTTCAACAGCGTTCTCGTTCGGCCTCTGATGACCGAAGATCCCAATGCTCGCTTACTACTACAGGCTTTGATGAGCACCCTCTGCTTGCGTCGTCGGAAGGATATGAACTTTGTGAACTTGCGTCTTCCCCCGCTCACATCTCGAGTTCTACGTATCAAATTCCACCCCCACGAGCAAGAGAAATATGACATGTTCCAGTACGTTCTACTCACGAGGACTATCCTCAACCCGGCTTTAATTCACTAACAAACCTTAGGTCTGAGGCGCAAGGCATGCTCATCGACTTCAAATCTAAGGGCAAAGGCGGCGCCACATATTCTCACCTTCTTGAGGTCATCCTCCGTCTGCGACAAGTCTGCAACCACTGGGCGCTGTGCAAGAACCGCGTCGACAAGCTCGCGGAGTTCCTCGAGAAAAACAACGTCGTTCCCCTAACCCCAGAGAACATTAAAGCTCTTCAAGACGTCCTGCAAATCCGCATCGAAAGCCAGGACTCCTGCCCTATCTGCCTCGACGCCATCCAGCAAGAGCAACCCGTCATCACCGCGTGTGCTCACGCGTTCTGTCGAAAATGCATCGAGGAGGTGATCGAGCGACAACACAAGTGCCCCATGTGCCGCGCTGACATTGAAGACACAACAACGCTCGTCTCCCCGGCCGCGGAGATGGGCGAAAGCGTCGACACGGTCGAAGCCGACCCGGACAATCCCAGCAGCAAAATCGAAGCCCTCGTCAAGATCCTCACCGCCAAGGGTCAAGCCGCCGGCACCAAGACGGTCGTCTTCAGCCAGTGGACCTCGTTCCTGGACCTGGTGGAGCCGCATCTCGAACGGCACGGCATCGGCTTCGCCCGCATCGACGGCAAGATGAATTCGCTCGCCCGCGACAACTCCACCGCCTGCTTCTCCACCGACCCCGCCTGCACCGTTCTGCTCGCCAGCCTGAGCGTCTGCAGCGTCGGCCTGAACCTCGTCGCGGCCAACCAGGCCATCCTCGCCGATAGCTGGTGGGCGCCCGCCATCGAAGACCAGGCCGTCGACCGTGTCTACCGGCTGGGCCAGAAGCGCGAGACCACGGTCTGGCGGCTCGTCATGGAGGACAGCATCGAGGACCGCGTGCTGGCCATCCAGGACACGAAGCGTAAGCTGATGTTGGCGGCGTTCCGCGAGACGTCCACGAAGAAGAAGATCGACGACAAGGCCACGAAAGTGGCGGATCTAGAGACGCTTCTGAAGTAGGCAGCCTCGACTTTTCTCTCCCACCCACAGATATTACCTATTACCTAACTAAAATCCTTACACCGTACCCTCCTCATTGTCCCATGGGGTCTTCCTATTTCGGTGCACCAGCGTAGAAGTGGTGAAGGATTCTGTTGTCTATTTCTAATTTTCGAGGTTACTTGTCAGTGTTATCTAGCATTTAGCTTTCGGTAATATGTTTGAAGGATCTTTCCAAGACTATAGTTACTGGGTGCTTATCTACAGCAAAAGCACTACATGCACATACCAGATCTCAAATCTCTACATATCACAGGGACTGCTGTAAGTAAATCTCCATTTCAGAAACCATTATTCCATTTCGATTTGTTCCGTACCTACCATCACCACTATCATTCTGCACGACCACCAGACAGAAAGAAAAACAAGAAGCCGATCCATTCTGAGTAAAATTGCATATGCAAATGTAAAGTCAATGTGCTAAAAGAAAAAAACAAGGAGAAAGAAGCCTACAAGTACCTCACCACACCATTTCACCCGCAGGACTGACGCTGGAACCCATCCGAACGCATTGAGATGGTATCATGGTAGAAGCAAGAAAATACATAGTAACTTTCGAGAAGGAAAGCAGGTGGAAGGAAGGGCTCCGTGACGCCGGGCAGAGATGCAAAAGAGGGGCTCAACCGAAATCGGTTTCGCTGCTCCTTGGCTCGTTTTGAAACAGTAGCTTAATTAGGTAATGTACAAGTCGCTCGGGGATCAACTTTGTGCTGTGAGGAGGCTCTATGTGGGAAGATGAAGACGACGCATGTAGAAAAGTCCTTCCCCGCTCTAGAGATTAAGGTTCGAGTACGTGACATGGGGGATATCGGAAGAGCATGATGCGGAAGTAGAGGGGTCTTGACACAGAGGAGAATAATTTCAGGCAACCGAGAGGAGACGATGAGGCATGCTTCCTTCGAACTTGGATTGTCCGTGGTATACTTTACGGGTCCTGTAGCTAGACCTCTCGTCGGGCGCAGCTGTGGAGTAGAATCATTCTGGACAACTGAGGCATCGCGCTGCGGCAGTTCGACAATGAAGTTGCTGTCGCCTAGGGAAGTGTTGGCATTGCTGGCCTGCTGCGTATCCGATCTTGGCGTTTTGAAGATACGTTGGGGAGATGGTGGGATGTAATCCCCCTCACCTTTCCATCGTTATTGCTTGCACTGGAACAGCGTGGGAAGTGCTTGGTGAGGGGAGAACGTGTTGGTCGTGACTCCCCTCCACAGTCACTGGCACAGAGAGATTGGTGGAAGTGTCGAGGGGTGACTGGGAGTTTCCGCCATTGTGCTCCATTGTGGTTGCTTGTACTGGCACAGCAGCAAAGGAGTTCGTATCTGCAGCGTCATTATGCACTGTGTAATCTCCATCCATCGAACCTGAGAATGGCAATGCTGACTGCGAGTAAGGCTGAGTTAACCAAGGCGATTGTGGGTGCATATGGTTGTACATAGGGCCTGGTAACTGGAAATGGCTCAGATCAGGAGCGAGAGCAGGAGGACCGGAATTGTGAGCACTAAGGGGAACAGTTGGCTGAGGCGACCAAGACTGAGGCTGAGCTGGTGGACGCTGCGAATACGTGGATTGATGGGCATAGGGAGTCCAAGACATGGGCGAAGGAGGTTTGACTGGGAGTTGAGAAAGTGAGCCTTGCCAAGCAAGCCTCTCCCTCTCCTTCATCCGTTCTTGCCAAGCGGCTAGATCCACGCGTTTGAGGCGCTCATCGCTGAGTTCCTGTTGAGCTTGCTGCTTTTCTTCTTCGGTCAACTTGTCATTATCTTCCTTCTGAAAGGTTTCAGTAAGGCCGATCTTCCGAATGACCCGTTCGCTAGAGCGAGAGTCATTCTCGAGGATCTTATCCAGCACCTCAGGATCCTTTCCTAAATACTCAGAGACGTCGGTTTGTGGCACATCCTTGACCGGGAAAAGGTATTCGCTAAGCTTCTTTGAGGCCCAGCGGACCGGGTTCTTCTTGTCTACAACGCGGAATGCAAGTTGCGTTTTGAAGACAGCCTTGTTGTACATGACCTCTTCGAATGTGCCACCTGAGAGGAATCTGTACACAAACACCGGCTTTCTCTGGCCCAATCGATAAGCTCGTCCAACAGCCTGCTCTTCCCAAATGGGGTTGAAGGTGAAATCAAAAATTATCACACGATTGGCGCCAGGAATGTTGAGACCAAGCCCTCCCGCGCGGGTCGAAATCAGATATATGAGTTCGGGAGACCTTCCGTTGAACCTCTTGACTGCGCCTTGTCGCTGAGCAACCGGCGTGTGCCCGTCCAGACGACTGTACTCCCAGCCCGACGACTTTAATATGACTTCGAGATAATCAAGTGTGGGCAGACTATGTGAGAACACCAACACCTTGTCGCCGACTCGTATAGATTCAGTGATGATCTGGTGCAGAATCCGGGCTCGATGGGACAGCTCGAGGGCTTTAATGTTGGGCACGGCAGAGTAGATCTGTTCCTGTTCGGTCTGTAACTCCTTTAGATCAAGACCAAGTTGCGAAATAGGCTCGTCACCAGGAGCTTGCTCGATACCTTCCATGTTTTTGTCGAGTTTCTGAGCGTCGTTGAACCTGCTCAGCAGCTTGCTCCTGAAGCATGCTGGATGGTTGCAGCAGAGTCCGAGAATCGCAAGCCAGGATAGTATCTCCATCCGATTGACGTCGCGTCTGCCCCCCAAGATCGACCTCACATACGAATTATATGCAGCTTGTTGTACATCCGTGAGAGGAACAGTGATGACAAACTCAACCTTCGGAGGCAAGCTCCCGGCAAGAACAGTGATATCAGCGCGGTTGATTTTGGGCTCGAGGATATCTTTGAGCACGTTGAGCTTCACAAGAGACCTGCGCTGCTCCCAGCGCGTGCTGTCAACATAAAGACCCTCCCCGATGGGTTCCACATAGTGTGCCTGAAATTCACGCGGGTCTCCCAGATAGCCCTCTGCAATCCAATTGACCATAGCGTAGTAATCCGTGAGATTGTTTGCGAGTGGAGAACCGGTCAAGGCGACTCGACTTTTTGTCTTGAATTGCATTGCGGCTAAAGAGACTCCGGAAGTCGAATTTTTCATTTTGTGCGCTTCGTCGGCAATGACGATATTAGGGCCTTCCAGAAGCCATTTCTTGACATTTTCATGGTCTGCATCCGGCAATGGCCTCGATCTTTTCGAAGTTTCCTTGTTTAGGATCCAAGTTCGGAACATGTCGTAACTCAATATCAGGATTCCGCCATGTTCATACCATTCGCGGATTGTATCCAGCCTTTCATCGAGTGGCCCTCCGCTTGTGACTCTGTGAAACGGTCCGATCTTGACACATTCATCAGGAGGGGTCCATAGGTAGAGCTCGTCCAGCCAGTTCTCGGTCAACGATGAGGGGCAAAGCACCAATGTCTGGGCACTACGGAATCTCTCCGGTACCTGCTCTGTGATCTGAAGGTTGTCGGAGTTAGAAGCGGCCGATATGGTCACGAGAAGCGATATGACCTGCATTGTCTTGCCTAAACCCATTGTGTGGGCTAGCAAGCAACCCTGATGAGTCTCATCGGCTATTAGTTCTCGCCACATAAATTGGATCCCTTTCAGCTGATGGGGTTTCACTCGGCGTGCGATGGCCTCATGCAGATGAATTGGTGGATTTCCAAAGCTCACGACCTGATTTTTATAGTCTGCACTGGCTGCGCCCAAGCTTTCCATGTACAACTTTGCCGATCTTTCCTGCATTCGTGCACGGCGTTGCGCGTTATCTCGTGCCATTTTACCAGCTTCGTTCACTTTGACAGCGCGTTTCCTGGTCCTATGGGGAGTGTCCGTGACGTGGGTAGGCCCAAGTTTATCGCCTTGTTCCCAATCACAATATGCTGCCAGATGGTAGGACAACTGATGATAAAACTCCTCGTAGCTTTCAAAGACTTTGATCTCTCTCAGTGCCTTTTTGACCTTGCTTTTAGGGATTCCCTTGTTGGATAAGTGAGAACAGGTCACCCAGGAAATGTAGAAAGACGTGGCGCGCATTATGATCATGCTCTCGGTATATTCCAATTCATGCAGCCTGGTTTCGCCTCGTAGCATCAACTCCAAAGATCGCATAGTCAGCGCTCGAAGATCCGCCTCATCGTATCTGTTTGATATCCGCTGGGCCAATTGGGTTCGGTCCTTCGCCGGGAGGTTAACAATCAGCTTCACCAGCAGTCGACGTGGATCTTTACGCTCCTCCAAGTAGGTGAATTTTAGCTTTTTGAGCGCTTCATAGTCATCCATGTCAGGCAGAGAGACAGATCTCCTCCTGTGAGAACCGTCTCTTTGGGAGGTGATACTAGGGCTGAAGTCTGAAACAGCAGACATGCTCTCGTATAGAGTAGGGTCTACGTGCGGCACCTCGACCTGCACTGGATTTAGAGGCGGGGTCGCAATGTCGTAGTCATCAGATTGTGGTGTATCCGCGGTCAGGTCAATGACTTTCGGTGTCTCAGTTGTGGTTGCAACAGGCGCCGAATCTGGTGAACTTGAAACGACGAATGGATAGCCTCTCGATGGCAATCTCCGTCGAGTCCCGGATACGCTGATTATGTCCCCTTCTTCATCCGATGATGAAGAAGTCTGGAGTGTCCCGCCGTCATGGAAAACTTGTTGGGCAGGTGGTGGGAGAACTTCAGAATCATCGATGAAGTCATCCGTATCCGAATCGAGTGATTCAGCATCATCGCTTCTGCTATTACGCCGATTTCTGAACTTCAACGCCCTCGGAGGAGGGGCTACTCTGGGTGGGCAGCGCTCAAGTCCTATGACAAAAATATGATGTCTGTCCTTTTGCATCCTGAAGATCGTCTGCTGCAGAGCCTGGCATTGGGTCTGTAGCTCGGTTTCCGAGGAGTAGTCGGCTGACTTTACTGCATCTTTCAGCTTCTGCAAACGACCTTCGAGTTTCTTGAGTGAGCGTGTGAGATCCTTGATCTGCTGGTTACGGCTGTTGCTTCTCATAGCGGCCGTCCATTTTGCCCATGCCTTAGCTTCCTCTTTAGGCTTATGCAACTGCTGCCACTCAGTCTCATAGTTCGATATGCATTTTGCCATGATAGACTCCACTGCATCAGCCGTGAGCTTGTCTCGCTTCTGGTTCACGAGTGTCTGGGACTCCTCGTCAATTTCACGCAAGGTCTCCTCATCATAGTCACCTTCAGACCCTGAGTCACCATACAACGGGAAGGCATCATGGCCATCTTCTTGTGCAGGGTACTTTTCGAGGAGCCATGCAAATGGGTCAGGGGTTTTGGACACTCCGGCAGTGCGTGAGCTCCCATATTTCTCAAGCTGTGGCCAGTCCTTGAGATTCTGCTTAGTAACTGCAACACGGCCATCTTTGGAGGAATACAAAGTGAAGAATCTTTGGCTTTCTTTTGCTCCCCGGACTGGAATGTAAGGAATGACGGCCTGTTTCGTGGGACTCAACCGCACTGGGGTTTGGCGATAGAAGTGGGACATGGATTTGTTGACGAACTTGCGCCTAGCTGGTGGACATTGCGTGCTAACGATAGAGAATTCGTCATTCTCTGATGCGGGACTGGAAGGATAGAACAAATCGATAGGCGTTGTTGCATCAGGCCCCATATACCAAGTCTTGTTCGAAGAATTAATAACAGGCTTGTCAGCTGCACGTTCAGCCTTTGAATTGGCACTGCTTAATTCCAGCCTGCGTCGTTTCTTTCCGTTCGTGTCAATGACCAGGTGCTCACCAGGACGTGAACGCTTATGAGACTGCGGTGATGATAACTCAATGTCGGGTTGGGCGACGAGGCTTACAACGTCTTCTGCGCTACCACCTTGGCCAGACTCGTCGTCATTTCGCCCGTCATCTCTTTCGCCGTTATCGACTGGTGCATGTCTAGCCTCTGCGATGAGGTTGTGCGGCGCATCTTGCCGTTGTACTGGCTTCTCTCCTGGAGTAGAAGCACTGGGGGTAAAGGAGGGAGGAATGCGGGGAGTCTGGAGAACGTCCTTCTGAAGGAACTCCTTACGAGGCACAAGTGTGTGGGGTAGAGTCACCGGGCTCGCGAACGAGGACATGCTAGGAGACCTAGTATATTCGAGAGCTTGAGTCTTGAAGGGAGTTGCGGATAGCGCAGTGGACTGGAGAAATTTGGGAGAATTCCGCTGCAAGTATCTGACAGCACTCTGCATGCTACTGCGGGGACCGAGGGCTTTCAGACCCAAGTCCTCCTTCAGAGATTGTATGTCAACATCGTGGAGGAGCACCTCTCCCGTAATCACGTTTTCTCGAAGAGCGGCCTCGAACGTGACAGGATCTGGCCGCGCGACACGCGACGACGACAGAGACCATGGCGCGTCAGGATTATGGCACAGGAACTGCACCACCTCGTCGACCGTCCAGTCGAGAGGATCCCCGCTAGGATCCATGCCAGTGGGACAGTCTGCAGGAAACAGTCTTAGATTCGATGACACGTGATATCAGTCGAAAGGAAGGTGCTTACTAACTCATGCACTTTAGCCGAACCCAACCAACGTACAAGAAACCATGTTCTGTATGGAAGCAGGTAGATGTAAGAGGTAGAGAAAGATGAGAAGAACGACGTAATAATGCAGTTTAATGATATGTTGACGCGAAATTGTAGATATCTGGGGAGGGTAAGGCTTTCTGCAGAGACGAGAATTGAAGCGGGACTGAGGCCAGCCAAAAAACCGTGGAGACCGAGCAAAGGAGTGTTCTTGGAGTAGAACGATGTGTAGAATTGGACGAGGTCTTTCGTTCTCCGTGACTACAATCTGGAGATTGGAACAGCTGTATACCAGGCACGTTGATGGAGAGAAAAGGTATGATACAGTATAAATGCCAAGTATGCCAAGTAAGGGAAAAGCATGAAATAAATCGAAGGCCTGGAGAATCTGAAATAAACAAGGCTGGCTCACTTCACTTCCCAGGGGCCTTTTTCTTTTATTCTGCCGGTGGTAATAGGCGGTAAAGGGTAGAACAGAGGCTGATTTACTCCGTAGTTCTGCTGTTTACTGTATTGCGGTGTAAAGTACAGTACGAAACAGAACTATAGCATATCATAATTGCTCATGTCAAGAGACCAGTTCAGCCAGAGGGGGTCTTATACTTCACCTGCTTATCAAATCCCTTTGCTCAGAGATTCTGTATAGTTCTACAATGGTTGAGGCTCCCTTTATCGCTTCAAGAACCTGCTTGGACCCAGTACACATTAGGATAGATAGGTTTTGAGTATGAACCATCCGAGAGTGAGTTGGCACATCGATCAACCTCACTCACTATCAAGCCTTGCCTCGTGTTTGCAAAAGGTCTGTTGACGGCTGGATTATATACTTTACAGCATGCGTTGGTCTTACTCTGCTGCGATATCTGCGTAGTTTCTCAGTATACCGCCTGTAGTATCTGCCATGAGTACTTGTATAGCTTTGCACAGAGAGTCATTGAACACAGCTGCACAGTGAGTGCTGTGCATTCTCAGCAAAAGTTGGAGAAGATGATCAAGATTATATTCACCGCTATCACATCGGCTGGCTCGGATATCATGTCACGCCACTTGATAATCCCAGCCGGCTAGCACCGGGTTCAGCGTTATCAATTATCGACTTTCTTCACTCTCACCAGCAGCCATCAAGATGCCGCCCCAGAGTGGGACAAGTAACAAGAATCTTCTCGTAGATCTCTCCAGACGGAGCATCGCAAAAAAGACCCCCAGAAGCTGAGCTAAGACGAACAACACGAGTTAACAGATTTCCATTTTCATTGTATGAGAGCGCTAAACTCCAGACAACGTCGTCCAGTATATCAGACTCCATGTTCCCGGTGATTACAATCTTGTCTATTCCTCACACTATCATCACAGAACACTCCTTCCCAGACTGTTTCCTGATTTTCTATCCGCCTTTTCAGTATTGAAACCAATCCCTCCTGTCGCTCCTTGATGCCTTTCCCATCTCCACAGCAAGAGACAGAAGCGCTGATAGAGACAAGATATCTGAGAGCAGATCATCTCTGAGTGATTACATCCAGTCGCGAATATTGTCAGGATGCAACCTTTCGACCACACAATTTGGCAGTAACGGACAGACTGAGCGACTGAGACAGATGACAAGCAACATTGATAAGAGTAAAGAGAGAAGCAAGAAGAAACATGGAAGGCCTGCAACGTTCATCATGCGTCGTATCACTAACGAGACAAGAGGGTCAATTGGCGATGAGATTACGATGAGCAAGGCACTTACTTTTTCTCGGAAAATATGCTAGCTGAGACCGAGTGACAGCTCCTAAAATACCAACCACTTCCTAAGAACAAAGTTGGAAGCTCTTTGAGATCTTCTTGTGAAATAGAGTGGAAGGTAAGAAGTGTTTACCAGACACTTTCGGCAAGATATCCTGCGAGAAAAAAATCAATCACAAGCAAGCGGCAGATCTCTCTCTCTCTCTCCAAACTCACTGGCAACTTCCGACTAATTGACGAAGTGAAGAGACTGCTCGCATGATGTGGGAACATCAAGTCAGACATCACAAGTCAAAATCTGGGTCAAACATCCCCGAGTACGGAGTGTTTCGGCACCACAGCTCACGGTCATGATAGTCTTGCATGATCGTGTCGTACAGACTATCGGTCTGCTGAGAGGCTGACTGGAAGTCAAAGGTTTGGAAGTACCAAGACCAGTCTTCCAGGCTGTAAATGCCTGAATCTTGTGCATCCGCAGCCGAGTCCGCGCCCTCTGGATGGGGTGTCCAACTGGCACAAAGCGCAATCTGCTCTTCTTCAGAGAGAAACATCTTAAGGGCATCAGAGCAATTCTCTGTGGCAATCTCGTGCAAGTCTTCGGTTCCATTCAAGATGGTCTCATATGGATGCCACAACGGTGCTGAGATGAGGACGAGGAGAGTTAGCTCACTGCTGACATGGGGCTCATGGGGCCTTTGTTTCCAAAGTAGGGAACGACGCATAGCTAGAATATACTCACTGAAGGAGCTATGCTCGCTCACAACGCTCTTGGAGACTTGTTTGATTGTGATGGCTGGCGAAGCTGAGCTGTCGACTCCACGAGTTTCACGAGTTCCACGAGTTTCACGTTTGTTCGTCGCGACTTGAAGGTTCTCCTTCACAATCCGTTTGTTTCGGTACGGTTTTGGGAGGTCAATTCTGCCGCCGATCTCCCCCAGAACCGGATTGATCAGGCCCGGGGTAAGCCCGCGGGTGGTATTCAGGGCGGGATCGATACCAGCAGCAACCAGCTTTTGCTTGAGTGTTTCGACTAGTCTAATGCTTTTCTTGTTTCCGGAATCCCAAGCGCACAGAGAGAAAGCTTGACGAAATCTACCACCCCTCTGCTGGAGTGCATTGGGTCTGACACGATGGCCTTCGGGCATCCTATCTATAATATCCTCAAGCCGAATGCGGCGATCCAGTCGAATCCAAGCCTCCACCCGAAACTCTTCCACGTCCGCCGGAATGCTGTCGGGCAGGACTGGGATATCTCTCAGATACTTCCCATTTATGGTGTATGTCTTGAGCCCTATCGGGTCCTTGCTCTTGGGTCCATTGGGGTTAAGCTGATACAGAATGTCGGGGAGATTATCCCATGACCACTCTTCCTGCTCAGGATGGGCGTGAGCTGCCGCGGTTCTTGCACTTTCCGAGACCTGTTGCGACAACGAGTGTCCTTCTTGAGTCAGTGGTGGCCAGAGCGTCACACAAGGAAGGGGCATGGACATACCTTGCTTGGAGTTTTTGGCTGAGTTGACGTTGAACGTCTGGCTCAGGCCTATTGGTACGTTCATTTTGATGGGAGGACTGCTAGCTGAAGCTATCTAATCCTGCAAGGAATGTACCAGAGAAAGGAAGTAAGCCTGTCAGTATGAGGTCAATGAAGCTGCTCTGAAGCTGAGAAGTGTATGTTGCCGAGACGAAGAATTTATCCCGCGATACATCCGGGAGTCGAGCAAGAGAGCAGATGAAGATGAAGACGAAGATGGGCATTACGTGTTGGGGCATATTCTCTGTCGCTTGCTTGGCCATGGGGGGTTGGGACTTGGAGTCCTAATTGGGGCACATGTTTCAAAATTCTCAATGAAGTGAATAGAGCCCTCGAGCTGGCCGACGAAAGGCCTCACTTCGCATGAAATCCTTCGCGATATCTACTGAAAATGTGCCTTGAAACCGCTCTCTCCGTAACCAGAAAAAGATTCCCGTTAGAGCATACTCCAGGCAGTGTATAGCTCTGATCATTCTGTATGGTTTCTCTTTGGACTGGAATGGCAAGAGGTGCAATGCTGCGAGGTCTAAATTGCAGTGAGGGTGACTATACAACATCTCTTCCGTACGGCAAGTGAGCAACGGGTGTTTGTCGCAGAGCTATCGACCTCTCTCAAAAGCCGAGCCACGGGCTCAATCTCATACATCATGGCCCATAAGTCCTCGTGGTCAGGTTAGAAGGTCTTTGTTGAGATAAAGGCTCTGTCCACAACCCCACCTTTGTTGTAGGGGTGACCCACTCTGGAGGCTGGTGAACAAAGCGGGGAAAACTTTTGACAATGGCTATCACTGTCAGATGATTCTGTTGTCTTGCTATGAGACCCACTGTGTGGATTCGTCGATGAAAAAAAGCTGGGGGAGCTTTCCTTTATTCCTTCGAATGGGGCCCACCCTGTGTACTCGCAGCGCTGGGGATTACACCTTACTTGAGAAATGGTTCAGAAACTAAAGACTAAGGACTAAAAGCTACAGAAACAGAGACCATGTGATTTTCAGGGATCCAGCTTACTTGTGGTGATTCTTGGCGTCTTTCGGAAATATCAAAGATGCTCCCAAATGCTGCTGAGGCCATGTGACCTTCGCGATGTTGGCAACGCCGACCTCAACCTTGCGAGATATTTGCCTCAATGACTCTCCATGTTACAGCTCGCTACAGAAGCATCTGAGATCATTGCACACGGTATTTCTCAACTTGCCAGGTTGAGGCTGAACATCATGAAAGTTGTCCTATCAACCCATTGCAACAACACCGACTCACCCAACGAGCGGAAGCTACAACCTTACCTACGTGATTTCTTTCTACATTGAAATTGACCTGGGCATAACGTCAAGCAGTCAAGCAACATCATCGCAACAGAAATACTGTGTAGAGTTGAACCACTGATGTAAAGCAGGAAGTATAGAACGGCCAATGATGGCTTGAGCCAAGACATATTCTCCGCCAGTAGTTGTTGTTACTTCCGTGCAGATTCTTCCGCATTTGCATGATAAGAACTTCAAAATATCCGTCTTGACTGTACTTTACTTCTTATCACTGCTTACTTAGAACTGCTCGTAGCTCATTCATTTCCTTCAAGCTAAACCATCATACTAGTATCACCTCGACTATGGCCACACCACCCCTTCTTCGTCTGGTCCCGGCCATGACTCCGAATTCCCGCCTGGCATCTCAGCTGCCCAGGCGATACAGTCTTCAGATCGCCTGCAATGTGAAGCCAAACGCCTCCAACAACCGGGAAGGCATCATCGGGATAGGTGCAGACCGGGTTGATGTATGCGTTGCTGCGGTTCCCCGTAACGGCGAGGCGAATGCAGCTGTATCTCGTGTTATTGCCCAGGTGATTACCCAGTCGTTCCATGAATTTCTTCAGGTTCTGGGTTGGTTTCGCGTGTTCGAGTATTCGAATTAATGGAAGCAGCTAACAATAACAACAACAACCACTTCAGGCTTTTAAAGTGCCAAAGTCCGACGTAGAGGTCATCCGTGGACTAAAATCGCGAGATAAAATCCTCCGCATCATTAGTTTGGATATTGGATCGCAATCCGAGGACGAGTTTATCCAACAGGCGCATGAGAAACTCAAGAAAGCATTGATCTGATTCATCTAACTCTCATGTTTTGACCGCCAAGCTGGCTGGCACATACCGTTGCCGCGACGGCACGCGCCCGTGACATCACGGAGGGATTTCCCCGACTTTTTTTTCTCTTTCTCCAATTGCTCTGGTGGACCGCAGTGCACGAACATCAACCGGTACTATCAACAAAAACAAGATACAGGCTATTGCCACGAGAATCACTTCGGAATCAGTGTTTAATGAAAATCAGAATGTCTACCACATCGCAGCCCCAGCCAGCAGAAGTGGAGACTGCGAAGCGCAAAGCTCCGACCGAGCAAACCTCCTCCTCCTCCACCCCCGCCATGACATTCACCACGCGCAGTCCCCCTTGGACCTACCTCAAGCTACAGTTGTACGTTCTTTGTTCTCCTACCACCAATACAGCTAATTGACAGTATAGACAGAACCCATCAGCCCCCTGTCTCACAGTCTACCCTCAACCACCCTCTTGACCCCCTCACAGCCCGCACCTACCTCTCCGCCGCGCTCCGCCAATTCCTCGGGCTGTCTGGCACGGCTATTGCGATTGACATTCTGAAGATCGACCCTCCCTCTGGTACAAACGCGAAAACAATTTGGATCCGTGTGCCTGAACCAGATGCATCGGCCGTTGTCGCAGCGCTGAGTTCGTGGGTCGGGGGTAGCGAAGCCAATGGCAATGGTAACGTTGCCTGGCGGGTTTGTGCGAAAGGGAACTTCCTCCAGGCGATAGTAAATGGCTCGGGGGCAGAGATATTTGTTCCATGAGTATCGAGTCGATATATATTCTCGGAGCTTACTTAGGCTGTTCCTTCTTGCGACATGGGATGAGCTTCATATCCTCGACTTAATGCGGGACTGCGCATGCTATGACTTCGCCCAGAGGTGCTGCGGAAGCGTAGTTGACTGTGGGAGGCAGCTTTTGTTCCCGGCCTGCAACGTTATTCTACATGAAGCGCCGGGCTTCTCGACATGATCATCCCGAGCTGCGCGAAAGCCGTGATTCGAGCGCGAAACACTCCATGGCGGTATTTCTGGCTGGCTGTATGGGGACTTGGTTCGATGACATCATAAGGTGGCCTTTCTTAATTAGCAAAGGCTCGTATTCGATGGCCAGAGCGTCGTGGTAGGCGTTGCAGACACCGGTTGGTGGTCATATGGTCTGCATTCGTGGGTGCGAGCTTCAGACGCGCACAGATTGCTTACTTAGTCGTTATATCTTACGCGCTGCGGGGAGGAAACCGAAGTCGAACGTGGAGGCAGCACAGAACGCCGACATCCCTGAGCGGTAGCTCATACATAATTACATCCATACCTTCCCAATTTCGTATGTAGAACCCTAGCGTATTCTTCGCCTTTGCAGTGCAAGAAGAATTACTTGCAAAAGTACCTTTACTTCCGGGGTCCTTACAACTCGGTAGTAAGGTTGGCACAACGTGCTGCAACCAGACAACCAAATCTATACACACCACTCGCTATGGGACTTCCCCTCCAAGCCATGACCATTATACTTCTACCTCATTCATCAATGCTCCCAAAATCCAGACTGACCCTTGTGGATCTACGACAGTCTTTTCCTGCTTTAGAGGACTCAAATCTTAAGTGGAGAGTCAGTGCAACACCACGCTTTGTCCACGTCCATCCCCGAAGCCAAACTGGCCACAGGCCTTGTTCGCTCCTTCAGAGTGTGACGTGTTGCGTGATATCATGAGGATGGTCGATCAAGTCACTGCCTTCGAGGTGATTATGTACCAACACCAGTCCCCACACTGGGTAGTTCACACTGGGTACTAGGTACCATGATCCAATCGAGTACAGAATTTCCTGACGATACGCAAGGCCGTGACAATTCAGGAGAAAGCAAAGAGCTTATAGGTAGCCACATACACCGTACACATACCTTGCACACCTGTCGAATCGAATCGCGACCCATCCATTCGTCCAAGAAAATCTGAAACATGAAACTAGAACCGCGCACTGTCACATTTGCAGGTGTGTGTTGGTAGGGTTGTTGGCGCGATGCCGAGACAAGCGACATAAGCAGAAGGAGGGCGAGATTCAGGGGTTGATTACATATTGTGATTGACGGGGGAGGCCCGAAAGCATGGCATGGCTACGGGAGGGAGGTTTTTGCCAACGAGAAAGGCGCAAGCCACTTCCTGCAGGCTTACGGGATGGTGAAACGGTGGGATGAAAGCGATGTTTGAGAGAGTGAGTAAATAAACCCTTGGAGTTAGTTGACTATGCTAGACAATCATGATACTTACTTTTTGTCCTTTCTTCGTTCTTCGAGCGATTTTGTTTTCTTCTCTCCTTGAAGGTGGGATTTTGAAAGAGACCCTTGGTCTAACTATTCGCTGGTCCGATCGACGCATTGGCCCTTTCTGCTCCGTACGCAGCACTAACTTACACAGTACGAACGCTATGCTATGCTGCTATTTTAAAAGGATTCCGAGTCTCGGAGTACCCCGTGGCGCAGTTTGTACTCCACAGAGCTGAGGACACACAGGATGTTTTCACAGTGGGAGATTTTAGCTAAGGGCTGAGAGTATTGGACAGATGAAGCTCGGGTTCTTTGTCTCTGGTTGGCAGGGGCAGTGAATTTGAGTCCAAGACCTATTTTCGGGGGAATCATTACGAGGCTTGCCCCTGCATGATGACAACAACTGAGTTCAAGCCATGGCTGCGGGTTCGGGTTGTTTTTGCCCGCCACTCCCGGTAGGTTTCCTTGATGCAAGCGTGAAGATCGTAAGACATATATTGAATAGTATTCTCACTTATATTTAATTGCGACGAGAGGTTAGTTCTCCAACAGAGCAGAGAATGCTCCGGGTTAGCAATAAAAAGAATAAGCAAAGAACGAAGGTCAGGCTGCCCGGGCGGCGACAAGACGGGATGAAGAAGTGAATGTTTCAAAAAACCAAAAAAAAAATAAAAACGACGGTCTGGCCTTTTGACAGAGAAGCGCAACGAATCAGGGCTGAGTTCGCCATGGGGCGGAAGCAGCCGTTCTGAACGGAATGTTGACGTTTTGGCCCGCGTGGCGTGGGAATTACTGGTACTGTACGGGCCAGATGCCGATCGCCCTCTCGATTTGCCCCGCTCTCTTCGTCTTTTGCGAGTTTATCGGCTATGTTTCCCACAGTACAGTCTCTGTATCAGTATTGTGTACGCAAGTCTGCGTACGGAACAGTTTTCTCGTCCATGGCTCCAACTATTCGCACTCTAATTCTACTTGCGTGTATGTATTTCTTTCTATACCTCAGGTGGCTTTCGTGTCTCTTCAGGTTAGACCAACCGCTTCTTGATTCAGTACTAGTTATTAAGTCTCGATTCAGCTCCTCCCCCAGATCTCCTTTTACTAAATCTTTCTTCATCTTCCACTCCTCTCTTCGTCAATTTCGCAGGGTGGTCCTTACTTCGCTATTAATTCCCCTAGATGACTCAACTAGTTGACTAGTTCCCCCAATTGGCTCTTCTGTGGAGCAATCCTGACCTAGTGTGGTTCGTTTTCCCCAAGGCAGGTCCTTTGTGCGAAACCGTATATCCTCGACTGTCCACACTCCATCTTTGTTCCTCCTCCTCTGATTCCTCCTACAACTTCATCGTGCGTCACCTTCCTCAGCAACATGTCGGAAGAAGCAGGACATCAGGAGGAGCCCTTGGTTGCGCCTGTCCAGACTGCAAAGAACGAACCCTCAACGAATGTACAAGAGAAAGAGCCGCGGCCAGGGCGCCTGACGCCGCGCCCCAGCTTCCTCGAAAACCTCGCCAATTCCCGTGATAGCCAATTCATGCTTGACCGACGCAATTCGAGTGAGCTCGTTCGATACTTTGTATGTTGAATATTGCTCAGGAGGGACTGTTCCGAACCCGCGCAACTGACTGGGACGATAGCATGGCCCCCGCGATCTCGATAGACACTCCAAATGGCCCCTCGCCTTCCGTATGCACGGCAGTATCATGCCCAAGATGATCCTACCCTTATTCTTAGTCGCCCTCTGGTCTACGGCTATTACTTGCATTTCACACTTTGTGCACTCTCGTGAGTGTCCTTTTCGATGCTGCAAGGTCGTCTTCTAACTTTTTTTGGTGAACAGTTGGTATCAACAGTATCCTGCTCACAATCACCGGCTTCGTTGTCAGTTTGGCGCTTTCGTTCCGCAGTTCGACTGCCTATGAGAGGTACGTAGCGAGATTGTTGGAATATGTGACAGGCACGGAGCTAACGGCAGGGCAGATGGGCGGACGGACGCAAATACTGGGCATTGCTAATCCAGACATCTCGCAACCTCGCACGGACGATTTGGGTGAACACTGCTGAGCGTCCAGGAGAGCTGGGAAAGGAAGATCTGCTGGCGAAACTGTATGCTGCCCTGACGCGGGATTTTAAGGACATATACTGATATCACCAGGACGGCGTTCAACCTCATTCTCGCCTTTGCCGTCGCCCTCAAGCACAAGCTCCGATTCGAACCTGATGTCGGCTACGAAGACCTCGCAGGGCTCATTGGCCATCTCGACACCTTCGCTAAGGAGGCCCACGACCGTCGAGTTCTCCAGCCCCCGAAGAAGTCTCCCTGGAAGAACTTCGGTGAATACCTAGGCGTGTCCTTTGCCGAGTCGAACCCCCGCAAGCTCATCAAGCGGTCCAAGAAGCCTTTGGGACATCTGCCGCTGGAAATCCTGAACCACCTGTCAGCCTACGTCGATCGCTGCATTGGTAATGGAACTCTTTCCTGCGGTCTTCACCAAAGTCAACTCAGTATGCTCCATCCGCTCTGTCTTTCTTGATTCGTTGCTAATTTTGGCTCAAGTTGGTGGTATCTCCACCTTAAACGAATGCCTTACCGGCACTGAGCGCGTTCTCGATACTCCTCTCCCTGCCGCATACACCATTTCCATCGCCCAGATTTCGTGGATCTATGTCATGGTTCTCCCCTTCCAGATGTACAACTACCTAGGTTGGATCACCATTCCCGGCTCGATCGGTTAGTACTTCCACATCTCCCCACATGCCCGCAATGTTACTGACCCATCTAGTCGCCGCCTACATTATCCTCGGTCTTGCCTTCATCGGCAGCGAAATCGAGAACCCCTTCGGACACGACGTCAATGATCTGCCCCTCGAGACCTACTGCCGTCAGCTCGCCAACGAACTGGATATCATCTCTGCCATGCCGCCGCCCAAGCTCGATGAGTTTGGTGTCCGCGAGGACAACTTCGTGCTCTTCCCTCTGAGCACGTCTGGCTACAATGAATGGAAGGAGCGTTCCGTCGAGGACATCCGCGCCGCCCTGCGGTCCAAGGTCGTCGTCAACACAGCCCCAGCAGAATCGGAGACGACGACCATGGTCGGAAGCATGAGCAGCAAGCAGACGGTTTAAGCATTGTGAAGTGTCAGAAAAACTGGTGATAGAAGAGTGAATTGTGGTAATGTGCATTCGAACCCGAGGCGGGGAAAAATTAATGGATTTGGCGTCTTGTTTAAGCATGCGCGTCCGGTGTTTATGTTGTTGAGCTATATTGACTTCTGATGGCGGACGGGTTAGATGTGTACATGGGTTCTCTTTGGGTCTTTTTGGTATGCGGCTTGGGACATATGGTTCAATTAGCTCTGCAATAGTGGGAAAAGTACTGTACAAGAAAGAAATATGTACATATATTCAATCTCTCCTCGATTGATATGAAGACTGGTTGGATTGTTATTACGTGGATGTCTTGCATCCACAGATGAACAGACTGCACCACCCATTCGCTAAGAATGTACGCGTGCAGTCCAGTCTGTAATGCGTCGGAGTAGAGTCCTCTCATCACGGAGCATATGGCAAATCTACGAGTATACGCAGTACACACTCAGGTACTCGGATGGTTCAATTGAAGCTGCACCGCACTGCGCCGCCGCCTCATACCACGGGGAATCAACATAGCATCCATCTCCATCCTCCAACCCCTTCCAACCCCGCAACAAGCTGACAACGTCATAAACGTCCTATACCAGAACGCCTGGCTTGATCCTCATCATCTAGGTCAATGGCTGTACAGCGACATGGTCTTCTGAATTATGTACCTGCCTGATTATGCTCACCGAACTAGTTACTAAGTTACTCCTAACCTGACAACCCACTCCCCCGGACCCTTTCTTGACGGTGATCCTCTCCACAGCCCTCCTTGCGCGCATCGGGTGGGGTACGATGTACGATCTGCTGCGAAGCGCCGGAATGTATCTCTGATGGGCAGAAGCAGTGGTTGGAGGAAAGTATAGCCGAATCACTAGTAAATCCCGAGGGTTGGTCGATTCTTGCTTTTCCGGGGTCGGTGGAGCCGCTTCAAGCTATGAAGGTGCGAGGCCAGTGCTGGAGCGGGGGTACGATGTCACTGCATTATGGACAGAAGAAGAAGGGGGTTTGTCGTCGTGGGAGCAAGTCTTGATAAGGTAGTAGGGATGGGATGTTGTTCGCGGTAAGCTGGGTCTGTGTCTTGTCGGAGTGAGATTCATCGAGCATTGTGGTACTTAAGTATATACTTCGGATCCTTTTCCAGGGTGCTGATGAAGACCGGATAAGATGCATTGGGCAAGCACTTTTGCGGGGTAGTAACTTATTCATTCCCTCTTCACTTCAGTTTACTTACATTGCCGAGGTGCAGTGGGTGTGGAATTCTCCAGCTCCTTGATTCTACTGTGAGTTCAATTACTCCTGTGTTTCCACTTCTCGCGTACAATATAAATACAGTCTCCTCCATTGATATCATAGTACACGCACAATCATGGCTCCATCAGTGACAAGAACCACGAATCATCAGATCGAACCGAGCAGCGCCGGCCAATCAACCAACAAGAACCCTCCACCTCAACTACAAGTCCTCGGCAAAGACAAAAGACGGCAGGGAATTGAAAGTCCGGCGATATCCCCAGTTCAACAACCTGAAGGACGAGCGGGCATACCGCAAGCAACACTTGGCGGCCGCGTTTCGTCTGTTTGCAGACCGTGGCTTCGACGAGGGTGTGGCTGGCCACATTTCCGTCCGAGACCCAATCCTCACAGATCATTTTTGTAAGTTGTTACATAGCCACATCCCCTCTCCCATTGATGTATCTGAAGGCGAAAGGTGTCTGCCTGCTAGGACTAACGCGCGATTCGGCCTCAGGGATCAACCCACTCTCCGCACACTTTGCGCTCATCAAAGTCTCCGACCTGATTCTCGTCGATGAGACCGGCCTGGTCGTCGAAGGCGATGAGCCCATCAACGCCCCCGCATTTGCCATCCACTCCGAGATCCACAAGGCCCGACCAGACGTGAACGCTGCGTGCCACGCTCACAGCGTCGCGGGAATGGCCTTCTCGTGCTTCGGCCGCGAGTTGGAAATGATCACGCAGGACGCGCTGCGATTCTATAAGAGCCATGGTGTCTACCGGGACTTCAAGGGGGTGGTGCTAGACCAGGAGGAGGGCCAGCGGATTGTGGATGCTTTGGGTCGAGGAAAGGCGGTGATCCTGCAGAATCATGGCCTGTTGACGGTGGGGGCTAGCATCGATGAAGCGGCATTCTGGTTCATCAGTCTGGATAAGACCTGCCGGGCGCAGCTCTTGGCCGATGCTGCAGCTGCAGCGGGGTACAAAAAGATCATCAGGGACGAGGAAGAGGCTGCTTATGCGGCCTTGCAGGTCGGCGGACCGGAAAAGGGATGGCTGGCCTTTCAGCCGTACTATGACGAGCAGGTTGCGAAGACCAAGGGTGAATTCCTTCTTTGACGCGGTGCGCGGTCATGGTTCTGGTTTGGGGATGGCTGGCAATCAGGTGCAAGCTAATATGACAATCGTGCCAATTTGGACAGGCCAACTTTTAGAACCTGTGATAACAGCAAGTGGTCTTGCGGAGGTCGAATTTCCGCATTGACAGCTTTCGATAGTGCGCGAATTCAACTTTCAGTTGTTCCCGTTGATCAGCTCATAACACTGACATGTGGCTGGATCTTCTCCAACAGTTCTGTCAATGACGGGATGGCCTATACCGCGGAACTATTGTGAACGTCGGGGGCTATTCCGTGGGACCCTGTGCTGAATCCTGGGCAAGCTGATTGGAAATGTCGATAAAGTATATATGAAGTCGTATGCTGATCCGAGCAATGGTCCCTTCTTCAAGACTTGCGCGTAGCGCGAGCTTGATTTTCCGACGTCATAATTGAGCCTGGGTCCATGAAAATTGGTAAGGTTCGGATCCGAGAACGGTATACCGTTGGGTCGCCCCCAACTTTTGAGTCTGAAAATCTTCACGAGAGGTTTCATTGTAGAGCCAAGTGATCGCCGTCCACGAGTCAATGCCGAAGAATCTCCATTGAGGCAGAAAAAAGTATGATCGACAAGGCAGTAGAACGCCCCACTCGCAGGATGAACTGTTACCGAATACGGAAAGACTGAATAATCAGCATCTGGTGACGCAGCAATGCAGCCTGGAATTTCTACACAGTACATCGTGAGGTCCCGTAACTCGCCAAGTACTGTGCCATAGGCAGCGCGATCTTGTTGTATCTAATTCAAGCAATCGAAGGGGGACTTCCGTGGCGGAAGTTCAATTTGTCAAGCTCCTCGCAAGCCAGACCAGAGGGACCGAATGCAAAACTGATCAGCAGGGTACTGATACACTTCTGTGGCTTTGGTGTTGCAGCATGGGCTATTACAACACACTCTGATCCTGAAACTCATGTTTGAGGCTAGGTCTCGCGGCTTGTGCGTTCTTGGTGTAAATGTGTAATTTGGGAGATGAAATTGGCCACTTTGAGGCTTACTACGACCCGCTCATTGCCCTGGTAAGTGCAGGGGTCACGCAGGGACGAGAGTAGGCATGTGCTGAGACCGTTCGTCCAACACGTCCGCCACCCAGGCGGCTGATGATCCCACCGGATAGGCGGACGGGTAGGAACAGTCTTCCACCTTGTAGGTGCCAACCTACAGCAGGACTCAGCAGTGTGGCTTTATTTTCATGGTTCGAGTGCTCCCGCTGGGTCGATAAAGCTTATCGTGATGGTTCTCGGGACGCTCAAAGTCTGAAGTTGCCGGATGCCTGCCAGACGCCGGCTGGGTAGCTGAAAGCTTCTCATTTGACCAGACTCGAGAGATGTGAGAAAACATTTTGGCCACAAGCAACGTGTCAGCTGAAATGCAAGGCCAGGCCTTCGGAAATTCGGATTCGCACTATTTCGCAGGGCTAGACGATCATTGCGTTGAAAACTTTAATGCGGGTTGGCCGTGTATCTTATCATTTTGATAAGGTTCTGATCGGTAACCCGATTCAGACTCCATCTTTAGCCCCTTCAGGCAGGATGGAACAATTCTAGGAGTCTCTCGTCGCTGTGTCTGTCTATGAGCAATGACCATGTGTGTAGCATACTTTGAGGAAGGATTTGTTGACAAGGTGCGGCAGCCTTGTTGTTGATGGATAAGCGTTCCTTGCTTCGACACCAGGATGTCTCGGAATCTGGTTTCGTGCTTTATTGTTAGTGTGCTCGAGGAATCTTAGCTTGAATGAGATCTCTGCTGTCAAGGCTGAAAGGGTATATGGAGTGCATGTAACATGATGCAGGAACGAGTGCTGCATACCACGGAACTGGCAGCTCAATTGCCGATGGCAAATGGAGCGTCAGCAATAGGAGGTACTCCAGACTGCAAGTGTATTCAGGTAACATCCATGATAGTATGAGTAGCGGAGTAGCTTTTCACCACCTGCTTGGGCGGAAATGAAAGAGTAGTAGACAGTACGGAGTACCGACTACCGAGGAGAATCTTGGAGGCGGGGCAACCCAACCTTTTTTTCCCTTGACCGAATGCGCCATCTGTCTCGAGCGCCACCAAAATCGGTTAATTGAGGAGACACCACGAGCTCCATCCTGAATGTGGAGCACGATTTCTTCCCCCCGGCTCCCATCACATCGGATTTCGCATCCACCATTTTGCGTCCAACAGTCCTCGACTCTTCCTGGACGAACCCCCTTACGAAGTGACAACAGGGTCCAACGCCTCTCTTGCTCCCTTGCTCCGAATCCACTGTCACTGTCCGCCAAATTCGGGTCAATTCCTGTCTATGGATGATTAGACTTTAGCACCCTGGTTCAAGTCGATCATCTAGACTTGGGCCAACGTTTAATGGCTCACCCGTCAAAAGCATTAGATCACTTCTGCCGGCCTGTGGAGTACGATGTGAACGACGGTTCGAAGGCTCTGCCTATCGTTGTCCAGTGCACACTGTGAAACCCCCGTCGATTCTCACTACGAGAGACCCCCCTTCTGGCCATTGCAGGGCCAAACTACCCCATGATGGAGTCAGGTCCACTAGCTTTATTGGTGGCCATTGATCCGTTTCTTGGCTTTGCTAGGATCGATCTGAAATTGGGTGCTCTAAAGCCAAAGTCAAAATGTCAAAGTGGGTTGGCTGCGGGCAATTCATGGTCGGAGAAAGGGACCAGGACCTGATACGACGGCAGTTCTGAAGCTGGGAGTGGAACCTCATGCCGCGCTATATTATCCCCTGTCTCTCCCATCATCGCTTCTGCCAACCCGCAAGTGGCATTCATGACTCCAGCCCAGTAGGCCATCGCGACGGTCTCTTGCTCCACATCAGCCTCTCAGTGAAATCGGATTGTGATTATGGCCAATGTGATCAACAACTACGTGTCCGGGGTTGCTGGTGGTTATGCTTGAATCTCAACTGAATGATCGCGTGCCTGAACAATACTTCGCTCCGTCCTATCATCCCAACAACTAAACCCCTGCTTGCATCGTCCTCGTCTTAATCAACTAGTGCTACTATGCGCATTCCACCTGCCAGTGTCCTGGCGACATGGCCTACTCCTAACTATGTCGACCCTGTGACTCGTGGCAACTACGTGCTTATCGTCAGTGTTGTCCTCCTCAGCGTGGCATTTGTCGTGACCTGCCTTCGCCTTTATACACGTTTGAGAATAACGTGCACTTTCGGTATGGATGATGTCCTCATCATCTGGGCCCTTGTGAGTCTAAGAGTGGCAGCCATCTACACCTCGGCCAACTATTGACGGTATTCAGGCTTTCGCAATCGGCATGTGTGCTGTCACATCCATTGCCACTGAAAATTACGGTTGGACTCGACACCTTTGGGACATTCCCCCTTCCTTGTTGCCAGCTGTCAGCAAGCTCAACCTCGCATTCCAAATTCTCTTCTCCCTGTCGTCCAGCATCACCAAACTTTCTCTACTGTGGTTCTGCAAGCGTCTTCTTGGGGCTGGGAGTAAAGGTTTATATTCCTCCTACAACATCGTGCTGATCATCGGCATGGTCATTGTGGCTATTTGCTGCCTTCTTTTTCTCTTTATCTCTATCTTCCAGTGCTCGTGAGTACACCCCATCATCAGCTCTGATCATGATCCGGCAGCGAATAAATGCTGATCAATCAGACCTATTCACGCATATTGGGATGTGGAACCTAGCTACCCTTACCATTGCATCAACGACGGTGCCGCTGTCTTCTCGGCCAGTGTTGTCAATATTTTCACTGATTTTCTCACGACTGTGCTGCCCATGCCTTTAATTTGGAACCTGAAGCTGCCTGCGCGACAACGGGTTGCCGTGATTTCGATCTTCGGACTGGGTATTGTGGTCAATGTTGCCGGCTCGATTCGGACAGTTTACGTCTGGAAGAGCATGGTGGCCTCATATGATACCACCTGGGTGGGCTGGCCAGTTCTTCTCGCTGCTTCGATAGAGATCAGTATGGGCTTGGTAAGCTACCACATCTCTGCGCTCGAACAGTCTTGTCTGACTTGCTCTAGATTTGCGCTTCTGCGCCTGCACTCAGGCCCCTTATCACCTTTTTCTTGCCTCGCCTCCTACAATCCAGTCGTCGCTATGCCTCTTCCTATGGTCCCAAGAGCTTTCCACGGAAGGGATGGTCATCAAGCGGGCCGACCAAAAATTCTAGAATTGAAGATCGGCAATATGGCTACCAGGGGGACACTAACGTTGATCGTTTGGAGGTTCTCCGGACAGTGGAGATGGAGACCTGGTCTGAGATAAAGAAGCCTGGAGCTGCCCACATGAATCATCCTCCAGCATTCTCGAACCATATGCGGGTTGCAACACCTACGCATCATGTTGAATTGAAGAACCACGGTGTGGTTTACACGTCGCCTGGTAGCGACCAATCTACAGTTTCCCTCACGCGGGACTCACATTCACACAGCGACCGGTCGATGACCGATGATAAGAACTTTTTCTAGTGCTTTTATGATTCATTTTTCTATACTGTCATACAACAACCCAATTTTTTTTTTTTTTTTTTTTTTAAGATGATAATGTTTTACGATGGTAATCGTGTTCAACACAAGTACGCATCATTTGGGCCACAGCGCTGTGCACTTCTGACAGGCCTCACTTCTTCTTCGCTCGACAGTGAGTTGTATCTACTTTCTGTTTGCAAATGTAGTTTAACACAGTCAAATTCTGCGCTCCTACTGACGTTGACAAGAATGATGCCTTCAAATTACTTGCAGCTAGCGAAGTAGTCGCGGTGGGTCGGTCGATGGAGACAGCTCCGCAATCGGACTCCACACTCCCCACTTCATTGACTTGACTCGGGCTCAGCTTGGATGCCGGAGTGACCTGACCAAGTCGCCATCGCATAGACTACCCTCTTCAGGCTAGTCGGACACTTTCTCCTACAGTAACAACTCGTGCTTGAAGTTCCATCGAAATGACAGAGTTCACGCGTAAACCTGAGACTACCGAGTAACTAATGCAGGCACTGGACGCACTTACACGGGATCCTTCTATTAAAACCCTGCTTATAAGTTGCTTCTCAAACTCTTGGATTCGCCCTCCCCTCCGACATCCCCCCGTGGCCTGTCTCAGCATCCGTATGTAGGCACGGTAATTCAATCAGGGCACGATCTTGGCAAAGTCTACAAAGACATTAACAGGGATGCATGCATGCATGAAACTCCACTACATCGCCCTGAACGAAAAGAACAATCTAGACTTCCTCGTGGACTCCGATACAGTTAATAAAATGCTTGGCGGGTCTGTGGCATAAATTGGACAATGCCAGTATCTCGGCACTGTCGCGGGGCTCGTGATGTTGTTGATGGGTCCAATACGGAGTACTCGCCAAGGACTTGGTGCATGGCTAGTAAGTGTGGTTACGTGTTGGAAGAATTCTTTGGATGTATGTTGGTGATTTTGAGTCATTGGGCTGGGGGTCTTGAACTGCTTTTGCTGACTGCAGTGTGATGGATTTTGAATTTATATAGAATCTTCGTGTAATTCTAGATGGATAGACAATGATTCGTTTCATGGAGCACGCACACGTATAACGGTATTTTATGTACAAAGTACTCCGTGAAGTACTCCGTAGCGGACAGGACATTCATGATCAAATGTGATGGAGGAGAATTCTGTGGCCGTAAAAGCATTTGCGGCATTTGGGCAAGCCACACCTCACGAGTTCGTTCGATGGCAGACTCGGAATGAATTTCGTATGTCCTCTGTCGATATTTTAACAATTCTTACCATGTAGACCAAAAACCCAGCCGGGGTAGCCATTTACTAGCAATGGTCGGTCTTTTTATGCCAGTATCTTTGTCCTGACAATCTATCTGATCACGACCTAAGTGAATATGTAAACTGTTTTGAACGTTGCAGACCTAGACAAGTCAACCATTCCGATCTAGAGGAGCATTGCCAGTGAGAAATAGCATCAGCCACTATGCGGAGACTGCAATGCTCCCAATAGTCACGGCTCACAGGTAACGTGTCCATCTTGTCTTCTCTCGTCTTGCTGCACTCGTCTTAGATGAGTCCTCATCTCATCTACTCTGCCGCTGAGCATGCTGTAGACTGCCGATTTCCACCACGCGACAACTCCAGCACTGGTACCGTTGTGCTCTGCGCAGCGCCAATATGTTATTGAAAACGGCGTCGACATCCATCGACAGATGCGAGAGCTTCAATGCCGCTTGTGCGATGTTGTGTGAAATTCTTCTTGGTGGCCGAGCATACAATTATTGTTAATCCGGCATCGGCTTTCTGCGATCGCGTCCACTTCAGGACGCCTCTCGGTACGGCCTATTGCTGGTTAGTTGTGGGGTCGCGCTCATCGCAAGAATTTTCGAGTTGTCTCGTCCTGCGATGGCATTTGGTCGTCATGATTGAGGAGTTTGCCTGTTTTCAATGATCCAGCGGTAAGCCAATGTCGTCAATCATTCAAGCGTTGAGGCCCGGTCGGAGCGTCCTACTAGCTACCTACTAGTAGTAGTAGATGGGTCTTGCAGCCGACTCATTGGTTTTCAGACCACAATTGACGCAACCCATTGCCACCCAGTATCCGCGTCAGCCACCTTGGATGTAATTCGTTCTATCTTTCTGGCGAGACAGTTTAGATGATTGCAAAGCTCGCATCACAGTTGAGATTGTTGATTACCTTGTGGGAGAAATATTTCCTTATCGTGACTGCCAAGCCGATCGATAAGAAGGTTAATCCGGGGAATTGGAAGCCATTTTCTTCGTCACTGCTTCTGTCACCGCTGCGTTTCTGAAGTTTCATGTGAGGGTCAAGGGAAAGTCGATCCGGAGGGAGCACAATCTGGGCAGCCATCGGTCCGAATGATGAGCAAATGGATAATCGATGCTACTAATAGTCAATTGATCAGGACTGATTGCGACTCTTCCATTTATCGGCGCCCTGTGCTGTATCGCCGAGCAGGGAGGGATACAAGGTGATGATTGGTTCAAATCGCCGAGGGGAGCTCTTGTGCGCGGGGCAGCTTCCGCCAGAGCTTCTTCTCCCTTCGCACCGAGGCTGGTATTTAACCAGCTGCGCCGCCATCTGGGGGGGGGGGGTATTTGTTTCTGTCTCCAAATACCAATCATCCTCACTTTCAATTGCAACCTCATATCTGACTTTCTCGGGTAGTTTGTCGAAATTGACCGGTTGAGTGATTGATCGTATTTCCCCCTCTCCCCTCAATTCCTTATCTGTCGTCATCGCGTTATCATCGCTCCCTCTCCACATTCGTCTCTTTATCCTTGCTGTGCCTGGCACAAGGGGTACTTCCGTTCATCACCTCATCACTCACAGAACAATTCTCCTGTAATTCACAATGGCAGCTGTCTTCCGCTCCAGCCTCAAGCTTCGCTCGACGACGCGCCTGTCGGCCGTTCGCTCCCTGAGCACCACTGCTCACTTGCGGGCTGCTGAGAAGCCCTTCTTCCCCGATGAGCCCTCGGCCCCGAGATTGGCCACTGCCATTCCCGGCCCCAACAACAAGGCTGCTGCTGAGAAGCTCGACAAGGTCTTCGATGTGCGCAGCTTGAACATGCTGGCCGACTACTACAAGTCTACTGGAAACTAGTATGCCTAACCGTTTCCCCCAGACCTGCTGGAAACCATGAATTAGTTGCTAACGTTTGACCTCAGCATCGCCGATCTTGACGGCAACGTCCTTCTGGATGTGTATGTTTTACCCACACCCCCCTGAAGCTAAATCACAACTAACGCGATATTCGACGATAGCTACGCTCAGATTGCCTCCATTCCTGTTGGATACAACAACCCTCACCTCCGCAAGGTGGCTGGGTCTCCCGAGATGGTCAATGCCTTGATCAACCGACCGGCTCTGGGTAACTTCCCCTCTCACGACTGGGCCGACATCCTGAACGCTGGTATTCTCAAGGTTGCCCCCAAGGGTCTCAACCAGGTCTTCACTGCATTGGCTGGTTCCGACGCCAATGAGACCGCTTACAAGGCCGCTTTCATGTACTACCGTCAGCGCGAGCGTGGTGGCCCTGAGAAGGAGTTCACCGAGGAGGAGCTGCAGACTACCATGACCAACCAGTCCCCCGGATCTCCTCAGCTCTCAATCATGTCCTTCAAGTCCGCTTTCCATGGCCGCCTCTTTGGCAGTCTGTCCACTACCCGCAGCAAGCCTATCCACAAGCTTGATATCCCTGCCTTTGACTGGCCCCAGGCTCCCTTCCCCTCGCTCAAGTATCCCTTGGAGGAGCACGCCGCGGAGAACGCACAGGAAGAGCAGCGCTGCTTGCAGGAGGTCGAGCGCCTGATCAAGGAGTTCCACAACCCTGTTGCGGCCGTGGTGGTCGAGCCCATCCAGTCCGAGGGTGGTGACAACCATGCTTCTCCTGCTTTCTTCCAGGGACTCCGTGATATCACTAAGCGCCACAATGTCTTGTTCATCGTTGATGAGGTGCAGACTGGTGTGGGCGCCACTGGAAAGTTCTGGGCCCATGACCACTGGAACCTGACTACTCCCCCTGACATGGTGACTTTCTCCAAGAAGGCTCAGACCGCCGGTTACTACTACGGAAACCCGGCTCTGCGTCCCAACAAGCCTTACCGTCAGTTCAACACCTGGATGGGTGACCCGGCCCGCGCCCTCATCTTCCGCGGTATCACCGAGGAGATCGAGCGCCTGAACCTGGTTGAGAACACTGCTATCACCGGTGACTACCTTTTCGCTGGTCTCGAACGCCTGGCCAAGCAGTACCCCGAACACCTGCAAAACCTCCGTGGTAAGGGCCAGGGTACCTTCATCGCATGGGACTCCCCCAAGCGTGATGAGTTCCTGGCCAAGGCCAAGCACGTTGGTGTCAACATCGGCGGCAGTGGTCAGAACGCCGTCCGCCTGAGGCCCATGTTGATCTTCCAGAAGCACCATGGTAAGTTATTCGATGTTCCCCGACACAAGTATGATGGTTAGAAACTAACACTGTGCAGCTGATATCCTTCTGGAGAGCGTCGAGAAGATCATCAAGCAGTTGTAAAGCGGCTTGATTTTCCTTTCACAACTTCTATATTTGATCCCTCTTTGATTCGAAATTGGCGTTCACTGGTACATTGGGTGGGTTGGCATGATATAGGTTTCATTTCTTGGGTTTTACTTCAGCCGAGATTAGCAGCGTACGAAAAGAATGAGTTGATGTCTTAAACGTTATGTTAGCATCGGAAGATAGCAAATGAATGCCATCAAGAAGGTATTGTTAAATATTCGTCTAATCGGGTATCGAGTATGGTTCCGGGCCGGGTTCGACCTTCCACCCAGGCGGTCCTTGGGAAGTAAGAAAGACGAGCAATTCAAAGCAAAGTAAGAAGAAAGCAAAGGGTCAAGCAACCATGAGTCCCGGAATTGCATACAGCACGAGAGCGCGAACAACCTAACCAAAACTCCAGTATTGTGCCAAGGCGCAAGAAAGTAAAAAAGAAAATCCGCCACCTCTTCCAGCCACATTGTTCAACCATGCCGCGCGCCTTGATCAATCAGCAACTGTTGCAACGCGATATCCTCCTTACGCTTCCTCTTCCCCAGTGCTACCATCCCTCCTGTAAAGAAGAAAACAAGTCAGCCTTCCTCTGCTGCAGATCAGGTGTAATGACTCAAACTTACGGGATATATTTGATTCCCGAGTCCTCCAAACTGGAAATAATCTCATCGGGAAGCTTTTTTTTTAAAGGAAAACCAGAATTAGTTCCAAGCCGGTGTCGTCACTTGCAAGGGGATGTGGCGTCCAACACTCACCGATCCAGTCACTTTCACGGCATATGTTCCCGGCACATAGCTATCCAGTCGCTGCCACCGCGCCACCCAGCTGGTGGTGGGATCCCGGAGTGTGAGCAGCCCCTCGAAGACCTGAGATGTGCATTCTTGAATCGCGTCGTTGTTGCCACGGAGGCCGAGGACGTTGTCGCAGTTGGGGCAGCCTTCGCGCATGAATTTCTGGATCCGGGAAGAAGTCAGCTAGTTAGTGATTAAGATGCTTTATGCTTTGCGTGGTTGTGCGTAGGAGGGGAAGCCAGGGGGAAAGGGCTCTGGTTGTGGTAGGAAGAGGGTGGATGGGTGAGGAACTCACACTGTGGAGTTGGACGAGAGAGCAGACCATGCAGGCGCGGAGAGTGCGCTGCTGGCTGGGGGCGACGTAGTAGGACATTTCGGCGGACGGTGTTCAGAGAGCGTTGTGGGATTGGGTTTGAGAGGTGCTATGGGTTTGTGTTTGCGAAGGTATAGGTTCCTGCTGGAGGAGGACTCCTGCCGGAGGGTCGTCCTTTGTGTTTTTCTCTCTTTCTTTGTTGCAGACGAAGAGCGGAGAGGGTGGGATTAGCTGGACTGGAACTGAAAGCTGGAACTGTCTGTGAATAGAGCCGCGACAAGCTTAGATTGCGTTTGCTGGGAAATAATGCAATTGAAAGTAAGAGAATTGTATGGATGTATGGATGTATGAATAAATGAATGGATGAATGAATGAATCGAATGGAATCGGACCGCAAGAGGTGCCAAGACCGGAGAAAACGGGCAGTCCATTGAATTGAAATCATCGGAGCACTTTTCCTCCATCTCGCCATCTGCACCAACTGACTGATTGAACGGCTTTGCAGGTAATTAACAGATAACCTCCAGCTGTGAACTTCTTTCCTCAATCTGGGTTCTTATTCCACTTTCTTATTTTCTGAACCCGGGGTGTCCTGCGTGGGACTTATTATTACTCACGGCATTATCATCAAATCTACTCCGTCCTTCTCCCCGCCTCTCCCTTGACAATTAATTTGTTCCCGCGTGCTCACCTGCCGGAAACCTTTCTCCCTCCATTCGTCCCATTCTTACACAATCTCATTCAATCTCCACTCACTTCTTTCTCTTCCCTCAATACTCTTATTTTGTTATAGAGATGGCCTCCTCCGATCTTGAGGCCGCCACTGCGCTGAAGGCCCAGGGCAACAAGGCATTCGCGCAACATGAATGGCCCGCCGCCATCGACTTCTATACCCAAGCGATAGAGAAGTACGATAAGGAGCCTACCTTCTTCAGCAACCGAGCCCAGGTACGTCGCCTCGATATTGTCAATAGTCTCATCCATTCTGGCCCGGTCTTCTTATCCGCTGTAGCGGTTCGCCCATAGCGGTTCACCTGTATACTGACGTTCTGGCTGGGTGGCGTTGGCGGAGTCTAGGCGCACATCAAACTTGAAGCATATGGATTTGCGATTGCAGATGCCACGAAGGCACTGGAGCTTGACCCCAACTTCATCAAGGTTGGTCAATTCTATCCCGCCTCGGACTGAAAGGCGTGTGCTTGAACTTTTCTGACAAAGTCACTTCGCTATAGGCGTACTGGAGACGAGCCCTTGCGAACAGCGCTATTCTGCATTACAAGGAAGCACTGAAGGACTTCCGGGCTGTGGTAAAGCGGGACCCTGGGAATCGCGATGCGAAACTGAAGCTCGCCGAGTGTGAGAAGCTGGTACGCCGGTTGGAGTTCGAGAAGGCGATCGAGGTTGCCGACCCTCCTTCGGCTTTTGAGAGCTTGGATATCGACTCGATGGTCGTGGATGCCAGCTACGATGGCGTGCGTTTGGAGGGCAATGAGATGACCCAGGAGTTCATCGACGACATGATTGAGCGGTTCAAGAACGGCAAGAAGATTCACCGCAAGTACGTTTTCCAAATAATCAAGGCCGTCAAGGAGATCGTCTACGCCGAGCCTACAATGGTGGAGGTCGGCGTTCCGGAGGGTACTCGCTTGACGGTCTGCGGTGATACGCACGGTAAGGACATAGCGCGGTTTTGTTGCCTTATTCCCCGGTTGAGACTGATGATTCGACAGGACAATACTTCGATCTGCTCGAGATTTTCCGCTTGAACGGCTACCCTAGCGAGACGAATGCCTATCTCTTCAACGGTGACTTCGTGGATCGTGGCTCATGGTCTACTGAGATTGCTCTGCTTCTCTACGCATACAAATGGCTGAGACCCAACCGCATCTTCTTGAACCGCGGTAACCACGAGACGGACGACATGAACAAGGTGTACGGTTTTGAGGGCGAGTGCAAGGCCAAGTACAACGAGACCACTTTCAAGGTCTTCTCGGAGTCATTCTCCGCGTTGCCATTGGCCACGTTGATCGGAAATAAGTATCTTGTCCTTCACGGTGGTCTCTTCTCCGACGACAACACTACCCTCGACGACATCCGCAAGCTGAACCGTCACAACCAGCGCCAGCCGGGTCAGCAAGGATTGATGATGGAGATGCTCTGGACAGACCCGCAGACTCAACCGGGTCGTGGCCCCAGCAAGCGTGGTGTCGGCCTCCAGTTTGGACCCGATGTCACTAAGCGCTTCTGTGAGAAGAACGGGCTGGAGGCGATTATCCGTTCGCACGAGGTTCGCATGGAGGGCTACGAGGTTGAGCACGACGGACGCTGTATCACGGTCTTCTCGGCGCCCAAGTATTGCGATACCACAGAGAACAAGGGTGCTTTCATCAAGATTGGGCCCGAGCTCAAGCTTGAGTACCAGGTTTTTGAGGCAGTTCCTCACCCTGACATCAAGCCGATGGTACGTTGATTCAACCTCCCAAACGCCGATTAGTGAATGCTTACACTCTCACAGGCCTATGCACAGAGCTCTCTTATGTCGATGATGTAAGTCAAGCTCTGCCATGGCGTTGGAGGATGACTTGCACGCGGGGGAAGCCTTGCGGTTCGGAAGCATGACTCCGATTCACACACAGTATACGAGGATCCGGATTACCTCCGGACCCACAGTACGAGGGCGATGTATCTATTGAATGATTTTGATTGATGACGACCTTGAGGACCATTGTTTTGCATAGCGGATTAATCTATCGTTCTGGATTTGAGGGGTATTTCCATCTTCTCTTTACTTTTCTTTTCTCTTTTTTTTTTCTTTTATACCTATTGCGCTTTTGCCCAGCATGTGCAGGTTATAGCGGCGTTGGATTGGCGACTCAGTCATGTTGCTTTATCTGCATGTGTGGTTTTATTTTCTCTTTCTTTACTTTGGATGGGTTATAGCAAATGTCCCTCTTACCTTCTAGACAGACGAATAGACCGCAATTAGATTGAATGTCGATAACATAGCTTCAATAGTTCATACTATTCATATTGGCTGCGGCGCGGAGGCATTTCCGACCGCGGCAACCCCGCGATTCTGCCCGCTCAGTTGCTTCTGCCCCTCCGTCATTCCTCTCTCTCTTCAGGTCATTTTCCTTTTCTCCTTCAACTTCTCCTTTGTGTAATCAGCAGAATTCTCCCCAAAATTCCTCCCCTCTCACTATCTCACAATGGAATACGACCCTCAAACCCGTATGTTTTCTGTCCGGTGTTCTCTGACGGTGTTCGACTGACCCCGTCGTTCCCTTCTGCCAGCGCAGTATCTCACTTCCGATCAGTCCAGCTTCGCCTCTGTCTCAGCTCGTGACCGCTGGCCGGTTATCCTGGTAAACCAACAGTCTCTACTTCGTACCATTGACAATTGGTGCTGACGAGAGCACAGACCGGGGCCATAGACGATTTGCACCGTAGCGTCGGCCAAACAACAGACGAGGAGAAGCGCAAAGAAGGGAAGGAAATCACCGAGAAGCTAGCAGCTCTCAAGTATGAGTTGCAGCACAACAGACAATTGACGTGAGATTGTCCCTATGCCACTCAATGTGCCAACCCATCTAACGCAATCAATGCTCAACAGGCCCCTTCCCGACGATGGCCAACCTGATATCGCAGACTACAACAAAGAACTAGAGGAACGAGGAAATCCGGTCTGGCATAATGTCTCGTGGCTTTATTCAGAATGCTACCTCTGTGCGTATGGCTGAGAACGATAGTCGCTTGTTAGTGCTGACGCAATAATCAGACAGACGGTTGAGCACGCTTTTCTCACTCTCTAAGCACTGGAAAGGCTATGATGTCTTTGCCCGCCAGAAGCTCTCCACCTTCAAGTCATCCCGCCCGGCGGTTCTCGAGCTGGCCGCCAGATACAAGGAGTTGGCGACGGAAGCCGAGAAGGGCAACGAGGGTCGCAGCCCCGAGCAGGTCGAGCAGGCCGAGCGGGTGCTGTTCTCGGAGATGTGCGAGATCTGCCTCTGGGGCAATGCCACCGACCTTTCCCTCCTGACCTCCCTGACCTACGAAGACATCCAGAAGCTGCAGGGATCCAAGGCGCGCAAGGCCGCTGAGGAGAACATCCTCGTCAACGATCTCGATGCCGCCTTCGACGTGCTCCAGCAGGCCCGGCGCGAGCGGAAGAACCAGGAGCGTCGTGTCGACATCGTCCTTGACAACTCCGGCTTCGAGCTGTTCGTCGACCTCATCCTCGCCGGGTACCTCCTCTCTGCCGGCTTGGCCACCACCGTCGTCCTCCACCCGAAAGTGATCCCCTGGTTCGTGTCCGACGTCACGCCCCCCGACTTCATGGCCCTCATCAACGCCCTCTCCGACGCCCAGGGCTTTTTTACAGCCCCCGACGAATCCGGTCGCAAGCACGACCCGCTGTCCGACAAGGAGTTGTCCGAGGTGACCTTCCTCTTCGACCACTGGAGCCACCTCCACGCCGAAGGCAAGCTCATCATTCGTCCGCACACCTTCTGGACCCTTCCCGGCGGATACTGGCGCATGCCCTACCTCGCCCAGGATCTCTACGACGATCTCAAGCAAAGCGAACTCGTCCTGTTTAAGGGGGATCTCAACTACCGCAAGTTGACCAACGATGTGAGTTTTCGGCGCTGCTTGTTATTCAGCCCCCTATGCCCATTTCGCCCTCCCGCCTGGGATATGAGCAACAAGCATTCTAACATCTCGAATCAAGTCTATCTGGGACCCGACCACCCCCTTCACCACAGCCATTGGTCCCCTTGGTCGTCCCGACTCCGGTATCCGCGTCATGGCTTTCCGCACCTGCAAGGCCGACGTGGTGGTCGGTCTCCCTGCCGGCGTCGACGAGAAGCTTCGCGCCCTGCCTGATGGTGGGGGCTCCGAGGCCCGCAAGTGGGCCTGGAGCGGGAAGTGGGCGGTCGTCTCATTTAGTGATGGCAAGCAAGGCTCGAAATGAGTTTGTTCGTTGTGCTGTTCTAATACGAGGGATGGACGGGTGGTGGGTGCATGGATGCGGGAGGGGATGCATAGATAGACAGACACCACCACAAATATATTCTCTAGATCTGAATGGCCAAGATACAGATACTCTGTGCTGATTTTGCAATGGGGCATTATAGAAATGAATGGTCACATCGATGATTAGGTTGCACGTAAATGCTTGAGAGAGTACAATACGCCAAGGAAAATAAAAATGGCGGAGGATTTGGTGCGTAGAGGAGGACACATCCACCGGTGAGTTTTGGATGTTTTGGGGGTATAGTAATGAGTAATGTCAATGGGCAAGGTAGGAAGGAAACCATCCGGAAACACAGGGAAAGTAGAGATTACATCGCACATACATACAGTTATTCAGGATCCACGGGGGAGCAACATAGCAACGGCCTCCCCCCCTCCCCTTTGCCCGAACGAGAGAACCATTAGGGGAATCGCAACAAATAAATGAAAAGAAAGAACGAAAGAAAAGGCCATGGGTAGCCAAAACCAGCAAACGAAAGCAAACAAAAGAAGAAAATCAAGGCAAGAAAACGTTTCGAAGCAACACCCAGTCCATTTCCCCTCCATAGCGCCCCTGACAGTAATGTATTCCCCCAATTGTGAATCCCCCTAATAATACCCATTACAACGAAAGCATCGATGACATTAAAAAAGAGACTGGAAGAGAAACAAAAATGAATGGGAGTTAAAAAAGATTTAGATCTCATGCTAGGTTCCCACCGCAACCATCGGAAGGAAACAAGACTGGATGCGTGGTGGGAATGAGGTTTCGTGATTAGGGATGATGTGGTATCAGGTTGCTTGGTTTAGGCTTCGAGGGCTGACAACGGCTGACTCGTGTACACTCGGATGTTCTCCTTGCCTTGCTCTTTTGATTTGCGAGATTCATCCTTGCGCTGCTTGAGACGCGCCTGGGCTGAAAGTTTGCGGTCCAGGGGGATGGAGTCCCGGTGAACGGCGGCTAGGGTTTGTTTGCGCTTTGAGTTTCGGTCGAGGTTGTGTGCATGAGATTCGGTGACGCCAGAGATGGCGTCGAGGCCGTATTTGGAGGGGCGGTGGATGCGGAGACGATCGTTCGTGGCGGTGGTTGTCGTGCGGATTTGATGGCTGTCATCGAGGTTCTGGGCTAAATGGTGGGCGAGAGATGTGATGGTGGACTTGCTGGGCGGTGGGTGGGTGTTTCGGTAGCTGTCGGTATTGTATTTGTGCTTTGGACGTGAACGTGCGGCGGCATCGAGAGGCGGGTACTCCGGAGGTGAGGATGGAGGCACGGCAGCTCCATTGCCAGGGCGGTAGCGTGAATGCGGCGCTAGGCGGGTTTCCCCTCCTAAGAAGGCCACTTGGTCTTCATCGCTGATCCCCATGGCTCTCATGGCGCGTTTCAGGTCGAGATCGCCTGCTGTATACCTCGAAGACGGGTATGACCGTCGTTCTTTGGCCCGCGGACTCGGACTCGGTGGCTCGTCGAGCTCGACTGTCTCTTCCAGCGCTTCTTTTTCCGGGCTAGCTTGTGCGCCAAAGTCATAGACGTGAACTCCTGTGTGGTCTTTCCCAGGGCTTTCAGAGTGACGAACGCGGCTTTGCAACTGCGGTAGACGTTCAATAGCTGTAAGTTTAATCCTGAGCTGGTCGACCTGCTCCTGCATCCGACGGCGCTCCTCACTGAAGGACTCCTTGAGTTCCTCCTCGTGCTGGCGGTGCTGTTGAGAAGCAGACTTCAGGCGCTCGCGATATTCTTGGATTCGTGTTTCCAATTTGACCTCGCGCTGTTTCAATTTTGCTTCCTTCTCTTTGCGACGTCCTTCGTACTTGCTCATCTCCTGCTTCACCCGGGCGAGCGTCTGCTTCAATGAGGCGTTCTCCTTTTGCAGCTCTGAGGCCTTGTGCTCCGATGTTCGCGCTAGATCCTTCAATTTGTTGAATTCCTCCTGCTGACGCTTCATCTCCTCGATTTTAGCATTCGCTTGATCCAGAGCCTGCTGGATCTTATTGACGCTTTCGTTCTTCTGCTCAGAAGGACTGGCGATCCCGGAAGTATCAGCAGCATCAGCGACTTCTTGACCCACGACGCCATGACGTTCCAAAGTTTTGCGCAGTGAATAGACTCGGTGTTTGTATTGCAACGCTAATGCAGTTTGCTTCGTGAGCTCTTGCACTAGTTTTTCCTTGTCCGCGTTGGCACTTTCTCCAACCATGGTGGAGGCCAGGTGAGTGACATGACGTTCCATCTCCGCAACCTTGATCTCCTCCTCTCTCAGCTTCTCAGCCAACCGAGAAGCCTCCTCATCCTTCTTCTTGGCGTAGGTTTTGGCCGCCGAACGGTACTGGATCAGCTTTTTGATTTCCCAGGTGGTTTTGTTCCGATAGTTATCATATTCCGCCTTCCAGTATTTCCCGGACTGCGACCGCGGCTCATCGAGATTGATAGTGTCGTCGTTGTCATCCTCTTCCGACTGCGCCATCTTGTGTTGCATCCCGGTTGAAGAGGTGGAGTCGACGAAAACGTCCGTGCCCTTTTCGGACCCTTCGCGTGAGTCCAACAAAGCTTGGGTGAGTTTGCTTCTTGGTTTCGATGCCGAGGAGCCCGCAGACCATTGGCTACTAAAACTATTGGAAATATTTGCCGGTGTCTTGATGTACTTTGCAGATAGGTCGTCACGTTGGCGTTCGTTGTCCACCACACTTTCGCCGAAAGAAACAGTCTTGCGCCGGTTGGAGACAGTTCCGGGTGTCATGAGGATGCTTTTGGTGGGAGAGGCCATCGCGTTCACAGCTAGATCCAGGTCGGCTTTGGTGGCCCGAGGCACATCTCTTGCGTCCTGGGTAGGTTTCAAAACAACATTCTCGGTGAGTCGTTGATTGGCTACAGCGATCTTTGTTTTCGCTGCGCGGTTGCCGGTATCTTCGTCGTCGACGTCGTCCGCAGCAGCAGGTGTACCAAACAAGGCACTCTTGAAGGCGCGAATCGCAAAGACGGGACCGGGCGTCTCTGGTGGCTCGAGAACCTTAGAGTTGTCTAGGTTGTCTAGGACAAGGAAACAAGGAAAGGAGAGAACAAGTCAGCCCGCGGCGACCGCGCTTTGCATATAGTCAGGTGAGAATGGCTAGCATTATTGGGTTGTGCGGATTTTGGGGGTTGGGGGGGGAGGGGGGGAGTGGGTAGGGTGCGTGAGGGAGTTGGGCGGCGCGCGTGCACCGGCGCAAGGCGAGGCAGCGATAGTATAGAAACAAACGTACCTGCGACTTGCTCTTCCTGGCCTCTGATCCACCCCAACATATCGAATGCAGAATAATCATAAGCGACAAGACTGGAGAATTTCTGATTTCTTGGAGACTTTTGGAGACTAGAAGAGCAGGTTGGTAGGGGATTGCATGACATGCAGGACAGTCATTGGCGATAGAGAAGACGCTGGGAGGGGCGGCGAGCGGCAGGCGAATTGACGTGGAACGCTGTGCTTTGTTTATCTTTCCTCTTAGTCCCATTGCTTTGCGTCTCCAGCTGCCAGCCCAAAGGCGGTCTGCGGAAAAATAACGGGGCGATCCACAGTCGGGCATTATTTGTATTATTTGTGAAGATATGGTCTTTCCGCCTTTTGTACAAGTACCAACTGGTTGGTTACCGCTCTTTAAGCAGACAAGACCATTTCTCTCTATTCTTTCTCTCCTGCATCCCGCTTTTCCTCTTCTTCACCTTCTCTTCTCACTTCACATACTTCATACTCCCCCATTACTTCCCCCCTCCTTCTTACTCTTTCTTTTATTCTCCGAATATGTACTTTTCTGAGCTGTAGAGGGCTGCAGCTTCGGCTGCATCTTTGTCACTATTCTCCCTGTGGCAAAGGCCAATTCTATCTGGGTGCAATCATTAAACTCCACACACCGCCCCAACCCCCCTCCCCCCCCGCCCCGCTATGCCTCATAAACAGAAGAAGAATTTCAACAATGCCCCCAAGATTGGCTCTCCTCGAGCGGAGAGGAAAAAGCTCTCCCCAGATGCCTCGGCCTTTGCGCCCATAGTAGCCCCCACCAATTACCAGGAGATTCACCAGAACGAAGTGGAAGCTCTGCGCTCCATCTATGGCGATGATTTCGAAGAAGTTGCCCATAGGCGCTCCGCCTGGCAGGTATGCTCGACCAATGCCTCGGTCGATTGCTGAGTGAGAGAACAAACTGACTTGCGGCGATGCAGCAATCTTCCGAGCTCGTTTTTAAGCTTCATCTCCGCGCGATGTCCAATCCTGATGTACACCTCGAGTTGCTGGTCGAGCTTCCGACCACCTACCCCAAGACCGTACCCAACCTGACGCTGGAGAATGTAGACAACTTGCGCCAAGGGGCTCGATCGAGAATCCAAGATATTGTTCGCACGAAACCCAAGACCCTCCTGGGCTCCGAAATGATCTACGAACTGGCCGTGTCCATCCAGGACGTCCTCGAAGACCTGGCGGAGGCGCAAGCGCAGGACAGAGATCTGCCAAGTCTTGAAGAAGAACGGATGGAGCAGGAAGCTGCGGCCAATCAACGAGCCGAACTCGAGCGACAAGAAGAACTGCGTAAACAGGAGGCGGCTACCGCGGAGGAAGAACGGGCATTGCAGCAGCTGCTCGAGGATAGGCTCAGGGAGCGGACAAAGTTGTCGCGTCGGAAAAGTCGCACGCCTGGGTTGGATCCAAATGGAGACTCGGATGGCGTGACGCAAGTCGCAGGCGCCATCACCTTCGATCCACCCCTCGTCTTGACGGAACCCGGTCAGGATCCGTTGTTCTTCAGAGCCGTGTCCGGAAAGTCACTGTTGAAAAGCCGTCAGTACAAAGAAACATGTACCGTGAGACCCATCCCTTCCGACAACCGCGCTCATGCGCCGCTCTTGGTGCTCAAAGAAATGTCTCTCGATCAAAAGGGCGTGGACCCTCTGACCTTCCGGGAGAAGATGCGGTTGAGCGAGGATAAACTGGAGGGGTTGAAGAAGCTTCGACATCCGAACATTCGAGACTTCATTGGCTTCCAGATTTCTCGGCCAATGAGCTCGCAAGAGAGCTTCTGGAAAGTCTCTGCATTGGTCGAGTACTCAAACAAGGGGACTCTTTCCGAGTTTCTCGATATGGTGGGAACGGTGCCGGTCGAGATGCTCCGCAGCTGGACCTTACAACTTCTGGAGGCACTCGAGTATTACCATCGAAGTGGATTCGTTCATGGAAACATAAGTTGTGGACGCATCTTGCTGTTCAGGAACCCCACCGGCGGAACTATTGTGAAACTACAAGCTAGCATCGAGGAATCTTTGCCTGTTTCCACGGCGGGGAAACGTTCGCTGACTATATCCAAGTCGCCATTCTGGGTGCCGCCGGAGTTGGCTCACGAGGGAGCTCCACCGACCATGAAAACCGATGTATGGGACGTGGGAATCGTCTTTCTGCAGATGGGCTTTGGGATGGATGTTCTCCAGCGGTACACGTCGGCGAATGCGATGATGGGCACGTTAGGTTTAACGGCCCCTCTTCAGGATCTGCTACATGAATTTTTTCGACCTGACCCTAGGAAGCGACCCACAGCGTTCCAACTGCAACCGTCCGAGTTCTTCCGTGTTGATTCACCATTGATTGCTCGAACAAGTGCGTCGAATTCTATTTCTCTCCCGAGGCGTCCACGTCTTGATTCCCTTGGCGCACTGCCGGCGTTCTCACGCTATAACCAAGACTTTGACGAAGCTGGACGACTGGGCAAGGGTGGATTTGGCCAGGTTGTGAAGGCGCGGAATAAGCTGGATGGTCGTTTCTATGCGGTGAAGAAAATATCCCAGAAGTCCACCACTGCCTTGAAAGATACGCTGTCGGAAATCATGCTACTGTCCCGGCTTAATCACCCGTACGTAGTACGCTACTATACCGCGTGGATTGAGGAAGACTATGACTATGTAGATGAAGAAGCTCTTTCTTCGACGGATAGCGATGTCTTTGCTAGTCGAGACTCCGGTGCGTATGACTACAGCACGGGAGGTCTGGACTTTATCAGCTCCAGCGGATACCCCAAAATTCAATTTGGTTCAGACAGTGATGAGGACGACGATGGCACGCTGTCCCACCGGAGGAAGGGAGATACCCCCGATACCTACGAGACAGAAAGTGGCACTGGCCGAGAACTGAGTCGGATTGGGTCAGGTTCGCAGGGCAGACCGGTCCACACAACTCTCTACATACAAATGGAGTACTGTGAGAAACATGTAAGACCTGTCTTGTCAGTCTTCGATTAACTTCCCTGCATACTGATCTTCGATAGACTCTTCGCGATTTGATTCGAAATGGTCTGTATGACGACGTCGATCGGTCATGGCGTCTGTTCCGGCAAATTCTCGACGGCCTCAGCCACATTCATGGTCACGGCATTATCCATCGAGATCTGAAACCGGACAACATCTTCATTGACGTAGCTAACAATCCACGTATTGGAGACTTTGGCCTGGCTACTAGCGGCCAATTCACCACCGCGGTGCGCTCTTCAACAACCGCAGATTTCGAAGGTGATTTCACACGAAGTCTGGGCACAACCTACTACGTCGCACCGGAAATGAAGTCTGGCCTCGCAGAAAATTACAATGAGAAAGTGGATGTAAGTGCAATCTGGTGGATACCAAGCATACAGCCAGCTTTGCTAATGACCGCGTGAAGATGTATTCTCTAGGCGTAATCTTCTTCGAGATGTGCCACCCTCTTCCGACGGGTATGGAACGCGACCAAACACTGCGGGCAATAAGAGAGAAGAACCTTACGCTCCCATCGACATTCCAATATTCGGAGAAGATACTTCAAGGTCGGATTATAAGGTCACTATTGAATCACGATCCAAGTCAACGTCCTTCGGCTTCAGATCTCCTGCGCAGTGGCCAGATCCCTCTTCAAGTCGAAGAAGAGACGTTCAGAAGGGCCATCATGCACTTGTTATCCGATCCCAACTCTCCCGATTACAAGAAGATTCTCTCTGGAATATTCTCCCAGTCCCCAAAGAAATACGAAGACATTGCCTGGGATATGGACTCACGCGGGGCGCCTGCAGCACACGAGCTTCTGGTTCGAGGTCTGGTCAAAGAGCGATTAACTTCGATTTTTCGCCGGCACGGAGCGGTTGAGACCACGAGGCAAATGCTGTTCCCAAGGTCTCAGCACTACCACAATGGAGCCGTGAGGTTGCTGGACTCTTCCGGAAACCTGCTACAACTACCATTTGATCTGACCTTGCCGAATGCACGTGCCATACCCCGTCAAGATCCTTCGCTGCAGAAGACATATGCTTTTGGCACGGTGTACAGAGAGACGCCTCATGGAGGAGAGCCTAGAACTCACAAAGAAGTTGACTTTGATATCGTGTCGCATAACACTTTGGATTTGGCACTGAAGGAGGCAGAAGTGATCAAAGTTCTGGATGAGATCATCGATGAATTCCCACCGTTGCGGTCCTCTCCAATGTGTTTTCTGGTCAACCACTCCGACTTACTCCAGCTTATCATGGAGTTTTGCCGTATCACACCGTCTCAAATCCCTCGTGTAAAGGAGGTTATTAGCAGGCTCAACGTCGGTAAATGGACGATGCAGAAAATCAGAAGCGAGCTTCGGTCGCCCTCCATTGGTGTCGCTTCGACCTCACTGGATGATCTTGCCCGCTTCGACTTTCGAGGTTGGTGTGTCTGTCGCGATTCCGGATCTTCGTTACTAACAATTGTTAGACTCTCCCAAGCAAACACAGAAACGGCTGCGGGCAATTATGGAGGGCACTCGTTTTGCCGAGCGGTTGGCGCCGATCTTCGCGCGTCTCAATATGTTGACTGCTTATTTGCAGGGCTTCGACGTCAAACGCAAAGTGTATGTGAATCCTCTTGGAAGCTTGAATGATAAGTTTTTCCGAGGAAGTATTCTGTTCCAATGCGTCTTCGACAGCAAGCGGCGTGACGTCTTTGCTGCCGGCGGACGGTACGACTCTCTAGTCCAGGAGTTCCGTCCAAAGGTGCTGGCAAACCGCTCCCAGACTCATGCTGTAGGATTCAATCTGAGCTGGGACCGCTTGAGCTCAGCGATGCTTGAGTATCTTGGTTCGGGAATCACTGCAAAGACAGCCGTCAAGCATCCCGAGACGGAGACTGGGGCATTCTGGAAAACAAGAAGAGTGAGTTTGCCTTTCGATGGTGATTAGGTTCACTATTTCTAACGACCCGCAGTGCGACGTTCTTGTTGCCAGTTTTGATCCTACTGTGCTACGTACGATGGGAATCAAGCTTGTGCAGGATATGTGGGCGAATGATATCAGTGCCGAACTCGCGGTGGATGCCTCCTCTTTGGAAGAACTTCTCAACAAGTACAAAGAGGACAGCCATAGCTGGATTGTTATTGCTAAGCAAGACAGTCAGGAACGCGGCTTCAAAGTGAAAAGTTTCTCTCCCCGAGAAGAACTAGACATTCGAAGCGCGGAGCTGGTGCCCTGGATTCGCAACGAGATGCGTGCGCGCAGTCAACGTGAAGGCACGGCAGAGCCGCAGCGACAGTCTCGGTTGCTAAGCCAGGCGGAAGCCAGTACAGTCAACGGTGACCGGGCCAGCGATGTGCGTATCTTGATCCCACAGCACCGGAGCAAGAAGTCGAACCGCAGGAATATTGTCGAGTCTGGTATGTACTCGATTCCGTCAGTCACCTGTTCTCTGAGGTACTAACAATCCGCCAGCCTTGTTCCGGTCCCGCGAGGTAGTCGAAGATGCTTTGCATGGTCCTATCGCCGCCATCGACACCCGCGACGACCTGCTTGAAGCCATCAGAAACACTCGACTTTCCGACCCTGAAAGTTGGCGGACGGTAATCCAAAACGCCCCGCTGACCGAGCGCAAATATCTCAATCAAGTGCATGAATTACTCTCTGACCTGGCCAATGAGGCACAAACCGGCGATGGTACGGAGCCGCTCTATACCAATGCTTTTATTTACAATTACCGCACGGGGTCGTGTATTTATTACGATCTAGGAAGTGGCTGCTGAGACCACTAGGTGGAATAATTGTCTGACGTCAGCGTGTTCGCTGAGTTTTATCTATTGTTTTGTGCGACGATGCAGTCTACCAAGCCAGATAATTCTCCACATTGTCTTATTTCTATTTCTAGCATGCCGAAATATACCCAATTTTGAGAGTGTATCTTCACCCATCCAAGGCAACAACCATATCAAAACCGTAAAACAGGACAAGAACTGGTGACGCAGGCATCCGTACTGTGCACTTATTGTGAAGCGGATTCGGTGGACTGGGGATATCTGACCGGAAGTTGCCCATATTACTGGCGTGGAGGAGCTGCGGCTCTATAGCGCTTCCAAAGACTGCTGATGATAACCACATTCAAGTAGCAGCTCGCAGCCTCTGCTATTGAAAATTCCGCAAGAAGTGTTTCCACTTCCATGGCATCGAGGCTTTCCCCTCTGACTATGAACCGGTGGCTAGAGTAGCCCGCCAACCTGGCGCTCTCACGCCGACGATTATAGTCCCGCACATACCATCATAATCCAGGTATCAGCATCCTACTGGAGACTGAAAAGACGGCGCACCAGCCTTTCCAGCGAGCTGCGCGCTCGCCTCGCAAGGCCCGATCCCGGAGGCGAGGCCACCGGACGTGCTCAGGTCGAACCCATACGGGGGGATGGGTATACTCCAGTCAAGTCTGTTCTAGTATATATGATGGGACGAAAAGGTGCTTTCCGGGCAGGTGACGGGGCTCATGCTTAACGGCAGATCATGATCGTGATGATTCTTTGGGAGGGGAGTTGGTTTGCGCGGCTGATGCTCGTTGCGGGAGAGGGGCGTTTGGTTTGGCTTCGACTCCTCGGTGAGTAGAGAGTATGTAGCGCCGTCTGTACTATTTGTATCGGTGCTTCTGCCATGATCCTCGCTGTGATGCGCTTCCGAGATGGAGGCGATGGAGAGAATAAGTTGAAGATTAGACAAGAGTCTCTCCATCTGGCGGGGCGACGATAAGTTAAACTCACAGTATCAGATTACATAAGCCAAAGAACGGTTGGCGGGCGTCGCATCGAATTTGTTTCCCCTCCCCTCCAGAACATCGGCTTTCAGAGTCACGGTCTGTTCGGCTTGATCGAGATACCTGTGCTGTACGGCTGCTTGGATCTAACCAGATTACCATATTCATTCTGGTTTGAGAGAGTCCAGCCCCTGCTGTGCCGTGGTCCGTTGCGATTTTGTATCCATATTAGAGACAGCCAGAGTCCGCGGGGCTCTCAACCGGCAAGATGGTGAACATCACGGAAAAGATTAAAGAGTATGTCCACTTCCTGTGACACGGTCGGATGTAAAGGAGTCTGGTTCTGACTTTTGAGCTGTGCAGGATTGAAGATGAGATGCGCAGGACGCAGAGTAAGTTGTTGTGCACTCCTCCGGTCACTGAACCCCGCCATGCTAACCCGCTGCATAGAGAATAAGGCCACAGGTGTGTGTTGACATCCACATCTACTGTTTAAGGTGCAGGTGTTGAAGTGGAGTCTAACCTGATATGTATCAGAGTACCATCTTGGTCTGTTGAAAGGGTAGGTCTAGTGTCCCTAGTTTAACCCCTTTGTCATCATCTCAAAATGTCCTAGCCTAGCTCGACACCCTCACCTCAAAAACCCAAGCCATGCTAACCCTTTTCCCAGTAAACTCGCCCGTCTGCGAGCCCAGCTCCTGGAACCCACCGGCGGCTCCGGCGGAGGTGGCACGGGCTTCGACGTGAGCAAGAGCGGCGATGCGCGTGTCGCGCTTGTCGGCTTCCCCTCCGTCGGTAAATCGACCTTCCTGAGCAAGATCACCAAGACCAAGAGTGAGACCGCCGCGTACGCCTTCACGACGCTCACTGCGATCCCCGGTGTCCTGGAGTACGGGGGAGCGGAAATCCAAATCCTGGATCTGCCCGGGATCATCGAGGGTGCGGCCGAGGGCAAGGGTCGAGGACGGCAAGTCATTTCCGCGGCCAAGGTAGCCAGCCTCTCCCCTTCGTCGTTATCTGCTTACTTACTCCGGGTTGGTCTGCGTTGCTGATATTGTGCGGTTGCTTGGGGTGTAGACAAGTGATCTGGTTCTGATGGTTCTGGATGCCACGAAACGAGCCGAGCAACGAGCCCTGCTCGAGGCGGAGTTGGATGCTGTTGGTATTCGACTGAACAAGGAACCGCCGTATGTCCCTCTTTCATGCTCTGACTTACTTTATCCCAAGCTCTTCATTTATTAATTTCTATGCACCTTTCCAAAAGGAACATCTACCTCAAACAGAAAAAAGCCGGTGGCGTGAAGATCACCTTCCAAACACCACCCAAGTACCTCGACGAAAAGATGATCTTCAACGTCCTGCGTGACTACAAGATGCTGAACTGTGAAGTCCTCGTCCGCGACGAATACGGTATGTCATGTGTTCCCCAAACCAACCGAACCGAACCGTACAGACAACTAATCCCGAACCACCACCAGCCACAATCGACGATTTCATCGACGTGATCATGAAAGACCACCGTAAATACATTAGATGGTATCCTTCCCCCCTTCGCTCTTCCCTTTTCCTCAAGAATCGCAACTAATACAATTCTCAAGTCTCTACGTATATAACAAAATCGACGGCGTCAGCCTCGACTTCCTCGACCAACTGGCCCGCGAACCCCACACCGCCGTCATGAGCTGTGAGCTTGATTTAGGCGTCGAGGACGTCGTGGATCGCATCTGGAAGGAACTCCGTTTGATTCGGGTGTATACGAAGCGGTACGCGCCCCCAAATTCCTTTCCCCCTTCCACCGCGTCAATGCGTTCCAACTTCCCCACATTGAATCTTCTTCAAAGTGTGAACGAAAGCTAACCCCCACTCCCACACACACAGGAAAGGAGAGGAGCCCGATTTCTCCGAGGCGCTGATCGTCCGACACAACTCGACCATCGAGGATGTGTGTGATAGCATCCATCGAACGCTGAAGGAGACGTTCAAGTATGCGATGGTGTGGGGTGCCAGTGCACGGCATATTCCGCAGCGAGTGGGCTTAGGACATGTGGTGGCGGATGAGGATGTGGTGTCGATTGTTGCGAAGTGATCGTGTGTTGTCGTGTATAAAGATTTAGAAAATACCAGTTTTGTTCAATGTTCTGCCTACCAGGCGACAGTATTCGTGGCAAGTGAACACGACCAAGCGAATCCCAAGGAACAGCCTAGCCTACCAAGGCACGGAAAACATTGCGACTACGAGAAGGAATAAGTTTGGTCTACATAATTCAAAAGATAGATGGTTAGAAATGTATTTACTACATTGAATTCGAAGATATGCCCAAACTATGAACCGAACCATTTTAACAAAGAAACCATTGATCCAACCGTACCCAATCCAGAACTCCAGTCCCAATCGACAATCCGTTTAAGCAGCGACAGCAGCGGCAGCGGCAGCAGCAGCGACGTTCTGCATACCAATGGTAGGCTGCACGCCAACACGCTCCTTGGCCAAGAGGTCAACCAACAGAGGGCTAGGAGCGGTCTCACGGCCGGGCTGGAAAGCCAGCTGGCTGTTCTTGTACTTGATGACGCTGTCCAAGTAGATGTCGAAGAGGTAGGACGAGTCCAGAGGACCGCCCTTGGCCTCGGGGTGGAACTGGGTGCTGAAGATGGGGCGGGTCTTGTGGATCATACCCTCGTTGCTCGAATCGTTCAGGTTGACAAAGTAGGGCTTCCAGTCAGCAGGCAGGGTGTCGGCATCCACAGCGTAACCGTGGTTCTGACTGGTGATGTGGCAGCGACCCGTGCTCAGATCCAAAGCAGGGATGTTGTGAGCACGGTTACCGTACTTGAGCTTGATGGTGCGGGCACCGTTGGCCAGAGCAAGAAGCTGATGACCCAAGCAAATACCGAAGATGGGGACCTGGGAGGTCTCCATCAAGCGGCGAAGGTGGTAGACGGTGTCCTGGCAGTGAGTCGGGTCACCGGGACCGTTGGAGATGAAGACACCATCGAAGTGGTGGGCGACCTTGTGGATGGGGTAGTCGAAGGGGAACACAGTGATGCTGGCGCCACGGCTGACCAGGCTGCGGAGGATGTTCTCCTTGACACCACAGTCGATGACAGCGACGTGGCACTGAGGGTTGGCCGCGCTAACGTGGAAGGGAGCCTTGGTGCTGACTTGACGGACCAAGTGGATCTGCTCAGGGTCGACGAAGGCCTCATCCTGATCAGCATCGTACTCTTCACCGACAGTGATACGAGCCAGGGAAGAACCCTGCTCACGGAGGTAAGTGACGATGGCACGAGTGTCGACACCAGAGATGGCGGGGACACCCTCACGGGCACACCACTCGCCGAGACTCTGCACGGCAGTCCAGTGACTGTACTGCTCAGCCACATCGGCAACGACAACACCGGCGGCCTGGAGGTTGGGGGACTCGAAGTACTTGAGCAGACCGTGCTCATCCCTCTCAGCAGATGGCACACCGTAGTTACCGATCAAGGGCTGGGTGAAGACCAAGATCTGACCACGATAGGAGGGGTCGGTCAAGGACTCGGGGTATCCCACAAGGGAGGTGGTGAAGACGGCTTCACCCGAGATGTTGGAGCGGGCTCCGAAGGACTTTCCGTGGAAGATCGGACCATCTCGGATCGTGAAAGTAGCGCGTTCAGTGGCCGGACGTCCTTGACGAACGGTGGCCATGAAGCGAGACTGGACGGAGGCATTCACGGAAGGGAAGGCCTGGGCCCTGGCGGGCATAGCCTTGAAGAGTCGAGCAAACATATTGTGATTTATTGTGACGAGAAGATGTGAAGTTGAAGATGTGTCAAAGGTTTATTCAAAAGTTTCCGGAAGCTTTCCAGAGGTGATCCGAGATGTAGTCCTGTGAGGATGGAGATTAGTTGTGATTGTTCATGGTGACGATAGTGGTGGCGGGGAAGGGGGAACATACCTGAGAGGTGAAGACGGAAGGTGCCAAACGCATAAGCGCGACGGTGCTGTTACCAGTCTTTGTTTAGAGATTGAGGGAAGAGAGAGGTCTGATTAAACAGACATGGGAAGTGTAGATGCAGAGAATAAGTTGGGATGGGAAGTTGAAGATAGATTTGAGATGATAAGTGAGTCAGAGAGAGAGGAAGGAGAGGAAGAAGAAAGGGATTGCAGCGGGATTAAAAGAGAGAGCGACCGCCGGCCCGGTCGGGCTGAGCACGTGCCTTCTTTCAGTTGACCGCTGTGGTTCCTGTCCAATCGGAGCCCGTCCATTGCCTCCCGCTATCGGACTGAGGATTTTTTTCTCTCTGCAGGGATTTATCAGGCGTGTTATTCACCGTTGGATAATGAGATTCGCCTCTGGGATTAGGAGGCTCCGTAAGGACCGTACCAGCCGTACCTCCTATCAGTCCCTGATTCATGACTCACAAACGCACATCCTCACTATTGATGTAATTCCTCCACTGCAGTCCACCGCAGTCCACCGCGGAATGGGTCTATTGCTGCTGGTCTCTATTCATTACCTAATTCATTGCCTCCAGGCACTCCATCTGGGGATATCCTTGACTAATAATAAGATTACCCCAGAAGCCATATAATTGCGCAGATAAGACAGCGTTCGTTGATGACTTCAGGCCGTGTAGGGAGTACAATTAGGGCTACACCGCTTCAATGGCTGGGAACAATGACCTCCGAATGCAGCCTACACCTGCGCTGATCACTACCTCCCTCCAAATGCAGGGGATCCTCAGCAGTTGATAGATCATATCCTTGATCTCGACTCTTCACCGCAGTGGTCATTGCAATGCAGGATCAAGAGTTTCCCCGAGGCTGGAACTGCAATCGCCAGCAGTGACTAGGCCATCGCCACCACCAGAGATATTTTGGTAGAAAAGACTAAGCAGTCCCTTTGTAGAAAATAGGCTTATCAAGTGTGCAATGGGTTGAGATACGGTGGTCTCGACAATCCCTCTTGTTGATGTGATTAGAGACCACCATCGAGGCAGACATGCACCAAATATTGAGGACTTATGCAGGTACACAGTGCGCTTTGTGTATTGTGGTGACTCAGCAATGTACTTCCATCCCCTTCACATCAACACCGACCGATTCCGCACCATTGAAGCTCCCTCGTACACATCACAACACAGATAGATCTGCATGCTCGGGGTCTGATCGATTCCATCACTGAAATATGCACGGTCCCTCTAACAGAGATGACCGAACTCCCTCGAAAGCGCTCGCGAGTTGCCTGCACCTCGTGTCAATCGCGCAAGCGCAAATGCACCGGGGACCAGCCATGTTCGACCTGCGTGCAGTTCGGGGTCGACTGCCACTTCGACCTGGAGTCGCGCAAGAAGCGTGATGTGCGTTTATTTCAACTGCAGTCTTCCTCTTCCTCCTCCGCCGCCGCCGCGCCCTCGTTTCTGAGTCTCCCCAGCCTCACGCCCGATAGAGGGGTCGGGGTCCAGGTCTTCTCGGCCAGCCGGTCCGCGGACTCCCAACACTCGCCCGGCGAGACGGCCGCTCCGCTCAATTCGCTCGACGCCAACTCCGGCGCTGCGTTCGCCAGACGCCTCGGGCTCAAGATCGACCCGACTAACGCGCCCAAACTGCATCTCTTCGCCTGGAACATGGGGGCTCGGCACAACCCTGCCTCCGCCCCGGCCGCCGTCGCCCTCAAGGCCGGGGGCTTACCCGTACCCATCGTGGACCTCATCTCCCAGGACGAGATGCGCTCTCTGGTGGCCGTGTTCTTCGAGAAGGTCGACCCGTGCTACCCCTTCATCGACCGGGACGATCTGCTGCGCAACCTGAGCCGACGGTGGCTGCCGGCCAGCGCGGAGGAGTCCGCCCGGCCGCACGGGACCTTCGACGCGGTCCTCTGCGGCGTCGGGGCGTTCGGCTGCCTCTTCTCGCAGCGCACAGCTCCTCCGCTGGAGCTGCAACTGGCGGAGACGGCGCGCCTCATGCTGGAGCAGCAGATGGTATCCGACGCCCCGCCGTCCGTTGACCTGGTCACCGCCTGGGTGCTGCGCGTGGCCTATCTGCGCATGACCGCCACGCCCAACGCCGCGTGGATGGCCAGCTGCTCGCTGATGCACCTCATCGAAGCCACGGGCCTGCACCTCGAACTGCCCGACGGCCTCGCCGCCACCACCGCTGCCGCCCCGCTCAGCCAACCGCTGGAACCGTGCGACCCGGAAACCCGCCGTCGACTGTTTGGCATGGCGCGGCACCTGAACGTGTGGATCTCGTTCGAGCTGGCGCGCTCGCGCGTCGTGCTGCACGGCGCAACCTCGCTGCCGCCGACCCCGCGCTCGCCAACGACCAACCCGACGGAGATATTCCGGCTGCTCCCCATGTCCGAGAGCCTGGACCCGAACAAAACGCAGGACGCGCCCGCCCTGGAAGCCGCCCTTACGGACGTCCTCAACGTGGCGCTCACGCAGCCGCCTCTGATCCTGGTGCAATGCAATCTGATGCTCTGTATCTACCGGCGCCTGCGGGCGCTGAACTGCGCCGTCTCGGGGGCGCTGCTCGATCGCGTCCTCGCCATCGCAGAGAAGGGCCTCCGCGCGGCGCGCGAGATGGTGGCGTCGAACTGCCCGTGGCATCAGGCCGCCAATGTGCCATTCCAGGTGGTGTGTACGCTGCTGGCGATCGACAACCGGGCGGCGCTGATGATGCTGGGCGACGCCATGGCCACCCTGCGGGAGGTGGTCGCGGCCTACGATACCGAGGTCATGCGCGAGGCCTACAGCACGGCGTACCTGCTCATGCTGCTGCATCAGCGGCAGAAGGAGGAGGACACCAAGGCGCTTAAGGACGTGCTGCACATGCACTCGGCTGCGTCTGCCTCGCAGGTCGAGGCGAGACAGACTGCATCTACGGAGCCGCATCATTCGCTTGCCGATTATCCGGGCTTTTCGTGGCTGAGTGATCTACTGGTCGACATGCCGAGTCTGCAGAACTTCGACATGGAGCGGTTCATGTACACTGATATGCCGGGGCCGCTGGCGGAACCTCCTGAGGGGGGCTCGGTTTCTACCAGCTGATGCAGCCAAAATGAAGGTGGCTAATTGAGCGTCCGTCATTGGATATACATACAACACCGTTGATGTCCTTCAACTAACAAGCGCTAAATGTGCAGAAAGTAAACAGATTACTGGGTCTTCTTTTGGGTGTCAGGCCTTCTTCGTGCAGCAGAGCCCCGCATCACGGCGCCGAGTTTCCATAGCACCCAAAGCGAGCCGAGGATAATAGCAATGACCGTACCTAATTCGATGGTCGTGCTGCTGAACAGGCCGTTCTCCTTCATCACAGGCACCTGGACCTCCTCAACGAGTCGTTTCTGTGCTGTGCTTGGATGGACCTGGTAGAACACCGTCTGAGGGGCGAACAGCGCCTCCCATCCCAGGTTCAGTCGGTCGAAGGGGTTGAAATGCATTTTGACCTCCTCGCTGGCGGTGCAGGCCCAGAAGACGACGGGCCAGGGCACAGCCACAGACTGATACCCACTCTGCGATGGGTGCAGATACCGTAGATGAAGCGGAATCGTCACATTCCACTCCTCTGGGTGCTGGTTTGCGGCCGGCGTGGCCACCTCGAACAACCAATTCGAGCCCCACTGAGACACGGCCCAGTCCGGCGCCTCGAGATCTGTTTCGCCCGTCACGGATTGCAGCTTGACCAGATGGTGCGAGTCCAGGAACAGCTGGTCTTCCGTTCCCAGCTGGTACTCCGTTCCCAGCTGGTACTTGTCGCCGAAAATATGCGACGGCAGTGTTAGATACGTGTGCAGGGCGCAGGTCGCGTCGGGAGATGCTGGGGGGCGCTGCCATGCGGCAGACGACAAGGAAATGGTCATCGTAGGATGTAAGCCGGTGGGTGGGGGGAAGGCGACACTGAAGAAAGCCTCACGCGGGAGGGCATGATGTCGTGAAGCAAAGGAGAATAAGGTCGGCTCTAGGAGGCGGCACAGTTAGCGGAGCACAGCACAGAACTTTGCGCGCGTTGCACAGGCAAAGCATACTCAATTTCTCATCCTCCCCAACGACGCCCAACAGGCCACCCATTTTGATCTCCAGAGGGTCGGCCGCCCTCTCCGCCCCCAGCAATCCCACCTCCATTTTATCAGCGGATCCAGCGGCCGGGGCCCGGAGGTCTTCCGTCCACCCTGGGCCTGGTGCCTCGGACCAGAACGCGGACATCACCAGATTGCGCGATGAGGAATCGTAGGAAAGGTCAAACGAGTCAGCAGATAACAACTCCCGGGCGTGCCGGCGACACTCCGCATCCGTCAATCCACAGACCGTCTCCTGGATGAAGGTTGCCAGCCCGTCCAGCGATTCCACCGGCGCGTAGTACTGGTATGCAGCAGTGACATCGGAGCGAGTGAAAGATTTCTAGTTCGATCCAAACCGCAAAGATTAGCCTCCACGCATAAGCTTGCGAACGAACCAAGTAACAATCGAGAAAAAAAAATCGCAAGAAAACACACCTCGTAATCCAAACACCGATGAACCTCTTGGCCAAACACCCTCCGTAAAACCCGACACACCGCTTCCTTATCATCATCATTATGATGATGAAGTTCACTATCTCCCACATTTTCCATGAGTAAGTAAATTAAACCTCCTCGCTATACGACCAACCCTCCAAAGATAAACTCACCCATCCCCCTGCCCCTCGAGACCCTTGCTCCCGGGAGTCAAATAAACATGCAACCCAGATGAAACCCGACTCGCAAACGGCGTCACCCCGTCTAGCTCATCTCCCACATCCGCGTCCGCAGAAGAAGTGGCCCACCGCACATCCAGCCTTTGTACGTTATTCACCAGGAAATCTCGGATCTAATTTCCATCCAGGAGTTAGCAAGTCGATTCAACGCTCTTCGTTTCGATTCAATTCAACACGACAGGAAAACACCCTCCCAGCCTCAACCCAGCCGAGAAGACACAGGAACTGAACTTTCCCCGGCAAGCGGCCTTTCCAGGGCCCCCGGATAGCCCTTCCCCCGGAATAATTGAATCTCTGAGACGACAGAAAAAAAAGCACAGAATAGATCATACCTCATCATCCAACCCACCCTCCGAAGAGGAACCCGACGAAGCAACCGGCACAGTGAACCGCTCTTCCTTCGCGCTTTTCAAATCCCGAATCTCCAGCACCGAACGGGAGAGTCTTGCTTGGTTTGGATCAAATGGGGCGGAGGGGTGTTGGAGGTAGGTGGTTCTTCGTTTCATCCTGGAGTTATTTATCCTTTGGATCTCTTTGGTGTGTGTACCTTACTAATACAGTATGTATGTGGGGTGATGTAGATGGTAAGGCGGACGGGTGGGTATGCGAGACTCGGTTCTTAAGGGGGGTGTCTGGTGTCTTGGGTGTTTGAGGTGTTGTGGAGCTGGAGCTGGAGCTGAGCTTAAGCTTGGATGTTGTTGACGTTGGGGGTGGCGGTCTGCTGCAGTGGCCCGGGGTTCTTATCGGATGGAATTCTTATCGATAAGAATTACCTAGTAATTGTCTACGGACCGACCTACCACTGTATCCACAGGGTGGACGCTGGAGCCAATACTCAAGGACTTACTACTACGGCTAGTACACCCAATTGACAGTATTACTTTTATTCGAACATATCAAATCTAACTACCTCCGTCATCAATCATCATCATCTCAGCGATCCAGCCGCTCACGCCAAACGCCAACCCAACTATTATGCTAATCCCTCAAGAAAACACAATTACTATGATGGGAATATAAAATCAGAGAATCAAGGCAGAACGTCGCGCAACACCTCCTTCTGTGCCGCAGTCAAGCTGGCAGGGAACCGTACATTAACCCGAATGATCAGATCACCCCGCTCGCTCGGCTTCTTCGACACGGTCATGCCAAGCCCTGGGTAACGTTCCTCGTATCCCGGTTGCGTGGGACCCGGCTTGGACACTCTGATGGACTTGTTGTCGATCGTGCGCACAATGCGTTCCCACCCAGTCAATGCCTCTTTGAGACTCAATTCAACTGTCGTGATCAGGTGGTCGCCCTGGCGTTTGAAGTTGGGATGTTCTTTCTGCAGAGAGTTAGTACTCGGTCATTATTTGGGACGTAGTGGTATCAACGGATAACCTACCTCGGTGACAATCAGGTGCACATCCTGTTTTCCACCCTCCTCCTGATCTCCCACACCACGGTACTTGAGTTTCGATCCCGTGCGCAGACCAGGCTTGATCTTCGCTTCCAGCGTGACGTCTTGCACGGTGCGTTTGCCGGTCGCCGGGTCAAACGTCTTACTCTTGACCGTCACCTTCTTTGTCACGCCCTTCATGATCTCCTCCAGCGTCAGCGGCAGCTCCTTCTCCATGACCGTGGGCTCCGGCGTCGGGGCGCGCGCTGATTGCTTGAACCCAGTCGACCCACGGTTAGTCCGGAATCCCCGGCCGCCGCCTAGGCCGCCACCGAGCATCGAGAAGAGGTCGTCCTCGTCCATGCCGCCGCCGCCGCCGCCCATGCCACCGCTGGCCTTGGCGAAGTTCCGGAAGATGTCGTCCGCATCACTGAAGCGGAATCCGCCGCTTCCCCCGGGTCCAGTTGAGAAGTGGAACGTACGGGTACCACCGCCTCCGCCTCCAGGCATGCCGCCGAACGAAAACCCGCCGGGCATGCCTCCCGCGAAGGGGTTGGCGCCACCGTCGGCACCGCCACTGGACGGGGGCGGGCCACCGCGCATGAGATATTCTAGACCGAATTGATCGTAGACTTTTCGTTTCTCAGGGTCGGAAAGGACTTCGTATGCTTGGGAGACCTCTGCCAACAGTCGACTAGGTTAGCTGTGCATCTTGACCAGAAGACAACGAACATAAACATACCTTTGAACTTCTCCGACGCAGTCGGGTTGTCCTTGTTCTTATCCGGGTGGTACTTCAAGGCAGCCTTACGGTAGGCCTTCTTGATTTCATCCTGTGAAGCATCCGGTTTGATTGATAGGGCATCGTATAGTTTTGTTTCGGCCACCATTGTGGAGTGGATATCGGTGTAGATGAAAGATCGAAATGCAGGTCGAGTGTAGACAAAAGGGTTTTCGGTTGTTGTCAGCTACTGAAGAACGCTAATTGGAGCAACACAATGCCTCCAATATAAGCAATCGACGAGGAGTGATGATCACACCACCGGTCGGGTGGGAACTGCGTCAAGGGGATGGAAAGGTCGAAACCGGGCGGGGAAAGGAGTACGATCTCGAATGACGTAGAAGGTTCACAGGGTCACTGACCACTGACCACTGACCACCAGCGTCAGACAGACGAAGTAGCGCGGAATGTTCGGAAGGCGTGAAATAAGGACGATGCAGGGGAAGAAGCGAGTGTTCGGGAGGATAAGTTTCGTGCTCAGGACAAATGGAGGAGGGGGGACGTTTGTGGACAAAGGGTGGACGTCTTATGCAGCGTTGGCGGGCTTTCTCTCAGGTGAGCCCTGCGGTGACGTGTGACGCTGTCTCCCCGCTGGCTGGGGCCAATCGAAGGTTCGAGAAGGTTCGATTGGCCAGGCATTGACCGGACAAAAAGCGGAAGACGATTGATGGGGATGAATCGTAGAGCTGGAGGGAAAGCAGGTGGCAAATCTGGAATAAATGAGGATTCCAGCCAGCTTGACCGGGGAGGGAATCATTGAAAGGTTGAAGGGGAAGTTGATCCAGCTGAATTCAGCCCAAGTATAGAAACTCGCCCGCCGACAGCCCGGCTGCCTATCTGCCTGCTTGTTCGGGTAGTTTGGTGCGGGGAAAAGGAATATACTTAGTCAGCTGTACATTTAGCATTGAATAACAAGCATTGGATAACTAAGGCTTTATCAACTTTCGATCCCACTGATGCCTTCCTGTCTGCCCATTGGCATACTATGCCATGGCTTTTAAACCCATTCTATGTTATACTTGTGTGATGATATTACTCTCGGATGGATGTATACTCCCGGTTGATATCACCTCGGAAATCACTTCCTCCCCACCACTATATAGTCCTTAATCACTGCCGATCCATTGACCACGCTCTCAATCTGCTCCTCGGTACAAGTCTCCTGCAAGGCCAGAACATAACATTCAGGCTCCGGGGGCGCCGGGGGCGTATTCTTGATCATCCAAGTCGAGTCTAGCCCCTGGCTCTTGTAGTCTGGGGTTTTTACTGTCGAAACCTTCCCCGTCGCCAGATCCCGGTTGAACAGAGCCCGATTAAAGATCTCATAGGCGGTCTGGGGCTGATACGCCGGAACCTCATGGCCAGCCTGATAGACTCGCGTGAATGAAAAGTTGCCGTACTGCCTTACCATGCCCCCAACATACGACGAGTTCGTCTTCAGCTCGGCATAGCCTGCGGACCGGAACTGGTCCGCCCCAGCGTATTCCACCAGCTTACTGACCTCCTCCCCGCCGGTCCAAGGACAGGCGAAGTCCCGGTCTCCGTAGACGAGGGCCACCTTGATGCCCGAATCGAGCACGTAGCCGAGATCCTCGATCAGGCCGCGGCTGTCCGAGCGTGCATAGTCGCCCGTCGACCGGAACGCCTCCCAGATGTCCTCCGCGGAGCGGGTGTAGTTCACGGGGACCCCCAGAGCGGCCTGCACCCAGTGCTGGTTCAGGTACCCGATGAAATACGACTCCGGGAAGGGATCTTTCGCGGGATGCCCGATGTCGTAGTAGCCACGGTCGGAGTGCTCCTTGAAGGGACCTTTGACTGCGTCGATGCAGTAAGCGTCCGCATCCTGGCAGATCTGATTGACGGTCTGATTGTTGCCATGCATCTCGGGATCACCCTCGGCGGCTACCGCACGGCATGCACTCAGTTTGTCCTTGCAACCACCGGGTCGACTCCAAGCATGCATGGCGGCATCATAGATGGTGCGGTTGAGTGCTTCGATGCCGTAGGTGTTGTTGTAGGCGAACTCGGGGAAAGTCGGCGCTTGTACCAGCAGGTCTATGCAGCCGTTAATGATGCCCAGGGTGTCGAGGTGAATTGCATGGCCGGACAATGTGCGATTCGCGATCTTGTTGTTCTGATCTTGGAAGAACGCTGTAAAGGCCGGACCGTAGCGTCCGCCGTAGGACTCGGTCCAGATACTGACGCGGTCGTCATGGGGCTGATACTCGGGAAACTCCGAAAACCATGTCTGCGCAAACACCCACAAGGCGCGAGCAGCGTTGACGGTTCCATTGACCGTGGATTGATTGTTCATGCTGGGGAATGTGCCCACCCAGAGGGTGTTATTCTGCTCCGGAATGCCATTTTCCAGGCCGGAAGTATCCCACTCCTCCGTGAGAGCGTTGAAGGTGCCATTCACGGCCACATCGTAGCTGAACCCGGTATGGACGGGCTGGTCGATGTAGAGCATGTTGGCATAGTTGTTCCACGACCAAGGATTCAGCTGCGTTGAATTGGAATCCTTGTTAACTACACAGGGACCATTCTCCTGCAGCAAACCAATAATAGATGAGCCCCCGGGACCACCATTCATCCAAATCGACAAGGGAGCATTGGCGGGGTTGTTGCGCGATTCGAAGAACCAAAAATAGGTATTGATGGGGTAGTGTTGGTCGACCCCCAACTCATTGAGGGTGCCCGAGGGGAGATGGACATAGCCGGAATATGATTTGACTCCAGGCGTGGTTTCGCAGATGCCAGGCTGATGATTACATCGGTTAGCACAGAGCCTGACGACTCACCGACTGCGGTCAGCGGTTCACATACATCCTTGTACGCGATCTGGACGCCTTCGTACTGCTTGGAATCGATCACCGTGAGCCCTTCAGGCTTTGGAGGGAAGAACTGACCGGCCGCGGCACCGGTGAGAACAGAGGCCACCACCACAGTCTGCAGCGAAGGCATTGCGATCAGCAAGTAATCCTGGGTCTGGGTCGGTGGGTGGGGAGAAAGGACTAGGTCGGATTGACCGGCAGGCAGCTTCTTATAAGATGCATCAGGATGGGTGCAATCCTTAGCTCCGATTAATTAAGTTGATTGGAGTAAGGTGGTAACTTGGCTGGAAGTGGTTAATCAAGAATCCCGAGAGAATTCAAGCAATTTAAGTAACTTACAAACATCATCCTCTCCGAGCGATAAGAGTTTGGAGGGTCAACTCGGCCGGTCGCATTTCCCCCGCCGTCAGCCCGCTGCCTATTTGGGACCCGGGGCCCGGGGCCCGTTAGTGCAAGGAGATGCAGTAAGTACCGATAAGTATCTAACTATAGTAAGGACTCCGTACAAGTGCCAGGAGTATTTGCGGGTATATGATAGACGAAATGTATCATTGAGAAGAGTGAACTCATGGGATATAATAAATCACAGAAAAATAGTAACCAACCCATCCAACAAGCGCCATGTGCCGGCGCTGGCTTCCTGCCCAGAGCAATTGGCCTCTAGCCCTATTCCTGATTCCAATCAAGAAGAAAAAGCCACGACGCCCCAGGTATCCTAAAGCCTTCCTTAACACCAAAACACGCTGCAAAATTGACATGAAAGGGCGGAAAAAAAGTCAAAAACACAGCAGGATGCAGAGACCGGCTCACTGATCGCTCAGCCACGCAACCACCCGGTGTCATATATGGGAGGACAAAGTCCTAGAAGCATGTGCCTGAAGAAGTATATACAACCGAATGCAAAGGGATAAAAAGTGTGCCGCTAATAAAATCATTTTGTGATGCATCCTTATGCAAGGTGGGGAGATGCTGCTGCGGCGCCCTTGACATCTGCATCAGAAGCAAGTGTCTTTGCAAGGGCCTCCTTGTCACCGGCAACAGTAGCATTCTGGATCGAACGAGCCGCAGGCGAAGCAGGCCGCTCCTTGATGCTGGCTCCCCTCTCCGATGCGACATCCGAATCGTGGAGGCTGGAGACGGAGTGGAAATCATCCCGATCAGGAGACGTTTTGTTGTACGACTCGGGGGCTGCGTTAGACGAAGAATCACTGAGAGAGTCATCAGACATGGAGTGTAGAGGTAGCTCGGTAAATCCAGCCATCCCGGAGCGTCCGGGGCTGGATGCTACCGAGCGGTGACGACTGTGAGATCGAGACCTTGCGGTGGGCGAAGTCGGAGTCGACGTCGAGATGGAGACGGGAGTGCGCGAGGGATTCCGAGGTGGGAGCGCAGGTGGCACGCGCTTCGGAATAGTAACCAACCGGGCCCGCGTAAAGGTGGGAGAGTAACGTCGGAGTTCGGAAGGCATGGTCGAATCTTCAATCGAAACGGGGGAAGTGGCGGTACTCTCTCGCTTGGAAACAGTCGCACTACTGACTTCGTGCACCTCGAGGTCGTCGTCATCGACCAAGTCGTCCTCGTCCCCATCCGCAAGTGGGCTGTCATTGGGAACATGGTATTCGCCATGCTCTGGAATAACGGCATCCAAACGGGATTCTTCGTAGTCTCGATAGCTCCGAGAAGAGGCGCGACTGACCGAAGGGGGCGCTGTGGCCGGGCCATCGTCGGTTTGAGTCCCTCGATCCATGCTGGCGTAGCTTTGCACACTCGCTCGCCAGCTACTGCGGGGTGAACTATCAAGGCTGCGGCGGAAGGTAGCATACACAGGACTGCTCGGAGCGGGTTTAAATTCAAATGCCTCCTGTGACGGTCTGCTCCGCGAGCCCGCCTCGCGAATGAACAGGCCCTCCGCTTCCAATGCTTTCACGCCAAACGGATCGGGATCTTCAGGGTCTGGAACTCCAAAGGAACCAAGCGCAGGACCAACTTCCGCATCGCCGGGAGCCTCCCCTGGAGGCGGCAAGAGGTCTTCGTCAACATTGGCGTCCCCTTGAGCGGCCTTGATAGTCTGCATGAGGGTCTGAATCGAAGCAGGTGGATTCTTGGCTTTTCCAGCGAGGATATCTGAGACTGATATGCGCTCGCCGTAAAACCGTTCGTTCTCGTCGCTTCTTTCGATGATGATCGTCCCGTCCACCTGGACACCAGCGTACAAGCCACGACTCTTCATGTAGGTCCAGATCGGGGCCTGACGCTTGTGGACCTCGGACTCCAAGACACCACCCATGCCAACGGGGCCGGCAGAGGCACTTACTTCTCCACCGAGGGTGCAACGAACTTTCTTAAATGCTTCTAGCGCTTGGTATGTATTGATGACGACCACACAGTCATATATATCCACTCCGGCTAGAAACCCAATGCCCGCCGTATGCAGCATGATACCCGACGGTGGACTCCACTCGCCTGTTTCAGGTACCCGTGCCACCAGAATACCGCTTCCGCCTGAGCCGCTTAACCAGAGCCCGGTGCGCATGGTGGTGAAGATGGCGAGGCCCTTGGCCTGCTGGATTACTTTCGAGGGGATCTTCTTGAGGACTCGTTGTTTGCCTTTGGGACGGTCGATCTTACCGGTTGGTGGAGTGATTGCGCTATCGGTAGCCTGACGGTCCGCATCATCCTCAGCATAAAAGCCGTCTTTGCAAAAGCTTCGTAAGATGCGCGCCGCTTTGTCGCTTTCTTTGTCAATCGCCATCGGCCAAAAGGCCTCTGCGCCGACTCGATTGGAGAGGCGATTGACGGGATCACCTAGTTTGTCGAGGGTGTGCCATGCCTTGTCGAACCCTTTTTTGGACGTCCCTTTCGTCCGCTCCCAGAACGTGGCAGGCATGGTGAGGAGTCAACAGCGTCGACGCTCCACGGGATCGCGATTCACTCAAGTCGGTGGCGGAAGAGCAGGACTGAGTCCTGGGGGTTGGGAGTGGGCGACCAGGAAGGGGTGCGAGGTGGTAGCGCACGTCTATAACCACAGGCGCAAGAGCAGATGGACGAAGACGGCGGGCGCCGTAAACATGTGTTGCTATCTAATTTCCCCAATGCAACCGAGAATGTATGAATTAGAATAGCAAACGGTAAGTTATCGAGGTCGCTGACACAAGCGAGGAATGCGGGTCTGAGGAATGCTCGCAACTATCTAGAGGCGGCGAGGAGGAGATTAGCTGTGGCTGAAGAAGAATGGGAAAACGGGCAAGCAACAATTGCGGAGAGACGGGATGGGCAAAGAGTTCAGTAAATAGTAATCATCGGATCAAAACTCATCAGAGCAGGCAGAGAAAGCCTGACTGACGGAAATGACCGTGAGATCCGCTCAGATCCAGGCCGAGAGAGCCGGAGACCCAGTGGCGAAGGGCTGGGAAAGCGACTGCATACGAGGAGACTCCAGGAGGGGAACCACGGAACGCATAGAGGGGGAGAGAAAAAGAGGGAAATCTGCTTACCAGGGCAAATCGGGCCGGGCAAGGTAAGGTTGGGTAGTCAGCAACTTCAATGCGAGGGAATCTGTAAGAGTCAAACGAAGAGAGGGGAGAGAAAGTAGGATCTTCCGGGAAAGATATATAGTCCTCGTAGTAATTCAAAGAAACTCAGTTGGCAGGTGATGATGATGATGATGATAATGGAAGATCGATTCTGTTGAACCCGTTTGGTCAGATGAGCTACTGTACTATGAGCAGCCAAACTAATGCAGTCTCTCGTTGGAGGGGAGGGGGAAGGGAAGAAAGGAGGAAAAGAGGAAAAGCAAAAGAAGAATATTGATCCAAATTAACAAATAAAAGAAGAAAAATCAAAAACAATAGTTAAGAACAAGCAATGCAGATTACAGATGGGGGGAAAAGGTGGAGGGGATGGTAGGTATAGATGCAGCTGTATGGAGAAAGTAGTAAGTACTTAGTGACTGTTGGTCGTTTACTACTACTACTGCTGCTGTACTAAAGGGCCAGGCACCACCAGTTCAGCACGGCTGGGTCGGGAAAGACATGGTTGGAATCATGAAAGTGGCGTCCCGTGGCTGGTTCGGGACATGCAGGATGTTGCTTACCAAAGGGGAGGTTCTGGATGCAGATGACGAAGCGTCAAGATGAAAGAAAAGCGCAGAAGAGCCAATATTAACCAAGTAGGTTAACCACTGTAGCAAAAAGAGTATAGATGTTAAAGACTAGTAGCGAGTGCAAAAAAAAGGCAAGACATCATTACTGCATCATCACCGGCCGATACTAACTGAGCCCCAGCCAGCCCCAATTCTCGCTCGGCTTCAATTCGGTTGCTGCCACATGATCATCAAAAGTATTTCATTGCCCCCAGGCATTCCTGCTTCCGTCCATTCTTTCTCAATTTTCAATATTTTATGTTATGGTTGGTGTTATTGTTTTGCGCAAGTGACCCATAATCCAATTGTCTTGCTTGGAGTTGTATTCCCCTCTTGGGAACCATAGTAGAATTGGGGAGGGTCCAGAGTCTGGCAGACAGGCAGAAATTGCATGCTGATCTGATCGCATCGTCATCGACTACGACGTACCAGCGCTGACTCCACCACAGACCCTCACGCTCGGATATATTCAACCGATTTATCTCTTCCTACTAGTAGACCGTTCACCACGGATGAGGAAAAAAAAAAAAAAGAAAAATTCTCAATTTCTTTCTCGTCAGCTGATAGACTTCTTCCAGTATCCCTTCTCTACGGAGACTTGTTCCCGACTCCGTTCACAGCAGACAGCCATCGGTTCTTTTGTCCATCTCTCTCCCTGCATTCGGATGCGATGTCGATGTATCCAAACCCGCGCGCGGACGGACATCTGACAGATCCAATGGCAGGTAGTACTTTTCTTCACAGAAAACTCAACCCCAGCCTCTGCCTGCCTTTAAATTTTCCCTCCCAATTCAGCTCCCCTCCCCCCACCCCCTTGCGACAACGGCTTTATTCTGTCGAGTCGCCTAGGTGAATTTCTTTCACCACCCCCAGAGAAGGTTATTTGTTTTGTTCCGTCTTGCCTCTATACTTTGTCCTCCCTCCCCTCCCCCTTGTAGTTAGGTAGTTGGGTAGTCGTTCGTCAGTCACAAAGATCTGGCTAGTATCTGCATCCATGCATCTCACTAAGTAACCTGCCTTACTTACCCGCACCCCATCTCAACCCCCAACCCTCGCATCACTTCTCCCTCCTCCCCTTCTTCATCCGATCTTCATGGTTTCCATGACAGGTCCAATTCCCCATTCCGGATCCGGTGACAGTGGTCCACCAGCATAACAGCCCGTCGATAGTTTCATATTCTGCTCGTCGCTCCCCCGGGGGAATCTCCAGAGCGCTGCAGCTTGTTCGGCCGGCCGAGTGGATGTGGATGTCGAGTGTCGACTTGGCTGCCCTGACTGTCGATTTCAGTTTCCAGTTTCTATCGGCAGTTCCCAGCTTGAGGATGAATTCTATTTTAACTTCAAACATCATCACACCACTGACACGACAATGATGACAGTGGCGGCGGGACTTCAGCTTCAACCAAGCAAGAGATACCAGAATCTCGTTCTGAGCCTCTGTCCAAGTCCCTGTTTTCCTTCATATTCCTCGTTTCGAAGACTCCCGTCCCAGATTTGCAACCTCAATCATCCTCCCACTCCCCCCGAAGAAAACAGCAGCGCACAACTTAGTAGAATGATAGATAGAGTCCGCACCTCCCAGTTCGGACTCCAGACCCCCGCCGGAGCGCGACCTATCAGATTCGCAATCTCCGATTCAGCTTCAATCGCCCCGTGTTGACCGAACCGAAAAAGAAAATAAAAAACAACAATGATGGCCCACATGTCATTCAATCTGACTTTGGGTTTACAGATGCTTCCCTTTCCCACCATCTTTGCCACAAGAACGAGGGAGCGAGAAGGGGAAGCTTGTTGCGTAGAGAAATCGTACATATCAGATTGCTAATAGGCCATTGAGTTTGCGAGAAGGAACTACTGGAGGTGTAAAAGCCGAAGAGGGCACGAGGAATCGCAGTTTGCAGTTTGCCGGTTGCGGTTATTGCGGCTTGACAATTGTGTTTGCGTGTCTGCAGAAGAGGATCTCGCAGCTTGTGCAATGCAAATCCGAACTGTCTCTTGAGACTTGGAGATCTCTTCGGTATAGGGGTAGTAGCCGAGTATAAGGTACTGCGGTAGACTCCGTAGTCTAAAGAAGACACAGACAAGGCGGGCGGGATCAACCCTAGACCGTTAGTCTAAGATTCTCTGCCCTTCCCCGGGCATTCCACAGCTACCTACGAAGTACACATTAGATACCTTCAATTTCCCCTCTGGATCCAATCAGATCTACAGTGTACTTCCCATGCAATGAGAGAAACATTCCCGACAACGCTGAGAACAAGTAGCATAACGGAACCAGAAACAAATCCGAAGTTTCCAGATCCATGATCTCCGTCGTTCCCCCCCGTATCCCCAGTCTCACCACCCCGTCACGGGGCACGGGAATCTGACAGTTCCTCCAATTGCCACCCGGTCATGCGAACTATGCTTCTTGTCTGGTGCCGATGCGATGCGATGGATCTAGCCTTATCGAGCAGCTGGGCGTGACAGCTGAGCCGATCTGGCTGGAGACTCGAGTAGACTAGTGCAGTGGTCAGGAACTACCTATCAATCATTCGAAGACCGTCAATCATTAGTGGCTCGGGTCTAATCGATAGTAAGTCAATCTAAATCCCTTCATGTAGGATCTAGGATACGTGATAGTATCGAACGAGGTGGGGATTTTCACAGAGAGTACTCCGTAGTTGCTGCGTGTTTCGCATCACGGTCGTAAAAGCAACCCAAACCGGTATGTGCCAGGCTGCGGTCTGGAAAAAAACCCACCAAGACATGAAGTGATCGATTTCAGCTGGCAGGGGATGGTTTCTGTGTTCTGATGCAACGCGCTGCAGCTGCAGCTGCGTCGACGCTACTGAATGACAGCTGACAGGAAAAGAGAAACTCTTCACTTGCCAAACTCCATGATTCCGGCATTCCATCCCTCACTCCCGACACGCATGATAAACTAGGTTCAAGTTTAGACAGACAGCAGGATGCTCTTTTCGTGTTTCTCTGTCTTAGGAAATGGAGCTTTGGAGCTGTTTGGGGCTAACGTAAATCATGAAGAGGCGACCTCGTAGTTCTCTGCAGCAGATGGTTTGAAGTCGTTATGCGGGTGTATATATACTCCTCGCTGAGACCTTTTTCTATTGCGTCCTTAACAGTTAAATTGGCTGCAGATTGATGTACTTTCATCCAAATAAGATGATGAGTTGCCCAGGTATGTAATACTCGCATAGAGATTCTCACAGTCTAGTGTACATACAATCGCAGCTTTGATAGAACTACACGCGCGCAATCAACTTCGAGATCGAACGAAACACCAGTATTTTTACCTCTACCAAAAAACAAGACAAAGGACCAGATGTTAAGAGCCGAAAAGCTCACACGGCAGGAGTAGCTACGGGATCTAGCCAGTTCTTTGTGCTGTGCTACGAAAACCCCTCTTATCCCTAGGGTCTAACATTACCAGTTCTTTTCTCCCCCTCCCGGAATTCGAACGCGGACCGGGGACGTTTACGTTCACGCGCAGGAAGTTAGCCACTACACTACCGATTCTACTGGTGACCGAGTAAATACCGAGGAAAAACCATAATATCCTCTACCGAAGCTATCTTGGGATGTGTAGGCACGAGAAATCGCCGAACTATATCTCTGTCCGAGGATCACTTCTTTATATAATCAGGTGGTGAGTGGTGATGGTTTGAGTATTTTGTTTAGAAATCTGGTTTTAGATGTACTTCTCTAATTCTCCTTGATGGTGTAGCTCTTAGTAGTCATGGCTATGCCATTCTTCCTCTTAGTAGATATCCCTTTCGGTTGACACCCCGATCGAGACATCCATCCACCACCACAACAACTACAGCAGCAGCAGCAACATCCAGGCACGAATCCAGTCCAAACCTACCAATGCATCCAATCAACCACTTCCCAACCCTGCACTCACGTCCACCCTTCAGAATCCGTCCACCTCAACCACTGCCCCAAGCGCATCGGACACATCACATTCCCCACGCACCACCCAGCCAACAGATCTATACACGTACAATCCACCGTGGACACAACCGACCGATCAATCACTTAGCCAACCACCACCAATCACACCACAACCATACGATTCATCCACGCACGCAGCAAACCCATCGACCCGATCGATACTCGATCCATCCAGAAACCCCGAGCCACTCGCGCAGCGCATGCATGACGAGCTGGGATCTCCGCACGGGCGCGCCCTTCTCGAATGCTACGATGCGGCTAAAGACAGCCCAGAATGAGGCTAGAAGGTTAGGTAGGGTACTCTGCTTATAGTACTCGGTTTATAGGACGGGTTCATTTATCTGGAACTAGAAGGGGGTTAGAATGGTGTTCCATGGGTTGGGCGGTGGTACCTAAGGTATGGTGTGTGTTGTTTGATTGATTAGTGTGAGTTAGAAATAGATGTTCTTGTGGGTTGGCGCGGGAGTTGAGATGGATGATTTGGGATGTTTCTTCTTGGTTATAGTAGTTGTATATATGACTCATGGTTGAGGATTTGGTGTTTAGGTCGGTTGGATCAGAGGGGTGTTGAGGACTGATTCATACCATATACAATCAGGTTCATAAGGGTAGTCAGAATGAGAATGTGCTTAACTGTGTACAAATACACCTGAATTGTGCGAGTCCGTGTATATATTTTCTTGCAGGCTGATTGAGCATGCGATACTAAGGCACACGGGTAGGTAGTATGTACTGTTCATTCCCGAGGGGTTCTACGGCTGCCCGAACTGTGCGGAAGCTCGAGATGAATACATGAAGAGAAATGAAATAAACTGCTTAAGTTCTTGGTTTCTTATATAAAGAGGAGAATGAAATCAAGGAGACTCCCTCTATACACGAGACTCAAATCACTGCCGCTAGTTGTCCCAAGCAAGCCTCCAGCCCTCCTCAAACTCAGACTCTTCATCGGTCTCTCGTATGAACTTCTGCCGTAGCATTTTCACTCGATATCCATCCCAAGCCGGAGGATACGGCGGCGTGGCGAAGGGCGCCGGTCGAGGATCGGGAGATCCACTATATAGATGTCGTCAATGTATTCCAGGTAAATCAGTATCAAGTTAAGGGTAACTCTCAGTGGAGATTGACACCTTGTAGGTCGATATACAGCAGTTCAAAGGATGCGCGATGATAACTCGAGAAGGCCACGCACCCTATTCTACATGTCGATGAGATGAATGAGACTGGTCTCGTCGGCTTGCTCTGGTATGATAACCGGCGTATTCCTGGAATGTTAGGACCAAAGTTAGCAGTACTCTAAGCCGGTTGATGCTTCTCATTAGAAATATATCTTGCGTGTAAGGTGATGATGCTTCAAGATCCCGAGTCGGAATGTCAAATTGCACGGCTTCATTCTACTCATAATGATATGCTGTATTCTGGAAGGAATAGCCCCCGAGCCATTCCACGAGATGTCATGGAAATATGCTGCTTGACCATTGCCTGCAAGTGTAACAAAACGCTGTTCTTGGAAGGCTGGGCGCGTTCTCGAGACTGCAGACAAGCGATGCTTCCATTGCTGCCCGAGCTGTACCTGTGAACACGTCCTGTGACGCAGATTATGGAGATTGTAAGCGTCGCGCGAAGAAGAAGACGAGGAAAGCATGCCATCTATAGACATCTCGAAGAGGAGGTGGCAGATAGAAGTGGAGAGGAGGGAAATCCGCAGAGATCGAATATATATCATGTCCCTTTAGGGAAATAGTATAGGAAAATACCGAACCAAGTCTAGGTAGGTAGGTAGGTAACAGTCATAAAACATACAAACACAGATGCGCAAATGCTCCAATCTACGACCGCCCTTACAGAGCACCCAACTCCTTCAACTTGCCAATCAGCCCGTCCACGTCCTCGACCTTACCACCACCCTGGCGAGCGGGCGGTTCTAGGCGAGAAATGATTAGCTCCCGTCTTCGTAAGCAATAAAAACACACCGCAAACTCACCAGTGACCTTGATCGTCTTCAACCTCTTCTTATCCTCGACCCCGAAATCGGCCAACGTCTTCTTCTCCAAGGGCTTCTTCTTCGCCTTCATGATATTCGGCAGGGTGGCATACCGGGGCTCGTTCAACCGCAAATCCGTCGTGATGATCATGGGAAGCTTCGCGCGCAGGGTCTCCACGCCACCGTCGACCTCGTGGGTGACCTCGACCGTACCGCTCTCGTCCTTGATCTCAACCTTGCTGGCCTGCGTCGCCTGCGGCCAGCCCAGCAGACCCGCCAGCATCTGGCCCGTCTGACCCTGATCGCCATCGATCGCCTGCTTGCCCAGCAGCACCAGGTTGATGTTCTCCTGCTTCACCACCGCCTGCAGCATCTTGGCCACGGTCAGGGGCTCCGGGCCACCGTCCGCGCTGTCGCCCACATCGACATGGAAGGCCCGGTCCGCGCCCATCGCCATCGCCGTGCGCAGGGTGTCCGCGCACTTGGGGCCGCCCGCCGACAACGCCAGGATCTGATCCACCTTGATGGGGCTCTGCTTCTTGGCGTGACGCTCGCGCAGACGCACAGCCTCCTCAACCGAGAGCTCGTCGAAGGGGTTCAGCGAGTGTTTGACTCCATTCGTCTCGACGCCTGTGTTGGTTTTGTTCACGCGGGGTTTGACCTATGTCGGTGGAAGATGACCCATTAGTTTGTCTATGCCATATTTCGAACCATTGCAAGGCGTGCTGATGTGTCATGTTGAGTTCGATTTCACCGGCAAAAACTCCGGTGTGGTTGGGCGCAGTGCAACGAGCAGTGGCCATGCGGGCCTCGTGGCGCGGAGATTCGATTCGACTTCTCACCGAAGCCGGAGCATGGCAGCAGGGAAATAAAAACTTACCGCATAGTCGATAACCCGCTTGATGGGGACGAGAATCCGGAGGTTGCTGGTCATTGTGAATTGAAAGTATAATACGGACTGCTTGAACCAAACGAGAAAGGTCCGATGGGCTCGTTGGAGAGATATACAGAGCGCGAAAGAGGAGAGGGGAGAGGGGAAGGAAGAGTAGTGAACTTGTTGGTTGTACCTCAAACCGATTCCGACGGACCATCCGCGGCAGAAAGCAGGTGACTCTACTTGGGTAGGCGGAGAAACACCCCGAGGCGGGCCGAGCTGAACTGACCTCCGCCTGTGTCAATCCCGCCTTCAACCGAGGTAAGCAGCTGTTAATTAGGTACCTATGTAGTTACAGCCAACTTGGAAAGTAACTATCGCTTCGAAATCAAAAGTGTTTCTATATCTTTACGCCACTCGGTGGCACCGATCGACACCGATCACCATGTCTCCTGTTTATATCGGCCCGTCTTCTCCATCCCTAGCAGGTACTGTTCCGCCCCCTGTTCATTGAACCGATCAGTTTCCACCTCTCCTCCGTGCTGAAATGCCTCGGTGAGGGCCTGCCGCACAGCTTTGGGCATATTTCCAGATGACCCGCATATGTACACCGAGCCACGCATGTCATGCAAAAGTTTGAAGAGGAGGCTGACATTCTCGCGGATAACATCCTGAACGTACACCTTTTGCTTCTGGTCTCGCGAGAATGCAGTCAGCACCTTCAAGCGGACCAGCTCAGCTAATTGCTCCCATTCCGCTGCAAAGAAGAAGTCTGCCTCCCTGTTGCGACCTCCGTAGACGAGCAGGGTCGGTCCGATCGGAGGCTCCACACCCGGATGCTCTTCCTTGTAGGCCTTGACAATCGCAGCCTTCTCCCAAACCATTGATCGCAGGGGTGCGATGCCAGTCCCGGGACCGATCAGGACCGTCGGTCCTACCAATTGATTGGCAGATGAGTTAAGCCCACCACGCTGCAATTGCACCTTCAGTGTACTCCCGGGTTGGAGCACCGATAGGTATCGTGTACAAACTCCTTGTCGAATGCGTTTGATGACCGTTTGGTATTTGACAATAGCGACCAGCAGCTCGAATTTAGTGCCTCCTTCGGCTGTATGTTTGAGTGCACCTCCGCTCGCTATACTAAACTGTCTCGCCCTCATGATCGGAAACACCGAGACAGCATGCTGCCACGGGATCTTGACCGAGTCGAACTCGTGCAACACCTCCAGGATGCTGCGTCGCGGTCGAGTAGTATAGTCCCACAGCTCATCCAAGAATTCCGGATTCGTAAATTCCAACAGACGCTCTTTGTGCATTTCGTATTCCGTGTAATGAGCCACTGTAGCGAAAAACGACCGACGGGGGATGGCCTGAATGTCCAGGTAGTCGGTGAGGAGCGCGCGTAACGTTAGCTTAGGGCAGGTGTCGAGACCCTGGATGGGTGGCGAAGGGATATCATCGTTCTCTGCGGACAAGAGAGTTGGCCCAGGACCAAGTGTCACAGGCCGGTCTGCATCTGCCTCCCAGCCCATCATCGTGATCAAATTGTCCACATCATTGGCGAAATTCTTCGGCGTGATGGACAGCATGTCCCCGGGTACGTAGGACACTGCTTCCGGGACACTCAGTGACAAATGCCGCACATCCTGCCAATGATTCGAGGCAGTCACCCGCTTGTTCTCTGTGAGCGTTGCTGTTAATGTATCCGGGAGTGGCCGCACGTCCTGACCAAGTCGATCAAGCTCAGAAGATCCATCGATTTCTACATCGGTGTTTGTGTAAGGCTCCAATGTCGAGCGTTCCCCGTCTTCGTCCCGTAGTTTCAAGACCCATTTGGGGGGCAGCTGGACGTTGTCCGGTATCGGCGCCTGGCCTGGCGGAAGCGGGTATGTGTCGAGCAAATGCTCACGAAGCTTGGTGAACCAGGGGATAAACGTCCCTTCAAGTCTACAGCAGCATCAGCATAATTTACAGTTCCATCGCTTCTCGAGAGCCCGAGATTCTCACCCCTCCGGATGTTGTTGATCCGCCTCCCCGCAAGGATGGATCTCCTCGGCGCCTAATTGCAGTAATCGTTTATGCAGCTTGCGAGCCGCCCAATTGAATCTTTTCCAAGCTGGTCAGATTTCTATTTGCTGCGGATTTCCAATTTTCTGTACTCACTTCGGATAAGAACTATCACCCAACCCAAAAGACGCGAAGCTGACCCCGCTCAAAAACGTCGGCGGGAGTTTCTTCAGCAACAACGACCGCCAGAACGATCGCGCATTAGCTGGAAAATCGCCCTGTCCAGTCGTAGAAACCACAAAGAGCACAAGTGTATAAGAATTGAGCGTTGCCTGCAATAACACCATGGATTAGTATTGGTTGTGCACAACCACTCCTGTGCTCCCATCCAGCTTGCGATTGGGCCGCACCGGCTTGTACTGATTCAGTTCGGCAACATGAGTCTTGAAGTGTAGGCGTTCCGCTAATGCGCCCAGCTCCTCAGCAACTTCTTGCGAATTGCCAGTCTCGGAGCCGTAGAGAACGAGCGCAGAGCGTCTCTGTTGTGAACCGCTGCTCATTGCTCTGGCATGTGCAAGCAATGCTCGCGCAATAACTAGTTGTGATTGATAGCGGGAGTTCACTATCTTTTTTGGGCCCCTCCACTCCGGAGGAACGAAGGCCTTTTGCGCCGACGGAGCGGGATGACGTCATCCCGAGGGTCGATCTCTCAGCGAGGGCAGCTGGCTCCTTTCGTCTTGACTTGAATTAGCGGCTGTCTACGGAGTACGCAGAGTTGGAATACAGAGCGCTGTTCATGCTGAGTATATTTTAAAACAGATTGGTCATAAGAATTACTTCCAAAGAGTTCATAATTAGTACTGAACTGCGCCAAACAACATCTGCTCACAATAGACTCCCTTAAAGACTTGAAGACATCACATGAACCACAAGACCACTAAACCGCTCAGATTGATAAGATCGAATAGATAATGAATAGAAGGGTATCTTAAAATAAGCGCCCGCTTTAATACGTATCCTCTTCACCACCACCGCCGCCCCCACCATCGCCGAATCCATCGTCGCCGTACTCATCGTCTCCACCATCGAAATACTGCTCAGCATTGTAATCTCCGCCCATGTCATCGTCATCGTCCTCAAAGTCATCATCCACGATCTCCTCTTCCTCCTCCTCCGGATCGAGTGCCTCGCGATCATCCTCCTCGTTCTCTCCTCCCTCCGCATCGTCCTCATCCCCGGTCCGGCGCTTCTTGCCCGCCTCATCATCCTCCTCATCCTCGTCGTCTTCGAAACCACGTTTGATACCGGGCCGATCAATTCGCAAGACGTAGCCGTCCATCGCAGAATCCGGCTTGAAGCTCGGCTGAATGGTCTGCCACAATTCCTTGGGGAAGAATTTCATCACTATAACACGCCGCACAGTTAACACGGTATCTCTGTAATTGTAGAACCATAACCCTGATCCTGGAGAGCTAGAAAGAGAACACGCGATCCAGTTCCAAGCCCCTCTACGCGACCAATAATTCCCAGCAAAGCCAGAAAAGGAACACATAGCACTCACCATATTCCCTCCCAGCCAATTTAGGCAGGGTCCGCACCTTCTTCTGATACTTGCCCGAGTACGAGGGCATCCCGTGAAACGGATCAAAGTGCGCCCGCGCGGCGCTCTCCTTCTTCGCTGACGAGGTCGCCGAGTCTAGCACGGAGTAGTACGGTCCATCGTGAAAGCGCTCTCGAAGCGACCGGTATAGATCCACCTGGATCTGCTCGCGTGGGGTTATCGGCCTTGCGCGGGGGACGTGGTATTTCTGCAAGTCGAAACAGAATTAACATTGGACCCTGATGCCCCGGAAAGAAACACATTTGACCACATTCAAGTCAAGTAAAGACCGTTATCCACATACCGGGAAAAGAGGAGTCGGGGCAGTGTCGTTCTCGCCGCCTCCTTCACCAGTCTCCCAACTGAATTCTGCCCCGGGGAGCTTGCGGCCTTTCTTGGCTCCGAAGCGGGACATGATGGAAAGGAAACCAATGAAGTATCGGAGGAAGGGTAAGCACAGTTATATCTGGGGCTCTTAGCCTAGACAAAGCTGTAGGAGTGCTGTACAAGCCGAAGGGCGACGTGCAAGGCGTTTAATTGCACGAGATGACTGAGGGAGGGGGGCGGCGGCCGCGGCTGGAGAAAAAAAAGTTACGAATACAATCCAACTGCGGAGCTTGGAGTCACCGCCTTCGGATATATGCTGCATTTACTCCGTAGTACTTCTAGGCTCAGCCAATCATGTCCTGCGCGTATGAACGTCATTTCGAGGGCATCGATACGGAGTATACCTACTGTACAATACGTGCTGGTAGGTATCAGTTTTGCGGTCGTTCCCAAAGGGCCGCAAGAAATATCGCTTTTTATTCCGGAAAGCAGAACATCTTCCAGAGCCCCTTGATTCATGCATGGATCCTCAACATGGAAGAATCTTCTATGCGTGCATGGGACGGGAATAAGCTCGTCATTCGACAGTCCAAGCTGTATAGCTTCGAGCAAGAACAATTTTCACCTGTACATCTCTTTTTGCAGGAATGCTTCTGAGTCGGGCTGCCCAGGAAGCTTCAGAAGTCGACGGATCCCCGGACGAGCACATGATAAGAAGGTTGCTAATCAGAAAACAAAGACGGCTAGAAGCTGAAGCTGCAATAGAGCCAAACAGCAAAACATTAAGCCTAACAGTCATTTGAGCTTGTCTTTCCGTCATCATTCTGGATTCTTAATAGACTTGACCACCGCAACGAGGCAGAAGCTCGTGACGCCTCTGTAATGAACACAGTCTTGCAGCTTCATATGGAGAAGATGAGTCTTCGCAAAATGAAGCCTCTTCTGGCTTAGATTGGTCAGCAATCTTCGTACAAAGAAGCAGTCACTTAAGGACATCAGAGTCAGTAGCAGCCCAGTATAGTTTCACGGCCTTCCGACAAAGCAGTCTGTGGTACTTCAGACTGAAGGTGATTCTGATTCCAAGTAAGCTCATATCAAAATCACCATCAGCAAGGGCTTCGCGACTCCAGCACGGTGGTTGAGTGCGAGCTCATGGGTGAAGATATCACAGCCCCGCCCTTAAATGCATTTTCACAAAGGTTCTTGTGTGATTTGACCGCTGTCATCAGCCTCAGCTTCATTCCGGGATGACGGACAACCCACTCATCTCATGAAGGAAAATAACTTCCGTGGAGTGTGTTACTCGTGTCACTGCTGAGTCCGCCTCTTCCTCTTCTCACTTCTCTTCCTTTTCTTCTCTCCTCCTTGGTCCGTTCCTGAAACGTACCCATCGCTCATGATCATCAACACCGCCATCCTCATTCTCGTCTTCAATGCGCGTCAAAGCTCCATTCACCCAGTAGCCTGGACCCCTCAACATGCCTCGTCGCAACCCTCGTGCTCGCGCCACCCTCGAAGAATTGTGGAAAAAGCTATCGGACGACGGACGCGGTCACTGCGTGTCCATTCACGGATTGTGTAGCTGGGGCTCCTGAAAGTTCCATTCGGAACCGCACACAACAAAGCTGCAACCGGATCGGTAGGTATATTAATATTTTGGCTCCGAGTCCTGGGTAAGCAAGAGATGAACAACCCAGGGTAAGACAAGACAGCTCCCGCACAAGACAAGTCATGACTCTTCCCGACCTGGACTTACCCCCCGATCCTCTAGATCTTGGACGCGGTTTCGATGTCTACTACCCTGGCAGTGCCTCAGATCCGGGTATGATCAGTACTTAGCCACATGTGGTGCTGTCTGGAAAGATTTGACGAGGAGAAACCGGGCATTTCAACCTCATCTACCTGATGAGGAGGAGCAGGAAATCTTATCTCGTGAGCCACCAGAAGCAAGAGTCAAGTACTCCCGTTGTTGTTCCCAACCAAGAAGTATTTCCCCGTATTGCTCATCTCCTTTATGGAGCCACAACACGCCATAATATTCTACGCACGTCTGGATGGGTATCAGGTCATTCCTCGACAATCCCAGCTCTATAGCTTTGAGTACCGCGCAACTGCACCTGCGGGGCTTTTCGCCAGAATGCTTTTCAGTAAGGAATCAAGGTTTGAAAAAGCTGATGCTGCAAGCTGCAAGAAGAAAGAATGTATGTACATAAGAATCTTTCGCCTCCTATCACAGCCCAACAGTTGCAACTTGGTTTTCAGACTGAGTCGCGGGACCCCATGGCCCTTCGTTGACGCGTTGGCGGAGTGTACGCATGATATCGTCAAATCCACTCATCTGCCCCCCGCTCTCTTTCAAACAGTCATACAACGCAACCAGCACCTCATGCTTCGCAGTTGCCACTTTCCATACTGCGTTCTGCGGATCTGCAGCTCCGCCTCCCACAAACTCAGCGTACGAGCGCGGAGGCTTGAAGAGGTAGGGCAGGAGAACAGTCAGAGCCGGCGGCGTTAGAGCGGCCCAAGCACCAGTAGATGGAAGGACACCCTGTGCCGCGGGGGATAACCTTTCCAAGCTTAATTCAGTGGGAAGCTGATACCGTGTATTGCCAGGTGCAGAGGTCGGCAGTTCGGCGGGCAAGACCTGCCAATTAGCGGTGATGATCGCTTTCATGAGCGACATGGCTGCCAAGGATACATCCTTCATGGCCAGAATGTCGGCCGTCGCGACAACATCTGTCCAGAAGTCGGGGTGCTGATTCGTGTACTGGAAGTAGAGGACCCGGGCAGCCGCTGCTTCCTTATACCAGTCAGTCGGTGTCTGACCGGATGTGTTGAGTTCCATCGAATCAGCCAGCTCGGGTCTGACCGGGCCATGCAGAATCTTCGCGAGGACATCGAGGGCCTCCTTGTTCGGTGGACTGCTGGGCACAGATAGCACGGCGTTCAAGCCATGCCTACTGGCTTCCACAAGCAGAACTCGAGGCAAGCAGGAGAGCACGTTCAGCTGTCCACTAGGCACTGGCCCATGCGCCCACTGAGCGGACGAGATGGCCACAGATGCAGCGACGCGCGATATAATCCGGTCTAACAGATGCCGAGGGTTCTGCAGAAGATGGTTGGGGTACAGTTCGGAATACTGCGCGACGTATGACATGATTGGGCCGCAGAGATAGGCCAGGTCAATGGAGTCCAGTTTCGACTCATCGAGGTAGAAGTCCAACAACGTAGTGTGTATGTCATTCAAGATGAGGAAGTCAAGTGCCGGGGAGGAGAAGGTAGACGCAGATTGTATGGTTGTGCGCGCCATGAGACCCGGAGCGTCGAGGGCTAGCAGGTCATGGAAGAAGTTGATCACCGTCATGTGCATCAAGACGTCACTGCGGTCAACCATTCTGCAGGCAGCGAAATGAAGTAAGCTGTCGGCGCGGTATTTCGCTTCCACCTCCGCGACTTGAGAAGTTGAGATGATATCCCAGCGTAGCTGGCCGGCCTTCACGAGAAAACCCATCAACCTCCCTTGAGCCACTGTCTTGTCCCGCTTGGAGATGCCTCCATGCCCGTTATCCCCAAGACTGCACACAGAGAATAGCAACCCATATACATCCTTGTCAGTGAAGATCCGCCTCCAGAACAGACCTTGACCAGCAGTAGCTCCTTCAGTATCATGTTCGCCAAGCTCAAGCGGACTAGCAAGATCAATCTCCAACAAGGCCCAGATGGTGTCCAACGCCGCCTGAGCCACAGCGGTCGAAGAAGTCGACAGCCACAGCTCTACCAGAGATGCGACAAGCTCCGAGTCCCCCGCGACAATGGCAGCATCACTCGGGACCTTACCCGCTTTGCTCAACAATGACAGGGCCAAAAGGTTGACTGGTGGGGAAGGTGCTTTGAACCCCGCAATGAAGTTGATGGGAGGATTGACAGCACGCAGATCGCTGAATGTGAGATAGGCAGAGGCCTTGACGGCAAGCGTCGTAAGAGGAGTGGGGTCCTCCTGGAGGACTGGCAGCAGCTCTGAGATCTGGATCAGTAGGGTGGAGGGGACACTGCGGTCCGTGGTCTCCGTCAGCTCCAACTTCAGCTTATCTATGATGTTAGCATCCAGCTTGGTGGTCGGATCGCGCTGGATCTGTTCTAGATGAAGCCTGACTTCATCATAGGTCGTAGGCACAGCCATGCTATTTCTAGCGTAGTCCGTTCTGCAGCGTTGTACTAGTTTAGAGGAACGCAAGCGACTTTATTCACTTGTCCAGCCGCATGTGGAGCGGGGAGGGAGGGGGAGGAGGAGGGGAGGGAAAGCCGGGGTGCAAACAAGACAAACCGGGGTGACAGCTGCGCTCGAGTCTCCGGACGATGAGACCATCGCCGACTACAACGCAGTCAACCAATCGACATCAACTGGGAAATCCCAGGTTCTCGACACAATGGCTGATTATCCCGACTCGCTTGTATCGTCAAAAGCCTCGGACTCCGGCCTTCACATCCAACTTCACCCTCTAATATTACTCACCATCTCCGATCACATCACCCGTCACGCCGCGCGATGCCAGCAGGGACCCATAGTGGGAGCTCTGCTGGGCCAGCACAACGGCCGTGAGGTCACGCTCGAGCATGCTTTCGAGTGTTTAGTAACAGAGGGGCCCAACGGTGAAGCTCAGCTTCCCGACAGCTGGTTCGCAGAGAGAGTCCAGCAATGTAAGTTTCACCCTTCACCATTCATCCTCATCTCTCTTCCCCGATAAACTGACACCCGAGTCTCCGCACCAGTCAAGGACGTGCACAAAGCACCCGCTCTTGACCTCGTGGGATGGTGGTCAACCTGCCCCTCCACAGGGCCCAATGCAGCCCACCTGCCCATCCACCGCCAGATCCTCCAGAAACACAACGAGTCCGCAGTGTTCCTCGCATTCCACCCCGCCGAGGTGGCCGGGGGCCCCTCGGCGAATGGCGGCAAACTGCCTCTCACCGTCTACGAGAGCGTCTACGAGGGCGAGAACGCCACCGCCAACACGAACAATATGCAAGTCGACGGCGAGGAGCAACCGGTCCTAAGCATCAAGTTCCGCGAGCTCCCTTACTCCGTCGAGACCGGCGAAGCCGAGATGATCGGCATTGATACCGTCGCGCGAACCGCCCGCAACGCAGCCGTCTATCCCACCGCAGAATCGACCTCGCAATCACTATCCCAGGCTGAGCCACAGTCAAGTACCGCCCAGCAACCGCCCCCAGAAGAGACACCGCAACAACAACAACCATCCGCCGAACCCTCAGTCCTCCTCTCCCCCGAAGAAGAAGAGCGTACGTCCTGTCCCATCCTCGCCCAACCACCGACCTTCCAGTTTTAAAACTAACCGCATGATACAATAGTAATCGCCAGCCTCAACACCCGCCTCAACGCCATCCGAACCCTCGAGTCCCGCATCTCACTCATCAAATCCTACGTCTCCAGCATCTCCACCGCCACCTCCTCCTCCTCCACCTCCACCACCACCACCACCCAACCCCAGTCCCATTCCCAAACACCCACCCTCTCCCACCCCCTCCTCCGCAACATCAACGCCTGCCTCTCCCACCTCTCCCTCCTCACACCCCCCGAACAAAGCGCCTTAGCCGCCGAAACCCGCGCCCAGGCCAACGACGTCCACCTCGTCGCCCTTCTCGGCCAACTTAGCCACAGCATCAGCAACATGCGGGAACTCGGGAAACGCACTGCCATTCTGAACAATGCGCGCCGGACCATGGCGGCTGCACGCAAGGCTGCTCCGGCTGGCGGGATAGGGCCGTTTGGGGGGACTGGCGGTGGCGGTGGTCGTGGTGGTGGCGGCGGCGGCGGCGGCGGGGGGGACCTGCAGATGCGGATGGGGTTGCCGGGACGGTACGGGGATGAGATACCTTTTACTGGGAAGACGGATGGGTTTTAGAACGCAGAGAGAAAGTGACGGGAATCTAGACCTGAATGGGACAGGGGATAGGGACAGGGACACGAACTTCTACCTTCCCCCACCCCCCATTACTTGCAAAAGACTTTTTGAATTAGCCCCCCCGTTCTTTAGCTACGTAATGAGATTATGGCTGAACTTCTTTGCTTTTTATACTGTGCATGGATGGGGAAGAGGAAGATGGGATGTTTGATGGAGAGATTGCTTGAACTTTTAGCCGTCTTTGTGAAACGAAAAGTAAAGTGGCACTACCCATCTATACGCAGAGTGCCTCTTCCTACTATCTCCATCCTACCGTACATCAACCGTGTCCCATACCCTTCAAGAAAACGGAAACAACATAGGACTTCCACTTTCTTCTAAGCAGACAAAAGCATATATACTTCAAAAGATATCTATCTCATCAACCCATGATTCAGTCGATATTTCATGCCATGATCTCATAGAGTGTGAAAACAAGATAACGTAGATAAAGCGCAAGCGGCCAGAGCCGAGAAAACCAGAGGGTATTATACGACAAAAGAATCCAACAGAGATTGCAACCAACGCCATGAATGAAGAGGGTGACGGTGCCCTGGAGATCGAACACCGCCGAAGAAACAGCTTGCTGTAGAGGAAGGGAATGGGAAATGCAACAACCAGTGCTACGAGGTCTAGGTCATGTCATGTCACGCGCTTCGGTCTGCTTCGCCACGCTTGTGATGCAATGCAATGCAGTAAAAGCGACTGAGAGTGGAGGGGCCGTATCTACCTCCGGTGAGGGTTCTCGATGTCATACCCAGGGGGTGGGGTCTGATACGTTTCTGGAAGAGGGATCGGAGGTTGTTCTTGGAGCGCGGGTTGCCGGTAGGGTTGAGGGTGAGTAGCGGTTATAACAGTGTTGCTGTCGGGATACGGGGGGGTTCCAGAAGCGGCGCTCTCGTGGTGATAAGTGTCGTGGGCCAGGTGCTGCGACTGGATCAAGTACGGATTGTAGGCATCTTCGTAGGACATATTCATGTGCGGTGCCATGTGAGAGGGCTGGGGCTCCAGTATAGAAGAGCCGCTCAACCGGTTGTGCGAGTAGAAGCGGTTCGGATCATTGTCATCAGGCATGCCCGGGGCTAGTCCAGCAGGACTGGGCTGAGCATGGGACAAAAGCACCTCGCCTTCTTCGTCGCTGCCATATCTTCCTGCAGTCATCGCGGTTGCAGGCCCTTGGTATTCGGTTCCGGGGGGTGGGGTGACATTCTCGGTCGCATTCAGCCCAAATGCCTCCGTTGGGGTGTGGTAGCTAGGATCCGACGTCCGCTTCTTCCGTCCAACGAAGAGCCAGCGGAAACTGCGACCAACCGCCTTGAGAAGATCGATAGGGTTGAGAGCATTCAGCAGGCCTTTAATGCCAAAGCGACCACCCTGATAGGTGGTCTTCCCGTTGCCATAGAAGTCGGTAACATCGGAAGTTTGCGCGAGGAGCGAGTACGGTTGCCAAGCAAAGGCCCACAGGTGAAGGACCGAGAAAATAGCCATCTCAATACAGATGAGAATGTTAGGCAGTCCAACCTTCAAATCGGGGGACTGAATTGTCGAGGTGGTTTTGATTACACCCGAGGAAGAGAGGAACGAGATTAACGTCTGCCAATACTGTTAGACCGACTGCCACGGAACTAGGTCGCAGAGTCCGCTTACCGACTGCCAGAATGACAGGAAGATCACAAGTTTGATAGAGAGAATCTTCAAGAAGGGGGAATGTTGGCTGATGTCGTCTTTGATCTGGATGTAGTACTGGATCAGGCAATACATGGCAATCGAGACGGCGATACACTCCACGACCATAATCTATTGAGGAACCATAATCAGCCCCAAGTCCAGCAGGACCTGAATGAGTAGCACATACCCAAATGTGCGAGAACGCAGGGTTGAGCGATTCTTCGCAGTAGACATTGAAATGCTGCGTGATGACCGCAATGACAGTCATGAGAACTCGTAGGACACAGTATTGGAAGATGCCCACCCAGATCACCTGTTATTCTTGGTCAACGGATGATCTTCGCGACTCAAAGGGTCTACCCACGTTAAACCAAGTCAAGCCACTGCGAGGGGTTCTCCACACGCCTTTCTCACCACCGGTAATCTTTTGTAACCACGGGATTGGCCAGACCCAAGGCTTAGGTACCACGCCTCGGAAATACTCTTTTTGACTATGCAAATCCGGTGCGACGTAGGCGCAAAGCAGGGAGAAGAAAGAGGAAATGGCGAACGCTTCGTAACAGTTTCCGATCAAATCGTAGTACACATCGTTCTTGTAGAAGAGCGTTCCAACCCATGCGACAACTGAGTAAATAGGGATCATCAATAGGATTCGGATTTGACTGCGAAATACCACGGTGGGGTTAGTATGTGAGACTCTGGCTCAGCGCAAAGCTCAGGCGAAACGTACTGTCGTTGCTCGATCGGCTTGCTGTAATGCGTGGCATGCATCATAATCAGGTAAAAGGAAACGATCATTGAAATGAGGCCAAACACGCCGCCTACCATGAGGCAGAGCTGGTGAAAAGTAATGCCGCCTTCCCAGAGGTCAACCTCCGTGACTATGCGAATGCGAATGAGACTCGCGTTAGCTCGAGGCAACAGTCCCCAGGGTCGCAAATTGCAGCGGAGGGCAGGCGGAGGACGGAAAGGGACATACTGGTCTCATCTTCGACGGTGGAATTACACACCGGCCAACCCATTCTCGCGGGTGGAATATGAACACGTTGACAGTGTAAAACGTCAGATTGTGCGGTGAGAGACTGTGAGGGTGGCCGAAGGAAAAGAACAGAGCGGAAAACTTTATAAGGAGGAGGAGGCGTCCAGGCGTCGCAAATTGAAGGAGGAACGAGAAGATGGAGGACTTTCTATCTTATCCGCCCAGCGCCGGGCTTGGCCCCAAGAATGAGCGACGCAACCCCTGGGAGCCACCCGAGATTAGACTTCCGTCCACAGTTTTGGCGCCGGTGGAACTCGCTGCGAGGGAAGGGTTCGTGGGTCGAGCCGACAAATAAAAGTGGGAGAGTAACTGGCACGCAGGAAAAGGCGCCGAGAGAAGGTGAGCTTCGTGTTGTGTTGCTTGGTGTTGCTTGGCAGGCACCGCGAATAACAGAAGAACACGGGGGGGGGGGGAAGAGAAAAGTGAGGGAAATAAAGAAGAGAGAGAAAGAGAGGCTGGGGATCAACAGTGATCGACGAGGAAGGAGAAGAGAAATGAATTTGAACCTATGTGAGTATGTGGACAAAGCGACTGCTTGGGGGACAATGAAGATGGTACATTTGAGTGATGATCTTGAAGGCATGCAGTGTTATGTCACTGCGTGTGTGGCAGTCAAGAGGAAGAACGTTTAACTAAGCGCTTTCAAATTCGGGATTGGACGAAACGCTGCTGCTGAAACGAAACAAGACCCTTTGTGTGGATGACGAACCACATACCATACCATTCCAATACACGTCATCCCCACGGATCCCCCGCCAAAAGGACGGTAAATGAGTCCAACTCGAGTAAGTAACTTACATCACAAACGGTATTGCAGTACCCACTGGCCACGGGCTGCTGCGCCACTTTCCCGAAATAGCTGGAACTGCCTCAATTCAATCCGCTTGCTGTGTATTCCATACATGGTGTGTACACACTATGTATGGAGTACACAGCACTCCGTACTAACTGCACAATTTCCCCCTTACTCGATTGATTATGCTGAGTCTGTCCTCGTACTAACTATCATTTCATTTTTTATTAAGTACCTGAGGACTCTTCTACATCACAAATCACAGCCAAGCAGCGTTCTTCATTACAACTCTAGCCGGCCGAGGATCGACTCCCCACTTGCGCAGTCGTCACCTAATTTACATTCATCTTCTCTTCTTTTCCTCCCCCTTGTCATTGCATCTGTCTAAGTACTATGGCCGAGTACCGATGACTACATCCGTTCAATCATTGTCGTTGTCGACATCACCCCTGTTACCAACGACTGCGCCGGTCGTCTCGCCACGAATCACCCATCCCTCCTCCCCGTCCTCGGCCGCCGCCGCGGCCGCCGCGGCCGCCGCGTCGCCCCCGTCCACCACCCAAGTATTCCGGTCCCTTGTCGACAAACTGGTCCCCATCTTCAAAGGTGATACGACGGGTCTCATCGCCTCCACGTCGGGGAAATGCGCCTTTCCGTAGCAGCTCATCGAACCGATCGAGACGCCGGTCGGCCACCTCCCGGGTAACGGGCAAATAGTAGAGCTTGGGCTTGGTGGTTGTGGACATGAACAGCTCGTCCAACGGCTTGAACCCCTGGCCGGGGTGGGATTCCGACCGTGTGGTCCCAGGGTGACTGGGACGTCGACTGGGGCCCCGACCTTCTGCGCGTGGACCAGTCGGCGGTGGGCGAGAGAAGCCGGTGAGTTCGGGGGCGCGCGCAGCTTGGGCCGCCGGTTTGCGGGAATCGACTTCCTCCAGCACCGCTTCGACACCGTCGTCGCTCCGGTCGTATCTCACCTCCCAACGAGGCGCGGGGCCACCGCGCTGTCGAGCGCCCTCCTCTCGTTCAACCCACGACTGTAGCTTGTCTTCCGGGATAAAGTCGACAAACAATGCTTTGCGGTTGCGTTCGTTAGGCCATATGGTCCCGTGGAGGGCCGCTCGGACACGCGATGCGGCCGACACACTCGTAAAACTCACGAAGCAATGGGTCTTGATTGGATCCAGGTAGTAGTCGAGAATCACATCAGCATTCGGAGAAGCATCCGGGGTCGATGCAAGGTTAATCAGATGGCTGCGAAGGGTCGCCGGCTGCATCGGTCGCATCAGACCTCCCACGTAAAGCGCAGCAGTGGCAGCATGTAAGGCAGGCTCGAACTCTGCATCATCCGCAGTAGTGTCAGGGGGAGGGGACGGCGGACGGGCTTGGTCGGGATCCGGGCCCGTGAAGAGGCCTTTGAAACGGACATCGTGTTTCGGCGGGGCATCTTTCTTGGCTGCAAGGGCTGCATCATCGGCGGTCGGGACAGACTCCGTTTCTCGACCTGACGCCGCCGTCTCAGGCGCCGCACGTGCCTCAGGGGGTTCGCGTGGCGTTGCTGCCTCTTCTTCTCCCTGCTGATCCACTTCCATGGCAGACGATCCTTGATCTTCGGGCAGAAGCACGCGGGGCTCTTCTTCTTGCGCTTTCGCCTTTTTGATGGCAAGGGCTTCGGGTGTGGGCACAGGACTCTGGCTACGTCGCTTGCGCTTGCGGCGATCTTCCAACAGTTCCTCTGTGGGAAGAGGAGTTGAAAATGCAGTGTTCATCTCCGAGGCAAGAGCCGTGGACGGGGCTGTCTCCTTGAGCTCTGTATTCTGCTTGACCGCCGTGAGCTCCTGCGCCGGTGCATCTCCGGGAGCCTGCTCAACCGGGGCTGCAGGAGGCTCAGTCTTTGTGTCCTGCACTGCAGAGGTTTCGGTCGCGGTCGCGTCACCCTTCTCTTGCAGCTCTTGCGCTTCTGCCTCTGACTCCTCCTTTTCTTTCTGTTGTTCTGCTTGTTCTGCGGGTTTCTCTGCGAGGTGGTTGCCACCGGGAACATCCTCGTCTACCTTTTGCGGTTGAGGAGATACAGTAGCGCCATCCTGCTCCGGCGTTGATTCCTTTGGCTGTGTTGACTCGGCTTCCGTATGTTTCAATGTCTCTTCGGGTGTGGGCGCCGTGTGCGCAACCTCTGCCTCTGGGTCGACGTCCTGCGCAGGCTGTACCTCCTCGGGTTCAGGTGGTCCGTTCACTTCGGTCTCGTGCGCGTTGTCGCGATCTGAGCCGGGTTCCGCGGTCGCATCCTGTCCAGCAGCTTCGCGAGCGTCCTCCTCCTCCAATCGGTCGATGATTTGTTGTTTGACGCGCAGACCGGTCTGGGCGATGCCGCGGCGCTTCAACTCGGCCTTGAGGTCGGTGACCTTTAGTTTCGAGTAGTCGGTCATATTGTTGGGGTCGTGTATGTGTTCGCGTGGGCGGGAGTGAGGTGCATATATAGGTCGGTGGAAGGGCTGTTTAGTGGTAGGGGTTATGATTTAAACGGGGTTTGTCATGGCTGAAGGATATATATGCGATGCAGTGCTATCCTGCGGGGTGGTAGTCACTCGGGGAGTAGTGAGCAGGTAGTCAGTAGTCAATAGTAGTCAATAGTAGTAAATATGTAGTAGTAAGTAGTAGTAATAAGGGCGACGGTCGGGCTGAGCTTGACTGGTGGAAGACAGATGATGTCGTGCGCTAACGCGGTTCGAGGCTGTGATTTGACTGGAAGAAGCTTAGTGTCATTCCACATGGGGGACTTGCTTAGTCACGGCGCTGGCCTGGTCAAACTAACTGTTTCAGGTCTAGTTCAGTTGACTACGCCTTGTAGCCTGAGGTTTCGATCATTCATTCCATTACCCAAAACTTTTGTTTTGTTCTTATTTTATTTTAAAAGCAGACACCCATCCATCCTGTAAGATTTTTGGTGATTTGTTCGTAAATACCGAAAGTGGGCTGCTGCATAGTTCCCCAAGTTTCTCACTTATATCTGTGAATACAATGCTTTTCTCTCTGAAGGCCTGGGATATGACTATAGTACTTGTTATCAGATAATCTGGGAACGGACCCCGCAGCAGCCACCCTTTTAGTTATCTTGTTAATGCTGATGACATCTGACAGCTCAATCTCAGAAGCCCTTCATCTTCCGAAAATAGGAGAATAGTGTGAAACATATTACCTCCGTGTCTGGCTGGTGTCTGTCTGAAGATAAATCCCAGATCGGTACTTAGTTAACTATGGTTGAAGAGCCCCTGGGGATAGTAATCGAGACAACTGAATCGACAAGCTACAACTACCTACCCCTACAATCAACCACTCATTCACTAGTACAAGAATCATCCCATTTCTCCCGTATCCACGCCCGATAGATAACGTAGTCTCCGCAGATAAAGCCTCTGACAACACCCGTCCTCAAACTCCGGCAGCCCCAACCGTCAGCGTTGGTGCGGAGAGGAAAATAGCCCTGCAGCTGCAGATCTATAAGTACAGCAGCACAGTAGCGTATGAACCAGGGCTTCGACGACTCAATTCCTCTATATTCGCCTCATTGAACTCCCCCATCTTTCACAGGTGCAACACATTCCACTATTATGGCCCCCATCCTCCCCATCGACAACCCCACCCTCCCCTTCTGGCGCACGGAGCTCGACGAACTCGACACTCTCCGCACCACCGCCTCCCTCCCCGCCGAAAGCGACATCGTCATTATCGGGGCTGGCTACGCGGGGGTGACTCTCGCCTACTACCTGCTTAAACAACTCGGCCATGAGACCAACACCACCACGCCGAAAATCACTCTCCTTGATGCTCGACAGATATGCTCTGGCGCTACGGGGAGGAATGGTACGACAGGCTGAACCACATATAGTTACCCTTCCCACCCCCTCCAAGCCAAACGACGAAATACATACAATACAATCCCACATCTCCTTCCAACCCACCCAAACTGAAAACATCAGAACCCAAACTAATGGATAGAGGATATAGGCGGCCACCTCCGCCCCGACATCTACGGCCATATCCCCACCTACATTGAACGACACGGCCTCGACTCCGCCATCGAGATTGCCGAATTCGAGTACGCCCACATGCAAGCCCTAAAGGATCTGTTGGTGGAGGAGCAGATCTCCTGCGACTTCAACATCACGCGCAACATGAACGTGTATCTCAGCGAGGAAGGCGGGGAGCGCGCGCGCCAGGCTTACGAGAAGTTGTTAGCGCAGGGGGTGGCTGTGGCGAGGGATTTGCATTATACTTCCGCAAAGAATGCTGAGGGGGTATGGTTTCTTTCCTCTCCTATTCTTTCCTTTGCCTTGCTACTTGGTTAGTTGATAGGAGATGCATGGGGGCGCCGGGGGTGGGGGCGGGGAGGATTTCGTTATCAGGGTGATTGCTAAACTCAGACTTACACTCACCTTAGATATCAGGGGTGAAAGGCGCAAAAGCCTGCCTCTCCTACACCTCCGGCACGCTATGGCCGTATAAACTCATCCTGGGTTTGCTGCACAGGATCGCCGGGTCGCCGGCGTTGAACGTCCAGGCGCAGACCCCTGTGACGGCGGTGACTCCCAGTGGAGAGGGTGGACATCTCATCCACACGCCCCGGGGCGTCCTCCGCGCCGGCAGAGTCGTCTACGCGACCAACGCCTACACGGCTGGTCTGCTGCCGGAGTACGCCAAGAACATCGTGCCGTGTCGGGGCATCTGCTCCCACATCGCTTTGCCAGCCGGTCACGACGCGCCGTTTCTGCCCTACTCGTATGTGGTGGTCACGAAGGAGGGCGGCGGGGGCAGTTATCTGATCTCCAGGCCGGATGGGAGTATTATCGTCGGCGGGGCGCATTTCACGTTCAAGAAGGAGAAGGAGCTGTGGTATGGGGTTGTGGATGACGGGACGCTGATCGAGCCGACGCAGCATTACTATGATGATTTCATGCAGAGGACGTTTAAAGGATGGGAGAAGAGTGGGGCGTATGTTAAGGAGATTTGGACGGGGAGTGAGTGATTTTTTTTTCCCTCTCTTTTTATCCTTCGGAAGGTTGAACGGAGGAAGCTGACTTGAAATACGCTAGTTATGGGGTATTCGTACGACTCGCATCCGCATATTGGGCAAGTCCCAAACAAGCCGGGCCAGTATATCTGCGCGGGTTTTAATGGACATGGCATGCCGGTGGTGTTGCTCAGCGCCAAGGGGCTGGCAGAGATGATTGCGACGGGGAAGACGTTCGAAGAGACGGAGACGCGCATGCCCCGGGTCTTCAAGACAAGTGCGGAGAGGATCCATAAGGCGCAGACGGGGCCGGAGGGAGGCGATATCCTTGGAAAATAGTCTGGTCATATCGACATAGACATAGACACCTTACCCATATTACAGGTGCACCCGCTGCTTCAACCCGATGCTACATCCATCTGTCAATGCACCATCGAGTTCAAAAACTCACTCATCCAATCATCATACGCAACCCCTAGCCCCAAAGCCCCAAGCCCAGCGCCAGCCCCAAATTCCTGACCCAATACCCCCCTTCCTCCGGCAGCTCCCTGCGGCTCCTCCCCACCACTCCCACTCCCACCCCCAAACCTCCTCTGCCACGCCAACCGCATAGACTCATACTTCCCCACCGAGTAGAAGAACACCTCCCCGTCATCCACCACCTCTCCATCCCCCTCTCCCCCCTCGCCCGCAGACCCAGACCCAGACCCAGATCTCAAGGGCCTCATCCCCTCCAACCTCGCCAACGCCGCCGCCTGCCCCAGATTCCCAATCACGCTGTCCAACACCTCCAAGACATCCAGCTCCCGCCGCACGCCCGCGCGATCCCACAGCGGATCCTCGAGGGTGGAGAGCCGGTACAACGCCGCAAGAGTCCGGGCGAGCTGGGCGAAGACGGTGAATGGGAAGCCGGTGTACTCGGCCGGGGGGATGGAGAGGAAGGTGTCGAACCAGGCTTTGGTGGCTGTGAGGGCGGTGGAGAGGGTTTCGAGATGGGGGAGGTTGAGGCGGGTGGTTATGCTTGTGTTGGCTGACGGGGACGGGGCAGTGTTGGTGGATGTGGTGTGCAGGAGGGAGGGTTCGGTGAGGGATAGGGTTGTGTGGGTGTTGTGAAGGTGGATTATTTCTAAGTCAGTTAGCGGGTTTCCTGGCCTGTGCTGGTTTCGGGTGTATGGGGTTTAGGGTTAGGGACGTACTGTATTCTTGGGTGTGGGGAGGAAACTTGGTTTGGGCGGATGCAAGGTATGAGTTGAGGGCGTGTTGGTAGGTGGATACTGGGGCTCGGAGGGTTGAATATGGGTTCATCAGGGTGGAATGAGAGTGTGGCGGTGGTGCTTCGGTCTGGTTCACCCGCTCGTTGATGAGTTGGCAGCGTACTTGATGGACGAGAACCTCATCGTTGGGGCAGTCGGGGTGCCGGCTGAGGGTTTCGAGACATTCTTCTAGGTAGGGTGTCCAACGCAGGGATTCTGCTTTCTTGAAGAAAAGAGAGATACTAGGTGTGATAGTGGTGTTAGTACCAGTCGTGCAGCTGCTTTTGCGGCGTACCTCGAGGTCAGAAGGTAGCAACCCAGAACTGCTCGGCGCTCCTCTTTGGTCCGCGCCGGCGGCGTCGCAGGGGGGTCATCGAGTGAGGAATAAAGACAAAGGAGGAGAGAGCCCTCGATGGAAGAGGGCTTGTCCAGTGAGAGATCATACACGACCGCAAGGGCGAGCTGGCTGAACATGATCAGGCTGAGTTTGCGGAAAACCTGCTGGCCAGACCTGAATTGAGGTTAGGATGACTAGACCTAACGAACGCGACCAGCACGTACCACGCAATGAAGATCAATATGCCCAGGAGCAGGTCGAGATCGCGACCTACGTAGTTGAGTACGGCCTTTTGCGCGACGACCTCCTTGACCTTATCGCAGAGCGCACTGCGCTGCTTTACGCTCTTCGACGCAACGGCCATAACACACAGCCACATGAATGGCCGCTCGCGCTGCAGATGCCGGGCCGTCGTCCCAGGCGCAAAGTAAATGAAGGGTAGATACGGCAGCTTCTGCGTGAGGAATGCCGTCAAGCACTCCTCAGCCTGCCACGGTGAGAGGTCAAGCGCAGCATCCGCAGCATCAGCCAGGCCATCCCATCCCTGCTCAATTGATTTGGAAGACTGCACGCGGGTCCGCGGGTTTCTTAGACTTTGAGACTCTCCGCTGGGCGTTTTCCGCGAGACACCGCGCGAGCTCCGTGGCCGGGCACCTGTCGCTGTCGAGCTCAGCTCCGCCTCAATCAAGTCGGCATACTCATCCGCGGCCGATGAACGCGCCGCCCGGGCACGAAGCAAGGCGACCACATCGTCCAGCTTCTTCTCCAAGCGGCCGCTCTTCGGGGCCGTAGCTTTGTGGAGATTTTGTCGGCGCTGGAATGCGGAGGGCCGACACTCTTTGTTCAGACGTTGACACCTGTGGGACATGCATCAGTGGGGATGGTGGAGGTAGTGGAGAACATGCAGTGCTTATCCTGAGGGAACCCACCGTTGGCATTGACCTCCATCTTTGGACAGGATGCATTTGCATTTCGCGCGTGAACAGTTCATACATGCGCGCCCGTATGGGGCGGGAGAAAGATCGTATTGCGTTGGAGTCTGGTCCATGGGGGGTTCGGGGTTCCTCAGCAGGGAGAGTGTTTGTAGCTCACGGAGGATGAGGTGAATGTCTCTCTCCGCCTAACTTACTAGTTATAATGTCTCTACCGGATGTTTCCGCCTACCGGGATCTCCATCTCAACCTTAGGACTTATAGTGCCTCTTCCTAATCTATCTTATTTACGGAGTACAGTAGATCATGTTATACTCCGTACACCTTCTATTGGCAAAAAATCCTACTCAGAACCTCACGTATGCCTGCGACCTCAGCTCAATTCGAGGATCTTTTTTAGTAATTAGTACTACTGTGATTACTAGGTCTCTTTATAGATGAGTTCATCTAGCTAAGAATTTGCAACTATATATATATCTAAAGACAAACCATAGTTATATCTCCAGGTACAAGAGACAAATACTGCGAATGATCTGGGCGATAGTATCCGGCATGCCCTGCTTGGGAAAGTAAGTGCCGTGACAAGGATGCACATCAATCGTATGCTGCGTTTCACTCTCAAGCAAGTGCCAATCTGCCGCTGGAAGCTGGGGGTGAGAACTGTATCGTTCTCGCACAGGATGTAGGAGACGGGGAGATATTTGTATCCGACGTACATCAGTTCCCCATCGAAACTCAACCACGAGTACCAACTCAACTGCCTGACCAGCGCAATTACCTCGTTTTGCGGTATGTCTGGGCAAATCGAGGGACCGGTGACTTGGTTTTCCAGTGGACGTCAATGTAGGAGATGGGAGATAGGTCAGGGTTTGACGTATATATAACATCATCTGAGTGAGATAGATAGATTAGGGAGATTCGCGATAGATGAGCAACTTAGTACTGAGGTTGAGTGAACTGTCAGAATCACCACACTCATTGGGCTTCTACTGGCTTAAGGAGCCATAGAGAAAGAAGCTGAGAGATCGATGCCTTTCACAGCTTATCAAATTGGCATTTCTGACTTCGTACCTTCCTACCCTTCCCCTCCTCTTCGGAGCTTTTTCTCTCTTTTTTTTTTTTTTTTTTTTTTTTTTTTTTTTTTTTTTTTTTTTTTTTTTTTTTTTTTTTTTTTTTTTTTTTTTTTTTCAGGTAATTGTGTTCATTCTTCGATATCAAAAATTATAGCTTCCCTACCGGAGAAAACCGCGGAACGAGGGAATCAAAGAGGAGGAGAACTCATTGAATTGTAATGCCTGGCTCTGACTATGGCTGCTGATAATTGGTTACTTAGAGGATAAACCTATCGATAATTTCTGCTAGAAACCCGACCTGATAACTCACAGCATGCGAGGAGATTAGACATGATTCGTCATTGTATATACACCCACCCACGCCCAGGGAACAGCATAGAACAAATGAAGCAAACGCAAACCTTGCTATAGATGCACCGCACATCCGTGCCCTCCAAACCACGGATAGCACTAGAACAACTTTCATTCTGATAGCATGATAAGGATATATATTGCAGCAAAACAGCATCATTCAACAAAGTCCGATGTGGTGTAATGGCTAACATCGCTGTCTCTCACACAGCAGCTCGGGGTTCGATTCCCCGCATCGGAGATTACTTTTTCACTTTTTGTCTTGTGCCCTGTAGTAATCGCTAGCAGCTGTATAGGATGATAGCACGTCGATATCAGACTACAAAAAAACGAACCCGAGCTGCTGTGTGACAAGACACAAGCTCAGCTGGCTTGTTGGCATTGCTGAACATTTTAGTAAATCACCGGGACCTGGAGGTCGGTTCACTGACGGACAGTGGACCATCTCAAATCCTAACAGGCCCTCCATAGCAATAATCCCGACTATGAACCATAAAACGCCCGACTGTGATAGCGGAGAAAGTAACTAACATACATCATACATAACCACATCACCCCAAACAACCAAACCAATGACCGCAACAAACCATAAATCATCCATCCATAATCACCTCCCCCACCAGACGACAGACCACCACAGCCTGCGCTCAAGAGCACCAACAGCGCACCACACCTCTCCTACCCTCAAATTGACCAAATCTACCGCTTCATCCTCTCCTCCCCCTCCCTAACCTCCCCCAACAACCCCACCAACTCCCTTCCCCCCTCACTCTCCCTCCCCTCAATCTCCAACCCCCTCTCGACCAACCGCCTGGCCTCCTCCCACCTCCCCATCTCCACCAAACACTTGCCCCCCCGCCACCAAGCCTTCACATTCCCCACCGGCTTACTTTCAACACTACACCGCGCATCCACCAACCCCTCCGCCCACAACCGCTGACTCATCCATGCCTGCGCGCGGTTCGCATACAGTCCCGCCAGCTCATCCCGAGCCAGCGTCACGGGCTCCCACCCCGGCCGGCCGAGCGCCATGTCGATCGCGTACCCGTACAGACGCGCGGCATCCGCGAACCCGTTTTTCCGGTAGGCGGCGTTGGCGCTGTCGCGGAGTTTGGCGATCTGCGCGCTGCGTTTCGGGTTGATGGGCAGGGGCGGGGGCGGGATTTGGTTGGGGGTTTCGAGGAGGAGTCGGTGGAGGGTGTTGAGGGCGGCGAGTTCGGATTCCAGGGCGGCGGTTGAGGAGCCGGATGGTGAGCCCGTGGGAAGCGGTTGGCTGAGGGTGATGGCTTTGGAGGTTGGGGAGAGGTGGAGGGGGAGGGGGTTGTAGAGGTCGATTGATGACATTTTGGAGGACTTTGTGTTGCGGGGGGTTTTGCGGTGGATTGTTGTTGTCGTTGTTTAGGTGGTGGTTGTTTAGGTGGTGATTGTCGTCGTAATCGGGTTTCGGGTGGTGAGATTATGAATTAGATCTCGTTTTCGAGGGTATATTATTCTGGTGTATCGTGGTCTCGTGTGGACAGGACTGTGTAGCTGGGAGGTAGTGTACCACAGTATAGTACTTGAAGCAAAGTAGTCGAATGGTCTGTGCGGAGAGTTAGTTCTGAGATGTGACTTCAAGTTGCATCCAGTCGACCTACAAATAGATAGACCTAGTCACCCAACGGCTTCGAGGAAAGGATATGCGTACACCAGTCCAGAGTAGGTACTCAGTCGAGGATGCAGTAAACAGATGAGCTGTCCTAATCTTGACCTCGTGGTTAGCGTTCAAGCAAGGCGGTGGCAGAATCCATGCTTCGCGCGACTTGCCGCAATCCAGTGGCTGTCATCCTCGCTGAGAGAAAATAACTAAGGTACTACAATTACTAAGCTGAGGTACCCAGGTACACAGTGTGACAGTATAAATATAAATTCATCTATGAGTACTCCCAAACAATACATCGTCATCCGATAAGTCGTCAGGTATCTCCAACACACAACATACAGTCGTCATTTTACAGCCAAAAGATCAGAGATAATCAACCAAAGTGAATCGGAAAATGCGCCCACAACACCGCCCATGGTTCGTCTCGAAGGTCTTGTCTTTTCTTTATTTTATACCCGCATCGCCCCAACTACCGCCCGTATCCGCTATGACTCGGCTCATACTCCGACGGAGAGTAATGCTGACCATGCGCTCCACCGTAGCTAGTACTGTAGTCGTGCAGCACGCTGCCCGTCGACACCGTCGGATCGTAGGCCCCCGAGGCCGCAGACCGGCCGTGCGTGGTGCTTCCAAAATCATCCGCCTCACTCTGGTGCAGCAGGGCATAGTCCTCATCCCGATCGCCGCGGACTGACGACCCCATCCCCGCGCGCGAGCGGAAGTCGTCTTCCTCCTCCTCGAAATCGTGCGCCGGGTTGGACGAGAAGGCGGCCTTAGTGTGGGCGGCAAAGGTCGGATCGGAGACGGCGTCGGGCAGGGTACCGGTGCGACGGAAGTGCACGACATTGCGGAAGGATAAGAAGGCAGTGAACACGAAGAGTAAGCTAGAGGGAGTCACATGTTAGCACAGACTCGGAAGACACAGACAGCGAAAAAAAAAACTTACAAGACGATGACACCCAAGATCACGGTGGCGGTGCTGATCTTGCATTTGCTGGCACTGCCGTAAGCCCAGTTGTCGCAGCCCTTCTTGCTATCACTGTCTGACGAGCTGTCGCTCTTCCCCTTGCTCTTCCCCTGCGCCACGTAGCTGGCGACACAGACCCAGGCACTGAACCATAAGATAGCGTACAGGCAGTCCACCGTAGCGAAGGCGTAGACATTGCCGAAGCGGCGGGCGCGCGGCCACATCGGGACGGCCACTAGGTAGATGAGACCGGGGATACTGAGCCAGCACTACGAGACATTAGCTTCATAGTCTCACAGCCACTAAAGAGCACTCACCATGGCCCAATACCAGGCCGATCTCCCATCAATGCCATCGCCCTTGGTGAACACCGCGATAGTCAAGGCCCACGCCAGGAAGATGATGAACCCCTGGAAGCCATGGATGAAGTTTTTCGTCCGGCCTGGGTTGAAGGAAGGCCGTGCGACTTTCATGTTGCTGAGAGGGTGGTCGGGTGGTCGGGTTCCCAGTGATGCCTGATGACGGTGTAAGGCGTTTCCTTACGCTGGAAGCCAACCGCGTGGGATATATGGACTGGACGACTGCGCAGGTAGAACAAGGTGTATAGCGCCAGAAACTGAATGGCGGGTCGAATGGCAGGAAGAGGGCACAGCGTCAGCGAAGAGGCCGAGAGTGAGGAACGCAATGCGATTGTTTATGCAGACGGCAGCGGTCGAAAAACCAACGGCGAGGTAAACGGGGCAACCCGATCGTGCCGCGCGGACACTAAAATAGAGGGGAGACTGCGACGTAATGGCCCCGGGAGTAATCTTCAACCGGGCGACAACAATGAGGCACAGCAAGTGTAGAGATAACCAAGAAGTTGACCAGGAAGTAAGAGGAGAAGAGTAGAAGAAGAAGAGGAGGACGACGAGGAGGAGGAGGAGGAGGAGGTACCGCGAGGCTGAATAGCTGAGTGGGAGGGGAAGCTCGTGATGGAAGGGTGAAATGTGGCTGTCACAACAATAATACATTTCATTCATGGAATTCACTTTTGATTCCCTCAATCGTCGGTACGGTACGGTTATCCTGCCGATTTTACCGCTTCTACCATAAAGGGTCTAGCCTGTCTTGTAATGCTCTTCCCAAAATAGAATCGCAGCACATGGCTTTTTCGATGCACAAGCAAGCAAAAGCACAAGCAAGATCAAGGTTCCCTCCGTACATTAAGTTAGATGTGGTGATGGTTACAGACTCTGCTCTCCTCATACCGATTACATACTAGGCTCAGCACTTTCTGGCTGCCCAATGGGTATCTGGCACAAGCAGCTGACGTATTCTCTTCCCTACCAACACAGCCCATTTGAAAACGATGACACTTGTTCAGTGATAATTAAAGGGCAGTCGGGCATATGATCTTAAAGATTGAGCACTGCAGTCCCAATCGTCTGGGTGGGCCATGAGACCTGCGCGTCTACACAATCTGATGTGTCAGATGCCAGGTCTACCCGCAGAAAGTCGAATCTGTGTGTTGCTCGATTGCTCGACCATAATTTGCCCACTGAGTCATCCTGCTGTGGCCGCTCCCCCTTGATAAGAGTAAGGTAATGTAATCATCCTAAAACGAAAGGCCCGGTATACTCTGTGCAAGACGATAACTGGTCTTCTTTGTTGTCTTCAAGTACTCCGTACTCCGTACTCCGTAGTAGTCTAGCCGTTTCACAACGCCAAGGTAGCTTGTTCTCATGGAAACAGGGGCCGCTACTCAGGGAGATACAGCCACCACGCCCGAGGCTTGGCCGAGTCCACCACTGAAGATCAATCTTTAATTCTGATTGTTCAATTACCCCGAAATCACTGTGTATCAGAATGTTTCAGATTCACATCCTCAACATTTCATGAATTCGTTTGTTCAAAGTTGCAGATCTGCAAATAGCTAATATATTCAACATACGCCACTCGATGCTCCTTTTATACAATAAAATCGTCTCATGTGCTGTGATCCGTCACAACTCGGTCACTCATTCGGAAAAGGAGAAGAGAGGAGTAGACAGTAGTCCTCAAAAAAGGAGAGAAAGTGGTAAAAACCCTGGACACAAAGGAGAATCATCAAACCGCCAACATAACGAACACGTCATGTCGGCTTGCCATGGGTCGAATTAATAATCATTTCCATCTCTTTAAGAGGTTGATAGATATGCGTATGCCACCACCATGGCAATGGATCAATGGCGGAAAAGCGCCAATTCTTCCAGAACAGAAGCAGCCGGCTTCCTTCGTCGAGACTGCGATCGATCTGCTCGATCGCCGGGTAGAGTGCCGGCAGCACCCTCCGCACATCGCAACTTCGCACCACCTGGCACAGACTGAAATTCTCGGGAGGCGGGGTGGAAATCTCCGCGTCGAGGGATGCAAGATCCATTCTGGGCACTTCGCCCGAAACCCCATTGATGTGTGGCGTGAGTACCCCCAGGTACTCCGTGACTAACGAGTCGGGCTTGTCTTCGAGAAGGAACTTGGCTGCCGCGGCACCTTGCTCGCAGCCCTCGATATGAATCGTGTAGCGGAGAACATTGTCGCTAAACTCCTCGTCCACGGTCAAATGCAGGCGCAGATGGCCGCTCAAGCGGGGTCCACCCTGTAGCGCGAACCGTTCCATGAGCGCATGTGTCGCCCTGGCCAGTCCCCTGTCTAGGCGCGAGCGACCCCAATCGGACTGCTTGTCGCCTGGATAGATCTTAATAGCTTTGACATGGCCACAAATGACCATGATCTCTGCGACAAACCGCCCCAGGCGCGTCTGTTGCTGTAATATCCATGGGCGTTCCTTGGAGATTTGGATCTGACTGACCTCGGAGTAGGTCATACTGAGGGTCCGCTTCGGCAGGACGACAACCTGATCGTCTCCGGGGGTGGGGGTCGGTCTCCGCATCTGATAAACCTTCGACGGCGACCGATGCAAAATCCTGTGGATGGCGTCCCGCGAGAGCACCTGATGTTTCTCCACCACGGGAAGTCGCTTCTCCATCAGATACTGGTCAAACGTGTCTTGATTGCTGAAAGTTTCGGCAAGGGTGGCGTCCAGCGTGATGCATTTGCAATGGGTCCGGCTCTCGATCACCTGTTTGGCCGACGCATCGTCGAGGGCGGAGGCCTCATTCGCGCACGGGATCCAGATCTCCACCTTTTCTTTCTGGATGATGTCGAGCAGCCGGGCGCTGTACTTGGTCTTGGGAACGTGGTAGAAGGCGGCCAGCGTCTTGGACATGCCTTCGCCGGGGGCGATGGCGCCCTCTGTGACGTTGGCCCCGATTACCCGATGGCCGGCGTAGTACCAACCCCGGGCCACCGCGAGCCCATGCGGGGTGTTGACCCCCGTGACGAGGACGGTCTTGGGCCGAAAATGCTCATCTCGAAGGATTTTCTGTCGTCGGCGTTCGTGACTGGACGATTCTGAAAGGTCGCCGGGGACGTAGCCCACAGCGTAGGAAGCCAACAGGATGGTGTTGTCCAACGGCAGGAGGGCGATCGAGACCGCAATCCGCACGAGATGGAAAATCACATGGATCTGCAGCATGTCGCGGGCGAATTGTAAAACACTTTCCTGAGGGATTGAGCTAAATGCTCGTCGTACTGTGTGTATAGCCATTATGATGTCAGCTGATGATCGCAGTACCGATTGTTGCACAGGAAGCATTGACAGCCCGCGAGTATTTATGGTGACATTGTAGCAGAGGGGGATGGGCAGCACCAGCAGCAGCTTGGGGATGCTGCTGCAAGCAAGTGGACCACGTCAGCGATGCGTACCTGAAGATGAAATCAACTGCTGCGTTGTTGAGAGGACGAGTGAGGTGGCTGGGCCGACACACGGAGCATGAGCAGCACCGTATTTTCAACCACACGTCGACTGAACGACGGGAAGTTATAAACCATGGGTACAAGATGGTCACCGTATGATTTTCGTGGATAAACCGGATGACGACCCCTCATTCATACGATGGCCGAGGGGCTGGACTTCAGCTCTGCCTTTGTGCAGGGATTGGCGGCAATTGCACGAATCATCATCCTTCCAGAGTTGCCCAGGCTGAAGGGCCGCAGGCGGCAGAACGAGGCATTGCAGGTCGTAGCATCGGTGAAGTGAATCAAGTCTCTCAGCTGGTTTTACTTTGGTGATCTGCATGATGTGTATCGGACGGAAACAATGGACATGCAAGAAGCTGCCAGTGAGAAAGTGAAGGGAGGACTTGTGTCCAAGTGGCTTTGAAACCGCCCTGCGCCGATGGCCCCCGTGCAAAATAGCCCTGAGAGTGCGGCCACCCTGTCTTATCAGCCGGATCCAGCCCACCTGCAGCTACCAATCAGTGTCGCAAGGCGAAGACAAGCATATAGCCATCCTTGTAACTCGGAGCACTCATCTAGACCTTCAGTAGTGCCAGACGTCATACTCCGTACACGATCAATGGTTCGTCTCGGTTACTCCACCACGTGAGGTGGAGCAGATACCCGACGCTAATCCCCTGGCAGTTATATGTGTATTGCAAACACCCTCTTCTGAAACTCACTGCTAATGCTGCTCTGAGTACATACAGTAAATTTCAGAACATACTTTTTCTGTGCTATCTGGATTAAGGGTGCTGATGCTTGCGTCTGGCGACTGCGCTCGAGCTCCACTTTCGATGAGCATGTCTCCTTTGCACAGTCCATATCATAATCCCAGCCTTAACAAACCAAGATGATCCTGCAGCGATCGGACAGAGACAGCATCGATCTGAGCAGAAATAGAGGAAAAGCTGGACCAGAGACTGAGATAATCCAGGAAGAGAGAGAAACAGCCCGAAAGCCCCAGAAAGGGCACGACTAGCCAACACCAACAGAGCAAGCAGCTATTCAAGCCGACCATCAAGGAGCCTACATACACTACCTTCGAGTGCGATAAAATCTAGAACTCGTTTCTTCTGTACTGGCTAGAGACGCTTTTGATGATCCCAATTGAGATCCCTACAATAAGAACTAGGGCTTCTGATGGCCCAAGACAGGGAGTTTTGAGGGGGTACCCACTTCTGTGGGGAGGATTCCGCAAGGGTCCATTGTGTTGGCATCTTGAAAATTCTGACAGAGCAGGTTGATACACTTAAAGATGAGTGGTACATACTACATAGTACAGACTGTCTTTACCATAAGCCAGTCAGCACTGCCTTCGGAAAGCAGGTCGACTGGGCCTACCAGACCGAGAACCAGACCTATGCAGGAGGGCTGGAGCAAACCATCCGCGCCGGCAAGGCTCTTGGGGACGAGCACGATCAATGATAAGTCGTGGGCCAATTCCAACCCAAACCAAACAGGAAACGTTTCGCTGTGGATTGACCAAGTCCTCTCCCGTATACCCGGGCCGAAGACGTGCAAATTGACAACTGAAAGCGATGTGAAACGAGGGCTGGAATGGCAGACCCTGTTTGAATACTGCAAGAAGTCAGAGAGTTTCCAGGTGCCCACCGAGGCCCAGATCGCTCATGGAGCTCACTACAACGCCAGCTATCATGGCGGTCTGCAGGGCCCTCTGAAGGTCGGCTGGGCCACCTCCATGACCAACAGCAGCGTCTTCCCCGTGCTGGAACAGCCCTTCGAGAAACTCGGTGTTCAGTACAATCCCGACTCCGAAGGTGGCAAGATGGTGGGACTCACCGTTCGTCCCGATACGCTGGACCGGACGAGGAACGTTCACGAAGATGCTGCTGAGGTAGGGCCTACTACCCCGTCGGCGCCAACAGCATGCTTCCCCGCGCGAAGGGTAGTATGGTCAATCCCGAGCCCAATCCCGAGTCCAAAGTGTACGCGACCCAGAATCTCCGCGTGGTCGATGCCTCAGTCCTGTCGTTCCAGCTCTGCGGCCATTTGACGAGCATGTTGAGCGGTTTCGCTTACTAGTGATAGTGGGGCTGTGAGCAATCCGAGGATGGGGAGTATGCGGTTGTATTTGCAGCCTGTGATTATTATCTCCTCACCAGTTGGTTGAACTAGAGGTGTATTGGGTCGTATATATTGTACTTTTCTAAAGTAGATCGGATGGGGAGTGGGGGTTGCAGATCATATGGTAGCAAGCGCTCCTTGTCATGTATAGAACCATAAGAGACCTTGAAATTATAGTATTCTAAATTCGACAGCAACTTTCAATTCGTTCCCTTTTTTTGTGATTAAGAATTCGAGGCGCTTTTTTCGTGTACTGTACCGCCTTGCTTTCCAGCTGGGACCTTTGTCCTCTAGACATGTGTGCTCATGATGCCTTACCATGTGGTTGCTAGTCCAAGCCAGTCTTACTCTGGCAAGGATAAAGTTCAGACAAGAGGGGAGAAGTACTGTAGAAGAGATGATATAAATACCTAAGTTGTAAGCTCGTCTCCAGTCAACCACTACCAAACCCGCCACTTTGACGCAGCCGGCAACATCGCCCCCGAGCACCAGCTCCCGCCCGCCTGCGTCGGCGCCGTCTGCCTTGCCAGCTCGCTGTTTTGGTTCGACAGGACCGGCAATGTCGACTCAGCCCACTGTTGGCGACGGCGATGTTCCGGTATCTCGGGGTCGGCTGGGCGTGTAAAATACGTTGCTTGGGTGCCTGGCCGTGCTTTTTGTGATGTATCCCTTTCTGCTGTGGAAATTCGGGAGGAGATTGCGGTTGACGAGTCGATTCGCGAGACATGATACTTGATTCCTTAAAGATTGGGACGGGTTTTTATGATCTCAGATTTTTGGCGTAGGTTGTCCCTCATCTTGGTGCGGTCATTTGCTTTAGTTAGAGCTTAGGATCAGTCAGACATAGTATTTTTGTGCCTCCCTGTCCAGGGCAGATGAGCTGGACTCCTACGCAGCGAGAATTCTCATCGTGCTGCTCACACAGAAACTACAACTCCGCATCTGCAGAGGTGCGATTCTTATCTGATCGACCCGCATTGACACAGCCTCGGGATATCCAAGGTCCGAGAGCCCCTCCAAGGTACTGTAAGCATCTCCGAGTGAGCGGCACTTGAGCCGGCTTCAATAAGTGGAGTCGATCCCCCCCCTTCGAGTGTTGCCTATGTTGTCATCTTCTCTTGAAAAGACTAATCGCCGGCGTTTACGTATCCTTTATCCTTGGGAGAGCCTGTGACTGGTTGTGACGTGCTCGGATTTATCTTCTGCCACCGCAATGGCGACCATAAGACCGAGCCTAATCCCGAGTGCGATAGGGCGCTGGAGCTCTCGTGCTATTAAACCCGCTGGGGGCCTTCGGTTTGGTTCTCAAAGCTTGCCTTCACGTTCACGCTTTGTTATTGCCACCCATCGCTCCTTTCACTGTTCCCTTCCGAGTACACGCCAGTCATCATCCGTCATGAGCGACAACACCTACGTAGCGCCGCTTCATCCTCGTCCTGGGGACCGTTCTGTAAGTCCGGGGCTCGAGACTCTTGTGAGAGATATCGCATACTGACACGGTATTTACTGTAGCGCGAGGATGGTCGCGAGTTCAAGCTACTTCACTTCATCTACAACCAGCCCAACCGAGACGAGATCCAGGGCAACCCGCAGAAAGTGCTGGATCTGATCGACGAGTTCGCGCAGACATATCACTTCATGAACATCGGACCTGAGAAGGGCAAGTTCATCACCGAGATCATCGCAGAACGCAAGCCCGAGGTCATGATTGAGCTCGGTGGTTACGTCGGTTACTCTGCGATCCTGTTCGGTGATGCCGTGCGCCGGGCCGGCGGGAAGCGCTACTATAGTCTCGAGTTGAACCCAGAGTACGCCGCAATCGCAAATATGCTCCTGGATCTGGCTGGGCTGCGCGACTTCGTGCGCATCATCGTCGGCCGCAGCGATCTCTCCCTTCACAAGCTGTTCAACAGCGGCGAGGTCAAGGAGGTGGAGGTGCTGTTCATCGACCACTACAAGCCGGCTTACACCACCGATCTAAAGCTGTGCGAGCAGCTGGGCAAGATTGTCCCGGAGGTGTCGGTCGTAATTGCTGACAACGTGCTGTACCCGGGCAACCCGCCCTACCTAGAATATGTGCGCAGCACGGTGGAGCAGAAGCGCGAGGCGGCCAAAAAGGGCCCGGAACGATCCTACAACAAGGAGGGCATCCCGGACAGGACGGTGCAGTCCTTCCTGGGGGCAGACGCGACCCCCCATTTCGACATCATTGGCAACCCCAACCTTGTATACGAGAGCAAGCTCGTGAAGCCGGAAACCACCCGAGTAAGTTGATTCTTGTCGACGTAGTCAGCTGGAAATGAGTCTTCTGACGCGTATGGGGTACTTTAGGACGCCATCGAGGTCACCCGGTGTGTGGGGGTGCAAGAGTAGAAAAGAGATTCCATGGAAGGTGGAAGAAGATACAGTAGAGAGTCGGCGTGTGGGCGGGCGGGCGGGCGGGCGGGATGGTGTCATTGTCGGCAACCACCTGAAAAGGAATTCCGACAGATTCGCTGCTGCTGCTGCAATAATCGGTCTTTGCCGCATTGCCCCGCTCGGCCCAGTGGTTGCCGTCGCGAGGACCTTCCCCCGCACTAGTTGATGACTGAATTCATTTAACTGAGAAGAGAGATGAGCTCTTGTACATAGTCAGTCACTTAGGTATTTATCATTGAGTACTCGTTCCCGTATATAATCCATTGATTGCCCCAATTCTGTGTTTCCCCCCCTCTCTATTCCTTCCCTCCCACCACACCACCAACACCACCACCACCCCCCAAACCTCCCCACTATGTCCTCCAAAACCTGGAACGTCGGAATCGTGGGATACGGCCTGAGCGCCAAGGTCTTCCACATTCCTTGCATCAAGGAAGTCCCTCAACTCAAGATTTACGCGGTTGTGCAGCGTAACCCCAAGCCGGACGACGATGCGGAGAAGGACTTTCCCGGAATCAAGTCTTACCGGAGCACCGAAGATCTGGTCAAGGACGAGCGTGTCGACGTTGTGATCATCACTACTGTCCCCGAATCGCATTACGAGTTGACCAAGCTGGCTCTTGAGCACGGAAAGCACGGTAGGTGTTATCTTCAGATGTACAAAGGATTATTCTGATGCCAATCGTTACTGCAGTCGTTGTCGAGAAGCCTTTTACCCCCACCTCCAAGGAAGCTCAAGAACTCGTTGCCCTGGCTAGCAAGCACAACAAGCACCTCGCCGTTTACCAAAGTGCGTCCCCTCACTCTCCCTATATCAGTCTATGCTGTTCTGTGACGGACGCTCTCTCTGACGATCGCGTGATTAGATCGTCGTTATGACGCCGATTTCCAAACCGTGTCGAAGCTGGTCAAGAGCGGCGTCCTGGGCCGTATCGTCGAATTCGAGACCCACTTTGACCGCCACCGCCCCGAAGAACCTGCGGCGGATGCTTCGAAGTGGAAGAACAAGGTTGTCCCTGGAGGTAGCGCCATCTACGACCTGGGCTCTCACCTGTTGGATCAGGTTGTCCATTTACTGGGCAAGCCCGAGCGGGTGACGGGCTTCCTCGGCTCCCAGCGCGAGGTCAACTCTTCCGGATACGAGGACTCGTTCACCGTTCTACTTCACTACAAGAACGGGCCTCTGGTTACGGCCAAGGCGGCTGTTGTCAGCCCTGAGGTCGAGCAGCTCCGCTTCTGGGTGCGCGGAGACAAGGGTAGCTACAAGAAGGTGGGTTTTCTTCTACAATATCACTTGCATGCTTGCTGACTCGGACAAATCAGTTCCATCTCGATATTCAGGAAGAACACATCAAGGCTGGGTTGAATGCGGGTGATAATGGCTACGGTCGCGAGCCTAGTGAGAGATACGGTACGCTGATAATGGTCGTCCTGGTCAAGCTCGAGTACTTTACTAACATACACAAACAGGCACTCTCTCCACTATTCAGGACGGAAAGCCTGTCAGAGAGGTCTTCCCCACCGTGGAGCCTCCGACCTGGGCCGAGTACTACAGAAAGCTGGCTCGGGCGCTTGCCGGGGAGTCTGAACTCCCTGCCAGCGGAGCAGAGGCCAGTGAGATTATCCGCTTGATTGAGCTGGCCCAGGAGAGCTCTAAGCTGGGCAAGACCTTGGACTTCTAACTGATGGGCAGAGTGTATAGTACTATATGAGTACATACTTAAAGATTATGATATAATGACCTATTGAGAATCAGATCTGTAAGAATGCACAGTATATATCTAGTTAGTGCATTAAAGTATGTCACACTATCTAAGGCACGAACCCCTTCCCTGGTTTCACTAGGACAGTCTAGACTCTCGCTATACGATGGGGGAAGTCATGAGAGCAATTCCTCCATCGTGATTCTCTACCCCGGATTGATCGACAGCTTGTTCTTACGGGAAGAGCGGCGAAAGTACAATACAGGCCGCTGGGCTTGATGATGGGGAAACCATGGGATGAGAAGGTAATCAATGGTAAGGAGCGGTAAAAGACCGAAGCGTTGACCTCATCTCCTTCTGTCCCCGACGCTAAACCCTACCCGGAGTTTTCATTACTCAACTCGAATGCTGTGAGTGGCAGAACAGCTCAGGAACTTCCCCAAAAGTGAACCAACCTTCAAACCTCCAGCAACTCAGTCGCTTCCAATATTGCCTTGCCTCTCATTCTACTGCTAAATACACCTCTTCCGCGGAGATGTGACTGATTGAACCCCCCCCCCAAAATGCATGCGAAAGATCTTCTTGTTCTTGCGTGTTCTTCCTTCTCCCACACGGTCTCCAGTCCTGATGCCTTTTTAAATGGGGTTTCAACTACCCTCCACTGACCCAGTCAGTCCAAATTGCGGTGTCCACTTGATGCATGGCGGTTTCCAATGGGTTCGCCCGCTTATACTTAGTTGCTATTAACCACGTAGACCAGGCAAGTAACTCCCCCTCCCCTCCCCTACCTCCCTGGTGCCCCTGAAATGGACCCATCAGGCCTGCTTTTCAGCAGATTGAAGTCTCAGCTCGTCAGCATGGTTCAGTTTCTGTGTCTATGAGCCAGGTTGCTCTTCATTCACAATCCTCGGGCGAGCTGGCATGTACAAGCATCCGCTAGTCTGGGATACTCCCTGGAATTTATGGCCCTCTGCAACAGCCTCTTCATTTCAACACTTGCTGGACCTTCCTTGGTTCTAACCGAGACAGGAATAAGTGCTGTTTGTCTTGGTCCACGTGGCTATCATGACAGTACAGCAGATGTTGGGCCAGCCATCCCGACCTTCGTTTAACCTTCAGCGCATCGACTTTTCTCGACTGCATGTGGATATCGATGCCTATATCAACCCATTTCTTCCGCCCCCGCCTTGGCGGTATTTGCCTCGACCGGTTTCGCGCTTCCTGGGGTACCGAGAACCTCCGAACCCCAAACCTCTCGGCAACCTGGTGGTGACCTTCTGGACCTTGATCGGGGTATTCTGCGGTGTGCTCGTCGTGGCGGAGACCTCAATGCATGTTCCGTTCTTTGAACATCACAATGCACCGATCATTGTGGCCAGCTTCGTGCGTGTTCCATCTCTCATGGTGAACGTCCTTGACCAGGCCTTTCCGACTAACTGTCTCCCAGGGCGCTGCTGCAGTGCTGGAATTCTCGGCCATCGAGTCACCCTTTGCGCAGCCACGAAACGCGGTCATCAGCCAGGTCATAGCGAGCACGGTGGGGATCGGTATCTCCAAGCTCTTTGCGTTGAATGCCCATGCTGCATCCCTGCCTCAGATCGGTGGCGCTCTGGCTTGTGCCATCACCACGTGCCTCATGGTCCTCACAAACACCGTGCACCCTCCGGCGGGCGCAACTGCTCTGCTCTCCGTCACCCAGTCGTCCGACGTCGGGTGGACTTTGATCCTGGTTATGTTCCTCGGAAGTCTATTGATGCAGGCCGTGGCGTTGCTGATCAACAACATCCAGCGTCGGTTCCCGGTCTACTGGTGGACGCCAGTGTCTCTGGCGCGCGCACCACCAAGCGACACCGAAAGCGGGGAGCGGATCAACCGAGCCAGTTTCGAGACGGACAACACGCAGGATGTCTTCCCGGGTAACCCGAGGCAGGTCCTCATTGAGTCGGGCAGGATCCTGTTGCCGAATCAGTTTTCTATTACGGAAGCCGAGCTGAAGGTTTTGCGGAGTCTCAGCGACCGATTACCTTGAATTCGTTTCATCTGGGTGGGATTACTATAGAGGCTTTCGTTCCTGCCTGTACGTAGGAGAAATCGATCTCATTGTTCATTGAGGTTGAGGTAAAAGTAAGATGCTACTAGTCGCTGATCATGGTTGCGAATTGGTCAACAGCAGCCCCGGATCCGGAAGTTCACCTGCAGAGGGCTGATTGTTGCTAATGTATAGTTGTTACGGTGTGGTTGGGGCAGTTTGTGTTCCAGCAAACGTCCTGTTGTAGTGTATTATGGCGTGCCGCAGTGCCTAATCTGAATCAGGTAGCCTCAGGTGTCAATTCTGCTGACCAATGTCGGGAAATGGCTTGGGCAAGAAGGCTCACATGCACGTGACTGTCGATGCCCAATCAGGCAAGGCTGTTGCACGGAGCCGTGCGGTGACGTCGACAGACCAATGACAGGCGGGCTGGGCAGAATCCACTGAAAGGATTTTCGACTTGAACTTCATTCAGTCTTCGTCGGTGGCAAGCCTTAGTTATTGTCCTGATTCTCGACGGTCTACTGTTCCTATCTCAATGTCTCTTTACTTCGCATATACATACTTATTTTTCAATTCCTTCTTGTATTCTCTCACCTATTATACTCCGTCTGTGGGACAACTTGGTGGACAATCTGAACAAGCAATTGCCTGTGCTTTTCATAGTTAGTTGATTGACTACGTATCGATAAGGGCTACTCCTGCATCCAAGGAACCTCCCCTCCCCCACTCAAAAGCCTTTTCGGTTGCCCCCCTCCGCTCTCTCTCTCTCTCTCTTTTTCTCACTTCACCTCATATTCTCTTTCAAACACTTTCCCCCCTCCTCCCCCCCACCGCCGCTGGAACCTGCTCCACCTTGGGTCAAGTTCTTTTTTTTCCCTTTTCCTCTTCCTTCCTTCACGGACTGGTTTCGTCTCTACCTTATTCTTCCCGCCATTCTTTCTTGATTTCTCTCCCTTCTCTCTCTCCCTCCCTCCCCCTCATTCTCCCCTCCATATAATCGTCAAAATGGTGTCTGCTTCCAAGGCTGCCCGTATGGCCAAGCGTGGCGATGACGGCAAGAAGAAGACCCTCAAGTCCAAGAAGGGTACCTCGACCCCCGGTGACGAGACCCCCATGCTCGATGGTGACGGAAACCCTTTGCCCGTCGAGGACCAGCCTGCCACCTCCGCCGATAAGCTGAAGGAGGTGGAGAAGTTGACCGCACAGTTGGACAAGCACGGTCTGTCGGATCGTGTCACCACTGGTGTCCTCTCCTCCCTGGAATCCTCCCGCGACGTCAAGATCACCTCCGCCTCCCTTGTGTTCCACGGCAAGGTCCTCATCACCGACTCCACCCTCGAACTGAACTTCAGCCGCCGTTACGGTCTGTTGGGTGAGAACGGCTGCGGAAAGTCCACCCTCCTCAAGTCTATCGCCACTCGCGAGTTCCCTATCCCCGAGCACATTGATATCTACCTGCTCAATGAGGGTGCCCCCCCCTCTGAACTCGGTGCCCTTGAGTGGGTTGTGACCGAGGCTCAGAACCAGCTCGACCGCATGGAGAAGCAGGCCGAGGAGATCTTGGAGAAGGAGGGCCCCGACAGCCCTATCCTCGAGGATCTGTACGACGTAAGTACTTGGTGTCGGAGTAACGCAAGATGGATGCTAACCTCTTCACCAGCGCATGGACAAGATGGACCCCTCGACCTTCCACACTCGTGCATCCCTGATCCTGACGGGTCTCGGCTTCAACAAGCAGACCATCCACAAGAAGACCAAGGACATGTCCGGTGGTTGGCGTATGCGTGTGGCCCTCGCCAAGGCCCTCTTCGTCAAGCCCTCACTTCTGCTGCTGGACGACCCCACTGCCCACTTGGATCTCGAGGCCTGTGTGTGGTTGGAAGAATACCTGAAGAAGTGGGAGCGCACCTTGATCCTGGTGTCTCACTCCATGGATTTCTTGAACGGTGTCTGCACCAACATGATCGACATGCGCATGAAGCAGCTCCTCTACTATGGTGGTAACTACGATTCGTACCACAAGACCCGTGCCGAGCAGGAGACGAACCAGATGAAGGCCTACCACAAGCAGCAGGAGGAAATTGCCCACATCAAGAAGTTCATCGCCTCCGCCGGTACCTACGCCAACTTGGTCCGTCAGGCCAAGTCCCGTCAGAAGATTCTCGACAAGATGGAGGCCGACGGCTTCATCCAGCCTGTCATCCCCGACCGTGTCTTCAGCTTCCGCTTCGCTGATGTCGAGAAGCTTCCTCCTCCCGTCCTGTCCTTCGACGATGTGTCCTTCTCCTACTCGGGCAACTGGGATGACACCCTGTACGAGCACCTCGACTTTGGTGTCGACATGGACTCCCGTACTGCCCTGGTCGGACCCAACGGTGTCGGCAAGTCCACCCTGCTCCGTCTTATGACCGGCAAACTCAGCCCCATCGGTGGCAGTGTCAGCCGTCACACCCACTTGAAGCTCGGCATGTACAGTCAGCACTCCGCCGAACAGCTGGACTTGACCAAGTCTTCCTTGGAGTTTGTCCGCGACAAGTTCCCCGAGAAGTCCCAGGACTACCAGTACTGGCGCCAGCAGCTCGGCCGTTACGGTCTGAGCGGTGAGGCCCAGACCGCCCTGATGGGCACTCTGTCTGAGGGTCAGAAGAGTCGTATCGTTTTCGCTCTGTTGGCCATCGAGTCGCCCAACATGATCCTTCTGGACGAGCCCACGAACGGTCTCGATATCCCCACCATTGACAGTTTGGCTGACGCCATCAATGCCTACAGCGGTGGTGTCGTAGTCGTCTCCCACGATTTCCGTCTCCTCGACAAGATCGCCAAGGACATCATGGTTTGCGAGCACAAGACCGTCACCCGCTGGGATGGCACCATCGGACAGTACAAGAACTACCTCCGCAAGAAGATGATTGACAACGGTGCTGTCTAAAGTGGTGGTTGTATTTTTTTTCACCCAAAACTTTTTGTTACGAATGGAATGCTCAGAAACGAACAAATATCAAGACAGGAAACGGGCTGCCTCAGGCAGCGTCAGCAAAATGAACTGCAGCGTGAAGGCGTGGAGAAAAGTTTCCCTTTGATTTTACCCAGCAGGCGAGATGAATCGTCCTGAATGAGAGGTTCTGTGTTTTGCTGGACTCGTTTTGCCTAAATACCACCTGGAGATATCACCTGCTCATTGTTTGGGTGTTCTGTTATGTGTTTGTTTCTTAGATGGCCTTGTTTATTCCCTCTGTTTATACTTTCATCCCTCTAGACTTGAGCATGGTGAATTGATTTTTTTTCCCGAAGTTACTTGAACTGTGTTTAGTAGGGATTTCAGTGTGGACAGGTTCTGTAAATTGAATTGGTTCTACTTGCCAAACCGGTGCACGTAGTATTCTTTTTCCAGATGTCTCGCAGAGTTTTTCAGGTCAGGTGCGTGGCTCAAGTCACGGTGTATGTACCGGATCACACTCTTGCTATGCTTACTAGGATCCAACTAAACCCAATACTTCAGATATTTCCAAAGGCTAAATCTAGCCACACCCTAACCCCTCTCAACTCAACCCCTCCCTGCTATCATACCGTCTAGATCTTACCCATCAATGATGATCCCCTTTAGTCCTCTGCATCACTAACTCGCCCCCAAAAATGTCCTTACTCCGGGCCGCCCCTTGTTCCAACTTCCGTTTCTTCGCCAACCTTTCCATCTCACTCTCCGACGTCCCGGACTCCCCAGCACCGCTACCGGCGGCCGCAGCAGCCGCAACAGCAGCAGCAGCAGCCGGAATCCTCTTCGCGCCTGCTGCACCACCACCACCACCTGGACGGGACAAATTCACCTTCTCCGGATTCTGGCAGTGATAGAGCTTCTTCCCAATGATTCGACGCAGGGTCTTCATCTGCTCTGGATCGGAGGCGAGGGGGTGGTAGGATCGGAGCATAGTGGCGCAGGCGGTTAGAGTCTGGGTGAGTTTTGCGCGGAGGGCGGCCAGTTGTCCACTCGTCTGATCGTTGGTGGTGGTGGTGGTGGTGGGGGGGGTACCAAGTTTTGTGTCAAGATAAAACTCTCCCAGCGGCGGATCCGCCACCATCAACGCGGCCAACCAGATCTGCGCAGGCGTGTAGAGGAAATACACATCGGTGATCTGGGCGGCGGATTTGAGGAGTTCGCGAGTATTATGGTGGGCGCGGGCTATACGGTCTTTGATTTGCGCTGCTGTTGCCGGAGTACTGCTGGTTATTGTGCTCGTGCTCGTGCTCGTGGTGCTGCTGCTGCTACTGGTGGTTGTCTGTGGGTTTGTTGAGGTTGTTGTTGTTGTTGTTGGGGGAGGCAAGGCAAAGAGATTCCGTCGCAGTAACTCCGGGGTATTCTGCGTGGGGGGCGCATGAGGCGCCGGCTGGCCCTGGCCCGCGGCGATGGCTTGGAGCTCCAGGATGCCGCCCTCGAGGCCGCGGAACGGGTGACGGACGTCGAACGTGAAGCGCAGGCTTTGCATGACCAGGAACTCCGGTGCGATGATGTCGTCCGCGGTCGTGTCGCCGGGGACGCCGTCGGCGAATTGGCGGAGGGACATGTAGTAGTTGTCGGTTTTGGTGGCGAGGAAGAGCGCGCAGGGCATGATTTGTTTCGGGTGGTAGGTCATCGGGCTGTTGGTTAGGTAGAAGCGACGGAGGTATTGGATTGCTGTTGCCTTTGTTGCGTTAGTTTTCCGGGCTCTGGAGGAGTGAAGGGTGGGATGGGTTTCCCGGGGTGGGTAGACTGACTCGGACTATCGTCGGAAGAGGTGGTTTGTACGCTTCCCCGAGCTGGATGATCTGTTCGCAGTAGTAGCTGACCGTTTGCTGCTCTTCCTCCGGCGTAAGGCATTCGATCGGCTTCTCCTCTGCTTTGCTGGTGCTGGTGCTGGTGCTGCCGCCGCCGCCGCCATCGACTTCCGGAACGGGCGTGCCTGTCGCGGACGACGTGGCGGAGCGCCGGGCTTCTTGGGCGCGGCGGATCGCGGCGCGCACACGGTCGCTGGCCACTGCGTTGGTGGTCGCTCGCTGGGCTTTGAGAGAGGCCTCGGTGAAGGACCACAGGCGGTATTGGGAGGAGGTGCGGTAGAAGTCGTCTTCGATCATGGTGGCGGTGCACAGGTCGTGCCGTGAGAAAGGGTGTTTGTGCGCAGGTGGATTCTTGTAAGTCAAGTTGCTCGGATTAGTGAGTGAGTGGGTAGTAGAAGAAAGTGAAGTTAATGGTGAGATGGGCGCATTATCGACAGTGGACACTGGTGGAAGATTTGCGGACAAAGTTGGAGACGGCGGAGGCGGAGAGTTCTGTGATCCACGTGCTTATCGATAGCGCTCTTGCTCGAGTTATCGCATCCACCGCGCACTTTGACTACATACTCCGTACTATTCACAATTCCACAACACTTTCACAATGCATTGGTTATGGCTAACCTGACGAACATTCAGATACTATATGAGAGGAGACCATTCGAATCGAATAAGGACAGCGCTCGACTAAACAATCAAAACCTATCGCTCATGCTATGTCTACTAACGTTATGGCTCACCCAACAGCCGTGCAGTCACATCCCCCATGTACGCCGCTTCCAGCTCATAGTCCTCCCCGCCATTGCGGTCGATCCCATAGTACTTGAATGCAGCGACCACGCGGTCGACATCGAAGCCCATACTGCAGAAGCGGTCGATCAGGTCTTTATTATACCCATCGTACCTGCCAACACGTTAGTGATGAGATCCTCAAATTCTGACGACGGGCGTACTTGGCTAAGTCCTCCTGCTCCTGCTCGGCCTTGGACTTGAGCTCCAGCTCGCGCAGGGTCTCATCGGTGGCGCCGCCACTGCCCTCGCCGGCGTGTTTCCTGGGTGCCCCCGCGTATACCACCGCCCACTCCTGAGCCTTTCGCTCGAACTCCTTCGGGTTGCGCAACAACATCGTGGCGACCTCCGCGTCTTGAGGGTCCTTGGGTTCGGGCGTGCTCAGTAACGACTGCAGGGAGAGGAGTGCCGACTTGATGGTCAGGACGGGCGACCACGCGGACGACAATGTATCGAGGCAGATGGCACCCTGCGCACAGAAAGAAGCATGAGCAAAACCTTGTCATAGCCATGGTGAAACGGCCCCAAAACTTACCGTTTGACTGCTGACATTCGGATGCCAGACCTTGGTGTGGAACTTCATCGCCGGGGGCCGGAATGGATATTCCGTGGGAATCTTGATGTCCACTGCATATATCCCACCTTCGTACGGAGTGCCTGGCGGACCCGGGAAGGTCCCGCGAAGGTGTGTGATATCGTCGTCGTTGCCCACCGGCTCTGCGGTGATCTGCGAGTGCGTGTCCGAAAGGATGTCGGCGATCTCCTTGGCGACCCGGCGTGCTCGATTAGAAGCCATAGCTTGAGATGTAATACAGGATGCTGCGGAGACGGGTGTAGTAGGTATTTTGTAGTTCCCAGTTCTCTAAAAAGAAGCAGGGAAAATAATACAAAGTGCAACAAGCTGTATAAGCGAAGTTCAAGCTATGTGAGCCTGAATGCAGTATAGATAAAGTAAAGACGATTGCACAGGATGTCTAGCCCGGCGGACAGGAACAAGGATCTTTAGAGGAAGGGGAAAAGCAAATATGGATGCTGTGATTACGATCGAGCAGTTGTAGCCTCACTTGATCTGGCGGGGAACTGGCGAAGCAAAATGAGGGGATCGCAAGTATTGGTGGGGCGTAAGCGCTCGTCGGCGATAAAGCTTGCAAGGCTATATTTATTGAACCACAGCTGATGGCGCCCTTCTTTTTCGGCAAAGTGATGCTGCCGGACAGGTCTCTTTGAAGTTTTAAATGATACAAATAAGGAATATGATTTGTTGAGCGGTTGTGCTGTATAGAAATCGCGGAAGATGAGTGGAATGGATCGATTTACTGATGGATGATCAAACGGACTGCTAGATCGGTAGTGGTATGTATACAGCCTGTACTGTACAGCAGCAGCCTAGATTGGGCTGTATTGACGGCCTCAAATATCAGGCAAAGATGGAGCACGTGACGCGGTGATGCGTTGTGGCCGCAGCGCCAAGCCCGGAACGGATGGCGACGACAGCTTCCCAGCTGCTGCTCATCTCATCACAGCTTCACGCCTCCCATCCTCATCCATCCTAGTGACAGCTCGATTGCACTCTCTTCCCTCTATCTGCATCGAATTTTATTCCTCACTCTCTGGCATTTATTTTCTCTTCAGTAATTCCTGCCCTGTGTCACTAATATCTTAGGACTATGGTACGTTGCCGGCCCTTGTTGTCGTCCACAGCTTTCTCTTGATGTCACCAATCTAACACTCCTCGGTAAACAGGGTAACCAGCAGTCCAACATTGGCGGAGGGCCTGGTGGGGATGGCAGAGACGACAAGGATAAGAAGGTACGTCAAATCTGCTGCCCAGAGTCAGGATGCGTCTGCTCACCAAGACATCTATCTACAGAAGGATAAGCCCAGATACGAACCTCCTCCTCCCCCGACGACTCGTCTCGGACGCAAGAAGCGCAAGGCTGCAGGCCCAAGCACTGCCTCCAAGCTTCCCGATATCTTCCCGACATCACGATGCAAACTACGATACCTCCGCATGCAGCGGGTCCACGACCACCTCCTGCTTGAAGAAGAATATGTCGAGAACATGGAGCGTCTGCGCAAGACCAAGGCCCAGGCTGCACTTGATGCCGCTAGCCGGAGCGACCTCGAGATCACGGACAGGAACGCAGACGAGAGAAGCCGGGTCGATGATATGAGAGGTAGCCCCATGGGCGTTGGAAACCTGGAGGAATTGATCGACGACGACCACGCGATCGTCTCCAGCGCCACTGGCCCAGAGTACTACGTTTCGATCATGTCCTTCGTCGACAAGGATCTGCTCGAACCAGGTGCCAGTATCCTCCTGCATCACAAGTCGGTCTCCGTCGTGGGTGTGTTGACGGAAGAGTCTGATCCACTCGTCTCCGTCATGAAACTCGACAAAGCGCCAACAGAGTCTTACGCAGATATCGGAGGTCTGGAGACCCAAATCCAGGAGGTCCGTGAATCTGTCGAACTTCCGCTGCTCCACCCCGAGTTGTACGAGGAGATGGGTATCAAGCCTCCCAAAGGTGTTATTCTCTACGGTGCCCCCGGTACAGGAAAGACCCTTCTGGCCAAGGCCGTTGCCAACCAGACTAGCGCTACCTTCCTTCGTATTGTTGGTAGCGAACTCATTCAGAAGTATCTCGGAGACGGTCCTCGCTTGGTTCGCCAGATTTTCCAGGTCGCTGCCGAACATGCTCCTTCCATTGTTTTCATTGACGAAATCGATGCTATTGGTACGAAACGTTACGACTCCACATCTGGTGGTGAGCGTGAAATCCAGCGTACCATGCTTGAGTTGCTGAACCAGCTGGATGGTTTTGACGACCGGGGCGATGTCAAGGTGATCATGGCCACCAACAAGATCGAGACTCTGGATCCCGCCTTGATCCGCCCGGGACGTATCGACCGAAAGATTCTTTTCGAGAACCCCGACCGTGAGTGTCCACCCTGCCGTCCCAGCTGGTTTAATTGCTAACTATGTTTCAGAAAACACTAAGAAGAAGATTTTCACCCTGCACACATCGAAGATGTCGCTGGGAGATGACGTTGACTTGGATGAGTTCATCAACCAAAAGGATGATCTTTCGGGAGCTGATATTCGGGCCATCTGTACCGAGGCCGGTCTAATGGCCTTGAGAGAACGCCGCATGAGAGTGCAGATGGATGACTTCCGTGCTGCCCGGGAGCGCATCATGAAGACCAAGCAGGATGGAGGTCCAGTGGAGGGACTGTACTTGTAGACGCGATAATGTGGTGTACGTAGATCTATAGTAGCATGACGAGTGATTTGATACACAAGTTCCTATAATACTAGTGCTTATCTGCCGTACAAAGTCTTCCGCTTGCAATAAATACAGACATGAATATCGAGGAGGAGGCTACCAGTGACAGTGTTTTGCTTGTTTGGGCCCGCTGAGATATCCTAGACGTCACGTCATGTCTTATGGAGCATGGGTTATCGGGACACCGTTCTTATCGCCATCTGAAAACATCTCAAACAATACAAACCAGACAAACATAGCAAATGAGCAGGAACATCCTCAGAATGTCGTCTGAAGTCATCGGTCCTCATCCTACAACACAACCCGCCACCAAACCGAAATGGAAGGATTCGACGAGGAAGCTTTCAAGAAGTTCTTCCCGACCAGTTTTGGGCGGCAGGAGAAGAAAACCGACGTAAACACCCAGATCGACCGCACCAAGCGTACTGAAGTGGCCGCGAAAGTCGACGGCGACGACGAGAAGACGCGATCAGACACCGATGCTAAAACTGAAGAGCCGGCCGTTCCCGCGCCCACTGCGAGGGACGCGCAATCAGATAATGATAATGGAAGCAGTGACTCCGACTCCGACGACGATTCGGACGATGACGAGGATGAGTTTCCCGTCTCCCACGAGATGGTGCTCAAGACCCATGACCGCGCAGTGACTACTTTGACTGTCGACCCGGCAGGTTCACGGTTGATTACTGGTTCGACGGACTGTACGATCAAATTGCATGATTTTGCCTCCATGACGCCGTCGACTATACGCGCCTTCAAATCCGTCGACCCGTCCGCGAAGAAGCAGTCCGCCGCCCAAGAAAACCACGCCGTTCACTACGCAGCGTTCAACCCGCTAGCTCCTACTTATGTCATGGTCGTCTCTGCCACAGCGCAGCCGAGGATACTCAATCGCGATGGTGATACGGTTACTGAGTTTGTCAAGGGTGACATGTACTTGAGGGATTTACACAACACCAAAGGGCATATTTCGGAGGTCACCAGCGGAGCATGGAGTCCGACCGACGAGAACCTTTGTGTGACGGCTGGCACCGACAGCACAGTACGCATTTGGGACGCAAATGTGGGGAGGACGCAGAAGGAAGTGATTGTGCACAAGTCCAAGATGGCTGGATCCGCTGGTCGGAGCAAAATGACCGCCGTCGCATGGGGCTCGCCTAAACAGGGCGGTCCGAATGTTTTGATCGGCGCTGCCCTTGACGGAAGCTTGATGATGTGGGGTGGAGACGGACCGTTCACCCGCCCGAGTGGTGAGGTTCGCGATGCACATACTAAGGATACCTGGACGAGCGGCATCGGCATCAGCTCCGACGGCAGGCTGGTTGTCACTAGAGGCGGAGATGATTTGATCAAGCTCTGGGATACGAGAAAGTTCAAGAAACCGATCTCTACAGCAACCCACCCGTCGAGTTCTCGATATACAACTGCGAACATCATCTTCTCACCCTCCTCGGCGAATGTGCTTACTGGCTCCGAAACTGGCCACCTGCATATTTTGAACCCTGCCACGTTGAAACCGGAACTGGTAACGCCGATTACGCCAGGATCCCCCGTCATCAGTGTCCTATGGCACGAGAAGATGAACCAGATCCTCACCGGTTCTGCTAATGCCGAGACGCATGTTCTCTACAACCCGAACATGTCGACGAAGGGTGCCGCATTGGTCATGTCTAAAGCACCGAAGCGCCGCCATATTGACGATGACCCTAGTCTCACCATGGACCTTAGCCAAGGAATCTCAGGCGATTCTGTTGTGGTGGGTTCGAACGGTGTCCCTCACTACAGCTCGTCTACCTGGTCTGCCCGTCATCCGACTGTTGGGTTGACAGCATCGGGACGTCCCAAGGATCCCCGAAGACCCTATATGCCAGCTGCGACTCCGTTCGCGAAGTCGCAACCAGATGAAAAACATATCCGGGAGAACATTCCTCTCAGTTCCATGCGGGACGAGGATCCTCGGGAGGCCCTGCTGAAGTACGCCGACAAGGCCGAAAAGGACCCAATTTTCACCAAGGCTTGGAAGGAAACACAGCCCACACCCATCTATCGGGAGATCAGCGACGATGAAGAGCAGAAGCCGGAGAAAAAGCGGGCAAAGAGGTAGTCAGCGGGCAAAATCTGAGTAGAGTGTTTGCATATAGTAAGTATATTGGACAGATGGTGAAATCCAGCAGTCATTTCGACTTAGACTTGCATGAATCGGAGTCACGGAGATTTCTCGCGTAGTTGGACTAGTTCATGCTTGATGACGTTTGGACCGACAGGGAGAGAGGGTGGAGGAGAGGGTGGAGAAAGAGGCGCCTCATTCTTCGGATCGCGGTGTGATATCACGGCTAATAACTGCTTGAATTAGAAGTATAATGATGTCTGCTGTTCTTGGAGGATACAACAGCCTTTTCTGTACTCCGTAGCTTGATTCATCTGCAGGTGTGACTGCTCAGGTTTTTTGGTCTTGGAGTTAAGGGGAGGGAGAATAAATTACTATTTAATTTAGCCCCGAGCGACTCCTGGTCGGTTCGCTCGGCATCTTTCCACTCTTTCTCCCCTCCGCCCAGATCAACTCAACTCTTCTTCCGATCGCTCGATCGACTCTTACTCCCCTCAACTCTCACTAAATCCCCGTTCCTTACCTTTGACCGGCTCTTTGCTCTCGAGCTTCGTTTTTGCCTCCTCAGCGCGCCTGACTGGTTCAACAAGCGACTCCTCCCATATCTCCGCATCTGACCAACAACGAAGCTTAGGGGACCAAACACAGCATGCGGTGGTTCTCAGGAGCATGAACGACGGCTCAGGATATCAATCACCAGCGCAAGTTTGGTGAACTGACTAAAATTCCTGGCCTGGCGTTAAGAGCCCATTACATCTCCTCTTCAGGCTTGCAGCAGACCGCTGAAGCGGTCCTTTGATCCTACACAGACAATCCTCGGCGAACAATCGGACCCTCCGCTTATCTCCCCCAAACTCTCTTCCTCGACATTCCCGCTTACTCCCTCGGCTCCCTTACGCCGAGCGCTCGTTGCATATGGAGCACATGCGGGAGGTACCCCTGGCAGCAGGTCTGCTCACCACACTCCTGTCTTCCACCATTCCTTCGCCCACCGCTCTAGCCTATAGCTTGCCTTCTTCATCTCCATCTCTACCTTCTCCGACGACGAGTCCCGTTCACGATGGCGGCAACGGTGAGGGAGAACCAGGGGGCATGCACGAATGGTCTTCCTTAATTGGAATCGTGACGGCGCTGGTTGGCAACGTGTTGATCTCCCTGGCGCTCAATATTCAACGCTACGCGCACATTCGAATCGATCGGGAATGGGAGCAGGAAAAGTTACGAAAGGAACTGGACTGGAAACGCGCCCACCAAGGCCATGATAACACCAGCTTGACTGGGAATTTCGATGAATCCGATCTGGGCGAGAGTGAAATCAATCGGGGCCGGGGCCGTGCACCTCTTGAAGACCGCTACAGGGACGAATCCCCGGACTTTGTACCGGAGGACGCACCGGCTCGTTCTGGTTGGAGCCAGCGGTACCGCGACGATGACGGCGACTCGCAGGATCACACGAGGGACTCTCTGCTGTCCGACAACACTGTCCGGCCGGAAAACGAGGGCGACCGCCGTAGTGGCCGCAAATCCTACCTTCGCTCTCCGTACTGGTGGGTCGGAATCGTGCTCATGTCGGTGGGCGAAGTGGGCAATTTCATGGCCTACGGGTTCGCGCCAGCGTCCATCGTGTCTCCGTTGGGAGTGGTCGCGCTGATTTCGAACTGCGTCATTGCACCCTTTATGCTCAAGGAGAAGTTTCGGCAACGTGATGCCTGGGGGGTTCTCATCGCCATTGCGGGCGCAGTGGTGGTTGTGATCAGTGCGCCGTCGTCGGAGGAGAAGATTGGGCCTCACGATATCTGGGTCATGATAACGCGCTGGGAGTTTGAGCTCTACTTAGGTCTCACGGCTGCGTTGATTGTTGCGCTGATGTGGGCTAGTCGCAAGTATGGACCGAAGACAATCTTGATTGATGTCGGGTTGGTCGCATTATACGGTATGTTCTCGTTGTGGAGGCCTTGGTGGATGATCGCTCATTATCTATGCAGGTGGCTATACCGCATTGTCAACCAAAGGTGTTTCTTCTCTATTGACATTCACTTTTTGGCATGTGATTACGTTCAAGGTCACTTATCTCCTTGTCTTCATCCTCATATTCAGCGCAGTCATGCAGATTCGGTACATCAACCGAGCGCTGCAGCGCTTCGATTCAACTCAGGTGATACCGACTCAGTTTGTGCTTTTCACTCTCTCGGTCATTGTCGGAAGCGCCATCCTGTACCGAGATTTCGAGTCGTTTACGGCGAAGCGTGCCAGCAAATTCGTGGGTGGCTGTCTGCTGACGTTCTTGGGAGTGTACTTCATCACCAGTGGAAGAGTTCGTAGTGACACCGAGTCCTCTTTTTCGGCCGACGACGAAGAAGAGGCTATTGGGCTGCTTGCTGGGGAGCGGTATTACGACCATTTCGACTTGTCGCCACCACCGGCCCCTCAAGCCAAAGCACATAAGCCGGGACGAACAGTCCGCAATTTCCAAGATGGGAACATGGACTCCCCCGCTGGGTCACTTCTCAGCCATGGTCTTGAGGATGTCGACGACAATTTACCCACTCCCCGCGGGGCTCTTTCTGCTGCACCATCGTCGCCAACGGGCTCCCTGCTTGCGGAGTCAGAATCCCGTCGCTCCGACGAGCCCACATCACCTGTGCATCCCAGCTCGCTTCTGAGGAACCCTTGGGTTGAGTCTCGGGGATCAACCTCGGCCTCAAGTCAGCGTCCATCTACTCCTCCAGAGCAATCTGTGCAGAATACACACGAATCACCATTCCTACTTCGCTTCCCTCCTGCACCTGGCGCAGAAGAATGCGAACCGCAAGACGTGCCTACTGCGTCAGCGGCTGACGGATCTCAGCAGAACGTTCGGAATGTTGTTGTCCCCCAGACTCCACCGGCACGGAGGCTCCGCAATTCCATCTCCAACTTCTCGCCTGGCGCCTTTCTCCCGGCAATCTCGTCTGGTTTCAGTGCGGTGGTTGCCGAGTCACTTCGTCGTGACGAGATCAGCCCCCACAAGGGCCGGAGGATTGGACGACGGATCGGCCGGAAGAAGCAGCTGAGTACGACCGTCTTGGACGGATACACTCGAAACCGCAACGCAGATACTCTGGAGACCATCCGTGATTTAGATGGGAGTACTGGGGCGGGCTTGACCCCCCGGTTCCCGTTGTCAGACGCCCGGCTTCATTCTACGGGTGAGCTCTCTACGGCTCCTGTGACTGTCGGTGTCGCCACTCCTGCTCTCGAATCGGAAGACGGAACTCGGACGCCTAAGCCCCAGGACGTGGTCTCGCTTTCGAGACTGCGAAGTTTGAGTGATTCGTGGAGCGGGGGTTTGGCCTGGCTCGGCGGTGTTCTGCACAGACCCGGGGCAAGGAGAGGGTCAGCCAATCCACCGCTGTCGGAGAACCCAAGGGATGACAGTGGTCTCGGGGCACCGAGTGACCCAGCCCAGCGGGGCCCTGAGTCTGACGCGCAGGTATAGACTGGAAGCTTTCAGGTGACAGTCACACACCGCTTGTTAGTACATAATTGTTTTCGAGTAACATATGGGAGGAGATAAGTTCACATAGCCTCAGCATTTTCCTCGCACATCATATAAGTTTTTAATAGACATTAGCATTGTGATCCTCGGGTTGAGGGGCGGAGCAGAAGGTCAGTTCTGTATGTACAATACTGTGTTTGCAGTCAATGGAAGAAAGACATGGTCACTGCGCCCATGAAGACGGTGGACTGATTGACAACTCATACGACTCACCGGAAAAGCATTTATTAATCTATCTACCTTGGTCTAGTTGAAGAAGGGCAAAGTGCAGGCAAGTTGGCAGCAGAGCGAGGGTCTCGATAGGCGGAAAAGACTGAGCAGACCCTGGCAAATTCCCCGGGCTTACTCCGGAGTAGACACTTTTTAGTTTCTCTCGACTGGGTAGCGACAATCCCTCACCCCCTCATCCTCTCCCTCTCTCCCCACCCTGCAATTTAGCCGTGAATATCACCCTGGAACTTGATTTCTCCATCTTCAATCTATTCTGCCTCCTCGGCCCGGACCACTCATCAATCAGAATTGAGAACCGCTTGTGCTTCATAGCTTCTGGGCCATTCATTCGTCTTCTCGTTCTCGCCTCCACAGCTCTGTTCCAAACTAATGATGCCATCGCAGCTGCTTCTCGTCTCCGAAACAATTGCCTGAGCAGCCTAAAGTAGCTCAGATCGAGACGCTGTCATCTCCGACTTCCATTGACGGCTGAACTCCACTTCAATTGCATACCGGGTCCTGGGAGCCCCGACTATGCCATGGAGGGGAATTTAAATACCACCCTTGCGCCTGGCCATTCAAAGGTCCGAGAACGTTGATCCCAGGACTGGCCAATTTTTCCCTTTTCTTTTGTCTGCAGCGTGAGAATAGATTGAGCGTCGGCTTGTCAAGTCAGCCAGCTCCTCTTTCCCTCACCTTTTCACAATGGGTGTCAGTCTGCTAGCCAAGGGGCTTGCGCTTCTTCACCTCTGCGCCGGTGTCACTGCCAGTAGCAATGGCTCAACACCGCTGTACAAGAACCCCAATGCGCCGGTGGAGGATCGTGTCAGTGACCTTCTGGGCCGCATGACCATCCACGACAAGACGGGACAACTGATGCAAGGTATGAGTCTTCCTCGCGGGTGATCCGTTAAATGTCTTGGATAATCTGTGCTGACTGCTACTGCAGGGGATCTCGCGAACTGGATGAACACCACAACTGGAGCGTTCAACTACACGGGTCTGGTCGCGAACATGGAAATGAAGGCGGGAGGATTCTACGGTACGAGTCCTTGATCATGCTGATTATCGCGATGGGAAAGCTGACTAGCGGGCAGTTGGATATGCGGTCCCGTGGGACTGGATGGTGACCAACATCAAGCATGCGCAGGACTACCTGATCCATAACACCACGCTTGGTATTCCTGCGCTTGTTCAGTCAGAAGGTAGGCTTGATGCAAAAGTTTTGGGGAGGATGTTGCTCACGGCTGCAGGTATTCATGGGTTCCTGGTTCAGAACGCCACTATTTTCAATTCCCCTATTGCATATGGTTGCTCCTTCAACCGTGAGGTGAGTGGTGGACACCAACTCCAGTGAGCCCTGCAGGCTAATGATCGATAACAGCTGGTCTCCAAAATGGCCAAAATCATCAGTCAAGAATCTCTCACTCTGGGCGTCAACCAGCTATTTGCCCCTGTGGTTGACCTGGCCCGTGAGCTGCGGTATGGGCGGGTAAGCTCATGACTTGGACATAGGCTAGGCTAGGCTTTTTAGCTAATTGATTAACAGGTCGAAGAGACGTTCTCGGAGGACCCATACCTTGCTGGCGAGATTGGCTACAACTATGTGCAAGGCCTGCAGAGTCTCAACGTTTCGGCCACTGTCAAGCATTTTGCGGGCTTCAGTGCCCCTGAACAGGGGTTGAACACTGCGCCAGTTCAGGGAGGAGAGCGATATCTTCGTACTACGTAAGTACAGCTAACAATCTTAAGATTTATGCTGACATGATGCAGCTGGCTGCACTCATTCAAGCGTGCGATCATCGATGCAGGTGCATGGAGTGTCATGAGCGCATACCACTCGTGAGTTTGATGCTTTTGGGAACAAGATTCCTTGCTTACATGCATCTAGCTACGATGGCATTCCCGCTGTTGCCGACTGGTTTACCCTGACAAAGGTTCTGCGAGAAGAGTGGGGTTTCAAGCACTGGGTTTTCAGCGATTCGGGCGCTACTGATCGACTGTGCACCGCTTTCAAGCTCTGTCAAGCCTCTCCAATCGACATGGAAGCAGTCACCCTGCAGGCACTCCCTGCTGGTAACGACGTTGAGATGGGTGGTGGCTCCTTGTAAGTATCCTAGGTTGGTAACCTGCGAGAGACTAACCCTGTCTAGCAACTTCCAGAAGATCCCGGAGCTTGTAGAGTCCGGAAGGCTGGACATCGAGACTGTTGACACTGCTGTCTCGCGCATTCTGAGGGCCAAGTTCGAAATGGGTCTCTTTGAGAACCCCTTCCCTGCTGCTCCTGAGTCGGAGTGGCACAAGTTGATCCACAGCTCAGAGGCGGTCGAGCTCGCTAGAACCTTGGACAAGGAGTCTATCGTCTTGCTGGAGAACCACAACAAGACCCTTCCTTTGGACAAGAGCGGCAGCATCGCCGTTATTGGGCCCATGGCCCATGGCTTCATGAACGTGAGTGATTGGCCTATCTCGGCCCAGAGCATCTACTAACTTATATACAGTATGGAGACTACGTCGTTTACAAGAGCCAGTACCGCGGTGTAACCCCTCTGGACGGCATCAAAGCTGCTGTTGGCGACAACGCCACGATCAACTACGCCCAGGGCTGCGAGCGGTGGAGCAACGACCAGTCCGGCTTCGATGAAGCCATTGCAGCGGCCAAGAAGTCGGACGTGGCTGTTGTCGTCGTAGGCACCTGGTCTCGCGACCAGACCGAGCTGTGGTCCGGTTACAACGCGACGTGAGTTGCCTATTGCTTGCATGTAATCCCGAGACGTCGCCGCTAACCACCAACAGAACCGGCGAGCACATTGATCTGGATAACCTCGCCCTCGTCGGTGCCCAAGGCCCGCTCGTCAAGGCTATTATCGACACCGGCGTCCCCACCATCGTGGTCCTCTCCAGCGGCAAGCCCATCACGGACGTGACCTGGCTCGCGAACTCGACCGCGGCGCTCGTCCAGCAATTCTATCCGTCGGAGCAAGGCGGCAATGCGCTGGCCGACGTGCTGTTCGGCGACTACAACCCCTCTGGCAAGCTGTCCGTCAGCTTCCCGCGCTTCGTCGGCGACCTCCCGATCTACTACGACTTCCTCAATTCGGCGCGCAACATCGGCCCGGCCGGCCACGCCTTCCCCAACGGCACCCTGGAATTCGAGAGCCAGTACGTCCTGGGCGACCCCACCGCGATCTACGAGTTCGGGTACGGCAAGAGCTACGTCGACTTTGACTACGGCGCCGTCACGCTGAGCCAGACCAACGTGACCGCCTCGGACACGGTGACGGTCCGCGTGGACGTGACCAACACTGACGCCACCCGCGACGGCACCGAGGTCGTGCAGGTGTATGTGTCGGATGTGATCGCGTCGGTGGTGGTGCCGAACCGGGCGCTCAAGGGCTTCGAGAAAGTGGTCATCCCGGCTGGCACGACCAAGACGGTGGAGATTGATTTGCAGGTGGAGGACCTGGGGCTCTGGAACCGCTCGATGCAGTATGTCGTTGAGCCGGGAGCGTTTGCGGTGTTGGTGGGCAGCAGTTCGGCGGATATCCGGGGGAATGCGACGTTTTATGTTGAGTAGGTCTGATGCGGATGGGTGAGTGGTACAGTGGGTGGCGGCAATCACCGGGTCAATTGCTTCGATACCTACCCTGCTTATTGATTGTTCGCTCAATCACTTTCTTTGAATACTTCTATTAAAGCTCTTGTGATGAGTGGCTCTAGTTGGTTGGGATGGTGGTTAGTTGAAGGTAGAAGTGTAGTCTACTGTCTGTCATCAATAAATAGCGCGAAACAGATGTTATTTTGCTGTCGGGGTGACAGGTTTTTAAAACTTTATTTGACGAAACGAGAAAATATCAGAGAGTAAATGATTCGAACCGGGATGACTTTGATCTGAGATCTAGACAGTGGTAGCCTCGGCATAAGTGAAGATAAAGAGAGATGCAACGGGTGCTGTTCGATCGATCCGATTGCCCATTACGTGGACCTGGAAAGAAACCCTAAATGCTCGTCTAGCCGTCCTGCAGCCATTCTCCTCTGGTTTAACGAGCTCTCCACCCTCCGCTCGCCGTTGGTTTGACCCCATACCGCGGGGTCATAGCTCAAAGACACAGCCAATAAGAACATATCCGCATCGACGATGTCTGCTCTCTCTCCCCGTGAGACGATCCAGAGATACAATCTCGCCTAATGCACCGCTTCCATGCGCTAAGACTGCTATTACCCACGAACTTGCAGGACCCATCAGTAAAGATGAACGAACGGCCCGATGGCGGGATATTCCCTTCCCTGAGCCAGTATTAGAATAGCATGAGTCACAGGATGAGTAACAGCGCTAGCCCCAGCTCTCGAGCGTGACTCCTTATGTCTTTTGGTGGTTGTGGAGGTGTTTGAGTAGTATGAGGTTGGATGGGTTCCTAATGAGCCGTGAGGGTTGGATAATCAAGATACAAGATATACTACTGGCAGTATGAGTTGAGATATCCATAACTTACTACAGCTATGATACCTACAGTACCTACAATGACTCACTGTCCATATACCTCGGCTGTCAGAGGGAGGAATTGCAGTGACAGATTGAATCCGGGGGGGTTGGAAGTCATCGACGTTCCCCCCGCAATCAATAGTGAATCACACAATCTTATCGAGCATCGACTATCGAACTACTTCTTCTTCTTCTTCTCCATCAAATGTGTAGCCTAGGTTACTATGCATTTCACTTGATATTGGTCCTAAGGTATAGAAGCTTGGTGGGGCTGGGGGAGATTCTGGGTGGTTATGGGTTATGGGTTAGGGCTGATTGGGTTGAGTGTGGGTCAGGTGTATAAAGGGGCACAAGGGTCCAACTCAAGTAAACTATAACTGGCAGTCACAAGGTAGGTGACCAGGAATCAAGCGTAAGGGAACACTGCTTCGAGGAACTGTAAAAGGCACGTACAACCCCTCCAAATACCCCAAAGTCGAAGGTCATGCGTTGGCGCCGGTGTAGGTGGATTGGGGAGGTTCGGGAATTTGGAGGGTGGTGGTGGTGGTGGTACTACTTAACTCTTGCTTCTACTAATTGTTTGGTTGGGTGGAGGGAGAGATGAGATGGAGTACGAGAGGTATGTAGTAGATATATATCCTGTCTGGTCGGTGGAGCATCTGAGATGGCATGCAGTGGTTATTGCTGGCCGAGCTCCGCCGAGTTAGGGCTCGGAGGGACCCGTTCAAAATATGTCATCATTGTCGGCGGCGGTATCGCCGGTCTCGCAGCCCAACACAGCCCTACATAAACTAAGTAACAAGGAGGTTCTCAAACAATCCGCCCTCCACCGCAAAATCGGCGCCACCATCTCCCTTCAACCCAACGCCTCCGCGCGAGGTCGACTTCGCCGGCTGATTCTGGGCCCGCGCGCGCGGGCGAGATCTACAATCGCGGCAGGATGTTGCAGACGTTCGCGGATTGCCCGAGGTGGGCGCAGGCGTCGCTGCGGCTGGCGAAGGCGGTTGGTCATGTAATGAAGCCATGCGTGAATCAGAATTCAATTGTTACCCTTAATGCAGCCTAGACTAGGGGAAATGTATGTTGGAACCAAGCGGTGCAACACCAGTAATGCAATAAACACTTTTACCTGAAGCACCATCGCTCAGGCCGGTCCTTCCACCTACACATCCTTCCCATCTGCTTCGTTGCTAGGGTCGTTCTCAGTCTCAGCATCTTTGGCCTGACTACCTGCGTCTCCCTGGTCTCCCGGGTCTCCCGACGAACTGGGATTTGCAGCCTGCGGCGTCGCGGCTCCGCCATGGGCAGCCTTCCCCCCCGGCGCCCGCCGGGTTCTGGCATTAGATACCAGACCTTTCCATTTCTCGCGGTAAAGCGAGAGATGATTCCGCAGCTTCTCGTTATCCCGTTCGATCTGTCTCATCTGCTTCTCGCTGCGCCGAACGGCCTCCTCCAGCTCCCTGATGCGCGGGTCCGGCTCGCTGGGCGAGGCCAAGTCCCCGACAGGCGACATCGCAGCCGAGCCTTGCGCTGCGCGGTCCGGAGAAAGGGCGTTCGAGGGATGCATCGCCTTGAGGGACTGTTGCAACGCGATCGACGAGGACTGTGCGTTGACCTCCCACATATGCAGCCGCTTGGACAGCGTATCCGACAGCTGCCGCAACGCCTGGTTCTCCATTTGCAGCTCCTCCATGGTCTTGGGGTTTAGGCTGGCGAGCTTGTCGTTGCCCCTTGCGCCTCTCTGGCTGCCTCGGACATCAGACAGACTCTGCCGGAGCTCGGGCGAGGACGGGGTCTCGCGCGCGTCCACGAAGTCCTCGTCGCCCTCGTCGACGCTGCTCCTGCGGGCCTCCTTCTCGGCTCGCGTCAAAATCCCCGCGTACGAAACGGTTCCACCAGTGGTAGGCACTACATAGAACGACTCCGCGGGATTTCCCGGCGTTCCGCCGGTGGTGTCGCGGATCGCCTGGAGGGCCGCTTTGGAGAAGATCTTGTTGATGTCTGGGTCTGCGGCATGGTGGGAACGGTCGGACATGGCGTTGTACCGGTCCGTGCGAGTGTCCGGGGCGGATTTGCGGTTGGCGGAAGATTCCGCATCGGAGCCCAGCGGCAAGCCGGCGAACGCAAGGGGCGCCGATATCTTGGAGATCAGCCCTTCAAACGTGGAATAGAACTTTTGGAACGGTTCTTCAGCCACAGTCCGGTTCCTCTGCTGGGACTCGGAAGGGTTAGACGGCGCAAACTGCTGTGAGGTGATATCGGTAGGACTAGGTAGGGGCGGGGTTCGGGGCTGGTTCGACGTCGATGAACGGCCCACCCGCTCTTTCATCCCCTGGGCTTGCATCCCGCGCAGTCTCGACTCGCTGGTTCGGATCTTGGCCGGCCCCTCGGTCATCTTCGCCCCCGCTTGCTGAGACGTGAGAGTAGGGGATGCGGGAGAGGAGCGACGGGGCTGTGAGGGAATGCCACGAGCCGATGCTAGGTTGCTGACGATGGACGACGACTCTCGTGATGGTAGTCGAGGGTGCCCCGACAGTCTAGGGGGTTGTTGCTGCGCATCTGTCGAGGTTCTTGTGCCAGCTTCCGCCGACGCGGGCTGGTTTGTCGAGGCAGGGTTGGAGGGGTTCTCATGCTGGAATCGGAGAATCTGCGCCAGTCTCTTGTGGTGTTGTTCCAGTAGCTGGAGGGTTCGGAGAGCCTATGTTGACGCGTGTGAGCCCAGCCCAATAGTGGGATGACAAGCCACGCACCTCTCGGTCCGAGCTGTGTTGGGCGGCGGTTGCAAATTCCCCCGCGGCCAGATCATGTTCCTCGCTGGCTGCTACTGGGTTTGACTTGCGAGTCTCAAGGACTGCATTTCGAGCATGGGTATGAGCCTAGATAAGCGAGCGGTCAGCTCGAGTTGGTAGTGCAGTGACCGAAGGGGCTGGGCTGACCAAAGTGAGAGGAGCGGCCTCCATGCCGGCTGCGGGACAGGATTAAGGTACTGGAAACTTGCAACTCCGGGTGATCAAGCGATGATCATTGGTCTGTGGGGATGATCAAGTGGTGTAGATTCGAGGACGGAGAATAGGTCCGGTGAGTTGGTAGGGAAATAATTCACTGATAAGAGGCAGTGGAAGAGGATGAATGCAATTGTGGGAGTGACGCCATCACTTTTTGCGAGGGGATGTGACGGTAACATTACCTTCCCACTGCGTCCAAATGCGTGAGAGACCAACAAGTGACAGGTACGAAGTATTGTATTGTACTGGGTATCACTGTATCCTGTACGGGGAGCATTCACTTGGTTGAACTGAGCTACTAATAATGTGTCAAATCGGACCCAAAGGGCTAGATGTCTTCTTCAGTCTCCACTACAGCTTAAAGATAGCTATAGATCGTATTCGTATGTACTCTGAGTACTTACTCAGTACTCTCCGTGTGGTGGCCTCAAAGCTCAGGCTGAGATCTTCTCCTCGTCATTCCCCCCTCTCTCCCCAATTCATCCCAAAAATCCACTTTCCCCTGATCCGGCTCTCGATTCCACTTCCCCCCTCTTTTCACTTCCTGCTTCTCCTTCTCGTCAGGTTGCATTTTTCGTCCGGAATTGAGATTCCCTGTCTCTTGCACCTCTCTTGCACCATCAGAAGAACAATCTACTGTTGCGGTTCTGCGAACCTCCTCTCCTCAGCAACTCTGTCTTTCCCGTTCCCCCTCATTTTCTCCAGGGATCTTCACTCCGATCATACGCTCCGACAATCTGTAGAGAGATAGACCGGTTCTACCCTCTAACATGATCTTTTCACTGTCCATAGTTTGATCCAGTCCTGCGATACTCTTTATTCCGCATACATCCCACCTCCCCCTTTCCGCTTCTGCCCTCATACTTGCCGCCATGGACGAATCGCTCCTCTCCGACCCCGTTCCCCCCCTCTCCTCCGACCTGCGAAGCTTAAGCTCTTCCGGTCGCACCAAAACCACTCCCATCGACCTGGAGACCATGGCCAGCTCAACGCGCAGCAATGGCCGCTCCTCTTCCATCGACTCCAGCTCCGACAGGCCCAAATCACAATCCGGCGATGCGGACTCCGCCAAGGCAGGCTCCAGCGGATTCTCCAAGCTACTAGCCGCGCGTCGTAACAAGAAAAAGAAGAAAGACGCCCAAAAACAAGCAGACGAGCTGCCGACTCAGTACGAGCTGGACGACGATGAGCACATCCAGGAAAGCCGCTCAAACGAGTCGCGGGGCGCTAATTCTCTCGCTTCGTCCTTGATCAACGACCTGCCGCCTCCTCCAGACCACGACGCCATTAATCTCCTCACCGACGATTCTGAGCCTGATCGGTGAGTGATGCTTGGTCGCAGGCGATGATATTAGCTGACATCTATCCCTAGGACGCCACCGCTGACCTCTCACAACTCACATAGTGGCTTCTACACCTCGTCCTCCCCCTTGATCAAAACAACCTCCGTGGAAGCTGACGAAGGCGCTCAGGGAGACCGTGAATCTATAGTCAGTGGTCCGAGCGCTGGCCCCGAGTCCATCCCTGACTCGGAACGCTCAAGGCCCACGAGCCAACACGGTCATACCCTCAGCGTGCCAGCAGCCGGAAAGAAGAGAGGCATCTCCCCCGGCCGACGCTTCAAGAATGCCTTCACTTCGAACCACGAAAAAAAGCCTAGTCGAGACCGAACAAACTCAACATCCGCCGCGAGCACAAAAAGCAGGAGTGGTAGCGCGTCGGCCAAGAAGGCACCGGTCATCGTTGAAGATGAGCCTGAGCCTGTTCCCAAAATCCCCGCCCCGATCAGGACAGACTTGAAGGAGCATAAATCGCTCTCCGCCCTGGAGGCGCCCGCTCCCAGAACGCCTCCACACACGGCAATCCCGCAACCTGCAACCACGGTAACTCCGCCAACTCCCCGGACGGAGTTTCCTAAGCTTTTTGCTTCTCCCGATGTGACAGCCTCGCCCGATTCGATACAGTCGAGGGAAGGGGTAGTGGTCAGCCCCTCCGGCAACATGATCTCCCACCGGCGCGTGCGGTCTGCCTCCGCTGCGAGTCATAAACCGAGCAAGCTGTCGAACTCGGTGTCCGCCATGGCTCCCACTTCGGAGGAGAACAAAGCAAGCAAACCTCCCCCAAGCGCTCAGCAGTCGAGCTTTTTCTCGTCGGTATTTTCTGCTGCGCAGAATGCCGCCTCGTCTCTCAGTAGCAGTCTCAATGCACAGTCGAAGGGTCGCAGCGTCAGTCAAGCGATGCCAGGAGAGTCCGACGGTCGCCCTGCCGAGAAGCAGGAAAATGGGACTCAGCCGGAAACGCGGAAGTCAGAAGAGAAGAAACCGATGGCTGTTGATACCTTGGGATCCGGCAACCTGGATTTCAGCCACCTGGACATCGCAATTCCTCCTGGCGGATCGGTCTCCACCCCAGATGGGGTGGTTATTACAAAGCCAGACCTGCCGGATAAGCGCAAGGGCCCGGGCGTTCTGCAACGTGATGAAGCAGCTGCCAGGTTGGAAGATAGCCGCGCCGCTCGTGCCGTGACCATGGCTTACGAGCAGCCGGCCGGCACGTCTCTCGCCCCGCCAATGGACGATGGCCTCGATGGTCAATCCAGTACCTCGCTCACCAGGGAAGGGACTGGGGATCAGACGACGCCCAGCGGTAGTGTGGTCGAAGGTGAATTGGGAGGCACCCGGCCGTATCGGAGCGGCAGTATTCGAAGCCGGATGGTTCGTCGCAGAAACCGGGGCTCATCTGGAGCTACCACCTCCACTATCGGTGCTATTGGTGCCAGTGCAATAGCCTTAGGTGCCCCCGGGGCCAATGCGAGTGTACCAAGGCTAACCGGGTTCGCCGTTGCCAGCAAAAAGCGTAACCGGGACTTTCACCAGCTGTTCCGCAGTGTTCCCGAGGATGACTACTTGATCGAGGATTATAGCTGCGCTCTGCAGCGCGAGATTATCTTGGCGGGTCGGATTTATATTTCTGAAGGGCACATCTGCTTTTCCAGCAATATCCTCGGCTGGGTGACTACACTGGTCATCAGCTTCGATGAGGTCGTGGCAATCGAGAAGGAGTCGACTGCGATGGTCTTTCCGAATGCAATTGCTATCCAGACACTGCATGCGCGACACACCTTCCGCAGTCTTCTTAGTCGAGAGTCCACATATGATCTGATGGTCAATATCTGGAAGATCAATCACCCCGCCCTCAAAAGCTCAGCGAATGGGACGAGGGTCACCGACGGCACTGGAGACAAGACGGAGAAGGCTGCTGGAAGCGATGTGGAAAGTGACGAAGAGGATGAGATCTATGATGAGGATGAGGAAGGCGACAATGCCGATAGCATCTTTGAAGGAGCCACCAGCGTTCACGGCAGCGAGAAGTCCGTTCCTGCGAAGACTATTAGTCGCCAAGCCTCGGGTCTTCTCCCAGGGGCCAACAATGGACAGTCAGCATCGAACGGTGAGGCCAAAGGCAAGTCGACGCCTAGTGATGGTGACTCGGACTTCCCTGGGCCAGCCAGCCACCCTCCGACTGAGTTCACCGATCCATCAGGCCAGTATGACAAGGTGATCAAGGATGAATTAATTCCTGCTCCTCTAGGCAAAGTCTACTCCTACATCTTTGGTCCAGCGTCAGGCGCATTCATACCCAAGTTCTTGGTCGAGAATCAGAAGTCTGGCGAGCTCCAGTTTGAGGGAGGAAATAAAGGTCTCACCAACGAGAGCAAAACCAGGAAGTATTCGTATATCAAACCGCTCAATGGATCCATTGGGCCCAAGCAGACCAAGTGTATCAGCACAGAAACCTTGGATTTCCTGGATCTGGAGAAGGCGGTGCTGGTCACTTTGAGTACCCAGACACCGGATGTTCCCAGTGGTAATGTTTTCTGTACGAAGACCAAATACTTGTTCACCTGGGCGGCAAACAACCAGACGCGGTTCCTGATGACCTGTACTATCGAGTGGTCCGGAAAGAGCTGGCTGAAAGGTATGTCGACATGTCACAAAGGGGTGAGCAGATATGCTGACATGACTAGGTCCTATTGAGAAGGGTGCCATTGATGGCCAAACCACTTTCGGAACCGAACTTGTCAATGCTCTCAAGGCTGCAGTTGCCCCTCGCGGTCGCGCTGGCGGTGCTAAATCTGGCAAAGGCAAGGGCCGGCGCAAGAGGAGTGAGTCCGCTCAGGAAGACACTGCGGCAGAGGCCAAGGCAGCAGAGCAGGCCGCAGACAAAGCGAAGTCTTGGGGACCTCTGGAACCGCTGCATGGGCTGCTTGGTCCTGTCTCAGACATTGTCACGCCTTTGTTGGGCGGCAATGTTACCATTGTCATCCTTGGCATTTTATTGCTTATGCTCTTCTTCCGAGGGTCATCCCCATCCACGGCGTCGCACGATATCGGATGTCCCGGGTACTCTCTGCCACAGCGTCTAGCTGCCTACGAGGAGATGTGGCGCCGTGAGGAGAGTGAGCTCTGGAGCTGGCTCGAAGACCGGGTCGGCATGGATGGGCTTGCCTTTCCCACGGTTAGCCAGCCGGCCGGTTCACGGACGCATCATCTGTCGCGGAAGATGCAAGGCGAACGCGCTCTTGCGAGCAAATTGAGTGAAGAAAAGATGTCCGATCTGGAGATGGACCATGCGATTCGATCCACGCGCGAGCGGCTCGATGCGCTGGAGAAGATCCTTTCCACGCGACGATCAGACGCAAAACCGGTGGATGGAGAATCGATCCACCGCGAATTGTAAATATGTTGGGTCCCCACAGACCGTACATGCCTGCACCAGGACAGTTACTATTGTTGACTAACCATTGTCTCTCGTTATTTTTCTTATTTCATGTTTGTTCAGCGAGTTGGTGCGGGGAGCACCTTATTTACTCTTGAATTGGAATCAAGCTGTCTTTGAGCATGACGATCTGGGATTCCTTGCTTTTCGACGCCGCCGAATCTGTTGTTGTCATTTCTTGCAAATACATCTTAACTTCCGCTGAATTGTCGGCTCTGAGGCGCCCTGAACAAGTGTCGAGCGTGAGTTAAGTCTTTTTTACTGTACATGAGCCGACACCTTTCCTATATGTCTATACCGAGCTGGAACCAGCCTAGCCATTTCCTTGTTTTGCCTACTACCCTACTCACAATCGTTGTTATACATAGAAAACCATTCATGAATATAGTTAATTCCATTGACCGCTACTGAAACAACTTACCGCAAGTATCATCCGCAGTAATCAACAACCGATCCGTGCAACTCGAAATCATCGAAAGCACACTCCAGATCAACTGAATAAATCCCATCAAGAAAAGCCCCCTGAAGCCAAGCAAATCTCAGAATTGAACAACCCCCTCAAACAACCCCCAAGTAAGTCGTGTCAATTCCACCCGGGCCCCCCCGTTAACAGTATCAGCACTAAGTATGCACCCCCCCCCATACAACTTGAAGTCCCCCCTACAGGGTTAGTCAATTGGATTGGAATGGGGCGATCATGGGGAGCATGGGGGATCAATGGTAGTAAGGTTGCTAACTTTCGGGTAAGGATAATGTTTCATGTCGGAGCGAGGGTCTTGTGCTTTGCTTGTCTTTTATCTCTGTGCAACTAACTCTAACTGGATTGACTGGAGGAGGATCGGGTCAGTTGCTGTGATCTAGCTGCATGGCTTATCTGGAAGATTGGAACACTAGGTACAGTATTAAACTACGTGCAGTGGCTGACACATAAAAAGAATGTAGAAGTCAAGTCGTATCATCAGTGCCATTGGTATCAAGATGCTGAGGCGAGTAAAAAAAGCTAGTAAACAGCAAACGGTATATAAGCAAGAATCCAGAAGATGCCAAAATGCGTTGCATCGAACGAACTAAATAGCAAAATGCGCACGAGTTTTTGTGAAAGAAACGTGTTTTGCCCGTAGTGAGATGTGAACCCTCTGGTTTGAGTTCGTGGGCACTGTAGGCCAATCGGTATAACCCTCATTAGAACGGAGAAGCTTGTGAATGTATTATGGGTAGCGCTGAGCCTACTCTGGTCGTGGCTTCGTATCGTAGCAGCAAAATGTCCGCCCGTGAAAACTAGTAGCGTAGGTGACTCAAGCCACAGTCGGGAATGGTTCTGTGTCCTCGGTCCGCGACGAGTTGGAATGAGACCGGGTCAGAGGAGACTGCTCTTTGCTCTGCTCCTCCTCCTTGCGTCGCTTCTTCCGCATCTTCTTGATCGCTTCTTGCGTGAGCTCTTGCCGGAAAAGCCGCTCGACAACATCCTTCTTGCGGGTCCGCCGGTCGCCAATCATAATCAAAACACCGCCAGAGATGTTGCAAGTGATCGAGCAACACAGAATAACAGTCGTCAACGCAAACGGACGCACGTGGTAGCTGATGCCCCAAGTGCAGGCACCCAGCGCAATCTGGAACAACGAGTGGCAGTCTAGTAGAACCACAATGGCGATAAGCATACGCAGCGGAAAGGCATGATGAGTAAAAGTCTCGTGCGGTTTGTAGAACGTGTGCGAATTGGCAAGCTTGGTCTGGTGGTGAATCAACTTGGCCTGCTGCGCCGGGTTGAGCACGCTGAACTCGTGTTCCTCCTCTTTCGGCGTGTCGCCGAACTCGACGTCCACGTCCTCCTCTCGGCGCGATGGCAGGTCATTCTTGTCCATGAGATCGGGCAATTGCCGTTTCCGACGGATCTTCCACGTCAAGAAAGTATAACGTGCAATGAAAATCATATGATACGTGTCGATAGCACGGAACGGGGCAAGGCCATCACCCATGATCGCGAACAGGGCTACGAGCACATTGTCGATGACGTTGATGAGGTACGATTGTCGGCCTCCGACGTTGATCCAGCCTAATGAATCGGTTAGTGTGATCCGAGCAGAAGTGGCAAACTACAGACCAATCAGGAACAACACCCATGCAAGACCGAAAAGCGTGATCAACGTGGCATACAGCGTGACCAAGAATCCCAGCGCTAGAGAACAATGCGTCAGTAACCGGTAGTACAATAGCGGAATCGAACACGTACGCTTCGAAACATATTTCCCGAACCCCTTCATAGAACGCTTGAATTTGGACCTCCGCGAATGCAACATATGCCGGACATGGTCGTTCAATTCTTCAATCTCCTCCGTAGACCAACCGGCCAGATTGCTACCTTCGGGCAAGACAGCAAATCGAGCCTCGCCGCCGTCATCAATCACCGAGGTGAGAGTGTGCTCGATTGATGGACGAACCGCGGGCTCCCGGCCCTTCTCCTCAGCTTCGTCTTCGCCTTCATCACTGGTCGACGAGTCGAGGTTCCTGAGCGGCGCGGGTGGTGGGGAAAGAGTATACGTCTGATTACGATTGATAAAGGGCCCCAAGTTGGGGACGAAGAGTGAGTTCTGGACATTGGTAAGGGTGGAAAGTGCCGACACTTCGGGATCTGCAGCATACTACTGTTAACTAGTGGGGCGTGTGGGGGTAAGTTGTGCACGGCGACTTACCGATCACATCCAAGATATCGACAATATGTGACCGATATTCGTCGCCTGGCTCTGCCGTCTGAGCAGGCGCGCTCCCACTCACTGTCGATGCACGATTCCTTGTGAAACGGTTCGTGGAGACCCCGCCAGACCAACGCATGAAGCCGCGGCTCCCTCGTCGGGGTATTTGTAACGATTCAGGGTTCTGCTGCGGCAGCGGCGGTACCGAGTCAGCGGCTGGCCCTGGACTCTGAGGAGAGGCCTCTTCATGGACAGTGTGCATCTGATCTCCGGTTGCGAAACGGGTGAGGAGGACTGGGTTGGGAGTATTCGACCACCGACCCGGTCGCGGCTCGGAATTGCTGCGGCGCCGGTTTCCCTGCCAGGCATCATCCTCGTCATCATCCGGATCAGACCTGGACGGGGCGGGGGCATTCTGCGAGGCTAAAGGTCCATTGAGGGGGTCTGCATTAGACTGTGTTTGTTGAAAACGAACATTGTCATAGGAAGGGAAGCGTTGAAGTCTGATGGAGGGCCGTCGCGACCGCAACGAAGGTGCCCGAGAACGTGCTGTATATGACGTCGGTCGGACTTGGCCGGGCGGAGAAGAATCAGAGGCACCAGAGACAGGCTCAATAGAATCCATTGCAGGCCAACAGCGACCTGATGGGGTGGAGCTGAAAGACAGTAGTTATACAGAAGGATTAAGCAGACATGAAAGAGAGATTGATAACAGAAGAGATGAGGAGAGATTGTGGGGGGTGGGTAAGAAAGGATGGATGGGATTTTGGGGGGGGGCGAAAGAATAAGAGAAAGAGTAACTTAGGCGGGCAGTGGAAGAAGAATGGGAAGTGGGTGTTCGGAAGGGACCAAAGCTTAATTTATCCAACTTTGATTAACCCCAGACCACCACGGGTGAGTGGCAGCATTGACCCTCATTAGGCCGATACGAGGTCACTCCGGAGTATTATCGACAATATACACAGTACAAAGTACAAAGTACACAGTACAAAGTACAAAGTACAAAGCACAAAGTACACAGTGCACAGTATAACAGTACACAGTACAACAGTACAAAGTACACAGTACAAAGTACATAGTGATCACTCAGGGCAGGTCGTTCAGCATGTGTATCGCCACACAATCTCTCTAGTCATTGTCCAAAGAGCACAATTCAGTAATCCGTTATCCCCCCCCCCCCCTCCTCCTCCTCCTCCTACCAATGAGGGCATGTCCATCTACATCTTCTCATATATCCTCATATATCGTGTCGTCCATTTCCATCCCTCTTGATCCTGCGTCAGCGCCAGCATTTAGCAATTGTATTACTATCGCTGCCGGCACATGTTTTCACGCCTGTCGTCGCAATTCAGCTATTCGTACTTTGAATTCGAATCTCTGGTTCGGCGTCATCTACATGGCAAGGACGAAGATCACAAAGACTGTAAGCAAAACAGCCCAGGCGTCCACTCCGAACCCGACCCGCCTCAATGAAAGGGTTGGTTCTGCCACACACCGACCAGTTCTTTGCCGATATGGGTGCGAAGCGAGTCATCTTGCGCGGGCTACGAGTGCTCTAGTCGTTGCACCTCTTCAAGACCCCACCTTCACCCAGCATCGAGATTCTAACATCGGCATTGCACAGCACAGGCAGCAATGCTAGCTACGGAGGATACTCGCTGGGAGCAGGTTCTGCTAACTACCTTTGAAGCAAAGAAGCACTCCAGTTGGAAGGCGTCTGCCAGCACCGTTCCCGCTCCACCTAGTCGTGCTGCTCCTGCATCTTCAATCTTGGCCCCTGGTAATTACATCCCTGCGCCGTCTACTTCTAACATGGTTTCAGCAGCAGATCCGGAAAATACCCCCACAGGCACGAAGCGTCAGGGCGAACAGCCAATTGACCAGGTTGTCGACCTACTATCTCCCGTCTCATCCATCACTCTCTTACCTAGTGAAGATGTCGATGAATACGGTAGCCCGAAACGTCGAAAGGTCCATCATCTCTCCAAAAAAAAGACATCCGTCTCTGCATGAACCGGGAGATCTCCCATGATCTCTTGCTGTTGAAGATGGCAGCGCACCCATGATGACATCTCAGGGCTTCGCCGTTCGTCAGAAGGCAGGTAGAAACCTTCGCAGCAGCACATGGCCCAAGGCATCAGAAGGGGGACAGGGTGAACTCTCGCCTACGGCTAAACCGTGCAATGAAGAACACACGTCGATAACCATGAAAACGGTTGCCACACGCAAAGGCGCGCAGTAACCCTTCGCCATTCGCGAAGGATGCTGTCTTTGACCTTCTCTGAGGAAGAGCTTGCAAGAGCAAACTTTGCATGTGTTTTGAGAGTCAGCCTCAAGCATATGTCGTGACAGCTCCATGTTTGTAGGGTAAGGGTAAGAAGCCATCGGGTCAAGTCGGCGGTCCATAGTTTATGACCGTTGCTTAGTTATTGGTTAATTGCAGCGAGGATCCCCCGGGCTGGACCCGAGAGCTTAATCGCATTTTAGTCCATGATTTCGTGCATGAGGCTTCTGAGAATGCATCAACGCGAGGCTAAATTGTTGCAAAGATGAGCAGACTGGGTGACTGGCGACGTTTGATGACATGGGCGGAGGAGGGGTAAGTTACTGAGGGGTAACTTCCTACGCATTCCGAGGAAAGTTCGCGTTCGTGATAAAAGAGACTCCACCGCGGGAAAGCAGGGCAGCCAGAAAGACAGTGGAGCGATCGGGGGGAATTCAAGTCTGACTAATGAAAGAACCACTTAACGTTAACTAAAGGTTTACTAGTTTCGCCATTGACCATTAGCATAGTTGAACCTAATTGTCAAAGGAAATAAGGATACCTTAAAATATAAAACAAGGAGCGAGAGGGAGAAGAGGATCCTTGGTGAGGGAGAGGAAAGGAGAATTGTTCCTGCCTGAAGGTGGGATTGACGCAGTAGTTACTCCGTAGACAGTGAAGAGTGAGTCAAGGGCAGGAGTGATGTCAGACCGTCCACCGCCTAGACCGCCCGACAGGAAAGTCCACGTCGGGCGTCTATTTCGGGTATAGTCGCTTAGTCCCTTCAGGCATCTTTCAGGCATTTTTGATATCTTCAGGCAGTCTCAGGCATATTAAGGCAGCTTATTACCTCATTTGGCTTAGTTCCACCATCTTCCCCGTCGCCTGCCCTTTTCTCTCACCTTCTCCTTGTCTCGCCGCCCTCGTCGAGTCCGTCCCA